ACTGTAAACAGAAAACTTCAAACTTCCCTTTTACCAACAACGAAAGAAATGTTTAAATTTGGCGGCGTTCCAAAACTATATTCTTGAAAACGGATTATGGTCCAGGCAACCGTTGCAAGACCGGTTCACGTGTTTCATATACCACTTTGACAGCTAACTCAAAACTCCATCACGAATTTATATCAGTTTTGTGGTTAATTATTTCCTTATAACAGGCAGTGCCCCACTTTCCCATATGGTATAAATTACATATTAATCTAGACATAAACTGGATATCGGCATGAGACGGTGGGGTATAAAATTTATGTCTATATACTAGTAGTTAGTCCTAGGTAACTTATACCGCGCCAATAAATATGTTTATGATCCAGATCAATCAATAATTGATTACCCAACACAATGGCAGTTCTTAATTCGCAAGAGGCATTATGCACAACCGACACAAGACTGTGATTGGTTTCGAGGCAAATGTGGGGACAGTCATTCAAGAGGCGCCCGTGTAATACTCTTTGCAACAGACTGCCGATGTTTCTGGTATTTTCACGTGTGAAAATTAGTATGGAATTGGCAGGAGTTTGACAATGAAGCAAAGTTAAACATAAAATCACAACCAAACCATCTCATATAACATTAATTGGGGAAATATATAGTGGCCGAGGATGGGTCGAGGAGAGAGAGACATTTTCCAGTCACATTTTAAATTATGCCTCTGGAGGGAATGTTGAAACTTTCTCACCATTTACTTAGAAATAATTTAACTGTATAGTCGTATGTGTTTTTAAAACAATCCACGGATTTCGCGGTCGTAATTAAAGGCGGGAAAGCGATGCCGCCTCGCGGCCACCATAGAAATAGCACCGGAATGGGGAAAACACGCGAGCGGTCTCAGCTGTGTCCATTTACAATAGCTATGGTTGGATTGAGTAACGCCATGGGTATATTGCACTTGCTTGTAGCACAAACAACAAGGGCTTACCCATTGAAATTAATTTAAAAAAAATAAAATTAATGTACTAGATCTGATTACTATAGGGTGATGTTCTTCTGTCGTGTGTTATATACATGGTCTTACATGGTTTAGTCACTGGCTACCAATGTGGAAATTGTCGTTGAGTTGGGTCGATATTGTTGTTTGCTTATATCTTATCCTTACTTAGTACTCCAACTTCTACATGCCTCTCTGGACCACCCACCACACCCAATTTCCTCCCCCCAAAAATGTAGTATGTTGAAGGCAGTAAAACTACCTGAGAGATGATTTTGATATTTTGGACCCCTCCCTGGATCTGCCCTTGCTGTGTCTTTTTTTAATTTTACTGAACGAGTGAATGAGTTTGAGTTTGCGCCGCTTTTACCAATATTCAAGCAATGTCAGAGTAGGGACAATGGAATGGGCTTCACCCATTGTAGCCACATTGGGAACCGAACCCGGGACTTCAGCGTGACATACGAACGTCATAACCATCCGGGTACCCCTTCCGTCGATTAAAACAGCCCAAAACATCAAACATATAAACAACTGTAAACAGAAAACTTCAAACTTCCCTTTTACCAACAACGAAAGAAATGTTTAAATTTGGCGGCGTTCCAAAACTATATTCTTGAAAACGGATTATGGTCCAGGCAACCGTTGCAAGACCGGTTCACGTGTTTCATATACCACTTTGACAGCTAACTCAAAACTCCATCACGAATTTATATCAGTTTTGTGGTTAATTATTTCCTTATAACAGGCAGTGCCCCACTTTCCCATATGGTATAAATTACATATTAATTTAGACATAAACTGGATATCGGCATGAGACGGTGGGGTATAAAATTAATGTCTATATACTAGTAGTTAGTCCTAGGTAACTTATATCGCGCCAATAAATGTTTATGATCCAGATCAATCAATAATTGATTACCCAACACAATGGCAGTTCTTAATTCGCAAGAGGTATTATGCACAACCGACACAACACTGTGATAACTTGGTTTCGAGGTAAATGTGGGGACAGTCATTCAAGAGTCGCCCGTGTAATACTCTTTGCAACAGAAGTTTCTGGTATTTTCACGTGTGAAAATTAGTATGGAATTGCAGGAGTTTGACAATGAAGCAACGTTAAACATAAAATCACAACCGAACCATCTTATATAACATTAATTGGGGAAATAAATAGTGGCCGAGGATGGGTCGAGGAGAGAGAGAGAGACATTTTCCAGTCACATTTCAAATTATGCTTCTAGAGGGAATGTTGAAACTTTCTCACATTTACTTAGAAATAATTTAACTGTATAGTCCTATGTGATTTAAAAACAATCCACGGATTTCGCGGTCGTAATTAAAGGCCGGAAAGCGATGCCGCCTCTCGGCCACCATAGAAATAGCACCGGAATGGGGAAAACACGCGAGCGGTCTCAGCTCTGTCCATTTACAATAGCTAAGGTTGGATAGAGTTGGATATATTGCACTAGATCTGATTACTATAGGGTGATGTTCTTCTGTCGTGTTTGGGCGGTCGGGTAGCCTAGTGGTTAAAGCGTTCGCTCGCCACGCCGAAGACCCGGGTTCGATTCCCGACATGGGAACAATGTTTGAAGCCCATTTCCGGTGTCCCCCGCCGTGATATTGCTGGAATATTGCTAAAAGCGGCGTAAAACAGCACTCACTCACTTCTGTCGTGTGTTATATACATGGTCTTACATGGTTTAGTCACTGGCTACCAATGTGGAAATTGTCGTTGAGTTGGGTCGATATTGTTGTTTGCTTATATCTTATCCTTACTTAGTACTTCAACTTCTAAATGCCTCTCAAAGAAGGGTACTAGACGATCCGTACCCACGGAGATTCGTACCCAAGGAAAGTGGCTACCCGTACCCAAAAGTACATATCCGCCACTCATTCACACAGGTGGCCTTGTAATCTAGAGTTCCGCAATTCACTGTGTAGAGTTGCGTCCCCTGGGAGCGTCAGCCATCATGTATTTGCGTTTGAGACCAAATATGTTTCGAAACAAACAATGTTTCAACAACACATGTTTCTTCAGGGTACCCAGCACGTCAAGCGACGTGTTTGAGAATTTCATGTGTAAAACCTGAAGCTAAATTATTTTTCCTGTATTTTCTGACACATTATTTTTCACAATAATACCAGGCTGCGACATTAAACAACACTCACATAATACACTCCTTCCAAACATGGATCCGGAGCGTCCGGCCCGGAATGGGGAAAACGCGCGACCCGTCTCAGAAGTAAATTTATCTGTGAGAGGATTTTTATAATTTTTACCCCTCCCTTTTAAAAATGCTGGATCCGTCCTTGCCCTTTTACTCTATGCGGCATGGGATCAGCCCATCAACAACTACCAACAAGGAGGTAAACACAGGTAAACACAGGTAAACACAGGTAAACATCATACATCTTTATTGATCTCTTCCTGGATACATCAACAGTGGAAGTCATTCAAATCGTCCATTATATTTTTGGACAATCATTTGGCAATATTTACATGAACAACATGAAAATACACATTTCCATTTTCACAATAAATATAATTATATTGAGCCACTTCCAAGAGTCATACGATTAAGGTATTGTTCAACCAGGGGGTCCTACTTTCAAGGCAAGAGTATTTCTACCAGACATTTACTATGATACACTGAACCCGTTCATCCAGAAACATTTTGCACAGATCTGTAATACAGTATTACCTTGTTAACTAAAGTCTGGGGACCAGATCACTACAGCAAGTTATCCATAGTTCAAGATCTGTTTGTTTGTTGTTTAACACCGTACTCAGCAATGTTCCAGCTATATCATGGCGGTCTGTAAATAATGGAGTCTGGAATATACAGTCCAGTGATTGACATCATGAGCATTGATCAACTCAACTGGGATACGATGACATGCATCAACCAAACCAGCGAGGCTGACCACCCGATCCCTTAGTCGCCTCTAACAACAAGCATAGTCGCCTTTTACGGCAATCAAGAAGATTTGAGTGCTGATAGAGAGCACGGAGACTTGTGGTCTTCTGCACATTCAGCCAGTTTAAGGGTCTCTGTAGGACTGCTCCTAGTTTCACTCTCCGGATACTTACTTCACATGACTTTACAGGTTCAATCTAAAACCCAGATTCTTTGAAACATACCTCCAACAATATTTCATTAACTGCCACCAAACAACTTTTGAGAATAACTAATTGTGATTTGTGAATCAGAGGTATGAAATCACAATAACAACCAGAAAACAACAGTAATTGCATGCACTCTTGATAACCCTTTTATATCCTGTCTCATCCAATCAATGTCTTTAACATTACTCATTAAATGTCATATTAGATTAATACATTCAAATTACAGTCACACACTTCTAAAGCATAAATGGGTTATCCTCTTTGAGCTTTTAAAACCTTATCTATCCTATTTTTAACACCAGACTATTTCGAATCAATTCATCAGTTTAAATTTGTGTTATCATATACATGTGTATAACATATCTTTATTACTTGCCCGTGAAGAGATCACCCGTTTAATAAACATACAGAAGTATTACACATTGTGTTATACCAAAACGCGTGCTTATGTACTCCCGGAACACGTTTCATGAACAAATATTGAAAGCTCTCAACATCCCTTGGCTTATTCAACAACATTGCGTGTGGAGATGATAAATCACTGAGAGGAGCTTATGCACACTCGATGACCCCAGCAACCTTGTTGCTAGGCTGACGTCACATGGCATTGTTTCGCCGATGGATCTTGCAATAAAAATTCCACAAATTACGTCATTGCAGTAAACTTTGCGGTGCAAGGCCCCGTTCCACAAGGTGATCGTATGAAGCGCAACGACAGTCGTTAGTCGAAGTTAAAGTATGTGAGTTGCCATAACCTTAGCGCTACGTTAATTTCGTGGAACGGACGCCTGAATTCTAAAGGTGGACCGTTGTATGGTATTAAATTCATACATTTCAACTTTTGACGTGTTTGAAGTATTATTCTGTTAAACTCAATTAGATTATGCCGTGGATCGTGTAGGTGTCAGCCTATTTACACTCAAGAGTATAATTCTAAAAATGTCATGAGTGACAAGTAATAAATAAAATACTAAACTCGCCCCCGTGTAAAACTAATTTTACGAAACTTGTGAATACATGTAGTTGTGTTATCTGACTCGCTTTCGCTCGTCAGATACCAGAACTATTCACTCGTTTCATAAAATTGGTATTAAACGGCAGCTCGTTTAGTATTCTATATTTATTACACATATTGTATATTTGTCCAAGTATGCTATTCATTCTAAGGACAATATGACCAGCATGTCTTTCAGCGATTTCACTCAGATTCAACGTAGTCATAAAAGTTTCATCATATATACTACTCAAAGAAAGTTAAGGATCATCTGATTTTTTTATATTACTATAGTTAATCTGTCGTGGAATAGTATTACATATAAATGGATTGGGTGATCCTTAAATTTTTTTAGGCGCATTTATTCATGAATTTTCCATTATTAGTGGCATTGCTGTAATAGTCTCCATAAAAAGTCTGTGGTGACTTGGGGGAAGGCTGAAGAAGCGGGGTTCATTAAACGCTGTGAGTGGGTGTGTGTTGCTATGGAGATATCACGCAGGCTATCAGCTGTCTTCCTGCTGTTCCAGGAACTCTGCGAGGGTTGGTGTGTGTTGCTATGGAGATATCACGCAGGCTATCAGCTGTCTTCCTGCTGTTCCAGGAACTCTGCGAGTGTGGGTGTGTCGATTGGGATCAACAAATGCTCCACACCATCGTAGCTCTGCGACAAGAAAGGGATGTAGACTTAGGATTAAAACACAACCAGAATTCATGAAGCAATTGTACTCAATAGTTAATCAAATACCACCACACTGCCATAAATGACTTTCATATTTGGCAAGAAAATAACTGAAGAATAATTTTTCTAGGTTTATTTTTTCATATTAAGAAATTATTATAAAGAAAACTTTCCTTGCTAAAAGAAAAACAATTCTTATTTCAAGAAATATTTTAATACATGTTCAAGAAATATTTTAATACATGTTCATGAAATAATTTCTTATGTGGAAAAAAGCTATAAATCTTTTGCTGCTCATGTTTACAGCATATTCTTATGGTTGCAAGCCTGAAACAAGTCATCCGGTAACAGTGACACACAATAAGCCACATCACATTGCAACTACCATATCATAGTAGTCAGCAATCAGGACACCTGTAAGTGAGTAGTGAGTAAGTAGGGTTTTAGGCCGCTTTTAGAAATATAGCAGCAATATCACTGCGAAGGACACCAGAAATGGGCTTCACACATTGTACCCATGTCGGGAATCGAACCCGGGTCTTTGGGATGACGAGCGAACGCTTTAACCACTCGGCTACCCGACCGCCCCTCAGGACACTTGTGAAGATCCAGGTTAGAATAGATCTTCAGTAACCCATGCTTGCTGTAAGAGGTGACTAAAGAGATTGGGTGGCCAGGCTCACTGAATTGGTTTATGCAGGTCATATGGATCCATTGCTATTATTGCAATCACTGTATTGTCTGGTCCAGACTTGATTATTTACAGACCGCCATCATATAGCTGGAATATTGCTGAGTGCAGCGTTAAACAAAAAAAAAACCAAACCAAACTTACATCAACGTAAAATGAGATGTGGGTTAGAAACCACAGTGAAATACAGTATAACCCAACTTGTTGCGTAAGGTGTTAAAAACTTAGCGAAAATCACCCACCTTCTTTGATCTGATAAGCTTATGGTCCCTGAATTCGATGAGCTGTGCCTTGAGAGTGAGGTCGGAGTTGACGAGGAACGACTCCCGACATCGTTGATACAGCTCACTGAAGGACATGCCTGTAACAAACACTATCGGTCACACAACTGGAGCCATAACCATTGGCCGACACATGTGTTCAGCATTCAAATTTCAATGAACAAATTATTTTGATATACACTCCTTAGTTTGGGCTAATGTACAGGAGGTGGTAGACGTGCACAAGTCTCTCAGGCAGTAATTATTACAGTATTTGATGTAATAAGCGCCCCGCTCAAATAAGCGCTCATGGCGATATTTGCTAATATATTTTGCAAGTGAACAAGTTCAAAAAGCGCCCCTTCCGACTGATCAGTGTACACAAAACTTACTTATTCGAGTATAATACTCACTCATGTATTATGCACACCCTTGATTATGGGCAAGTATATTCTGGAAAAATATATCTCTCATATGTAATACGCACAGACTTTTTCTTTAGTAGTATCATTTCAGGCGTTCGTATATATGACTGTCATCGGAAATAGAATATCAATAAATCCGCATTAAATTACATAAGTTAACCCCTCTCTTATACTGTTTTAGTGTTCATTTTATATCTGGACTTATGTTTGTAATCTATTTTAATAATTTTATTCGAAATTTCATTTAAGAATGTTTACATAATAATTTCGGCGAAATTGTGTCCTTACGATACTTACAACTTCCGTTCACCCCGTTCCATAGAGCCCGCTTTACCACATACCGCGACATAAAAACTCATATTTATCAATGCAACAATGATCATTTTTTCCTGTTTCATTTTTTTTACGAGTCTACACATCAAGATAAACATTTGTTATGATTAACTTTCCGTGAGAAAATATCTCAAAAGTCGAAGAACTATTTCTATTTGCGTAGTTTTCATTTGTTTACATCACGTGCTGTCATCAAAGCCATATGGAGAGGTAGCGGTACAATCACTTTGATGCAAAGATATATATTGTCGTGCACCTCACAGTCGTAGTTTTAGTAGCAAATGATTACTCAAAACAATATGCAAAGCGTCAGTCTGTTCTGATGTCAGTGTTTGTTTAAAAATGAGAGAAATGTGTCACATGATATGCAAATTAGCCTGTGGCAGTGCTGTTATGCGAAGTTGTTACTTCTGGTTAAGTAAAAACTAGATGTACTTTTTAGGATATTTGAATTTAGATATTAATCTCGGGTAGGTGGTTGTAGTATTTTCATCCTCAAGCTGTATATATCGATTGTTAAACGGGTGACCTGTCATGACCAGCACCATAGCCGACACAATAACAACAATTAAACACGTTTTGAGAAAAAATAATACAAGTTTGTTGTACAAAAACATTTGCTGAAACAAAGAAGTGGTTATAAACAATAAATACATCCTGATTCTCACCGAAAAATAAGGTAAGAAAGATAAGGTAATATTTGAAAATCACAAACACAGTGCAGATTTTTGATTTTTCAACTTTACCTGCTGATATTGGTACTTCCTGTTTGAACAATGGGCATCGACGATAATTTTTACTCATCATTTATGTGGAGTTAAGTTATGTAATACAAATACATAGATATGCAAGTAAATACGTGCAGTTATCATGGTTATGGAGGTAGCATTTTTTGTGAGAGACATACTTATCTAAAGCAGTAAAACACTGAGGGTGGTCATTTGCTGCATTCGCCAAACCACGAAATTTACGATCTTTCAATTCTGTTTTTTTTTCACAAAAATTATATTCCAAAAAGCCCCCCCTATTTCTAATTTTGAGAGCACCCTGGGCACTTTTTACATTGAAAACGGTAGTTTAAATCATAATTTCTAGATTATATACATAATAAAAACAAGTTAATGTTTAAGTTATATCATGACATGTCAGCTTGATGTGGGAGGAAATCTGAAGGAATGCAGGTTTCGGACACTTACCACATCGGTGAAACCCACGAACATTGGTATGGCGCTGACAAACCTAGACACATAATCAGGGTGAACCAGGCAGGATTAGAACCCCCAGTCACAGGACTCTGGTATGCCTAAGGGACACAACTCTGAAAGCTCCTCAAGTGACCAGGCCACCTGTGCCCCTATGGTTATGACAAAGAACCCTTGGATATCATGCTTAAAAGACTGTACCTATATACGTAGCATTCTCCTTGTTCTCTTGCTGGTGTTTGGCCAGGAGAAGGAAGATGCCCTTGGCATTGGTGGTGAGGCTCTTCATGACGTGGGTGAGGGAGCTCAGAGCCAAGGCGCCAGTCTGCTGCACTAGCAGGGAGTTCTCGTATGATGTCTCAGAGGAGTAGGGGATGTACGTGGTCGTGTCAAAACACAGCCAGTTGAAGCGACAGCACTTCGTATGGTCCCAAACTGAAATACAGTGCCAGTCTATCAGTATTCACATGGTTCTTCTTTGAAAACACAATATGGTCGTCTCCATTTCCCCATTGTGAAGATCCAGGGTAGAATAGGTCTTCAGCAACCCATGCTTGCCGTAATAGGCGATATACTTGTCGTAAGAGGCGACAAACGAGATCAGGTCAGGCTCGCTGACTTGGTTGATGCGTGTCATCGTATCCCAATTGTGTGGATTGATGCTCATGATATTAATCACTGGATTGTCTGGTCCAGACTCTATTATTTACAGACCGACGTCATATAGCTGGGATATTGCTGAGTGTGGCATTTAACAACAAACCAAACCAAACCAAACCATTCCCCCACTGTCTTTGAAATGGTGTAATTTTCTATTGGGGTCAAAGGTAATGTATACTTGGTGAAGTAAGGATCAACAAAGTCTGTGATCATGAGATGTCTATGTTAGCTCAACAATGTCAACATAACCATTAATGTGGTCTATTGATGCAGGTTTGTTTGTTTGTTGTTTAACGCCTCACTCAGCAATATTCCAGCTATATGACGGCGGTCTGTAAAATAATTTCGAGTCTGGACCAGACAATCCAGTGATTGACATCATGAGAATCGATTCACGCAATTGGGATCGATGACATGTATCAACCAAGTCAGCGAGCCTGACCACCCGATCCCGTTAGTCGCCTTTTACGACAAGCATAGTCGCCATTTTCGGCAAGCATGGGTTGCTGAAAACCTATTCTACCCCGGAATCTTCACGGGTCTATTGATGCAGGAACACTGCCATACATACTGAGGGGGGCATTAATGTGGTCTATTGATGCAGGAACACTGCCATACTTACTGAGGGGGGCATTAATGTGGTCTATTGACGCAGGAACACTGCCATACTTACTGAGGGGGGCATTAATGTGGTCTATTGATGCAGGAACACTGCCATACTTACTAAGGGGGGCATTAATGTGGTCTATTGATGCAGGAACACTGCCATACTTACTAAGGGGGGCATTAATGTGGTCTATTGATGCAGGAACACTGCCATACTTACTAAGGGGGGCATTAATGTGGTCTATTGGTGCAGGAACACTGCCATACTTACTGAGGGGGGCATTAATGTGGTCTATTGATGCAGGAACACTGCCATACTTACTAAGGGGGGCATTAATGTGGTTTATTGATGCAGGAACACTGCCATACTTACTGAGGGGGGCATTAATGTGGTCTATTGGTGCAGGAACACTGCCATACTTACTGAGGGGGGCATTAATGTGGTCTATTGACGCAGGAACACTGCCATACTTACTGAGGGGGGCATTAATGTGGTCTATTGATGCAGGAACACTGCCATACTTACTAAGGGGGGCATTAATGTGGTCTATTGATTCAGGAACACTGCCATACTTACTGAGGGGGGCATTAATGTGGTCTATTGATGCAGGAACACTGCCATACTTACTGAGGGGGGCATTAATTTGGTCTATTGGTGCAGGAACACTGCCATACTTACTGAGGGGGCATTAATGTGGTCTATTGATGCAGGAACACTGCCATACTTACTAAGGGGGGCATTAATTTGGTCTATTGGTGCAGGAACACTGCCATACTTACTGAGGGGGGCATTAATGTGGTCTATTGATGCAGGAACACTGCCATACTTACTAAGGGGGGCATTAATGTGGTTTATTGATGCAGGAACACTGCCATACTTACTGAGGGGGGCATTAATGTGGTCTATTGGTGCAGGAACACTGCCATACTTACTGAGGGGGGCATTAATTTGGTCTATTGGTGCAGGAACACTGCCATACTTACTGAGGGGGCATTAATGTGGTCTATTGATGCAGGAACACTGCCATACTTACTAAGGGGGGCATTAATTTGGTCTATTGGTGCAGGAACACTGCCATACTTACTGAGGGGGGCATTAATGTGGTCTATTGATGCAGGAACACTGCCATACTTACTAAGGGGGGCATTAATGTGGTTTATTGATGCAGGAACACTGCCATACTTACTGAGGGGGGCATTAATGTGGTCTATTGGTGCAGGAACACTGCCATACTTACTGAGGGGGGCATTAATGTGGTCTATTGACGCAGGAACACTGCCATACTTACTAAGGGGGGCATTCATGTGGTCTATTGATGCAGGAACACTGCCATACTTACTAAGGGGGGCATTAATGTGGTCTATTGATGCAGGAACACTGCCATACTTACTGAGGGGGGCATTAATGTGGTCTATTGATGCAGGAACACTGCCATACTTACTGAGGGGGGCATTAATTTGGTCTATTGGTGCAGGAACACTGCCATACTTACTGAGGGGGGCATTAATGTGGTCTATTGATGCAGGAACACTGCCATACTTACTAAGGGGGGCATTAATTTGGTCTATTGGTGCAGGAACACTGCCATACTTACTGAGGGGGGCATTAATGTGGTCTATAGAAGCTATGATGTGGACTCCTCGTACTTGAGCTAACAGGCTGAGGAGGTTCTGGGTTTTCTCGCCACGCAACATGGAGCCATCAATGTTGTGGATGATGAGGTAAAAGTCCCGATACTCTGAAACAAGACATAGCTAATACAGGCCTAATCCTACAACACAAGAGAACAAACAAACAAGAGAACTAATAAACGAGAGATGTTCCTACATAGTTGCCCTATCACATACTGGTACGTTACGTTGGTCCAACATAGTTGCCCTATCACGTACTGGTATGTTATGTTGGTCCAACATAGTTGCCCTATCACGTACTAGTATGCTTAGTTGGTCCTATACAGTTGCCCTATCAAGTACTGGTACGCTTAGTTGGTCCAACATAGTTGCCCTATCACGTACTGGTACGTTATGTTGGTCCAACATAGTTGCCCTATCACGTACTGGTACGTTTTGTTGGTCCAACAAAGTTGCCCTATCACGTACTGGTACGTTATGTTGGTCCAACATAGTTGCCCTATCACATACTGGTACGTTATGTTGGTCCAACATAGTTGCCCTATCACGTACTGGTACGTTATGTTGGTCCAACATAGTTGCCCTATCACATACTGGTACCTTTAGGTTGGTCCAACATAGTTGCCCTATCACGTACTGGTACGTTATGTTGGTCCAACATAGTTGCCCTATCACGTACTGGTACGTTATGTTGGTCCAACAAAGTTGCCCTATCACATACTGGTACGTTATGTTGGTCCAACATAGTTGCCCTATCACGTACTGGTACGTTATGTTGGTCCAACAAAGTTGCCCTATCACGTACTGGTATGTTATGTTGGTCCAACATAGTTGCCCTATCACGTACTGGTACGTTATGTTGGTCCAACATAGTTGCCCTATCACGTACTGGTACGTTATGTTGGTCCGAAATAGTTGCCCTATCACGTACTGGTACGTTATGTTGGTCCAACATAGTTGCCCTATCACCTACTAGTACGTTATGTTGGTCCTACATAGTTGCCCTATCACGTACTGGTACACTGAGATGTTGCTATACTGTTGCCCTATCACGTACTGGTATGTTATGTTGGTCCAACATAGCTGCCCTATCACGTACTGGTATGTTATGTTGGTCCAACAAAGTTGCCCTATCACATACTGGTACCTTTAGGTTGGTCCAACATAGTTGCCCTATCACGTACTGGTACGTTATGTTGGTCCGAAATAGTTGCCCTATCACGTACTGGTACGTTATGTTGGTCCAACATAGTTGCCCTATCACGTACTGGTACGTTATGTTGGTCCAACAAAGTTGCCCTATCACATACTGGTACCTTTAGGTTGGTCCAACATAGTTGCCCTATCACGTACTGGTACGTTATGTTGGTCCGAAATAGTTGCCCTATCACGTACTGGTACGTTATGTTGGTCCAACATAGTTGCCCTATCACATACTAGTACGTTATGTTGGTCCTACATAGTTGCCCTATCACGTACTGGTACACTGAGATGTTGCTATACTGTTGCCCTATCACGTACTGGTATGTTATGTTGGTCCAACATAGCTGCCCTATCACGTACTGGTACGTTATGTGTGTCCTACATAGTTGCCCTATCACATACTGGTACACTGAGATATTCCTATACTGTTGCCGTATCACCAGGCCTCAAAGTTAAAATTTTTACAAAGTAGCCATATGGCTACAAGTATTTTTTTCCAGGGAGCCAGTGGTAAAATCAAGAAGTCAAGCCAATATTGTAGGTAGCCAAAAGCATTTGAAATTATCATTATCAAATAACTATAATAATATGTACAAGTTACAGCACTAGTCTTGAAATTGTATCTTAATGGAAACTGTACATGAATTTTGTTACTTGTGACTTGAACAATGATGCATTTTATGTTACTAGATTACATACAGATATAGGTATATCCTCGCTTATCCGATGAGCATTGTGAACTAAAATAACGTACTAATTACATTAATTATTATACATTTTGGTTCATTGTCGAATTTAGAAGGAATTATTTGCGAGTACAATTATTAGCAGACGTGTTTTCCAATATCAGCTTTTATCTCTGTTTGTGTCTACAGATGAGTAGCAATAAAATTTAGTCGCCACAAGATATATTTCTACGTAGTCATTTGACTACCTCTGAATTTTAGACAGTAGACAAACTGAAACTTAGGTCGCATTGGCGACGGTTTTAGTCACAACTTTTAGGCCTGATCACGTACTGGTACACTAGTTGATCCTACCTGAGTTTTCAAAGTGTCTCCGGATGTACTCGTACTGATCCGCAGGTGTACGGATATGCACCTCCTCCTCAATGATCTCATCTATAATACACGACAGGATCTGAAAGAACAAACATTACCTTACACCATGGTAACCCAGGTTACAGTGGATCATGGAGATAACGCGCTACAAAGGGACCAGGGAAATCAGTTCGCTATAAACAATTTTCATTATATACGTTTTCTCTCTTTTATCATATAATGGGTAGGTTTCTCGGCAGGATAAAGCCAACGGATAAAAACGATATCTGTTGGGGGTAATATGCGGATAGAGATGCAAATATCAAAGGTCAAGTAGGGACTACTTTTAGTGTTTATAAACAAACATGGCATCGCCCTTGTCATTCGGCGATTGAATCAGAATCTGCATAAACTAAAGGGATAATTGCTATAATTATCAAAAGAACAGTCTAATCTACTGAAAATCAGTGTCCAACTGTGATGTAGCTAAGGCATTTTATAAGTTTTGGCAACTTTGGAGATATAAATTTCGAAACAATTTTGCGAGGGCACGAGGCCTAGCCAAGCGGGATCAGTAGCCATATCTGTGATTGTAGACCTCTGCGGCTTGAAACCTTCTCCACAAATTAAAATAGTTGGATTTGGCCGAAATATGTTTGAATTGTTACCTTGTTTCGTTTTGTCGCTGTGTGTACATCTGACTACACTTAACATTATGACAGGACAGGCCGACTGTCAACAACGTCTGAACGTGGCCGTGACGTCTCATAGACTAGGGTTAGAGTAGCTTCTCTTTGACAAAGGGCAGTTACTCTAGCGGACAGACGAATGGATTGCCGCGAAAGGCAAGTAAAAAAAATTGTTGTTTTGCGTATATGTTGCTTTGCCACTGTACAAGAAACAGATTTCAGTTGGAACTATATTGGCTACTGTCACTGTCCCACTGACACATCACTTACCCTGAGACGTAAAAAATATTAATGCGCGTTTTCCAGGAAAAGTCGCAATGTTTCGGTAATGTTTGTGAGAGATGGAAAGCGATTTTCTAGCACAGAATTAAAGAATGACATTATATGATAAAGAGGTTATCACGCTTGTGTGTTTGGGGATGGTAAATATCCAGTATTAGGAATAAACACTCTGTATTCAGCTCGCCAAGGCTGGCTAAATACAATGTTTATTCCTAATGCAGGATATGAACCATCCCCAAACACACTCACGTGATAACCTCTATGTATGGACATAAATAAATAATTACTTGTTTCACTGTCAGACTGGGAAAGTACCCATTCACCACGACATGTGAGAAATCGTGGAGAAACTTCTGGCGAAATGTTTCAATCAGTCCCCGCTTGGATCCCAAACCATATAGTAATATGTTGAAGTCATTGCTGAAACAAAAACAGTGACATCAGCATCACATTGATCATCGGGAGTGAACAAGCCTGACAGTATGGCACCCATTTAAGTGTAGTTGAAGAGATTATATATTGAGACTTGGGTCAAACTCCGTCATTGTGCATGTGTTTGTTGTTTAGCCCTGAAACCTCCTCACCACATCTGAAACATCCACTTGGAGAAGAGAGCCATGTGCTCCTGGAGTAGACCAGCACACTCAGAGACATGACTGCTGCTGACAGACTCCAGTAGGGCACTGAGAGCTTGCTGGTCCAGGCGCGGGGTGTCCAGCTTAGACAGTGTCCTGTCGGATGTGATGGCAGCACCAGAATGGATGTCGAAATATTCCTCAGCATTAGTGGTCTGCAAAATATAAATCAAATTCCAGAGTTGCTCCTACCTTAATTTTTATCAAACTCTTTCCTACAAACACAAGAGCTCCTTCCATACAAGACTTCATAAAAGACCATAGGTGAACATAACACTGCAATGTCTTTCAAACTAAACTGCGAATGCTGTTCACATTTATGTGGTACTGAGGACATATTCTGACCCGGGTTAAAATTAAAAGTCCTTCATAATTCCAAACATTTAAAGACTTACAAATTCAACATCATTAGTTTTTCGACGCCTGCTGCGGCTTGGCGTTGTAGCTGTTTCCTCCTCCTCTGACCCCTCACTGTCGCTGGACGACCCGAAACTGTCTTCCTCTGAAGAATTACCTGTTGACGAGTTGACAGGTGAATACTGACTTAAAAAGACAATGCTTAAAACATACTCCTCTCCTTACACGTCTCAGACGATTGTTCAGTAAATAAACAAGAAAGAGTCACAGGGACAGAGGTTACAAACACACAAACACAGGCCGGGTATCACAAACACAGGGTGGGTATCACAAACACTGGGTGGGTATCACAAACATAGGGTTGGTATCACAAACACTGGGTGGGTATCACAAACACAGGGCAGGTATCATAAACACAGGGACACACAAACACAGGGCAGGTATCACAAACACAGGCCGGGTATCACAAACACAGGGCAGGTATCACAAACACAGGCCGGATATCACAAACACAGGGTGGGTATCACAAACACTGGGTGGGTATCACAAACATAGGGTGGGTATCACAAACAATGGGTGGGTATCACGAACACAGGGCAGGTATCACAAACACAGAGACACAAACACGGGGTGGGTATCACAAACACAGGGTGGGTATCACAAACACAGGGTGGGTATCACAAACATAGGGTGGGTATCACAAACACTGGGTGGGTATCACGAACACAGGGAAGGTATAACAAAAACAGGGCAGGTATCACAAACACAGGGCAGGTATCACAAAAACAGGGCAGGTATCACAAACACAGGGACACACAAACACAGGGCAGGTATCACAAACACAGGGTGGGTATCACAAACACAGGGTGGGTATCACAAACACAGGCCGGGTATCACAAACACAGGGTGGGTATCACAAACATAGGGTGGGTATCACAAACAATGGGTGGGTATCACGAACACAGGGCAGGTATCACAAACAGGGCAGGTATCACAAACACAGAGACACAAACACGGGGTGGGTATCACAAACACAGGGTGGGTATCACAAACACAGGGTGGGTATCACAAACACAGGGTTGGTATCACAAACATAGGGTGGGTATCACAAACACAGGGTGGGTATCACGAACACAGGGAAGGTATAACAAAAACAGGGCAGGTATCACAAACACAGGGCAGGTATCACAAACACAGGGACACATAAACACAGGGCAGGTATCACAAACACAGGGCAGGTATCACAAACACAGGCCGGGTATCACAAACATAGGGTGGGTATCACAAACAATGGGTGGGTATCACGAACACAGGGCAGGTATCACAAACAGGGCAGGTATCACAAACACAGAGACACAAACACGGGGTGGGTATCACAAACACAGGGTGGGTATCACAAACACAGAGTGGGTATCACAAACACAGGGTGGGTATCACAAACACAGGGTGGGTATCACAAACATAGGGTGGGTATCACAAACACTGGGTGGGTATCACGAACACAGGGAAGGTATAACAAAAACAGGGCAGGTATCACAAACACAGGGACACACAAACACAGGGCAGGTATCACAAACACAGGGTGGGTATCACAAACACAGGGTGGGTATCACAAACACAGAGACACAAACACGGGTCGGGTATCACAAACACAGGGTGGGTATCACAAACACAGGGTGGGTGTCACAAACACAGAGACACAAACACGGGTCGGGTATCACAAACACAGGCCAGGTGTCACAAACACAGGGCAGGTATGACAAACAGGGCAGGTATCACAAACAAAGGGCAGGTATCACAAACACAGGGTGGGTATCACAAACACAGGGTGGGTATCACAAACACAGAGACACAAACACATGGTGGGTATCACAAACACAGGCCAGGTATCACAAACACAGGGCGGGTATCACAAACAGGGCAGGTATCACAAACACAGGGTGGGTATCACAAACAGGGCAGGTATCACAAACACAGGGCAGGTATCACAAACACAGGGTGGGTATCACAAACACAGGGTGGGTATCACAAACATAGGCCAGGTATCACAAACACAGGCCAGGTATCACAAACACAGGGCAGGTATCACAAACATAGGCCAGGTATCACAAACACAGGGCAGGTATCACAAACATAGGCCAGGTATCACAAACACGAGGTGGGTATCACAAACACAGGGTGGGAATCACAAACACAGGGTGGGTATCACAAACACAGGGTGGGTATCACAAACACAGGGTGGGAATCACAAACACAGGGTGGGTATCACAAACACAGGCCAGGTATCACAAACACAGGGCAGGTATCACAAACATAGGCCAGTTATCACAAACACAGGCCAGGTATCACAAACACAGGGTTGGTATCACAAACATAGGCCAGGTATCACAAACACGAGGTGGGTATCACAAACACAGGGTGGGTATCACAAACACAGGGACACACAAACACAGGGTGGGTATCACAATCACAGGGACACACAAACACAGGGTGGGTATCACAAACACAGGGACACACAAACACAGGGTGGGTATCACAAACACAGGGTTGGTATCACAAACACAGGGTTGGTATCACAAACACAGGGTGGGTATCACAAACACAGGGTTGGTATCACAAACACAGGGACACACAAACACAGGGTGGGTATCACAAACACAGGGTTGGTATCACAAACACAGGGTGGGTATCACAAACACAGGGTGGGAATCACAAACACAGGGTGGGTATCACAAACACAGGGCAGGTATCACAAAAACAGGGCAGGTATCACAAACACAGGGACACACAAACACAGGGCAGGTATCACAAACACAGGCCGGGTATCACAAACACAGGGCAGGTATCACAAACACAGGCCAGGTATCACAAACACAGGGTGGGTATCACAAACACTGGGTGGGTATCACAAACATAGGGTGGGTATCACAAACAATAGGTGGGTATCATGAACACAGGGCAGGTATCACAAACAGGGCAGGTATCACAAACACAGAGACACAAACACGGGGTGGGTATCACAAACATAGGGTGGGTATCACAAACACTGGGTGGGTATCACGAACACAGGGAAGGTATAACAAAAACAGGGCAGGTATCACAAACACAGGGCAGGTATCACAAAAACAGGGCAGGTATCACAAACACAGGGACACACAAACACAGGGCAGGTATCACAAACACAGGGTGGGTATCACAAACACAGGGTGGGTATCACAAACACAGGCCGGGTATCACAAACACAGGGTGGGTATCACAAACACAGGGTGGGTATCACAAACATAGGGTGGGTATCACAAACAATGGGTGGGTATCACGAACACAGGGCAGGTATCACAAACAGGGCAGGTATCACAAACACAGAGACACAAACACGGGGTGGGTATCAGAAACACAGGGTGGGTATCACAAACACAGGGTGGGTATCACAAACACAGGGTGGGTATCACAAACATAGGGAGGGTATCACAAACACTGGGTGGGTATCACGAACACAGGGAAGGTATAACAAAAACAGGGCAGGTATCACAAACACAGGGCAGGTATCACAAACACAGGGACACATAAACACAGGGCAGGTATCACAAACACAGGGCAGGTATCACAAACACAGGCCAGGTATCACAAACATAGGGTGGGTATCACAAACAATGGGTGGGTATCACGAACACAGGGCAGGTATCACAAACAGGGCAGGTATCACAAACACAGGCCAGGTATCACAAACACAGGGCAGGTATCACAAACATAGGCCAGGTATCACAAACACGAGGTGGGTATCACAAACACAGGGTGGGAATCACAAACACAGGGTGGGTATCACAAACACAGGGTGGGTATCACAAACACAGGGTGGGTATCACAAACACAGGGTGGGTATCACAAACACAGGCCAGGTATCACAAACACAGGGCAGGTATCACAAACATAGGCCAGGTATCACAAACACAGGCCAGGTATCACAAACACAGGGCAGGTATCACAAACATAGGCCAGGTATCACAAACACGAGGTGGGTATCACAAACACAGGGTGGGTATCACAAACACAGGGACACACAAACACAGGGTGGGTATCACAAACACAGGGACACACAAACACAGGGTGGGTATCACAAACACAGGGACACACAAACACAGGGTGGGTATCACAAACACAGGGTTGGTATCACAAACACAGGGTTGGTATCACAAACACAGGGTGGGTATCACAAACACAGGGTTGGTATCACAAACACAGGGACACACAAGCACAGGGTGGGTATCACAAACACAGGGTTGGTATCACAAACACAGGGTGGGTATCACAAACACAGGGTGGGAATCACAAACACAGGGTGGGTATCACAAACACAGGATGGGTATCACAAACACAGGGACACACAAACACAGGGTGGGTATCACAAACACAGGGACACACAAACACAGGGTGGGTATCACAAACACAGGGTTGGTATCACAAACACAGGGTTGGTATCACAAACACAGGGTGGGTATCACAAACACAGGGTTGGTATCACAAACACAGGGACACACAAACACAGGGTGGGTATCACAAACACAGGGTGGGAATCACAAACACAGGGTGGGTATCACAAACACAGGGTGGGTATCACAAACACAGAGACACAAACACGGGTCGGGTATCACAAACACAGGCCAGGTATCACAAACAGGGCAGGTATCACAAACACAGGGTGGGTATCACAAACAGGGCAGGTATCACAAACACAGGGCAGGTATCACAAACACAGGGTGGGTATCACAAACACAGGGTGGGTATCACAAACATAGGCCAGGTATCACAAACACAGGCCAGGTATCACAAACACAGGGCAGGTATCACAAACATAGGCCAGGTATCACAAACACAGGCCAGGTATCACAAACACAGGGCAGTTTTCACAAACATAGGCCAGGTATCACAAACACGAGGTGGGTATCACAAACACAGGGTGGGTATCACAAACACAGGGACACACAAACACAGGGCAGGTATCACAAACACAGGGACACACAAACACAGGGTGGGTATCACAAACACAGGGACACACAAACACAGGGTGGGTATCACAAACATAGGCCAGGTATCACAAACACAGGGACACACAAACACAGGGCAGGTATCACAAACATAGGCCAGGTATCACAAACACGAGGTGGGTATCACAAACACAGGGACACACAAACACAGGGTGGGAATCACAAACACAGGGTGGGTATCACAAACACAGGGACACACAAACACAGGGTGGGTATCACAAACACAGGGACACACAAACACAGTGTGGGTATCACAAACACAGGGACACACAAACACAGGGTGGGTATCACAAACACAGGGTTGGTATCACAAACACAGGGTGGGTATCACAAACACAGGGTGGGTATCACAAACACAGGGTTGGTATCACAAACACAGGGACACACAAACACAGGGTGGGTATCACAAACACAGGGTGGGAATCACAAACACAGGGTGGGTATCACAAACACAGGGTGGGTATTGCAAACACAGGCAATCTGAAAATCTGATCACATGCATGACATAATAACCATATGGTAACATATTCAACCTATTTCATTGCTTCTGCCCAAGAATGTCCAGTGGGAAATAAGCAGGGGGCACTGTGCCCCTCCTCTATACCCCAGAGACTGACTTGGTTCAGGTCGACTTTGTACTGACCTTCATCATGCCTCTTCCGCAACCTATATGGCGTAGTTGCTTCGGGTCTGCGGTTCCTGCGAGACTTCCGTGGAGTGGTGGTTCCTTCAGTATGTTTGGGCGTCACTGGCACAGGAACTGAAGACACAAGGCATAGTCAGTATGTTTTTATCTCCTTATTATTAGCCTTTAAGTCTTAAAAGATGATATAGAAATTAATCGGCTACACCACAACCAGTTCTTTCCCCTGCCAGTGTCACAAATGGTATTGGTCTTATGAATATCAGTCACAAGGTTTGGATATTACAAACAGATTTTTAATGTCCTTTGCCAGTTCTAACTGACACTACATCACAAGGGTAAACTGAGACTGTGTATGTTGTTACTTACACGAATTGAAATAAATGAATAAAAGACTGTTCTACAAGTTCTATTCAACAGTTGTGAAATTTTAGAAGGCAGATTTGCGAAACCAACTGATTAAAATAAACAACTTCTATGATCTTTTCAAATGCACAACACATAACATTACAAGTCTTCAGTCACTACTTCTTGTTATAATTAAGGATAATTTTTTTTCCGGTTCATTTAAGGATTGACTGTGTATTTTTTTCGGTTCATTGAGGTATGAATCGAAAAACCAACGTAGTGTAGTGGATTCTTACAAAAGTTTGCACATTGGTTTTTCGGTTCATTGAGGAATGAACCGAAAAAATACACTGTGAATGCCTATAATGAAATTCGACAACATAAAACATGTTTTATCTACAATAGTTTAACCAAAAACAGTTGTATATATATCAAAACAGACAAAAATGATGAGATTGATAAACATTCCAGGTGTAGGAATATATACTGTGGAGTGACATGAATCAGGTGATCATTTAATTTATGCACATAACTTGACACGCCTACACAGTCAACAGCCAATCAACGGAGAGCAGGATCAAGACAATGTTCATTGGACCTGTCAATTAAGACAAGAGGTGAAAAGAACTGCAACAGTCATCATGGTCATACTGTAACGAACCAGAACAAATTTGTCCAGGAGAAGGCAGCTGTTTTCCGTCAGATTAAAACTTTAGTTCCCTGAGAATGGGACCACAAAGTTGGAAAAAGGCAGGTTAGAAATGAAACCCGAAGACATGAAATTTGTGGAACCTACGGGAGCGGGAAAAATAAAGGCGAGCGAGCCTGCACATTTGCTGTGTAATTCCATCTCAGCTTTCGATCTCAAAGGGTAGTTTGGACAATGTATATGCACGAAGTTGGCTAAATGTCCTGTCCATGACGATACACGCGAGCAGAAAGAAAATTCCTCGACTGTAATATTGGGATTCCCCAACACTCCGAAGTAAAAAAAGAAGTACGCCACGGTGGGCCTGGTTTAAGTCTTTACATTCATTGGGAAATGAATGCAACAACACGTGACCAATTCTGCTGATCAGAATGTAGGAATTACAATAAACACAACGGAAAATTAATTATTCGTTAATAACAAATGATTACACTTACTTTCCTGAAGAGGCTTGACTCTGTATTCTTCTATTGGGGATTCCTGTTGAAGTCGTGCTTGAGTTCGGGATGATTTCGGAGTTCTTGATTCAGAGGCTGAGTAAAAAACATAATTTTAGACTTTGGTGACAGATAAGATACTTTGCCTTAAAAATCAAACTGTATTATTTGGAGAAAAATTCAAGCAGTTTGATCACTTCTGATTTTACTAATCTCAAACATGTTTTTTCGTAACATTGTCTGGCTAAACTAGATTTAACTGTACGTGACCTCGGGGCGAGGACTCTGGTTTACCTTTCTGAGCCATCTGGCCTGATTTCTTATTTCTCTTGAACTGAAACACGTCACAGCCATGGATGTCTCCCTCAGCTTCCAGAGCTGAAACAAAAATCGTGCATGTCCCCATGACCTGTTGCCCAGTAATTTGAAATATTATTTACCTCAGATCTCATATCTAAAGATTTTCATGCATTTTGATTGAATTATATCATATCATCTCTACATTTTCAATCACATGCCACATGCTGCTATGACAAGTTAACTAATCATGCTAATACTACTAGTTGGCTTATTAATGCCAGACATTAATTATTGGTTTGCAGAAATTTGGTGATACACATGTACAGTAAACTACGGCTATAACGAACACGCTTATATCGAACTGACGGATATAACGAACTAACTTTTTAGTCCCGACTATTTGCTGTAGTTATGCTGTATATATATGCTTATAACGAATTACGGTTATAACGAACTAAAATTAGTAGTCCCTTTGAGTTGGTTATACATGTTATAACCGTAGTGTACTGTATATGCTGGTCAGCAGGTGTGAAAAACATAAGTAATAAAATATATTCAGACACTAAATCTCAAGCTCTGTTATTCTGATTATTAACTTGGTGTGTTGTTGATGGTCTTTGCAAAACATACTTGATCAATTCAATGGTCTGAAATCGACTTGTGCATGTTGTCAAACTATAGATCACTCACTACACTTTCAATTGTCCCGACTATTCTGGGTCAACAAGAATCATGAATCAATTGCTTATTTTACTGAAGTAGGTAAGTAAGGGAGTATGGTCTTACGTCGCTTTCAGCAATATTCCAGCAACATCACGTCAGGGGACATCAGAAAAAGGCTTCACACATCATATCCATGTCAGGATTCAAACCCAGGTCTTCGGCGTGTTGAGCAAACGCTTTAACCACTAGGCTACCTGACCACTCCCTCATTTTACAGAAACCACCTTTGAGTGACAGTATACCAGTACCTGAGGAGGGTCCATACACTTCATCCTCATCACTGCTGCCTTCAACATACTCTTCTTCTAGTATTTTCTGTTTCCGTGTTCCAGTTGAAAAGCTTACTTTTCTATTTCTCAGTTTTTGGGCTGAAAGTAAATAAGTGAAACATAAAGGAAAATTAAAAAGGGGTTGTTTGGGGCTGACAGGAACTACCAAACATAAGTGTTAGTAAAAAGGGTTATGACAAAAACATTACCTTATGAAAATAAACCGAAAGTCAATTCTAAAGTCACTGTATCTGTCCTTAACATGGATGCATTGGATTGCTATCAGGCTTATTAGTCATGTTATATTAGGACTCGATTAATAGCACAACCATCAACAGTATAAAGTCTACATAATGTCTGTTATTTATTTTTCTATAGAATCTTAAGATTTATACAAAGATATTGGGACAATAAATATGAAAATATATTACTCTAATTCAGAAATATCTTTTCTTTTGATTTTATGAGGCCATTTTTGCCATTTGTGTGTGCGAGCCTTCATCGATGTTAAGGCTATTCCTTTGACAATCACTGACTAACTGAAGTATGATTAACCTTGATCTTTATCTTCAACGCTAATGATATGTTGTACAACATCGTCGTCGCCAGCAAACGTGACGGACACACGAGAGCTTCTCTTGCCGGCACTTTTCATACTTGAATATGGCGGGAATCGAGAACTCTTCAGTGTGGAGTAAGGTACTTCATCCAGGGAGAAACCATTGACTGCATTAAACCAACCTGTCGTCTTAAGGTACGTTTTTGTGATAAGAAAAATAGAGTTGTTAATAATAAAATAAATATTAAACCGTGTTTTGTATTTTTATACAGTTTTATAAAAGTTAGATATATTATTAAATTTTGTGAAAACGTATGCAACGAATGATCCCTTGACTTGTAAACATCCCTTGAGTAGACGGTAGCTGCAAACTAGTTGAAATATTCAACATTGTGATTGTGATAATGTTCACGATACTGTCACAGTGTAGAATCTAACACAGGTCTTATTCAGTCAATACACGCACAGAAACTGACATTTGTCTCTTATGTTAAATAACAACACTGTATTCAGAATTCATTGTATGATACTATTTACTGATCAGCTGATGGATTTTTGAGGTCGCGTCAGTACCTGGCCGGTTGTTGACCTCAGTTTACCGCATTTCCGCATTGTTGCAGTAGAACTAGAAGGAAGAGATGGCAACTCTATGTCCACTGTCTCCACTACTGTCTTCAAGTGGTAGGTTATCAGAAAACTATAGCACACATACGTTGCCGTTGGAAGCCCTGAATACCATACCCGGGGCGACTCAGCTAGGAAACAAGAAAATTAACCATGCTCCCTGATAAAATTCCAGACCCTTATGTCCTGTGTTGCATTGTGTTGGTATAAAGGGAACCAACGAGCTTAGTGATTTCTCTTGATTGGTTATATTCCTAATCACGATTACCCTCCCTACCCCAATGCAATTGTAACGACCATGTAACATTTTCGAGTCCCATGATGGGATTCGGACCATGGGCCTTCTGATCAGAGGTCAGTCGCCTTGTCCACATGACCAAAGAGGTTATCCCCGTCAGCAAACTGACAAGATAAGGATGTCATCTTTGGGATGACTCCAAGCCCTGCTACATACTCCCCTATCAACAGAAGGCACACCCCGGGCCGCATAGTAGGGTATTGAGACTTATTTTGCTCAAATTTAATATGAACATGCTCAGCCCCATGTTGGGCACCAATGTAACAGCCATAAAATTTCCGAGTCCCGTGATGGGATTCGAACCATGGACCTTCTGATCAGAGGTCGGTCGCCTTGTCCACATGACCAAAGAGGTTAACCCCGTCAGTAAGCTGACAAGGTAAGGATGTCATCTGTTGGACGACTCCACGCCCTGCTACACAATGACTGATTAAGTGTCCATAGATAATTGTTTGTGGAGAAAAATATTTTTCATAACAAAATTGTATTCAAATTGTTCACTCATTTATTTTTATCTGTAAATAATTACATATAATTACATTTATCATATAATGGGTAGGTTTCTCGGCAGGATAAAGCCAACGGATAAAAACGATATCCGTTGGGGTCATATGCGGATAGAGATGCAAATATCAAAGGTCAAGTAGGGACTACTTTCACTGTTTATAAACAAACATGGCGTCGCCCTCGTCATTCGGCGATCGAGTCAGAATTAACCATCAGGAATCTGGATAAACTACAGGGATAATTAATATCATTATCAAAAGAACAGTCTAATCTACTGAAAATCAGTGTCTAACTGTGATGTAGCTAAGGCATTTTATGTTTTGGCAACTTTGGAGATATAAATTTGAAACAATTTTGCGGGGGCACGAGGCCTAGCCAAGCAGGATCAGTAGCCATATCTGTGCCTTTAGACCTCTGCGGCTTGAAACCTTCTCCACAAATTAAAATAGTTGGATTTGGCCGAAATATGTATGAATTGTTACCTTGTTTCGTTTTGTCGCTGTGTGTACATCTGACTACACTTCTTAACGTTATGACATGACAGACCGACTGTCAACAATGTGTGGCCGTGACGTCTCATAGATTAGGGTTAGAGTAGCTTCCCTTTGACAAAGGGCAGTAAAACTAAAAATATAAAAATATTGATTTTTATGTTTAACCATGTTGGCCTACTATACTGACATCCTGCGACTTGTCATTACGAAACAAGGCTCGCTAAATACAATGTTTATTCCTAATGCAGGATATTTACCATCCCCAAACACACTCGCGCGATAACCTCTATATATCATCAGTATGCTACCTCAATGATGGGGAAATCAGTGTGAAATTGAAGAAAAACAACCATTGATGCATTGAACTTTCTGAGAATTTGTTTCCAGAATAGAAATATCAGTTACCATGATTACATTTGTGTAACATGCAATCTACAGTTTTGATAAATTTAGTGAGCCTAGTTTTACACAGCCATACATATTTGCAATAAAACCTTGCTACAGATGTCCAACAATTCACGACCTGGGACGGATCAATGTCATTATTGTTTCGTAATGACAAGTAGCAGGATGTCAGTATAGTAGGCCAACATGGTTAAACATAAAAATCAATTTTTTTTTATTGCAATTACAAGTGAGGCAAACTAATTCTTAATTACTATTTTAGAATATATACCATATATTATAATGATACACCAATAATAATGTGACAAGATTATTGTTATACCCAACACATTTTGCAGGGGGTATTAAAATGGACACCATCCGTTTGTCTGTCTGTCCATGCAAGATGCTGTTCCCGGAACAGATCTTGGAAACCATACAATATTTTTTAACGAAACTTGACACAGAGAAGGGTCTAAGATTAAACTTTTGATATTGGGGAGTTTTATAAAATATATCGTTCAAGTTTCCATGGTAACAACTTTGACTTAGTGAGTGAGTTATTATTTAACGTCACATGGGACTTTGACTTAGACTGAAAATGGTGGTAGTGCTTGTTTCCGGAGCAGACCTTGAAAACCGCACAATATTTCTTCACCAAACTTGGCACATAGATAGGTCTAGTGGTGAATTGGTGCCTTTTGATAGTTTGCGATTTTTAAAGAAATGATTTTTTCGAGTTTCCATAGCAACAACTTTGACTGAGCCTGAAAATGGGGGACGTTATGCAAGCAATATAACTAGCTGACATATTCATGACGAGTATTTACTGTTGTGGGGGCTATTAATGCCCTCTTGTTTGAATTATGGTCGTTACTACTTATTGTTTTGTTTTCCGTTGTACACAGTGTGCTTCTCATCCTCAACAGGCCATTGGAACCTGAAATAAAGGTTCTTAAACAGCTGTGGTCCAAAGGTAGATCAGGAACTTTTTATCTTATTTGCATATGTAATATTTTAGTATAGATTTAGAAAAGATTTTCCTTATTTTACAATAAAATTTATTGAAATATCTTAAAACTAATTTTTGTTGTTCATATTAAATATAACATGATAATGGATTTTGGGAAACAGAATTCACATGTGAATGTGATAAAGTACAACTTCAAGCCTACATTGTTTGTTTGTTTATTTGTTGTTGAACGCAGTACTCAGCAATATTCCAGCTATATTACGGCGATCTGTAAATTATCGAGTCCGGACCAGACAATCCAGTGATTGACATCGTGATCATCGATCCGCGCAATTGCGATACGATGACATGCATCAACCAAGTCAGCGAGCCTGACCACCTGGTCCCGTTAGTCACCTCTTATGACAAGCATAGTCGCCTTTTACGGCAAGCATGGGTTGCTGAAGACCTATTCTACCCCGGAATCTTTACACTCCCACACATTGGCACAGAGAGGATTCAATTCCATAACAGGTCCTGCTTGTCCTACCCAACTAATGAATCAGGTGGGCAGTGACTTGGAAGGTTGATTGTCATTGTATCTCATTGCCATTTGGGGGCAGTCTGGTAGCCTAGTGGTTAAAGCGCTCATCACGCTGAAGACCCGGGTTTGATTCCTGACATGGGTGCAATGTTTGAAGCCCATTTCTGGTGTCTCCTGCCATGATTTTGCTGGAATATTGCCAAAAAGCGTCACTCACTCATTGCCATGTGATGTTGCTCATAAGATCAATCACTGGTTTGTCCAGACTCACCATATAGCTAGAATACTTCAGATATCAGTGTTAAACAAGAAATGTTATATTTGGGATAGCTCTTTCTAAGTAAAGTTCAGATTCTAGTACTTTTTGGGGTTTAGTCTTATCTGGCACCTAATCACCAACATACAAAGGTCAGCAACCTAACCCATTCGTACCAGTGAAGCTTCCCCAAAAATAAAAGCACAGCTCCTATAGCCGAAAGCTATTAACACACAATGCCATTTAGAAAGTGGTCAAATGTAACAAATGTTATGTTTGGGATAACATTTTGTTATAAAAGTACAGATTCTAGTACATTTTTTTTATTCTAAGAAAATGTTGTCCCAAATATAACATTTGTTAACTACTGTATTCGACATAATAAGCGCCCTGCTCTAATAAGCGCCCACGGTGATATTTGCTAATATACTGACTGGTGAACAATCCCAATTAGCACCCCTTCCGATTGATCAGTGTACACAAGACTTATTTATTCGTGCATAATACTCACTCGTGTGTTGTATGCACCATTAATTATATGGGCATTTATATTCTGGCAAATATATATGTCGTGTAAAACTTCTCTTTTGTATCATATTAGGCTATCAGCATAAACCACAATATTACCGATCTTTCAGCTCTGTTTTTTTCTGACCAAAACTATATTCTAATAAGAGCCCCCTTTTTCTAATTTTGAGAGCGCCCTGGGCACTTATTATGTCGAATACGGTATGTCCACATGTTGCAGCTGTTTACCGAGCCTGTGCAGATGGGGGTTCCAACAGACTGTACAACACCATGGGGGGTGACCGAGACAGCTACATCCCCAACATCATCACAGGAGACTTCGACTCCGCTCATAAGTCTGTGCTTGACTACTACCGGAACAAGGTAGAATGAGTCATCGTGTGTAGTATGTTCTCTTGTCTTGGCCAATCAGGCATCATGATTCATGGCTAAAATTAACGTATTCACCTTATTTAGCATCTCTCTGTAATAAGCGGTGTCGACCATCTCCTAGACCAATCTGTAGTTAATCTTTATAAGTGCCCAATACTTAATTTACTTGATTGTCTTGTGTATATTATTGATTATTTAAGTCAAACAGCCGTGCAGAAGGAGCAAATGTTTGCCTGGTAACTACTATAAAAAAGTTTTAGTTTCAAAAACGTTTGAATGCAGTTTATCCTCTACCGCTCAATCTCTAAAAAACAAATTAACTCGATCTGTATGGTTTTAATAAGCTCCCCCATTTCTATTTGCTGGGACGCTTATTACAATGAATACGACATTCACAATTTACTTTTAAGAGTTGACAATAGTAAACAAATAGATATACCTGATATAATGGATTAACAATGCCAAATATGAATTCATGTGAGGATTGATGTAAATGCATATCAGGGCATGGAATCTTCCCATTGATGACATGCTTGACCAATTTAGTCATATGGACACGGCGTCCATCCACGGATCAGAAGGTCCGTGGTTGAATCCCAGCTCAGGATTTGGAAATTTATGGCTGCTACACAAGTATTAAATGCATTATATTCTGAGCTTATGATAACTGTATTCTATGTAAACCAGTCTATTTTCACATCATGTTTTGCATACACAATTATTTTCGGGAAAAAATGTCTCTTTCAAAGTAGATTTAATCAAAATTCTGTTACTTAGTACCTTCTGTAAAAGATTATTGATAGATAGATTGTTTATTACCATCATCAACAAACAAACTAGTGTTTGGGATGACAGTCGACTGATAAAACAATGGCAATTTCAGTTATATTTTAAAAATTCACCTGTTTTGGGGTTGACATGTAAGTGTTATAGCATGTTTGATACACTGATATGTTTTATCAGGGAGTGGATGTTGTTATCACTGAAGACCAGGATGAAACAGATTTCAGCAAATGTCTTCGAGTCACCTTGCAGAAAACAGCAGACTTGCAGGTCAGTTGTGGCAGTTTAATGAACTTCACTCAACTTCATGGGCTCCCTCCTTCCGTACGTTCGTCCGTCAAGTTTCGTTTCCGGAGCATTACTCAGAAACCATTCAATAATTTTTCATGAAACTTTGCAGGTCTGTCAAGTACATGCTGAACTGGTGCCTTTTGCTATTTAGAAATTTCAGAATTTTTTATTTTTTACGTTTCCATGGCAACAAGAAGAAACTTAGGTTCTGTGAGGGTACGGTTCGTTTCCGGAGCATAACTCATAAACCCTTCAAAAAAATTTCATCAAACTTTGCAGGTCTGTCAGGTACATGCTGAACTGGTGCCTTTTGCTATTTAGACCTTTTGCTAAAAGGTTAGGGTTTGTTTAGATTTAATTATGTAATAAATTCTGCAACAGGGGCGTGGATATAGCCACGTTAGTGGCAAACTCTTGTTGTACATGTAACAATTTATATTGTCCTAGTAGGACTGCACGGAATCACCGGTATGCTCCTATATGCGCTACGATCGAGTCTCGAAATTCCAGGCTAGTTCGGCAAGGGTGGAAAGTGGACTTTTATACTCAGTTAATGCCCTTGCGTCGGGAAGATGTAAGAGTTTGGCTCTACTGTCCACCTGCAGATTTATGATATTTTATCTTCCTGTTATTTTCCAGTACGACTTCATAACAGTTATTGGTGCTTTCGGAGGCAGGTTAGACCACCTGTTCGGTAATATCAACACACTCTTCCTGGCACACACTCTCACCAAGAAGCCAGTTGTCCTCATCTCAGAGGGGTCGGTCGCGTGCTTGCTGGGACAGGTAGTCATTCGTGTTTGTTGTCATGACTGAGTGAGTGAGTTGGGTTTAACGCCACTTTGAACAGTATTCCATTTATATCACTGTGTGTCAGCTCAGTGTGGGAGGAGAGCCAACAGTGACGCGGGTCTCAAGATGTTTTACCGCTTTGGAGAACCCACAAGCAGGGGTATGGTGCTGACAAACCTAGAAACATTATTGGAGTGAACCAGGATTCAAACCCACAATCATAGGTTTCTGGGGTGTCCAAGGGACGTGTTTCTGCGCAGTGAATTGAGGCACGTTAGACGACTGGGCCACCCGTATCCCCTTATTGTCATGACAGTTTGACAATTAGTTATTTTTGATGAACGATCTATAGACAAACTTGGGAAACTCATTTTCTTCTCAGTTGGTGTTCCTGGCTGTCATAAAGGTTGGTTTGCTGTTTAACGCCGCACTCAGCAATATTCCAGCTATATGACAGTGGTCTGTAAATAATCGAGTCTGGACCAGACAATCCAGTGATTGATATCATGAGCATCGATCCACGCAATTGGGATCAATGACATGCTTAAACCAAGTCAGCGATCCTGACCACCCGATTCCGTTAGTCGCCTCTTACGACAAGCATAGTCACCTTTTACGGCAAGCATGGGTTGCTGAAGACCTATTCTACCCCGGAATCTCAACGGGTTTTGTCATAAAAGGGGGCGGTGGGGTACCCAGTGCTGGACATAGGGATGAATGAATGGAGAGGATGGTCAGACTCAGTGGTTTGGTTGATTGCTAGTCATCGTACCCTAAAGTCTTGGAAGTCATGGATCATTGCGCTCAATATCAGTCACTAGATCAGCCATAGAAACTAACATTTCTAGTCCACAACACCTTATAATGATAACATGTAGCAAAACCCTTAAAAAGGGCAAATTTCTATTCCCGTATTCGACGTAATAAGCGCCCAGGGCGCTCTCAAAATTAGAAATAGGGGGCTCTTATTAGAATAATATTTTGGTGAAAAAAAAAAAGAATTGAAAGATAAATTTTGTGGTTTATGCTGACAGCCTGAAATGTTTATATACGACAGATATATTTTTCCAGAACTTAATTGCCCATAATTAAGGGTGCATATAGCACACAAGTGCGTATTTTACGCGAATAAATAAGTCTTGTGTACATTAATCAATCAGAAGGGGTGCTAATTGGGATTATTCACTGGCCAATATATTAGCAAATATCGACGTGGGCGCTTATTAGAGCGAGGCGCTTATTACGTCGAATACGGTGGTCCTTATGATACCTTAACTATTGGGAAGTTTGGCAAGTACTACAGGACTAATGCCAATTTCTACTGCTGTAGATTGTATGCAGTATTCCAGCTACCAGTATATGATGGCAGTCTTTAAATAACTGAGCCTGGACCGGAAATCCAAGCATAGGTTGCTGGGGACATGTTTGATTCCCCAGAATCTCCATGGGTTGCCCAGGTTTGATTATTTACAGGCCACTGTAATAGACTGTTTGATTGACATTCTAGAAATTGGTGAGTACACTGGTCCCTCGTTATTGCGGTCTTTGATATAGCGCTAACTCGGTTATAGCGCGCAGTAAAGCATGGTTCCCAAAATTTACTAACATTTTTAATAAACTCAAGTTTTCCAGTGACACAATGTTTTCCCCCATCTCAGAATACATTATCAGCGATCACCGCGATCACGTTACATCGGAAGTACCAGTCAACAAATCCGAACTGAAGTATGCAATTTAATCCTATTATTATTTTAATATCTGATAATAACAAAATTGTTCATTGTTTATCTGGACTAATGTTTGCAATATATTTTATTCATTATATTCAAAATTTCATTCAATAATTATAATAATGTTACAATAATTTCGGCGAAATCGTATGCGAAGTGATCGGTAGGCTGTATGTAAGAAAACTGTATAACTCTTGTTGTACATATGGCTTCATACAATTATCTGTTTGCTACTTGTTATCTATTACCTTTTGTCAGTGTTAATCAGTTGCTTATCACAACATATGCATAAATACCTCTCAACACTTGGTTGTTGTCACTCCAGCTTGATAACGGTTGGAGAGTCTACACCGAAACGTCGCTCTATACAATAAACCAGAAGTTGTTATTCATAAACATGATCCAGTTGTACACTTTCTTATTTTTTTGTCACTGAGCTGAAATATTGCTGAGTGCAGCATTAAACAATAAATACATACACACACAATAGTTAATTTATTGTTGCTAAAATTAACTTTTTTGACACCAGTGTGGCTAATAATGTATGCGTGGCATGGTGGGTCTTGATTGAATAGTAAGTGAGAATAGGTCTTAGTAACCCATGTTATCGTAAGAGGCCACTATCTTTGGGTGATCAGGATCGCGGACTTGGTTGATGCATGTCATCGTATCCAAATTGCGTGGATTGATGCTCATGATATCAATCACTGGATTGTCTGGCCCAGACTTGATATTTTACAGACCGTAGAGTCACTGTCATGTAGCTGGAATATTGGTGAGTGCGGTGTAAAACAACAAACAAATGATGGGTCTCGTCACAGTTTCTGGTCCATTCCAGGGCAAGCACGTTCTGAAAGTGGACACTGGGTTGGAAGATGACTGGTGTGGGCTGATCCCCATGGGCGCGACATGTGATCATGTGACTACCACTGGACTAAAGTGGAATTTGGGTGAGTAGATTATATGACTTGTCTACAAGAGATTCCACGATTATGGTAGCTCTGTGTTCCAATGCACTGCAAATTTCTGTCCAGAGTTGCCTCCCTTATCCATGTCAGTATCCTCTGATTTCTATCACAGATTTGCACCGATTATTATCCAAGTCAAGTAGTAACTGTCTATGTCATACAGGTCGTGGTTATAATAGGTCTTCAGCAACCCATGCTTAGAGGCGACTTTGCTTGTAAGAGGCGACTAACGGGTTCAGGTGGTCAGACTCACTAACTTTGTTGATGCATGTCATCGTATCCCAAATGCATACATCGATGCTGATGATGTCAATCACTGGACTGTCTGGTCAGGTGGTCAGACTCACTAACTTTGTTGATGCATGTCATCGTATCCCAAATGCATACATTGATGCTGATGATGTTAATCACTGGACGGTCAAGATTTGATTGTTACAAGCTGATGTAGCTAGAATGAGTGCAACATTAAACAACAAACAGCAAAACAAAAACATATTAATTTTCTCCCGAATTAACCTGACAAGTCATGACAAGGGAAATACTGTTTTAAGAAGTGTTAAACCAAACAGTCTCACCCATTGTTCTGTCTACTTAAACGTTGTGCTTTGTTTTACCCTTGCTGTTTGAATGATGTTAATATTTCAGATAACCAAGCTCTACAGTTCGGTGATCTCATCAGTACTTCAAACACATACGATGGTTCTCAAGCCGTAACCATAGAAACTGACAAGCCATTGCTATGGACAATGGGATACAAGAGTATATAACACAGCTCCAGATAAGCTTTTGGTGTTGTGGGTATTTTACCCATGCATTTTAAAATCATTGGGTATCAGTAATTCTATTTGGGTATTCAAAGTTCTGTTACCCACTAGTTTTTACACATGTGGGTATTTAAAGGGGAAGTGTACACGCAAAAATTACTTTCTTTCTTTTTCTAAACAAAACGCAATTTTAGAATTAGTTAGTATCTGTGTTTGAAAATATACACTCATTTTTTTCACAGTGAAAGTAGGAAGCTCACAATAGTGTGAAAATGATATGCCGTTATGAGGCCTTCGTTTTTTGAGCTAAACATTCCTGAGTTATCTCCCTTAGATTATGACGTAATTGGTGCCAATTCAACTGGGTCCCTGTCTATTCTGAACGCAAAAGATATCAAGTACAAGTTTTCGGTAAAACAACATGGCCTACGACACACTCCGGCGCAGTGGTCACTCAGCATAACACTATGCTGGCTTGCATCTGAGATGCTAGAATCACACACCTGTACCTACACCACGTGAAGCGGCTCTAACAAAGCATGATGACGTCATAATGTTTATCAATTGGCACCAATGACGTCATATTGCAAGGGGCATAAGCCATGGTGTTTTTGTTATGGAAATAGAACACTTGGTAAATGTGAAAAATATAAATCGTTTTAATGCAAAACATATGTTGATTAATTGTGATATTTTTATATTTTTGTCTATGACACTTCTAGGTTAACACTTTTATTGTGGAAAAAGTACAAGAAAATTAGGTTCATTTCCCTGTGAACTTGCCCTTTAAGTTAAATATTTAAAAACACTATTCATCTAGTCCCTGTCATGTGGGTTCGAGAGCTTTATAGGACTTAAAAATACCACGATACTTCCACAAGAAAGTGTGATGGCAAATGATCATGATGTAACTGTCATCGTGGAGTTTGGCAAGGTTGCCGGAATGCCCGTTTATAATTTCAAAATAAGTTGCTGATTTGCTAATCGAATACGCAGGGTAACTTCACAATATTTTGATGATACGCACAAGTTTTATTTTTGTAGCGTATCTGTAATGTTCGTTGCGTATTTGGTACGCTTGAGATTTTATTTTACTGCATATTTCTGCATTTCTGATGCGTATTTTACGCAGATACGCAGCTTATCTGGAGCTCTGATATGAACAATGTAGGGCTGGGTCGAGTCCAAATTTACTACCCGGGTACCCGACCCCCTGTTACCCGACCCTACACGGATACCCACTGTAGGTCTCAAGAGTTGGGTCCAAAATGTCCGATTAGGAATTGTTTTGCCGTACCCCTTGTAAAAAGTATTTAGATTCACCTATAAAACGATGCATACACTAAAGTTGACTGAAGCTGTATCATTATTTAAAACGTATAAACGTCAGAAGGAATGTGCCTATAGTCAGAAAGATATCCGAACATTTATAACGATTTGTGGGTAACCATGGAGTTATAGTGATTTTTTCTCATTCAACAATATATCACGTGACTAACCATGGGTCCGGGTAGTCCTGTGGGTACCCGGGTCCTACTCAGTACCCACCCGACCTGAGTACCCGAGCTGTCCCAGCCCTAGGACAATGAACATTGTACAGAACTCTTTTTAGAAGATAATTTAATTCCTGGTTCATGCATCTGTGGATTCAGATGTTAAGAAATATTTTTCCATTTTGTTTCCATTATCTAAGGTCAGACTGATGGTCTTTTCTTGTTATTCATATTAATACCATATTCGACGTAATAAGCGCCCCGCTCTAATAAGCACCCACGGCATTATTTGCTAATATATTGGCTAGTGAACAATCCCAATTGGCACCCCTTCCGATTGATCAATGTACACACGACTTATTTATTCCTATATAATACGCACTCATGTGTTATTTGCACCCTTAATTATGGGCAATTAAATTCTGGAAAATATATCTGTCGTGCATGTATGATACGCACATACTTTTCTTTTGTATCATTTCAGGCCGTCAGCATAAACTACGAAATTTACAATCTTTCTCACCAAAATTATATTCAAATAAGAGCCCCTTATTTCTAATTTTGAGAGCATCCTGGGCGCTTATTACATCGAATACGGTATACTAATCCACTTTTGATAGGGATATATGTGTCTTTCCATGATACACAAGACTGAATCTCACATCAAGTGTATCTTTAAATAGAATGACATACCTGATTATTCCTTTCAAAAGTTGAGTAGTATATACGTCTATTGTATCTGAAATTTGGGCATCCTGGTAAAATTAAAATGCCTCAGCAAATTGTTAAAAATGTTAATCATGTAAAATAGGTTAGCTTCTGTACTTGCAGGGCAGGCCCCCTTGTAAAACAAGAAAACAAATCCGTTGTACCTGCATCTTCTTGAGGCAAGGGAGTTAACTGATGATATAGTTCCAGTTCCCACCCTTGTTAAACTAGGTTGGAATTTCCACCAGTGGCTATTACGAGTTATGTTCTTTCTATGCCCATCCTATTGACCAATCAGATCCATCACTCATATCACTTGCATTTGCTTCAAACAAAATGGCGCGCCCAGTCAAAACGATCTGATCGATATTCATGATCTGTATTGTAATAAAACAGGTCTTGTTCCATGAAGTGCATCAAATCACTTGAGCACCTTGATTAAAAACATGATAATATGTGCAAAATATTTGTCGATGCCCAGTTGAGGGTGCACATGCTTTGCTAATCCTGCAGTCAACCGAAATCTGCACGTTGATATCCATATAGTTAGTTACACGATTTTGATTGGACTATGAATAGACTCCAGCCAGAATGTAACTCCATAATTCCAGCCTTGTTTGGCAAGAGTGGAAACTGGACTTTTATGGTCAGTTATTTCCCATTCCTTGGGCAAGACAAGAAAACAAATCAGTTGTACCTAATTATATGTTGTAATATTTGGTGTTATGTTGCCCAGGTTATATTTTTATATTCCACACTTCTTCCTATGCAGAATGATTGTTTTTAAAGTGTAATAATCTTGAGAGTGCATTATCAGTTTTATATTACCCAAGAGAGTGCATGCATGGAATCGGTAGTATGTAGTACCTGCTTACTGGCATTGTTTCATGCATTGTTTTGGTTGTTGAAATAATATCAAAGGTTCAGTCTGGTTCCATCCTGGACGTCATAGATTTGAGAGTGTTAAATATTTGCTTATGTGATAAACAAAGATTTCATTGCCACCATCGTCTTTTCAATCAGTTATCTTGCTATACACAACACCTGTTCATTTTACAATTAAAGTAATCAATACTACATGTAGCAGGGTGTGGAGTCATCCCACAGATGACATTCCTTACCATGTCAGCTTGCTGACGGGGTTAACCTCTTTGGTCATGTTGACAAGGCGTCCGACCTCAGATCAGAAGGTCTGTGGTTCAAATCCCATCACGGGACTCGGAAATTTTATGGCTGCTACATACAGGTAGATCAAGTAAATATCCACTTCATCAAAGATAAGTGCGAAAACATGTTTACTGGACTGAAATTATCAATTTTAAACATTTGTTATTAGGAGCTCCATAAAACATGACTGCTTAAAGGTTTTGACCATTGCCACTGGTGATTTTTCTATGGCTAGACAAAGACTATTGGCTATAGATGTTATTCTTCCATGAACATCTTCCAAGAGCACATATGAAAAGGTCAATAGTGAAGGTGATGATAGAAAAATGTTTGTTTGATTTGTCATAAACTTGATATATACCTTCTCTGCGATGGATCTGTTTTTAAAAAAAGGTTTTGGTTAAGATTTGACAGAAGTCAAGGTCAGCGGTCTGTTTTTTGAAAACCATGGTTAAGTAATTCTTAGTTTCTGAAGCATTCATACGTCTAAAGTCATGGAACTTTTATATTTACATTATTCTTAACAAATCCTACCACATCATGTCAGTTGCATTTATGTGAAAGGTCACGGTCAACTTTTAGGTCATTGAGCAATGTAGTCATAGTTCTACCTAGGTCAAAGTCATCCTCCCGGTTTAGTAAAACATTGTTTGATCATTGTCAGTTTTAAAGGCATAATTACCTCTACAGGGATGAAACTTTATATTAACATGTATCTGTTCAAGTCCATGTCTATCAAAGGTCAAGGCCATCTTTGAGGTTATTATGGAACAGTTATGGCAGTTACTGCTGTACTTTTATTTGTGCAATCCTGAGACTTGATATATAATTTTTTCGTCTGAAGGTGTCTTGATCACGATCAAGATCTGGAAGTAATGTTTTCAGACTGGAAGTATCAGGTCTTTGAAAGGCATTTAGAAGTGATACACATAAGGAAGAGAATATATGGATGTCAACTTCTTTATTATGAGGAACATTTCACCTGATGAAGGAGAAAGCACATACTCCGAAACGTTGTGTTCCTCATAATAAAGAAGTTGACATCCATATATTCTCTTCCTTAGACTGGAAGTAGACATTATAATATTTTGGGAGCTGAGGAAATGCTGGTGAAGGCTCTGCTCCTGTATTTTCAGGTACTTGCAAACACATCTTGTTTTTAAATGTCCACACATCCGACAGTATCTAAAGATGTGACCCTTCATATTTTCTCATATGTTTGAAATGTCCTGGGTGCATATCAAGTTGATTACAGTACATAAAATGTTGTGTATTATTGACTTAATCAATGCACCATGACAGAATGACAGCCCCAAGTCCTCATCCTCCAACTGCATATGAATGAGTAAGTGAATGAGTGAGTGAGTGAGTGAGTGAGTGTTGAATTAGTCAGCAATATCACATGTGCATCAGTGTCACCTGTAAACAAGCAGGGCCCTGTTCCACAAAGCGATCATAACTACAATCAATCTTAGAGACTTACGTCGATTCTAAAATTGTCTTAGCTAAAGTTTACAACCGTTCCACAAAGCGATCTTAGGGTGATTGTAACTTTACAAGTTCTTAAGTAGCCGATCTTTACAAAGATCGGAATCTTCAGCCATAAAGATACGAAATCTTTCCTTGGAGTGGCCTCCCTTGGTCATGTTTAGCAGACGACGCATTTCCTTGCACACCATAATAAAAGTCGCCATCTTGGTTGTTATGGTACAATATTTAAGATCGATTTTAGCAATCCTAAGTTGGTCCGGGGCAACTTAGCATTTTGATCTTAACTTACAACTCTCTTAGTTAAGAATGCTTTGTGGAACGGGCGGCTGATCGTAACAAAAATTTAAGATCGCATACTTAGTGAGTTACAATCAACTTAGCCCTAAGATCGCTTTGTGGAACGGGGCCCTGGTCTGTTTGTTTTTGATGAATAAATGATATCATTATTACTTCATGTGTCTTGGTTTGAATTTTCAGGTATATATATGTTTTGAGGACTCCACGAGTCAGACTGTATAACTGGATGAGGGGCAGTGGGGTAACCAGTGATTAAAGTTTTCACTCATCATGTCGACGACCCAGGTTCGATTCCTCACATGGGTACAATGTGTGAAGCCCATTTCTGGTGTCCCTCGCTGTGATATTGCTGGAATATTGCTAAAAGCAGCGTAAAACCGTACTCACTCACGATGATACAGACTATAATTATAAGGACACAGAAGGTTGGGTCTATTATTAGCTCTATAGTTAGTTTCATTCTAATATGATTAAGGGTAGATAGGTAGGGCTACCACATTATAACGTGGCCTGATTTAATGAACATCGATTGGATCATTCAAACTCTTGCCCTCTTTCCTAATTCAAATCTGCACTTCACATTCACCCTTTGCACCATCAGGATTGTAATGGAGTCATAAACAGATGCAAATACCTCACAGGTTAGTTTAATCTTTTACATTGGTTTATGAGTGTGTACACTTTATATGTTATATTTGTATTGTGTGGGTATAAATAAAACCAGTAAATTCAACCTTAACAATGGTAAATCTAACCTAAATGTAAATAACACTTTAGTCAGGTTTTAGTGCATTTCGGAGTATAGAATTAATACAAAAACTATCAAATAACTCATATAATTCATTCAGGTATTTATATTTTCCCTAATTGTGAATTGTTGCATGTTTGAGTGATTGATTGACTGATTTCATATATGAGAGGAAGAATAGTGTATATGTGAATGTACGTAAGTACGAATGTGATTTTAGCCTAAGTTGTTTTGATGTGTTCCATGTGTTTGTAATGATAATAGATATGTTGATTTGTATGTTTATGTCATACTGAGTATCACATCTATTCCATTTGATATGCGTATTGCATTAAGACGTCTGTGTCATATTGAATTTGAAGATATTTTGAAGATATGAGTTAGTCAAGGAATTATCTCCCCTTGTTGTATTGTCATACAAATGGCATTTATGTTTCACCTAATTTGTGTAATGGACTGTTTTTAAGCCTCAAGTATATTGTATGACGCTGTATATATTGAATGATATATTGTTTCAGGGTGTGTTAATTGACCGGAATAAAACGTTCTCACCCCGTAACCAGTATCTTGGACCTTTGATGTTGCCTCCACACTAAAATCAGTTACAATTGGTTTGTCGTATTTTCGCACATAACATTCATCGAAAGGGGGACAAGTCTTCTTGCAGGTTACGGAAAGGGGCAAGTGGTGACGAATGGAGTGAACAGGGGTCAAGGGTCACCCAGTGCAGGAGGCTTCAGTTGTCACTTGGTCAACAAGGTTTAGGAATTTCTCAAAATTGTCATGGGTGAACAGGGGTCAAGGGTCACGGGTCACCCAGTCGTCCAATGAGCTGCAATTAGATGTGCAGATCGTGGGTTTGAATTCCGGTTCACCCCGATTATGTTTTAGGTTTGTCAGCACCCTACCCATGCTTGTGGGTTTCACTGAGTGGCAATCATCTGAGACCTGCATCACTTTGGGCTTTCCTCCCACATTAAGCTGACATGCCATGATATAACTGGAATACTGTTTAAAGCGTCGTTAACCCACCTCATTCACTCACTCCTGGGTAAACTGTCGCTAATTATTTGGGGTAAAAAATTGTATGTTTTTACAGGCAAGATGACAAACATGGAGACAAATCTCAAATGAAAAGATGACAATTACTGTATTGCCACTCATGATGCTACAGTTATCAACAGATCAGTGTGGAATTTGGCCACTCTTGGTAAAATATAGCTCTCATGTTTCGCTTTATTGCGCCTTTTTTTTTTCGAAAGCAACCTTAACACAATGTTGATATCTTATTTCTTTTCATTTGCCCACATTCATCTTGACATCCTGGCCAAGAAAATATGTAAAATTATTGTTTTAAATTGATCTTCCCAAAATATGAAATCTTGACATTTCTTTTAATTATTACAAAATACAAGATTGTGACTGAAAGCTGTTTATTATACAAAACAATATGTGTGAACATTTCTTTTGAGCATACAGAGACAATAATTGTGTACAGAATATGAATTGGACAAATAATAATCAGTCTTACATGCTGATGGGACTGAATAAGGGAACACTCTGTTTTGACACAGTAACATGATATGCTATCATGGGTTCCCAGCCTTGCCTACCAAATATGCGTTGGAAACAGTGCACACAAACACATCTCAACATTTAAATCTGACGTGTTGAATTTGTATGCGTGCAATTTCATACGTACTGAGGGGGCGGTCGGGTAGCCTAGTGGTTAAAGCGTTCGCTCGTCACGCCGAAAACCTGGGTTCGAATCCCGACATGGGTACAATGTGTGAAGCCCATTTCTGGTGTCCCACGCCGTGATATTGCTGGAATATTGCTAAAAGCGGCGTAAAACCAAACTCACTCACTCATACGTACTGACAGTAAAGCTTATTTCCCAATATTTTTCATTGTTTCTTTATTCGTTTCCATCAGTATAATAACAACTATGAATAAGACACTATGTAAAAAATATAACTGTGGTCAACAAAAATACAGTGTTAGAACTATTGACAGTGGAAAATCATAACAATGAATATATAGGCAAATATATTGGTACAGCTATTAAAATAATTTATCTATTATACACCATTGCTATGTTGCTTTTACAGGGTCACCTGACTATTGTTTACCCAATGCCTTCACATCAGTTTCATTCTCTTATAGCACTGCTTGAGTGAGTGAGTGAGTGAGTTGTGTTTAACACCGCTTTTAACAGTATTCCAGTTATATTGCGTCGTGTCAGCTTAATGTGGGAGGAAAGCCCAAAGTGATGCAGATCTCAGACGTTTATCACTTTGGTGAAACCCACCAGCATCGGTAAGGTGCTGACAAACCTAGAAACATAATCGGGGAGAACCGGTATCGAACCCACAATCATAGGTTTCGGGCGTGCCCAAGGGACGCAACTCTGCATAGTGAATCGCGGCGCATTAGACAACTGGGCCACCCGTGCTCCCAGCACTGCTTGAACAAAAGAATTCAAATACAGAGTAGTTTGATAAGATATTAAAAAAAGAAAAGGAGAGCCTGTGTCAAAAGCCATGAAACCCTGAGCAATTTTGAAAATAGTTTAGCGAGTCAATATTAGAAACATTCCAACAATATCTCTGTACAAAGAGAGGAATCAAAATCGGGTTTGCAGCCTGCTGACGAAACACCACTTGGCTATCCCCGATTCTGACTGCCATGGAAGGATACATTCGGCCTGGCTTGAGATATTCCCCTCTCCCTACCAATTTCCAGCCTCAGTCTGGATGTTGCACTTAGTGCCCTGTGTGAAACTATAAGGTTGTGTTTTTGTGACGAGCCATGGTGTCTCAGTGGGCGTGCACTATAAAATCGACATTAGTCCGGACTAGTACAAGCAGCTACACACAAGAAACATGTCGCTATATAAGTGCAACAATCTTGGACGTGACGTTAAACCGTTTCACCTCACCTCACCTCACCTCTGTACTACTTGACTAAAGTACTGTCGGAATTGTTAATAGAGTGGCATGCTCATATTTCCAGTCTCAGACCTCACTGGACTTAGAATAAATGTGAACTTGCTGTTTTTATTCGAATTTTTCTCCTGTAAAATTGTCAAAAGGACTCCTTGTGACTGAAATACTTCAAACCACATGTAGTTAGATTGGTAGTTACTTGATATTTAAATAGCAACAGTCTGTGAAACATTCTATGTTGTTTTATCAGGCAAAACACATTTCCAAAAGTACTTTAGATAGAACACATGCTTGGAAGTTGATGCTTGAGAAATGGAGGATGTACCAGTCCATGACATTAGGGAACAACTATTGCATTAGTAGCGCAAATGTTGTTGTTTTTATGAGGTAATGAAGTACTATTGCAATAGTAGATAAGATCACGATTGTCACTCACAATTATTTTTATCATCACTCATTAAAAACACTCATATTTTTATCATATGTCATCATCACTTGTTAAAGAATCTGATTGGCCAGTGGCCTGTGTACATGTCATGATGCCATGTTTGCTACATCTTCCCTAGCCTGTATCAAAGACTAGTTTCTAGCCTTGCCACATCACAGTCACTTTTCTTGGCTCGACCCTGGCGCCACCTCTCATACATCACAAGTTGTGCCCCTTGTAATGAAAACGTTATTTCCAATCAGATCGCTGTTCTTATCTCGTATAGCTTCACAAAGATGGCGACTACCACAGGCGACGACCTAGTTGATCAGATAATGAAAATATTCACAATTTCATCCCTGACACGAAAAGTTTTCGAAAACATAGGCAATCGTTTGGGGTTTAAAGGATGAAAAAACACATTCGTGTCAACAAAGACAGTCAGTGGTAAATCACACCGATTGTGGGTGTTGATTTTTTTTAAATGTTCTCTGATTGGACTATTGATATGTGCGATAGTCCAATCACATTTCACACAGGAAAGTGGGTTTGATGTGGCAAGGGTGGAAACAAGACTTTGATAAAAAGGCTAGTGGACGCTCTTGCCTCAGGAAGATGTGTTTGTTATGACACCACAAGTGATCATGTTCAAGCTTTGAGTTATAATACCATGCTCAAAAGTGTGATGCTGGTCACAAGACAGATGTAATTGCCTCCCACAGATGTGTCTTTGTTTCTTGTAATGATGACATGTGTCACTGGCATTTTTCATTCAGCTCGTAAAATCCTGATGCTGATACTGACACACAACATTCTTTACCCCCGTGTGGGTTCAGGGCTGGAATTGCTCCCCAGCAACCTTCGCTGGTCGCAAGAGGCAACCAAATGGATCAGGTCGTTAGACTTGGTGACTTGGTTTTATTGCGCATCATACCCTAATGGCATGGATCAATACTCACGATATCGATCACAGGATTGTCTGGTCCAAACTTGATTATTTACAGACTGCCTTCATATAGCTGGAATACTGCAGAGTGAGGCGTTAAACAACAAACAAACAATGAGACAAACACAACATTTTTTCCCTGCATGATTGCATACTATGTTCATTTTGATAATATTGCATTGAAAATCTAATTTCCACATCAAACACTTATTTTAGTGACCTTTTGGCAAAGCTGTTACCTGTTTGACATGTAGTGTACATACAGTAGCAGATTTAACATATCACAGCATCGATAAAGCTCTTGAGAATCGCAGAACATCACAGAATTTTAGTCCTATTTCTGACTTGAGGTTTGTGTAGAAGAACTCTGGTGCATTTTTCTGAAGTTTCTTCAACTCAAAAAGTAAGCCTCCATCAAAATCGGAGAACCTAGAAAAGAATATGACATCCTGCGGGTTTTTGTTTTCTGTATTAAACATAATGTTAACAGAGACAAATATCATGACATAACAAATGTCATATTTGGGATAACACTTTCTTAGTAAAGTACAGATTCTCGTACTTTTTTGGGTTGAGTCCGGTCCGGGATTCGAACCCACACTTGCCAGACTGAGGCACCTAATCGCCAGCACACAAAGTCAGCGATCTAACCCACTCAGCCACCGAGGCTTCCACAAAATGAAAGTCCGACAACTGGTAGTCTAGATCACATTCTTTGAGTACCCCTCTGACAAGTGTAAATTGGCACGACTCCCATGGCCGAAAGCTATGAATACACAATGCCATTTAGAAAGTGGTCAAATGTAACAAATGTTATTTGACCACTTTCTAAATGGCATTGTGTATTCATATCATGACATAGTTGTCAGTTGTTAGTCCATTTCCATTATCTAGTGAACATAATCTCATTTGTACTATGATAAATCCCTGGATATACCATCTACCTGAGGCAAGGGTGTTTGACTATAAAAGTCCAGTTTCCACCCTTGCCGAACGAGGCTGGAATTTCAGGCTCAATCATAGCGTCACCAGTGGTTATTCAATACGAGTTATGTCCCTTCTATGTCTCTCCTATTGACCAATCAGATTCCACCTCTCATATCACTTTCATTTGCTTCAAACAAAATGGCGTCACCCAGTCAAGACAACCTGATTGATAATCAAAATCTATATTTAATAAAACAGATCTTACCTCAGGATGTGCATCAAATCACTTGAGCACCTTGATTAAACACACGAAAAGATTTGCAAAATATCTATTGACGCGAAGTTGTCGATACACATGCTTTGCAAATCCTGCAGTCGACTGAAATCTGCACATTGAAATCCATGTTGTTTTGATGTTTAGTTATTAACGTGATTTTGTTTGGACTTTGCATAGACTCGTTAGTCAAGCCAAAGTGTAACTCCGGAATTCCAGCCTAGTTCAGCAAGGGTGGAAACTGGACTTTCATAGTCTGTTAACGCCCTTGCCTCAGGAAGATGGGGATACATTGGACACCATAGCTCAATTTTGGAGGTGACATCACCACCAGCCAACGAGACCTTGTTTTATACCATTCATGCCAAGTTTCAACAAGTACCATCTTTCAATGTCTTTTGGTATGAAACAAAGAGGGATCGAACCACCAACCTTGCACTCTCCAGGCTGACACTCTATTCACTAGACCACAAAGGCTGAATATATCATTATTGAATTGACGTTTACTTAAGTGTTTTAGTCTTACTTTCTTTATTAGTTCTAGAAGTAAAATTAGTCTTATAAATATATTTGATAATAATATATGATAGTGTGCATATACCTTTCTTTCACATGATCAAATCCCGTGGCTGACAGCCAATCAGCAACTTCCTTCCTTGTCCAGCAACTTATTGATTGGCTAAGAGAGTCGGTCAGCAGACTTGAGCCACTGGATGACATGAACATACCTACAACAATACATAAGTATATCTATCAACTGTATTACACATTTGTCGTGGACATGGTTGTCCTATTAAAATTCCACACAGTAATAACAATAAAGTGAATCTTTTGAACTTTAACAACAAATGAATTCTAACAAAAGGGTAAATGATAACAGTTCTATTTGTTGTGTAAGACATTAGATTTCTTGAAAGATACTTACTTCATCTACATACAGTCAAGTCCCGTTAATCCGACATTGTTGGTTGCATATGATTATGTCGGATTAACGAGTATGTCGGATAAACGAAATTAGGTTGTATAAACGTTTGTGATCGAAAATTGGACAACTACACGATAGATAACGATACGAACACGTAGGAAAGGGAAAAATGAAATATTCATATTGTTGTTTCATTGTCAGCGGAATATGCGTCAACAAGCTGAATGGGCTTGTACACCACGAGACCAAAGTTTGAGGATGTTCACGAACATTCAGTTCGTTAAATTCCATGCACCTCACTATAAGTGACACCTGTAACAAAATTAATGTTATTATTTTCCATGAAACATATTTGTGTGACAACATCAAATCTGCCTTACAACCGCCAGCCGATTTTGGTATGGTGTCATATGAAAGTCTGTGATGTCATGTCTGTACAGGCTTAAATCAACTTTGAACTATTATTATACCCTGACAAAATGTTGGGGGTATATAGTTATACCAAGGTTCCGTCCGTCCGTCCGTCCGTCAAAAAACTTTGTCCAGTAGATTCATCTCAAACTTAGTACATATAATCTGTGTCATATGGAGGGGTGCAGTCAAAAGAAAAACATTTTTTTTTAATGATTTTTCCATTTTTTTAATGAATTTTTCAAACCCTAACGTCCTTCCGAAAACTTTGTCCGCACGATTTCTCTTAAACTATTCAGTGGATTCATCTCAAACTTAGTACATATAATCTGTGTCATATGGAGGGGTGCAGTCAATTATTATTTTTCCATTTCCATTTTCCTATCCTCGCTATTTAATTTGAAACTCCTGACACACTAGGCGGGTTAGGGGTATTAGTGAGCCACGCTCACTTTTTTTTCTTGTTTTGAAACCTTTAGCTTGATTCTTCATCACATGCTCACCATCTGCTAAGTCATGAATGCTGGTGGATCTGATCTTGCCTCTGCTGCCCAACTCACGGTAGAGTTTTATCATCTGTTTGTCAACCATGTCTCCTTGGCTGAAGTCAAAATACAACCTTGACCCCACAAGCATCCCCAGCCAGCCATCTGGCACGAACTTTGACTGTAGACGGAGCGGTATTATATCCTTTCGCAGACGGAAGATGTACTCAGATTCTGGAGAAGATGATTCACATCAAAATTAACAACCGGTTGTTCACTTGTTGCTAAATCAATAGCACAGGTACTATATGGTTATAAAGGACATTAATTTGAACAGATCTGGAATATCTTCCAACAACCAGAAGATGTGGACAAGGTCCTTGTGTAGGATGCTACCAGCTACCTCGATATGCTGATCGGGGCCAACAAGCAGAGTTTGTGTGCAGAACCTTTGACAACGAGAACCTTGTTTACATGCAGGTCATGTTGATACAACTGATTTGGAGATTTATTAGGGTAAAATCATGGGCACTATATAATGATCAGCATAAAATGTGCTTAGATTTGGACAAGTGATTTACTTCTGCAAGAGTGAGTGAGTATGGTTTTACGCCGCTTTTAGCAATATTCAAGCAATATCACGGTGGGGGACACCAGAAATGGGCTTCACACAATGTACCCATGTCAGGAATTGAACCTGGATCTTTGGCGTGACGGGCAAACACTTTAATCACCAGGCTAAACCACCAGACCGCCCCTACTTTTGCAAGATGACAGCATGAAATATGTATGTGTAAAAAAAAAAGAAATGTTACATACTTTAATCCAATATACGAGGTGCATGTTGACATTAAAACCAATTTGCACAAGACAACACCAGATTGCACCTTGTACCCATAAATTTATCAATGTTGAAAAGAAATCTTGATGTACCCACAAGACCCAAAAAGCAAAACAAATTACACATAAAAGGGGTTATTGACTTAGAATAGAAAATAAGCTGAGATGCATTGAATGTGTTTGAGGATGGATGTTGTCTGGACATATAAGGGTTAGACACAATTTTTTAAAATGTTTTGACATGCACTTAGTGCATGTATACATAAATATTAGGTAGCATTTTTCAATAACAAGTTGCACTGGTGCATGTTTCATATAGCTAAATGGAGCCCTGTACGGTGCAACAATTAAATGTTTAAGTAACGGGATTCTTGGTACCAGTCCTGCAGCTGGGACTCTGCTTGTACTTGTCGGACATACAGATGAGGACCACTGCCGCCTTCTCCACTGCCAGCGCCATCGCCTCCAGGGTCGACCCACCTGCATAGATACTGCAGTGTGGGATATCTCAATACGTTATTCCTCTTTCATTACTTGTGTTACAGATCAACCACTCCCGTCAACAGGTTCAAATCCAAATTTCAATATGGCCGCCATGGCACTGTTTTTATTCACAATTATTATTTTTCAGTTATATTTGTGATAAAAGTCTGTAACACATGTTATGAAACTGGTCTGACCTAATTTTGCCAAATAAGTGCTGCTTTCATATATTTCATCTGTTCTGCCATTTCACGGATTAGCCTGATTCAGTGAAGTTAAGAATGAATATATCTCAGCTACATCAATATCTTTCCAATTGTTATAGTGTGGCAAAAGCTATACAATTTAAAGAAAAACATAGTTATATAAAATCTTATGTTTTAATGAGAATCTGTCAGTTTATCACTTAAGTAGAAGTTAAACAGAATACATACATGGACGTTATTGTGTCTTAACATCATCTTACTCATATTTTCCACATCCATCCAGACTTTGAAGCCAGCTTGCCTCAGTCTGTCCTTGACCTTGATCATGACATCCTGAGCATCCCATTGGTAACTAATCATCACATGTGGGGTGTTGGCCTCAAGGTCTGGAGACACAAAACAGGTAATATATATGTATATCATCACATGTGGGGTGTTGGCCTCGAGGTCTGGAGACACAAAACAGATAATATATATGTATATCATCACATTGGTACCTAATCATCACATGTGGGGTGTTGGCCTCGAGGTCTGGAGACACAAAACAGGTAATATATATGTATATCATCCCCTTGGTAACTAATCATCACATGTGGGGTGTTGGCCTCTAGGTCTGGAGACACAAAACAGGTAATATATATGTATATCATCACATGTGGGGTGTTGGCCTCGAGGTCTGGAGACACAAAACAGGTAATATATATGTATATCATCACATGTGGGGTGTTGGCCTCGAGGTCTGGAGACACAAAACAGGTAATATATATGTATATCATCACATGTGGGGTGTTGGCCTCGAGGTCTGGAGACACAAAACAGGTAATATATATGTATATCATCACATGTGGGGTGTTGGCCTCGAGGTCTGGAGACACAAAACAGGTAAAACATAGATATCATCCCCTTGGTAAATAATAATCATATGTGAAGTGCTGTCCTCGAGGTTTGTACACACAAAACAGGTAATATATATTTATATCATCCCACTGGTAAATAATCATCACATGTGGTGTGTTGGCCTTAAGGTCTGGATACACAATACAGGTAATATATATTTATATCATCCCTTAGGGGTGCTGGATCACATTGTTTGATTCAAAACATTGATACTGTTTTGTTTATATTCTTGCTAAAACATTCTTTTTAGGAAAATAACCTCTCTCAACCCTGAGACCATTTCTTCTATTTCCTATTAATCTTTGCCTCCTCCATTCTCCTTGCATATCATATTAATTAAACAAGTAATTAGCTTGGTGTTGCCAAACAAAATTATTGTTTTATAACACTCTGCTTCTTTGAATACACAATGCCATTTAGAAAGTGGTCACATGTAACAAATGTTATATTTGGGATAACACTTTCTTAGTAAAGTACAGATTCTCATACTTTTTGAGTTGATTTTTGGCGATTAGGTGCCTCACTCTGGCAGTTTGGGTTTGACCACTTTCTAAATGGCATTGTGTATTTATAGCTTTTGGCCACGGGAGCCATGCCAATTTACACTTGTCAGAGGGGTACACAAAGAACGTGATCTAGACTACCAGTTGTCGGACTTTCATCTTTGTGGAAGTTTGGTGGCTGAGTGGGTGAGATCGCTGACTTTGTGTGCTGGCGAATAGGTGCCTCACTCTGGCAGTGTGGGTTCGAATCCCGGATGGGACTCAACCCAGAAAGTACTCGAATCTGTACCTTACTAAGAAAGTGTTATCCCAAATATAACTTTTGTTACTCTGCTTCTTGTACATACAAATGTGACTAAAGGAAATATTATACACTGTACTTAACAGTGTTTCATATTTTCAAGTCACTCCTACAATCTGGGTTATGAATATATAATACTTTGATATTGTAAATCTACCTTCCCAATTTTATCAACCACACTGACATAAAATGGTTTCATTCCAACAACCTCCAATTGTATCAACTACACTGACATAAATATGGTTTCATTCCAACGACCTCCAATTGTATCAACCACACTGACATAAAATGGTTTCATTCCAACAACCTCCAATTGTATCAACCACATTGACATAAAATGATTTCATTCCAACAACCTCCAATTGTATCAACCTCATTGACATAAAATGATTTCATTCCAACGACCTCCAATTGTATCACTCACACTGACATAAAATGGTTTCATTCCAACGACCTCCAATTGTATCAACCACACTGACATAAATATGGTTTCATTCCAACGACCTCCAATTGTATCAACCACACTGACATAAATATGGTTTCATTCCAATGACCTCCAATTGTATCAACCACACTGACATAAAAATGGTTTCATTCCAATGACCTCCAATTGTATCAACCACACTGACATAAATATGGTTTCATTCCAACGACCTCCAAGTAACTGTACCTGGGTCCAGTGACATCTGCTGGTCATGAAATATTTCCCATAATGCACCTCTTGCTGCATGGCTGACGGACTTCTCCTCACATCTTGCAAGATTCTGTAGAGCTGGAAAGAACATAATCAGCAGTGTGTACAGAGCTCTAGATAAGCTGCGTATTTGTGTAAAACATGCATTAAATAAACTGAAATACTCAGACAAATATAACTAATGCGTATATTACAACTGTTAGATAAAACAATATTTATCAGTTGAAAGCGAAATTCTCTTACCGACAGTTACATTGAGATAAATGCTTGTACGACATACAAACACGAATATCAATGCGTAGTCCTATTGTATTTTAAACAGTCGCTGATTGGTGATTAAAAAACAGGGTCTTTCTTACAATGATTGGTTTTGCAAACAAAATTGGCTTCCCAGGAGGGAGCTGCAAGCAGATAGGTACCCTACTATTCATTTAGTTTTAAATGATTTACAGGGATTGTTACTTAACAGGTTTTCAAGATACAATACCCAAATGTCAAGAAACAGGTGGTTAAAACAAATTTGAAAACCCCCTAAGAATGGATACACCCAATCAAAATCAAACCCCTGGGTAAAATACCCCAATAACCAAAAGCTGATCTAGAGCTCAGGTGTATACAGTGTGTTTGTTTCTTGCTTAACTCATCAGTCAGCAATATTGCAGCTATATGATGGACCAGACAATCAGTTATTGACATTGTGAGCAATGATCCACTCTATTCGGCCGAGCTTGACCACCTGATCCATGTGTTGCCTCCTGTGACCAAGCATAGGTTCTCACCCGGAATCCCTATAGAGTTTTGTGTACAGAGAAACTCCATAATTAAGAACAATATGCCAAGTCGTCCCCGAGTACTTTTCTGGGTTTGTCGGCACCATACCCATGCTCGTGGGTTTCACCAAAGCGGTGAATGTCTAAGGCATGCATCATGGGTTTCCTCCCACATTAAGCTGACACACCGTGATATAACTGGAATACTGTTCAAAGTGGTGTTAAACCCAACTCACTCACTCACTCACAGTATGACTCCCAGAGAAACTTTCCTGATTAACAAGGTTGTGGATTAATCAATCATGGTCACCAAGTAATGTTTCCTTCATAATCTGGACATACCCAACAGCACCTAGGGTTCTGGATTAATCGATCATGGTCACCAAGTAATGTTTCCTTCATAATCTGGACATACCAAACAGCAACTAGGGTTCTGGATTAATGAATCATGGTCACCAAGTAATGTTTCCTTCATAATCTGGACATACCCAACAGCACCTAGGGTTCTGGATTAATCGATCATGGTCACCAAGTAATGTTTCCTTCATAATCTGGACATACCCAACAGCACCTAGGGTTCTGGATTAATCGATCATGGTCACCAAGTAATGTTTCCTTCATAATCTGGACATACCCAACAGCACCTAGAGTTCTGGATTAATGGATCATGGTCACCAAGTAATGATTCCTTCATAATCTGGACATACCCAACAGCATCTAGGGTTCTGGATTAATGGATCATGGTCACCAAGTAATGATTCCTTCATAACCTGGACATACCCAACAGCATCTAGGGTTCTGGGTTAGCAAAGGTGTACACTCAACATTCTTTTGGATGTGAGAGTTTGACTTCTAAAGACATCTAAACCTTACTTTTGAAAATGTCAGTGGAACTGTTATTTTGAAACTGTCATTTTTGGAAGGTTCTTCAGACACTACAAGTTTGAGTACATATACAGGTATATATCCAGGTTTATAAACAAAGTGACCCTGGCAGGCAGTTTGCAGAAAAAATCAATTTTGCTCAAACTGTCAGTTAATTACAAGTCACTTGTACAAAGTCTAACAAAAGTAGTATATAACATGAGTTGAGAGGTTTGTAGTTTGGGAATATTTACTGGCATTTGGTGTAACTTGGGGCTGAATGTCTGCCTCTGAGCAGGTCCAGCTAAATCCTTGATATATCAAAGCAAACCTCATATAATTGAACACAAACCAGGTTGGCCCAACCACGGACTTGTAACACGGTTATATAGGTCCTAGGGCCCAACACAGACTTGTAACACGGTTATATAGGTCCTAGGGCCCAACACAGACTTGTAACACGTTTATATAGGTCCTAGGGCCCAACGGTTGACAGATTCTTAAAAAGATGTTGATGTGGAGAAGGAAGAGGATCTATTCAACCAAGTGATCTTATCAAATTATGATGATTATATTTGTTTGTTTGTTTTCTTGTTGTCTAGCGCCACACTCAGGTATAATCCAGACTGAGGTCTGTAAATATCGAGTCTGACCATGTTTACATTCTGTTTATCTGAAGCACTGCTCACACAATGACTTCAATGACTTCAATGATTCATCCATACTTAGATTACATAGTACATGTACTATGTACCTGGCCCAGGCTACTGAAACACCATAACAGGTTCCCAATGATTTGAAAGCTCCTGTTGTGTTGTGTTGTGATAATGCAGTGTCTCAAACTGTTTCTTTGTAGTCTCTTCCTGTGAAATGTTGGAGTTTCTTTGTTTGTTGTTTGTTGTTTAACGTCGTACTCAGCAATATTCCAGCTATATCATTTATATGAGGGCAGTCGGTAAACAATCAAGTCTGGACCAGACAACCCAGTGATTGATATCATGAGCATCAATCCACACAATTGGGATATGATGACATGCATCAACTAAGCCAGCGAGTCTGACCACCTGATCCTTTTAGTCACCTCTTACAACAAGCATAGACGCCTTTTACGGAAAGCATGGGTTGTTGAAGACCTATTCTACCCCGGATCTTCACGGGTATGTAATGATTATAACTCAGATACATCAAGGTTGACTTACGACAGTCATTGTACTAAGATAACTTTGTGGGAGAATGATGTCTAAAATATTATCAGAAACTCAATAATGGAGATTATTTACCTTTAATGCATTCTTGATCCTCTTTCAAAATTGTTTTATTTTCTTTGGCAAATGAGAGAGCCCATATTCCTGTTGCTGCCAATGTTTTCTCCATATCGGACTCAGAAAGCAGCAGGGATCGGAGACAAGGTACAACACCACAGTCAACGAGCTTCACCTTGTTAGTGTCATTGTGAGCGATATTGTTCAGCCCTTTCACAACCTCCACAGCATTCATACCATATTTGGCAGCGAAGTGATCCACCGACGTCAAGCTCTCTTTTAAAATATTCACTATGAATTTCAGCGTATCCGAACTTGCACTTATCACTTCATTTTGTTCCTCATCGACTAAATAGGATATGATTATAAGAGATTTTGCCTTTACCATCGGATGGGAACAGGTTGTAAAATTATGGAGACTCTCTATTCCATTTGAGTTGATAAGAACGGAATGACAATCTGAATAATTTCTAACACAGTTGTGTAAAATTCCAAACAATGCTTTGATATAATATAGTTTTCTGTCATTTTCTAAGTAGTCCTTTGTATCAGAGACCTCCTTCAAAGACTCTAGAATCTTAGGCAGTAGGCCAGATGTGGTCATCTGCTCACACACCGCCATCGAGCTGTCACAGCAATTCCACACAATTGACAAAGAATTCCGCAAGTTCTTCCATGGGTACAACACCTCGGAATTAAAGATGTCCTCTTTCTGAGCAGCTATCCACATTTGCTGGAACAGATCTACAAACTTTTCTTTGCCAAATCCTCCAATGACCCTTGACCTCATGTCTCTGTCGGGTGTGTATCGGGACAAGTTCCAGAGGTATTTAATGTCGGCATAGGCGGCCTGAGAGAGGTACTCTTCACTCACTCGAAGTTTGGAAAGAGTCTGTGACAGTTTCTGCACCATGCTCTCAGTGGTGGGAAGGGCTGGCGATGCTAAAGCTCTCCGGCTCTCTACTGCGGTGTTTGACCCACCGCCAAGGTCATCGTCAAAGCTGTCCTGGGAGGGCAGCCGTCGACTCATCATTCTTTTCCAGGGACAAAACTGTGGATAGTGAACACATAGCTATTCATATTTGTCATGACTTGTTATAGAGTCTAGACCATGGAGATGGTCCAGGGTGATAGGGTGTCTGCCCAGTGAGTGAGTGAGTTGGGTTTAACGCCGCTTTTAACAGTATTCCAGTTACATCACGGCGTGTCAGCTTAATGTGGGAGGAAAGCCCGAAGTGATGCAGGTCTCAGACGTTTACCACTTCGGTGAAACCCACGAGCACGGGTATGGTGCTGACAAACCTAGAAACATAATCGGGGCGAACCAGGATTCGAACCCACAATCATGTTTCTGGCGTGCCCAAGGGACGCAACTCTGCACAGCGAATCCTGCACAGCGACTGGGCCACCCGTGCCCCCCTGCCCAGACAGTGGAAGGTCAGTGGTTCAATCCCTGGACATGTCATACCAATAGATGTCAAAAGACATACTTTTTGTTTCCCTACCTGGTGCTTGGCATTAAGGGGATGAAAGGATTGGTCATTTCTGAGCCAGTATACTGTGTCAGAGTGGGATATCCGTGATAAACTGCAGCCTGGTATCTCAGTGGGCTGGCAGTAACAACGGCATTAGTCTGGATAGAACAAGCAGTCATACACACACTCCAAACATGCTCATTGCTACATATTTGCAATAATCTTAAATCCCATTTCAACTCACGTTATAGAGTCTAGCTATCCGATTGGCCAGTTGCGCCTTGTTAAATCCCGCACAAGTGGGTTAGCCTGCCTGTGTAGTAGGGCTGGGACGAGTCCAAGTTTACTACCCGGGTACCCGACCCCCTATTACCCGACCCTACCCGGGTACCCACTGCAACTCTCAAGAAAAGGGAACAAAATCTCGGATTGGTAATTGTTTTACCGCAGCCCTGGCTTAAACTATTTAGATACATGCATCAAACAATCAGTTCATGCGTTCACTGAAGTTGACTGAACTTTACTCAAACATTTACAGTCAAAGGGTATGTGTGCATCGTCAGAAAGAAATGCGAACATTAGCGACTTGTAGTGTAACCACTGAGCTACAATAAGTTTTTGTCATTAAACAATATATCCCGTGACTAACCACGGGTCCGGGTAGTCCTGTGGGTACCCGGGTCCTACTCAGAACCCACCCGACCCGAGTACCCGAGTTACCCGTCCCAGCCCTACTGTGTAGTGTCTTCATAATGTTTGATGTAACGTCACTTTGCTTTTCACGTCATAATTGATCCGGCTCACACTTTGAGCGATTTCTATGTGGTCACAAGATTGATGTTATTATCACAGACATATATTTCACAAAATATCATCATTTTACCCTTGTCGATGATAAATGTATTACTGTACATACATGTGGCACTACCGTGGAGTATGGGATTTTAAAGAGGTGAAGTCCATTCATCCATTATAGACCAGGATTCCACTCATACAATCATAGTACAGAACACAGAGGGCTGGGTAGCCGCATGGTTAAAATGTCCACTTGTCACACCAGAGGCAATTCCAGATGTGTACAGCATACTTCGGATGTCCCCTACCGTGATATTGCTGCATTATTGCAGTGTAAAACCATGCTCACTCACTCAGAAAACCTGTATCTATATCTCACACACATCAATTCTATTTCCCCCCAGTTTCCTCAAACAGCAAGGGCAGGTAACTCTTGACATTATATATATATATATATATATATATATATATATATATATATATATATATAATAAAATGATAAAGTCCACGTTAGTCCATCATCTTCTTTATATTTTCTGATATAAAGAAGATGATGGACTAACGTGGACTTTATTATTTTATTATATATTACATGTACACCGAGTGAACATTTACTACATTTTTGTATATATATATATATATTGTTTTGAATTCATGTCAGAGAAATATATATACAAGTCTTTGCATCAATTTGACACTTAGTATTTGCAACTATATTACGGCTATTCAAGACTTGAGTTGTATGTCAACAGTTTTTTTGTGTCTCATACCTAATTTCAAACACTGATTTATGCACTCATTAAACAAAAAATAACAAAACATTTTTTTATCTATTTGTTCATAAAACAACTGTGCAGTAATGTCTAAATAATTTTTAGGACAGAAATCACAAAACACATCCCGCCTTTGGTTTGTTCCTGCTGAAATATCACAGCACAGAAGCAACTGCACATATTTTTTGAATTATTAAAGAATGAAAATACAACTGCATGCACATCCCCATGCAACAAAAATTAATCAAACTAAAATCTTACAGAAATGATTCATAATGACATGACATATTGTAATCTCTTGAACCAGGAATTTATCTAGGATTAGAATAAGTGCCCAAGGCGGAAGCGGAAACAGTACACTTGTACACAATCTTACTCAAGAAATGATTTCAAAATGCTTTCTTTTTTCCCATTTACTTTTTCCTTTTGCATATGTATTATTATAATTATTATTATTATATCAAGATTTTCTGCCTTAATATGCTTAATGACTAGAATTTACTGCAAAAACATCGTATCTTTTCTAAAATCAGCAATGTGCTAAACACATGTAAAACATCAGTAGCTGTTAAACATATAAGTTTGTTATACATGTAGACTCATTGTGCAACTTGATTGTATTCGCTGGCATGTCGAGTTTTGTTGAGTTGCCTACACCCTCAATCTCATTAAAATCAGGTCTTAGTTCTAGCTACCGCTAAACAAAGATCTGAGAACATCCCATTATGGGTCACGTCAGAACGACCTTTCGTCCGACCAATCAGAGCATCGCTTACCAGATCATGAAAGTGACAGTCGGAATGTGATTTCTAATCATGCAGCCTCGAAAACTTTAAAACGGGGTATTCTGAACGATAGAAACGGGCTTAACGACTGAATCTATACAATCTAGACCATATATTAGCCATCCGAGAATGTTCTTATGTTCAGGTTTCAATTTTTTAAGCGAGAATTTGTCAAAATATGTTTCGAAGCGTAGTCGCCAATTTGAAATTAGTGCCGTAAAGCACGAGAAAGCTGCCTTCTGATTGGCTAATGTCGACTTCTTGTCAGTAATTCCCTTGGTCGGTCAGAGTTTGCGAAAGGTCGGTCTGACGTGACCCGTAATGGGAAGTCCTCAGATCTTTGTTTAGCTGCAGCGAGAACTAAGATCTGATTTTAATGAGATTGCCTACACCCTGCAACTCCTAGTATTCCCTGCTGATATATATTTCTACAATAAAACAATTTAAGTACATACTCTGTGATAGTAAATACTGAAAATTAATACTGACATCTGCAACTGTACTAACTTCTCAAGACAATGTCTGCAGCTCTTATGGTGATTACCTGTTCTCCGCTTCGGAAATGTCCAAATACCTGCATCTCGCATTCCAGCATGGAAATTAACATGCATTATCAGGGCTTACTCAGGAAATTAAGTACCGGACGTACATTAGACATTAGTACATTTCACTGACAAAAGGGAATGAGATCTGGCTCTTGTTTTGAACCTCCAGCAAATTGTGACTGTGATAGCTTAAATGATGATGATGATGATGATGATGATGATGATGATTGTATTCATAAACACAGTTCTCAAATATGATGATGATGATTGTATTTATAAACAGTTCTCAAATATGATGATGATGATTGTATTCATAAACAGTTCTCAAATATGATGATGATGATGATGATGATTGTATTCATAAACACAGTTCTCAAATATGATGATGATGATGGTGATTGTATTCATAAACACAGTTCTCAAATATGATGATGATGATGATGATGATTGTATTCATAAACAGTTCTCAAATATGATGATGATGATGATTGTATTCATAAACAGTTCTCAAATATGATGAAGATGATGATGATGATGATGATGATTGTATTCATAAAGTTCTCCAATATGATGATGATGATGATGATTGTATTCATAAACAGTTCTAAAATATGATGAAGATGATGATGATGATGATTGTATTCATAAATAGTTCTCAAATATGATGATGATGATGATGATGATGATGATGATGATGATGATGATTGTATTCATAAACACAGTTCTCAAATAGTTTTATTTTTATCCACATGATCAAGATAAGTTCACAACAGCTAGTTATGTTATTACTTTTTGGAATAAATAATATAATTGGGAGTGATAGAATGTTTTTATGCCACTGTCAGCATTTCATCTGGATCACTATACGTAATCAAGTCCAAACAGGAAAACCAGTGATTGAATAGTGAATAGGCCAGAGATACTATTTTCCTCTGTAAGATTAACACACATGAGTTTTGAAATGTTTAGTCTATCACTGAAGTCATTTTAATTTGCTCTTAAATTACTGCATGTGTATCATTACCAAACTACCCTGGCAAGCGAATGACAGGCTGGAAAAACTATAACCATCGCCATACTGTATCCGAAATTGTCAGTCTGAAGTCAGGTTCAATATTGGTCAACCAAAGCAAATTCTTAAACCAAACAACTATACATCATGCAAAATGATAATTATGAATGAATACTCAACCAAATTCGTCTTCTGGTCGATATTGGAACACAACAGGAACGTCAACCATTGATGCCACTACACCACATATCCAAATATGTGCTGAAGACAATAAACATGCATACCAACAGACTAAATATCTGGCATTCGCAACCAATATAAATAGAACCTATATTATATCACCATGCACTTGGCGGCCATCGCCGATACATGCTTATTAATGGCGTAAGCATCGAACAGTGCCAAGGAAATAATCAATACTTTCTGATGGGATTAGCGCATCAGGGGAGGTAACTCTTGTTTTCTCAGTGGTTTGGTGAGACGCAAAGCTGTTGCAGAGCCTTCGTGCATCGATTTTTGTGTCCACGATGAAGTACAAAGCTCTAGTCCAGTTGTTGTGTGGTGTGTAGCAGTGTATCTCGCGCGTAATGTAAGCACTTGACGTGGACAGGTGAGAATATCGCATCAAGGGAGGTAATAACGGGAGTGTCTCTGCTAATAATTTGTCCAGAAGACCCAGTGAGCATAATTCCCCAAAATTTCTATCAGAGAACCGGACTTCTGCAAAGTTACCAGACAGATAAAGTATTGTCAGTCCAGAATTTTCCAGACTAACTAGATAATTTCGAGCATTTGGCCAAAAGACAATGAGGACAGAGACTTAAAAATAAATTGACATTAACACACTGCGAATACTGTGTTTAAAGTTAACAGATAAGTTACCTCTCACACTGAATTAAAACTAGAATGCTTAGCTAATTACATATAAACAATATAAACAGACCAAACAAATACGCACAACACATGGCATACGATATAATGAGGTTCATCCTCGATTAACCTATATTGTATCGCCATTCTATTATGATACTGTTAATGAAATGGAGGTTTACATTGGATAGTTAAGGATGAGCATTGCTGCGGTGATTGAGTGTGGTTTTACGCCGCTTTTAGCAATATTCCAGCAATATCACGGCGGGGGACACCAGAAATGGGCTTCACACATTGTATCCATGTCGGGAATCGGACCCGGGCCTTCGGCGCGACGAACGAAGGTTTAAACCATGCACTAGGCTTCCCCACCGCCCCTGCTGCGATAACCATGCACGGGTAACACGTGAAAATTCGAGAATATCCTAAATACATATATACAACACACCCATTCCAAATAGGTCCCAAGATAAAGTGGTATTCTGGCATTGCATAATACAATGAAGTTAGTGCTTAGCAACTAAGACACACATATGCCTGTACCTTTCTTGGTCTTTTCAGAAGACCTTTAAACATCATTGCAGTTATTTCCATTTTTGAAAACAAATTACATGACAATATCTGAAATAATATATTTACATATCCTGAAGAAACACATAGAAACAAGTCCAGCTCAAACCCTCAAACTGTTCAAGAGGAATGTTGTTTTAAACTGCTGAAGTTGTCTGATGAGCGTGAAACTTGAAACTACCAGTGAAATTATCATTCACAAGATGAATCTATGATTCATGTGATTAGTAAGGATGTTTTGAAGAAACCGTATCACGTTAGACTCTCGTGATGTCAGAATCACTGATAAAATCAGTTAAATCCGTCAAGTAGTTCTTGAGAAGTCGAATATATCAAATGTTCACGGACGACGAATGGGGAATGGCCATGTTCTATACTTTTTTTATATTTGCAACGTTATAGTTATTGATGAATTCTTCTTTACAAATTTAAATGATAATCGTCAAAACATAAAATAAGCAAAAGAATGTACCATTTGGTACATCTATATATAGTCCAATAGTTCCAGCCATTGGTGTCTACATTTCACAACGTGTGAAGTACAAATGAGCATAGTTACTCTTTCTACGAAGACGTCAAAGAGCGTCGTGCGACTTTTCCTCCAAAGGTTTTGATCGGTGTGCAACATTCATGGTGTCATAAAGTAATGAATGAATGCTGTTTGATAAAAGTAAGAACAGTAAAGCTGTTTGCCTATTGCTGATGCTGTGTACATGTCGTCGGGTGTGATTTCGTTTGTCTGCCATTCCGTTTCTGTTCGACAGTTGTATGCACCCGGTTCATACTTTTTTATGTAACGACGTGCTGTCCGTGTGCGTGTGTTGACAAACTGCCATGCCTTGCCTATGACTATGATGATGAACAAACTGCCATTAAATGGTCTGAATAACTGCCGAGGACTTCTTCGTCTTCTTTTCACATGGCCTTAGTTAAGCTTTAAAAATGTTTTATGGTTGACACGGGGAGGACGTTTCTAAATCTGACGCGTCAACAGTTCTAACTTGTACCACGTATTCCCGTGGGTTTTTTAGGTGAAAAATTGACTTGCCTTTGTATGTGTTTGTGACGGGTGGCACCGTTGGAGCTGAGCACACTCACATTTTCTCGAACACCTGGTATCATCCCTTTTTGATAGTGAATGTTGATTCATAAACACATGGGTGGCTCGATCCCCGGCGGTGTCTACCAAAGGAAACCCGAGAAGATCCGGGTTAGAATAGGTCCTCAGCAACCCATGCTTGCCGTAAGGGGCGACTAACGGTATCGGGTGGTCAGACTCTCTGACTTGATCGATGTTCATGGTGTCAATCACTTACAGACCGCGTCATATAGCTGGAATATTGTTGAGTGCGGCTTTAAACAACAACCAAACCAAAGGTCGTTAAAAGATACTTGATGTCCCTCTGCAGAACTTGGTTAAAACACGGATGGGTCAGCTCGGTCTCTGAGTATGGTATCCATGTTAAACTGTGGTATCTCAGTGGGCTAGCACCATAAACCTATTTGCAATATGGTTGCCGCGCTGCTCATTTTAGAAATAGAATGTGCGAGTCAGTCTATGTGTAAATCACAGAAACAACAGTTCCGTGCTCGTGAAGCCTCAACGTCAACGACTTTATTTTGAGATCATGTAACTGACATACACTTGGCGATAACAAGGCCTACCCGTGAACACATCTAAAATGTGTCATGAGACGACCGAGTATATGGAAGAACGACGATCAAGCACTTGGGAAAACGACGACTTTGATCGTCTCATAACTATTGAAACTAGGGCCACGCAATGATTATTTTGTATCTTAAAAAATCAGTCCTCATCTGACAATAGTGTCAGCTCAGAGCAGAAACTGAAACTTTGGGAAGTTCATTTGCTGAATTCAGTTTATCTTTGTGTCGGTATTACTCATGCAGTATCTTTAATTCACAAGATAGAAGCAGATAATTTTCAACTTAATAACTTGAATTTTGCAAGGTAGCAACTGTATTTAAACTTTGTAGCTTAAATTTTCAACTAATTGTCTTGAATTTTGAAGATAATATCTTTTGCATAGCTCTTATGTGCTTTCGTACATAATGGACGCAGGTCGCGGGAGAGTTAGCGAACATTTATGAAACACTGACGGCCAAAGGAAACTTTACCACTTTACAATGAAATTGCCAAAATTTAAAAACACATGATCAAACCCAACCTATGCAAAACACATCGTGCAAACACAACAGTGCAACACAGCCGAAAGTGATACATGTCCACTGCACGTTCTTTGTTGAAAATGCGAAAAAAGTGAAAAACACGTGCCGCTTGGCCAGCCAAAACTACACGTGCAATAAGCGTGTATAAATTATACGGACAGCAAGCTAGACATTCACACTGATTAAAAATACACCACAGAAATGACACCCGAACAACACGAGCGGGTCCTGGATATAATACAGATAGGAGCCATCTATTGGTTGCTCCCGTGTTGCTGTAACTCACATGATGCAACGTTACAAACAAACCGGGTAGACATCAAACAGGCAAAAAACAGGCACACCCAAGGTAACTACGCCCAATGAAGACCCGTACTAGCGTACTTTGCATCTCAAAAATCGATTCCCGACCTTACAGACCTTACAGAGGACAGTTATTGACAGCGCAATATCGTCGTCAGAGATTGGGATGGCAGCGACTGGCGGAGTGTCGTCTTCAATGATGAAAGCCAGTTCTGTCTGTACAGAGCTGATTAAAGACAGCGTGCCGAAGGGGAGAACGAATGGCGGCATGTTGCCGTATGGTGGAGGGGGTGTTATAGTGTGAGGAGGAATTTGTGAGCAGGAGAGAACACCACTGGTCATCGTTAACGGAAATTTGACAGCTCAGCGTTACATGGACGACATTCTTCGTACGATTGTCCTACCATGTCTACAGCAGCTGCCACGTGGTGTCTTTTATCAGCATGACAACGCCAGGCCCCATACAGCCCGAATCGTACAGAACTTCCTTTCGGCCAACAACGTCAACATGCCGTGGCCTTCACGCCCCCCAGACATGTCCTCCATAGAACACCTCTGGGATGTCATTGATCGTCGTGTTCGACAGCGACCACATCCTCCAGCTTACCGACAAGCACTGATCCAGCCCCAAGAAGAATGGCGACGTATGACACGTGACGTCATCAGACGACTGACTATTTCTGTGCGGCGGAGAGTTTTTGCGTGTTTTGTACTAGGGGGTGGCCATACACGCTTTTAATGTGACGTGTCATTGAACTTAGCCTATTTTAGAAGTGTGTGCCCTTTGCCCCTTACGTTGAAAGCTTGTTTTGGCTACCTCACCTCAATTCGGGCAACTGCCATGCCAATATCGGATGCTGTATGACACATTTTAAATGTTGATCTATTTGAGATTTTGATTTTTCAATACATTTTACTTCATGCATCTATCTTTTGTGGTTTTTAAACTAGAGTGATTTACAAGTATGGTAAAGTTTCGTTTGGGCGTCAGTATATTTAAGCTATTTGGCCTTTTTGTACCCGAATCAGAATTAACTTACACATGACTCTCTTTGGGAAGCCCATTTCTGGTGTTACCCGCCGCGATATTGCTGGAATATTGCTAAAAGCGGCGTAAAACCATACTCGCTCACCCAGTCCCCCTCTTATGGACACATTTTAGATTTGAACATGTGTTGTCAGCAGAAATATACTTCATCCCCCAGCAAATATATATTTATTTTTTTTCAAAATAAACATTTTTTATCATCTTTATTCCGCATGACTCCGAGTCAAAACAACCCCAGTACTGGGAATGTTATGAGAGTTCTATATGTTATACGAAGGAGTTCAATAAATTTTTATGTAGCTTTTAGTTTATTTCTAATTGTTGTTTAGTAAATCTAAAAAAAAATAATTGTTAATTGAAATTGACGTGTCCTTTGTTGTCAGGTAACACCTTGACGAGATTGTCACCAGTCCAGCAAGTTGAACTATGAACAACCACGCCCACTAAAGCCTCGCATGACAGTAGGGTATGTGGCGAACAAAAAGCATTACAAGGGAGATAATTTGCAAACAAAACCACACTGAAATACTCGCGTGTAACGTAACCACAAGGAAAACATGGCGTCAAAACACCGGCTTGCTGTTATTTCAGGACATTTACTAGGTTCAAGAGCACAAAATGTCGACGTTAATAATAGCGATCACTCACAGGGAGCTCAACTTCAGCCATGTGCCTCCAATGACAACAAAATTAGTGTCGGCGAGGAGGCACCAACCATCCCGAAGCGCAGGTGTGTGCCTGTTGATTACCTGGCGACTGAGCTGTTTGGGAAGTCAAAACCTGCATGCTTGTCACGTAGCGATACAAAGGACAATGTGTATTACAGTTATGGTGTAGTATAAATAAGCTTTAGTTCAGTCTTTTGGCACAAAGTAATCTTATGTCACGAACTTGTGTCTCGTTAGACCTGTAATATGGAGAAGAAAAATCGTTGCAATCTTACTCTTAGCGACCTCCTGGTATCGTGTTTATATTTTGATTTCAATAATGAATCCTCTGTTTCTGGTGGAAAAGGCTTGCAAGGAAATGACAAGTAGAATTATTTTGAGTGTGCAACACCCAAATATAATGTGTTGCAGTAATTTCGTACCCCAAACGAATTCGTACCCTAGAAAATTCGTGCCACTAAAAATTAAAACTTCCGTACCCTTCTAGCATTTCAAAGTATACCGTTTAAGTTTATATTAGCCTAACGGTTTGGAACATCTATGTTCATTGCGATATCTTGCGAATTGTGTGACGTCACAGTCTAGGCAATTCATATCATAGGGATAAAGATCAAAACAGTTGCTGTTGACATACATGTCATAAAACAAGTTTATCACCACGCAATCTTTCACAGTCAACGACATATGTGTACAGATATACATACAACTATCTTACAACATAAACAACGAAACAATGAAGCATTAATTACTCTCTGTAACATTCATGAAAACACACTCGTACATACAACTATCAAAACAAATGATGTCAATCATTTGGTGTCAGTCACCGCATAGTCTGCTCCAGACAGCCAAATACAATACCATGTCACCTTTGGGGATATGATGATGAGCCTATATTCATTCTCATAAGAAAAGACATGATTGTTTTATGATTGCTCCATTTTCCAGCAGACGATGTGAAAGCGGATAACATTAACATGTTGTATTGTTTGTCTATCCTATAAGAAAATCTTATACTTTTTCAGAACTAACAACTTGAGCCTCTAAAACATTTCACAATGTATATTGTGTTATTTTCATTTCTTATAAATATATGAGTAAATAACTGACCATTGCTGAAGGTCCCTATTTAATGATATTCTCTACTTGGCATCTTTGCATAGAGAACTTTAACATGTCAAGGATTTATTATATTAATGATCATTTCTGATCATGTTGACAATGTCAGACAAAGAGATAATTGTTCTTGTTAATTTCGATTTTACCCTTGAAGCCAAAAGCTCATGAGACGAGTGTGTAAAGGAACAGAACAGTAGTGTACAGATAAATGAAAGCACGACATAACGAAATCCATGCACAACACAGGGCCTCCATGGTCTAGTGGTAGAGCATTCAATCTCTGGCCGCGTCATACCAAAAGATGTTAAATGATATTACTTGTTGTTACCCTGTCTGGCGCTCGGCATAAAGGGGCTAAAACAAGGACTGGTCAGCTCGGAGTCAGTATACTGTGTGTGAGTGGGGTATTCATGTTAAATTGCGGCATGGTATCTAATTGAGGTAGCACTATAAATCAGCATCAGTCCGGACTAGTGCAAGCACGCACACACACACACACACACACACACACACACACACACACACACACACACACACACACACACACACACACACACACACGTCGCTATATAAGTGCAATAATCTTTGACGCAACGTTAAACCCCATTTCACCTCACGTCATATCAAGAAAGTGTTATCCCAAATATAACATTTGTAACATATATCATGATATATCATGTTTCAATATTTGTATGGTAGTACAGAATATTGCTAAGAATCAATAATTTGAATGTCACAGCCCTACCTATCTCTTGCCCATTAGACAGGATAAGGACACAGCTGTTCTCTGTTTCAGACAAGAAGTGTTGAAATGGAATGGCTGGGGATACAAGGATTCCAAGTTTCTTATCAACAAGGATGGCCATGTTCAATTCTCAGGGGAGAGGTAAAATTTCATTGTATTTCTTTCTGCCAAGAAGAGATGCATCTCTACCATGTCTAAGGCAAATGTCGGTAAAATTTCCAAATTGGAATGAAATATTCCCTGATTCAGGTTATGATAATTTAAAAACAAATTGTCAGTGTTCTAGTTTTGAATAGTGATACACCATCTGTGCGTTCCGATATGTATCACGATACCTTACTCACGATCTGATACGTATCAAGATACTTGCGTGTGATTTTATCTGTGGTGCGTAAGCCATCTTTTTCATAGACAGGATGGCCAAATACCTGGCACACTGACGATTTACAGTTGGCGGTGTGAAGTATGGCACACAACGGATGAAACTATTTATGTTTTGCACTATTAACTTTCACTACTAATTAGTGTAACTGTTACTAACAATACTTTTTACTTTGAGTGCGACTGTGATCGATACTTGCAGGAGAAGTAAAAAAATGTGATGCATCGGTGTATCAAGTAATTTTCAAAACACTACACCATTTCATCACCCCTGGACCCCCACTTTTGTAAATCAAGGTAAAACCCTGAGCCAGCAGAAACTAGCAGAGATATTGAAAGAACAAAGAGGTTAAAATCCATAAGTAAACTGTCTTCAATGACACTACAGCTTCTAAGATTCGACATTAAGACGGGGGCACGGGTGGACCAGACGTCTAAGGCGCCGCGATTCACTGTGCAGAGTTGCGTCCGATGGGCACGCCAGAAACCTATGATTGTGGGTTTGAATTCCCATTCACCCTGATTATGTTTCTAGTTTTGTGAGCACCATACCTGTGCTTGTGGGTTTCACAGAAGTGGTAAACATCTGAGACCTGCATTCCTCCCACATTAAGCTGACACGCCTCGATATAACCGGAATATTGTTAAAAGCGGCGTTAAAGCCAACTCACTCACTCAATGACACTACAGCTTCTAAGATTCCACATGAAGACTGTCATGATGATCATTGCTGTTGTTTCTACAACTGAAGGTACCGACTGAGCGGGAGCACCATGCCGGCACTCAAGGACTGGATGAAGGCTACTGTCGGCATCAGTCTGGAACACAAGTCACCAGCTCAGGTGAGAACCAAACACTAGCCCACAACCTATTGTTACTCTGCTTTGCCATGGATGATCCAACCTTATGCCACCCTTTCACTACGACCACGAATATCCCGAATCACCCCGAATCGGAAAGTTTCGAAATTTGTGATGATTCGGCCAACAATACAAACTTTTGAGGCTAATCGGGTTGAAAAATATGAAGAATGACAGGAATGGGTTAAGATACATGTACGAATTACAAGATTCATGATCGGATCATGCACGAATTGTAAGAATCACCTACGACTAAGTTACGAATATGCTGAATGTTGTTCTTACTTAGTTCTTACATGATTCGTAGTTGACTCGGGACATTCGTGGCTGTTTGGGGATGTTTTCGGGTTGGGGACAAGGAATTTTGGAAGCCATGAATCGCTAAGAATGGCCAAGAATGCTAAATAATCGATTACGAAGCTGTTATGGAACATAGGAATTAATTACGATTGGATTACGATACAGCCACAAAATTGCAATTCGGGGACCCTACCACGAAAGTTTTTGACAAACAAAAACTTTCTCGCCGATTTTGACGAACTCCCGCGAAGTGTACAAATGTTTGCGAATCAAATAAGATACATTTTAGAACTTCAAGAAATGATTGAGATGAACATGAAAAATTTCCTATTCGGGGTGATTCGTGATATTGGTGGTCGTAGCAAAATGGGGGCATTAGGTGTTACAAAATATGGAGCCCCTGTAGGAGTTCCGGGTTAGAATTCAGTGGTAGAAACAAACAACTTTAGTCCACTAGTCCTGACATATAGCCAAATATCTACTAGTCCTTATGATACCTTAAGTATTGGGGAGTTTGGCAAGGACTATAGGACTATAGGACTAGTGCAAATTTCTAACGCTGGAATTGGTCCTCAGCAATCTATGCTGGTGGTAAAAGGTGACCAAATGGATCGGGTGGCCAGACTCAGTGACTTGGTTGATGGTGTGTTTGTGTGTCTTGTCTTCCTGACTTGATTGTCAGCAACAATTGATGATATGTATTTGTGTGTATTGTCTGCCTGACTTGATCGTCAGCAACAATTGATGATATGTGTTTGTGTGTATTGTCTGCCTGACTTGATCGTCAGCAACAATTGATGATATGTGTTTGTGTGTATTGTCTGCCTGACTTGATCGTCAGCAACAATTGATGATATGTGTTTGTGTGTATTGTCTGCCTGACTTGATCATCAGCAACAATTGATGATATGTGTTTGTGTGTATTGTCTGCCTGACTTGATTGTCAGCAGCAATTGATGATATGTGTATGTGTATTGTCTGCCTGACTTGATCATCAGCAACAATTGATGATATGTGTTTGGGTGTATTGTCTATCTGACTTGATTGTCAGCAACAATTGATGATATGTGTTTGTGTGTATTGTCTACCTGACTTGATCGTTAGCAACAATTGATGATATGTGTTTGTGTATTGTCTATCTGACTTGATCATCAGCAACAATTGATGATATGTGTTTGTGTGTATTGTCTATCTGACTTGATCGTCAGCAACAATTGATGATATGTGTTTGTGTGTGTTGTCTGCCTGACTTGATTGTCAGCAGCAATTGATGATATGTGTATGTGTATTGTCTGCCTGACTTGATTGTCAGCAACAATTGATGATATGTGATACATCCCCAGCCTGAAATGAGTGCAGCTGACATCCCTACACCTATCAAGAATGAAAGCTACCTTGCTGAGCTCAAGAGAAGCAGCATCCCATTCTCTGATGACTGTCATGACCGGATCTTCAGGGCACATGGTGGGTTGCAGGGGGTGGGAAGTTCAGTTTTCAAGTTATTCTGAATTCAAGGCAGGGAATACCAGCACGTTTCTAGATGTCCTTCCAATAAATCATTCGCTTACAGTTCAAATGGTAATTTTTTACAATTCTCACAACTCAAAACAGTAGGTTCATCTCCATTTACATCTTCCAGAGGCAAAGGCGTTATCTGACCCTGAAACTCCAGTTTCCACCCTTGCTGAACTTGGCTGGACTTTCCAGGCTTGATCGTAGCGCCACTAGTCCCTTCCATGTCCCTCCTATTTACAAACTGAATGTCTTGTTCGTTACGCGATTTTGATTGGACTATGCATAGACTCGTTAGTCAAGCCAAAATGTAACTTCGGAATTCCAGCATAGTTTGGCAAGGGTGGAAACTAGACTTTTATAGTCAGTTAACACCCTTGCCTCTGGAAGATGCCATTCTTCGTGACAAAGAAGTGTGTAACCTCTTTGGTGTTAGAAAAGGCTATAAGTGACATCAATTGTTCAGTGTTTTGTGTAGGAATCACAGATAATTGCCTTTAAATAAGACATGTGTACTTCTGATTGGTTGAGGTGTTTATGTGTTCAGGATGCCTCTGGTTTCAGGACACACTCTACACGAGATGTTCGTACTCAGAGAGGGGAAGTTCAAGAGAATCCCTGACATTGTGGCGTTTCCAAGTAAGTATGTCAGATGCTCAGATCCAGTAAAGAAAGACATGATAGTTCCACCCAAAAAACAAATTGCGTTAGTTTTGGGTTCATCACAATGATCCTCTATCCCTGGTATGGTGGCCTAACTTTAGTTGTTGATGACCTATAGCCTGTTTTTTAATGTGTCATCTGTCATAATCTGATCATTTTGTTGTTCTAAAACTATTTTTACAATTATAATCTGTGATATATTGCTGGTTTTTCGACGACAGTTTTTTGTATACAATATAAATGCATAACTTGTTCAAGCCACGATATGGCTGAAATATTGCCGATGTGACTTTAAATGTTAACTCACTCACTCTAACATTTAATCTCCATGGAAACCAGGTTTGAATGAGTGTTGTTTTACGCAGCTATCAGCAGTATTACGACAACATCAGGCCAATCTTAACATTAATCATTCTTCTCACTCAGACTCAGTTGTTTGTGTTTTATTTTTTCAGGTTGCCATGCCGAAGTTGTGAAGATTGTCAACCTTGCATGCCAACACAATGTTGTCATCATACCATTTGGAGGTGGAGTGCTGTCAAAACTTTTCATAATTGTCACTGAATATGAGATATAACATCACAAATACTATATTCAACATATTAAGCATCCTGTTCAAATAATACCCAGTTTATTGCTGTTGAAAAATAGTTTCTGCTGTTCTTCCTCCTCATGATGTTTGTGTATCGTAACAATGTCATTAAAATCCGATAGTTTACTCCTATAAGATACCTCTCTGATAGATCTGACATCAGGTGAACTCTGAGTGAACTTTGACCGCCCAATCTTAATGAAGGGTACATGGTTCTTAAGTCAAGCAGATGTCAGCTTGTTAAAATTATATTTGCCAGTACAGCTTATTATGTTGAATACAGTACAGTGATCGCTCGCTATTGCGCTCTTCGATAAAGCGCTACTTCGGTTATTACTCGCGGTAACGCATGGCTCCCAAAATTTATGTACACTTTTAATACTGAGAGTTTTACACAGACATGATTGTATTGTTGTTCGTTGTTTATTTGCACATAACGCTTCTCATTGCATAATCAACGGTTTATCGCTGAATGGAGTTCTAATAATCTGTTTGAAAACATCTGCGGCAGGTCCCGGAAATACGATTGTTCTACTAGTTAACTTTTCACACTATACATCCTTTGATCTTAGAAGCGCATGCATGCAATAAAAGAGAACCACAAGTGAAGTTTATATTCTTAATTAGTGGGCAATCCAATTTAAGGCTAAACTGTCACACACATGTAGTTGCTGTCACAACACGGCGGTCATTCATTTCGTAATCGCGCTTTCGTAACATCGCCTGTTTTTTTCCCCGTAGTTATAACAAGCGATTTCATTGGATTAAAATTTGTTTCTAATGACGCTTTCTTGCCGAAATCTGCTACAAGTTTCGTGATTGGTCAATTTTGAGCACGTGACCTCAGGCAGCCAATCAAGCTGTGATACAAAGCTCGTGTTTGATAAATTTCAGAAGTTAGCGAAAGATTTTTTGTTAAATCGTGTTATTCTGAACGTTTTAAGCAGGAAATCACGATATATATTAAAAATATGGAACTTTGCGAATGTATCGGGCTAGGTTACGAGCTGTGACAAAGATTTTTCATGCATATATTTTTGCATTAAACGTTGTGTCCGAGCCGAGAATTCAAGGCGACGAAAGCCGAGATGTCATTTGACTTACATTACACGCGATCGCACGAAACGATGGAAATAATAACTTAGATGTAAGTTTGATTACTTTTAGATATATTTTTGTTGATTTTATTTATCACTTTGTATAATATATTTAAAGATTTGCTTAAAATAGTCTTTATTTTGCTCTTTGACATGTTCGATGCGGACCCGTTGTCGAAATGTGTGTCCGAGAATTTTATTTTCAATAACATCGCGGGAAATAGTGAATAATTTTTTAATTTATTGATAAAAAATGATAAATTAGAATGGAATACGTATTTCAGACATTGTGAAATATGACAGATTTAATAAATGAATGATATTACAGGTAGATCTAGGTCCATAAAAATATATAGCCTACTATTTTGACGTGACGTGAGATAAACACATAGGCCTATTGATGATTTGAGATTTGCTGAGCGCGCTCCCCCGCCTCGGCCTCGGTTAAACGGCTCATCGTCTATAACGCCCACCAATTATTTGGACCCCATTGGTAGCGCAATAGCGAGCGATCACTGTATTCTGTTTGTAATGCCTATGTTTTTCCACATTTGTATGCTGAGAATGGGACTGCACAACTTTTCGCCTACATCTGTTACTGTAGACGTGTTATTAAACTAGATGTTTCATATCAGAAGTAAGTGGACAATTTACAGGGATTGGCACCATGAGTGAAATCCAACAAGTTCAAACTTGTGGATAATGTGACTAGACAGACCGCAGTCCTTCCACAATTTCACTTCTTTTGGACAACCAGACAGGGACTGTGCCTAACCCTGATAGTGCTCAGATGTTAATGACATTATTATCATAATTATTAGTGTGGTTGGTTCGCCTACCTACATTATTTTGTCACATGCCTTGAAATGAACTTGTATTAAACTGTTTTATGTTTGCTGTTTTATCAGGAGGCACAAGTGTGTCCGGAGCTTTGGAATGTCCAGAAAATGAACATAGAATGATTGTCTCCCTTGACACATCACAAATGGTGAGTTGTGTAACTGTGATACAAGGATGTGTAAAATGCAAGTTCCCTGTGTGACAGTCAGTCGAATCAGTACTTGTAACAAGACCTGGCATGCTTCACAACAGAATCCCAGAGATGTTGCAAATCCCATACTTCTATATATTCTGATGGGGATTCCAGGTTTGAAAAGGTACCAGAACCCAAATGGATTGGATGGTCAGACTCAGTGACTTGGTTGATAGCATGTCCATGTCCTTGTACCTAGGCGTCTATTATTGCTCATGATATCAATCACTGGATTGTCTGATGAAAACTTGATTTTTTTTGCAGGCCTCTGTAATATATCTTGAATATTGCTGAGTATGGTGTTAAACAACAAATAATTACATTAAGTAATACGTTACCACTGTTATACCGAGGCTGTTGTCTCCCACAACTGCTGCTATAGCGAAATCTACCACAGAGATCTCAATTACCTCATGCAGCACGTGCGTAGCCACCCAGCTGCCATGTGACACCCTTCACTCTTGTCTCCTTCGTCTGCTTAGCAAGACGTGTTTCTCCTGCTGAAGCGTTCCTTGAAGATTTGGTGATATTTATTATAGTTTATTCTCTAATAAACTGTGCTTTTATGGGGCGTTGCGGTAGCTACGCTTGGTTATAATTTTCCCGCCAAACGGAAAATTTTTCCCGCCCTTTTTTCTATATACTTGCGGGGTTCGGGTATGCACGTTGTGTTTTACGTTTCCCCTGTTCTTGTATGTTTTGGGGGTTAACATCACTTATTTCTTTAATAAAAGTTATATGTGTATGTTATATGTTCACATTGCTCGTTTATTTTCTTGTGAAAATGTTCGTTTGTGAATCATTGTGGTGCGTGCGTTGTAACCATGTTTTGTTCTTTGTTTATAGCAAACAATCAATGTCTGACATGGATATGTCCCCAGTATCCACCCCCTCTACCCCTGCTCCTCGGAGTTGTGGGGTGTGCAGAAAGTTTTTGTCGTCCCGGGATCCCCACGATCGTTGCCCGCGGTGCAGGGTTCCTTGCGGGGACACCCGGTGCATCCTGTGCGAAGGTCTGGGGCCTGCGGAGTTTGAGCGGTACCAGCTGTACGTACAGTCCGTCTCCACCCCTGTGGTGGCCGGTTCGTCCGGTCGGGGTCCCCGTGCGGGTACCACCTCCTCGGCTGCGGCGGATCCCCTTGCGGCCCTCGGGCTGTCTGGGGATTCCGTCGCCGCATTGTTGTCGAAACTTGTGGTCTCCAAGCTGGCGGCCTTATCGCAAGATAGGCCGCTGGCTGTTCCGTCCCCGGCCTCTTCGGTGGCCGCGGGGTCCACCGGTAAAGCGGCGGATCTCTTGGCGGCCCGTGTGCTGTCCGGGGATTCCGTCGCTGCATTACTTGCATAACTTGTGGACTCCAAGCTGGCGGCCTTATCTCAGGATAGGCCGCTGGCTGTTCCGTCCCCGGCCACTTCGGTGGCCGCGGGGTCCACCGGTACGGCGGCGGCTCCCGTGGTCACCGGTCCTTCCCCCGAACCGTTGCTCCCGCTATCGGTTTAGGACCGCGTGGCCATGGTTTATGACCTCTTTGAGGACATGCCCCGGCCGGTACCGCGGGGAATCCACGACTGTGGGTTCCTCCGAGGTATACGATGAGTCTTCCGACACGGCTTTCCCCGCATCAACCTTGCTGCGCGGTTTCAAGCCTTCCTTGGAGAACGCCTTCGCGGCGGCCTCCGGTCGGGGTCTCCCGTTGCCTCCGACGTCGTGGAGAAAGGGTTTCTTCCCGGTACATGACCTTGCCTTTCCCGAGGCTGGTCCTACCGCGGAGGCCCATGTTGAGCGGTTGGGTGTCCGTGCCCCACCGGCTGCTACGGTAACGCAAGCTACCTTGCACCAGCTGGACGCCCTCGCTCGGCACTCCATGTCTCACGGAGACACTTACTTGGCTGCAGCGGCCCGTCTGGTCGAAGGTTCTCCCACGGACCGTGACCAGCGCATTTACAACTGCCTGCTCAGTTTAAATGCTTCCCTGGAGTACGTTGCCGAGGACTTTCGGCACACACTTGCTCTTGTTGGGTCCCTGCATAGGCGCCTGGGTGCCGCTCCTAACCGGAGCGCGCCCCAGGCTGCTGCGGCCGGTAGGTCTAAGGGGTCGGGTTCTTCTTCCTCTGGGAAGTAGCCCCGCCCTGAGGGCTCCGGTATGGGCAATCAGCTGCCCTTTTGCGGGAAGACGGGGAACTGGGGGAAGCCCAAGTCGTCGACGGACGGCAAGGGCCCCTCCAGGTGACTCTCATTGGAGGGGTTCGTATGCCGACAGCGCCAACTTCGGTTGGCCCTTAGGCGAACCCGAGTCACTTGGCCCTGGACAGTTGCACCTGCCGCAACCTGTCAGGGCCCCCTCTCCTTCCCCAGTGGGAGCCAGACTCCAGACTTACTGGGAGAATTGGGAACAAGTGTTCGACGACCCGTGGGTGGTCAACACGATTCGGTACGGCTATTGGCTTGATCTCAAAGCGAATCCGCCGCTCACCGTTGCCCCGTTGGCAGGTTTCGATTCGGAAACCGATCTTCCCATCCTCGCCGATGCCATCGGCAGGTTGGTGGAGAAGGGGCAGTACGGGAGTTAGCTCTACCAGAAATAACACCGGGGTTTTACTCCAGGATATTTCTCGTTCCCAAGTAGGACAGTGCCGAACTCAGAATGATTCACACGTCCGCTCCCTGGCTGTTCACCCGGTTAACCACCCCCATCTGGAGTGGTGGACGGACACCCTGTCACGCCATCTCGTTTTCGCACGTCGGCTCTTGGAGCAATTTGGGTGGATTATCAATCTCCCCAAGAGCGAGTTAACCCCTTCTCAGAACTTGCTGTTCATCGGAGGTCGGTTCAACACGGTGTCCCATCGCCTCTTTGTCCCCCCAGACCGGTGGCACAAAATTCAGGCGATGATTGCCAAAGTCTTAGCGGTGCAACAGACTGTTCACTTTTGGGAACAGCTGTTAGGGCTACTTGTATCAGCCCAGGACTGCACCGCACAGGGTCGTCTCCAACTCCGCCCGCTGCAACGGTTTTTAATCCAGTTGTTAGCAACGGAGGTGAACAGTGCGACCGTCGCCCTCCCGGATCGGCTCCGACCGCATCTGGAGTGGTGGACGGTCCCTTACATTGTCTTATCAGGAGTCTCTATGCGGCCCTACCGGGCCACGTTGACCCTGTATACAGACGCCTCTCTAGTGGGTTGGGGCGCCCATCTAAAGGGGGAGGTGAGCTCGGGGCTGTGGTGCGTAGACGAACTAGGTCTTCACATCACTTGTCTCGAGTTCAAGGCAGTGATCAACGCAGTCAATCACTGGAAGCATCGTCTCGTCGACGCCCGGCTCATGCTGGCGACCGACAACACGACGGTAGTGTCCTATGTGAACAAACTGGGGGGAACCCACAGTCACTCGCTACTCGATCTCACGTTCGAGTTTTACGCTCTGGTGGACAGTGTCCCGTGCCAGATACGCGCCCGTCACATCCCAGGTGTGCGGAACGTACTGGCCGATGCTCTATCGAAGCCTCAGGCTCCGAGCCCCACAGAGTGGATGCTGAACCCAGTAGTGTTTCAGTGGCTGTGCGAACGTTTGGGTCGTCCGATGGTCGACCTGTTCGCAACGCGGTTCAACAATCAACTCCCGTTGTTTGTATCACCAGTCCCGGACCCGAGGGCCATCGATCACGATGCTCTCGCGTTAGACTGGACGGGCTTGGTCGCTTATGCTTACCCGCCGACAGCGTTGATACCACACATTCTAAGCCGGCTCCAAGGAGTTCGCTGTCGAATGTTACTGATCGCGCCCATGTGGCCGAACAGATCGTGGTACCCCGACTTGCTGACCCAGGTCACGCAGTCGCCACTTCCACTGCCTGTGAGACCGGATCTCTTGATCCACCCTCACACCCGTCAGCTTCATCCAAACGCAGGGCAGTTCAATCTGCACGCGTGGATGTTGTCACCGAGCGTCTGAGGAGTAAAGTTTTTTTCTCGCCGGGCGTCTCGGGCATACGTTAGTATGCATCGTGATTCTACCCAGAAGGTGTGTAATGCACGTTGGGTTATTTTCACGAAGTGGTGTTGTAAACATCACATTCATTCGCCAGATAAGGTATCTGTGCAGGATATTGCTCGTTTCATGTCTCACTTGCGAGAGACCCGGAAACTCTCCGGGGGTTCCATTGCCAACTATGTCTCGTCCGTTGCTACGGTACGGGACGTTGCTATGGGTACCAGTCTCTCCAAAGAGCCGGTGATACGGGGTATTATCAAGGGTTTCAAACAGCACGATCTTAAGAAGGGCCGCCTTCGGGCACCGGCCTTGGATCTTTCCCTAGTGTTGCAATCACTTACGGAAGCTCCGTATGAACCCTTGCATAGTGCTTCGTTCCGGCATGTGACTTGGAAAACAGCATTTCTCCTCTCCTTTGCCACGGCGGCACGTGTATCCGAAATTCATGCACTCGATGTCGCCAAGGTACGATTCGATAGGGGTGACGAAGGAGCGGTCTGCCTGGGCCTGCTCATGGGCTTCGTCGCCAAGAATCAGAGAGTCGGGCAAACGGAGAGAGAATTCACTGTAAGATCACTCAAAGAAATCTTACATCCTGCTGATACTGAGGACAGAGCGCTGTGTCCGGTTAGGGCCCTTAAGTATTATCTTAAGGCTTCGAATGAACGTAGACAAGGGCGTGACCGTCTGTTCATATCGTGTAACCCTAATCGCACGGTTGACATAACTCGCAACTCGATTGCGTTGTGGCTTCGTTCTGTCATCAATCTTGCGTACCGGTCTCGGGGGTTACCGGTAGCGGGGTCAAACCCGCACGAGATCAGGGCGCTAGCGGCAACATTTGCCCTACACTCGAATATCTCTGTTCGCAGAATATTACGAGGTTGTTACTGGCGTTCTGACTCGGTTTTTGCCAATCATTACCTCAAACAGGTCGCTGATGCCGTCGTGGAGAGTGTGCACCGTCTTGGCCCGCGGATCGGGGCGCAAGCGGGCACCTAAGGGGTGTGCCCAGCGCAATTCCGAACTCCTCAGGCGTCTGACCTTGCACGGTGGTCAATCTGGGTCGACTCCAATGTTCCCACTGCCGTGGGTACAGGAGTTGGGGTCCCGCAAACCAGCGCACTCACACCACAGGTGAGGGCGGCTTTTTGTGTGCTTTGTCCTTATTTGTATTTTGACAATTATGTCTTTAATTGTCTGTCGTGTATCCCAACCTTGTGATGCATGCTTACAAATACTGGAATTAGGTCACGCGCCTAATGCATACTTTAAGTAGGCTTGCTCTGGGATATACGGTCTGAATGAAATTAATTTCCCTCTTTTCGACTGTTTAACCTGATCTAAGATTAAGCTCACGCGGATACAGTGTTCTCATCCGCTGCGGCGATGAAATACCTATCCAGTGGGGCCGTTTGGAGTCACCAATCGTTTTGGCAATGACGATTGAGCCTTACGGTATGCGCTTGACAGTGCTTTGGTATTCCTATAGGGTAACGCCTAGCTAGGTGCATGCGCATCGAGTGCTTCCGCCTTGGTGTTTACTTCCGCTGGTCGGAAGGAACGCTAGCAGTCAGGATTCGGGTTGTAGGTGCTCCCCACCGCCTACTGTGGTAGTCAGCCTCGGTATAACAGTGGTAACGTATTACTTAATGTAATTTGTAGAATTTTCCTATTCGGAATATTCTATAAGTAATACGTTACCACTGGGCTGCTGCCCGCCCGTCCGTCCCCCGAGCACTTGCTCTCGCAGGAGACAAGAGTGAAGGGTGTCACATGGCAGCTAGGTGGCTACGCACGTGCTGCATGAGGTAATTGAGATCTCTGTGGTAGATTTCGCTATAGCAGCAGTTGTGGGAGACAACAGCCTCGGTATAACAGTGGTAACGTATTACTTATAGAATATTCCGAATAGGAAAATTCTACAAAACACTAAGCACACTCTATGCACTGATATCACTTATTGAAATAAAAAATGATGAGCAAGCACAAACAAACTTTCTTTTAAATACTTTTATTATTCACATCCAAAATGGCCATTCTAGTTGGTATATAACCTGCACCAGTTGATATATAATCTGATAAAACCTTGAAGGAGCCCTACACCTTACATTGTGATATGATAACATAGGAAATATTCAATAGATATTTGAATCAATATCTCCCCATCATGTGGTATTGTATGAATGTTGTTCCGGTCTCATTAATATCTAATCTTAGTGCTAGTTTCTGAGCACTTGTTTCAAAATGGTGACTTCCTTTTCAGACCACATTTTGAAACACACTTCTCAGTTCAAAATTTGAAAACTCACCAAAGAAACTTCTGGAATGACAAAGGGATGACCAAGAGTGTATGGCAGTACTTACCATGGGCTACGGAAAGCCTCTTCCATTTCATGTTTATTCCATTACAGCCCATAACTGTCATTCGGAATGCATCTTGTCAGCCATTTTGAGAGTGCTTAGTGCATTCCTGGATCTTTTTGTAATAATAGGGTCCGATTTTAATGAGACTCAGGTTTGAACATGGGCATGTAAGCTGATAGTCCATGGAATAGGGTTTGTTCAGTGCTGTAGTACACAGCCTGAAAGTGCTTTGTGCATTCAGGGAACTGTTTTCAAATTATTTGTCAAACAAGTTGAAAGTAAGGAAGAGAATTTATGGATGTCAACTTTTTTATTATGAGGAACACCACATTTCGTAGTATATTCTTACTCCTTCATCAGGTGAAAGAATGCTATAAGGCAGAGGACAACTGAAAGCAAGGACTTAAATTATCACTGATTGGTAATTGGCAATGGGCAAATGGGAGGCCGGGGGTAATTAGCACTGATAGGTAAAAGAATAGAAATAGCAATCGGCAAATGGAAGCCAGCTAGATAATTAGCTCTGCCAATTACCAATCAGTGATAATTTAGTCCTGGCTTCCAGTTGTCCATAACTATAAGTGCTAATTACTGTAAAGTGTTGGCTTCCATTGCCCATTGCTAATCACCAATTAGCACCAATTATCTGTTGGCTTCCCTTGTTAAGTTTCCACCTTTAGTTACCTTATTACTTTTGTTGTTCTTACATGTACATATACGAGTATATGCTCTCTGCTTCATAGCATTCTTCACCTGATGAAGGAGTAAGCATATACTCCGAAACATGTATTCCTCATAATAAAGAAGTTGACATACATAAATTCTCTTCCTTATGTGTATCACTTCTAAATGCCTTTCAAAAACTTAAGTTGAAAGTAGTTTCAAGTAGATTTCTTTAATTTCAGAACAAGATCCTGTGGATTGATGAGAAGAACCTGACGTGTCATGTGGAGGCTGGCATCATCGGCCAGGACTTGGAGAGACGAGTGAGTTTGTGTTGGTATAAACACCTGTTGAACCAGTGGGCGCAGGTGGCCCATTTGTTTAATTTGCAACAATTTAATGAGCAGAGTTGTGTCCCTTAGGCGCACCAGAAACCAATGATCATGGTTCAATTCCCAGTCTGCCTGATCATGTTTCTAGGTTTGTCAGCACCATACCCGTGCTTGGATTTGACCAAAGTGGTAAACGTCTAAGACCTGCTGCACTATAGGCTTTCCTCCCACATCAAGCTGACACACTGTGAAATAAATAAAGTACTATTCAAGGAGTGTTAAACTAAACTCTCTCACTTTCCATCCCAAGTTGGCCACCAAAGGCTTCTGCACCGGACATGAACCCGACTCCATGGAATTCAGCTCACTCGGAGGGTGGGTGGCCACGAGGGCTTCCGGTATGAAGAAAAATATCTACGGAAATATTGAGGATATCGTGAGTATCTCTTCTGTCTAATATTGTGTGCTGTTGTAGTGATTATGTTATTTGGTCTCCATCACTGAGCTGATAACAATATATCTCAATGGATTGTTGTTGCTCATGCGTAACCATTTGATAGTCTGGGGTTGGAAGGGATTTTGTATGGGGTCTAGATATCTTTTCAGCTGCAGCACCAGAAACCTTTTTAAATAAAGTATCTATTACTTCTATAACTATCATGACTATGTGCTGAAATACCTTTGAAAAAACATCATAATGCAACAATGTAATTTTTTAACTTATCCTATCTCAGGCTTCGCATTTCTTCCTTCTTCTGATCCTGTTTCTGTGCTACCGTGATCCATGCTTGAACAAAGTTTCCAACTTCTAAATACATCCATCCAAACACATCCCAGCATAACCATGGTTACCTCCCAAAGAAATAGGTCACACACTGTAATCTCATGCATAGAGACCTACACGATACGATCACGTGTTTGCCTCTGCCACATCATTCTCTTTCTCAATGCCACATAGTGGATCGTGCACTGTGATTTGAGAGTATCTTGTTTGGTTTCTTTTGCGGGATTTCCTTCAACATCATCTAGATTACGTACATAATCTGAGGAATAATGGACAAGGACAGCTCTGTTTGCTTGGTTTGTCAGAAGTGTCGCCATAATTTTTTCAACTGTGACCCTCTTATACTTTGTTGCGATCATCGTGGCCGGTGTGGTTTGGACCAACACTGCTCAGAATGCGAACACCTCACTGAAGAGTCCTTTAATGAAAGTTAACTTTGTCCCTATTGTCCCGGATCAAGAACAGTCCATCCCTGTAGCGTCCGGGTCTATGTCTACATCGGAACCGCCAGCTGACGTGGACGTTCGGATGGTGCTTTCCACAGTCACCTACGCTGGACCTGAATAAGTTGTTGACCAACCCTTGAGCACTCCTAGACAGTCCGCTACTAGTCAACTCTTGTGTCTCGCTCCATCCCGCTCTGTTCCTCACTCCTCGTAGACTATAGCTACTACCACTTCGGAATCAATGGTAATGTCTAAGCCTTCCAACAGCAGAACATGTTCACCCTCTACCGAAGATTGAGCGAGGATCGGTCTCGTGCTCCCTCCAAGAGTTGCTGTTCCAGGAAAAGTCGCTCTCATGTTCTTCGCTCTAAGAAACGCTCTCCTAAGAATCACTCTCCTCGAGATCAACTGTCTCAGGAGAGTCTCTCTGGGCCGCCTGGCCCCTCTCGGGATTGTTGTTTACAGCGCAGGGATGAACTCTCTCAGGATCAATGAGATGGAGATCAACCTTCCAGGTATTGATGTTCCCGTAAATACTCTGGCGCTTTTTCAAGACACTTTCCTGAGAAGATTGTTCATATACAGACTTGGTCACATGTTCCTCTACTTTAGGTCACTCCCTGACCTCCACTTATAGCGCCGTCAACAAGATCGCTTTGATTATCATCATAGACCGGACGTAAGCGCTTGGGATCCCTATCGATACAGCAACTATGCAGGCCATCCGTGTTGCTGGGAGTACTACTCTTCACACATGGAATCGTATCCTCCTTACGCCTTCTTTTCCAGACATCTTCCCATTTGATAACTACTGCTCTCTTCATAGGGGTCAACCTACAGATCACCGTTGCCATGAAAAGCCTAGACGTCCATCCCCTTCTCGTAGATGTTTGTCTTCATCGGCCGCTCATGTGGATTGCCGCTCTTCGAGTTACTCCCAATCGTCATTTCAACTTTCAGTTCGGGTGCCTCCTACCTCTTCTGTATTGACCTCTTCAGTGACAAACCCTCCCTTTACACATCCGCTCCCTACCTCATGGAACCATCAAGAACAAGCTCATAATCTGGGGTCTAATTTGGCAGTACACTCTGACCTCTAGACTTTTTCTGGACTATCGATGGTACTTTTTTCTGGATTCTTCAACTCCTTGCTCTACGGTTCATGTTCCTCCAGTGGGTGATCCTACGCCAGCTGGAAGCGATGTGAACCATCAACAATCTCCCACCTGGTTTTCGGGCAGCTATGGTACACCGATCAGAATGTGGATCCTGCTCTAGTTGTATATTGGATTATGGATGAGTTACAGCTTAAACGCTGTCCTTTAGCTGATGACAGCCTGACTTGTGCTGCTGTTCCCTCCGACGATTCTTCGAACATCATGCTCCCTCCCAGGCCCGTCTTGCCACCAACCATGACCAGGCTTTTGAGTCCTTCTCACACTTACATGATCGCCTTCAAACCCCCTGCTTTGTAGTGGAAGAGTCTGGCACACATGTTCTACCCCTGACCCTGGGTGAATTGTATTTTAGAAACTGGAAACATAGTGCGAGTTAGGATAAGTATTTTAAATATACAATTTATTGTAAAAATGAAAAATATTATCTGGGAGTATACATATTTCTCAATAAAATATGATTTGCTAGACTGGTATTGCTTACAAAGAAATGTAAAATAGCTTTTGACTAATTGACAATATCAATAAACATGCAAAAGTAAGTGGATGGTTTTGCTTAATTTTAAGCGCAAAAGTGTAAAAGTGTCTTTTTCTTCAGGTTGTCCATGTGACGTTTGTCACTCCCCGTGGAGTGCTGGAGAAGAGTTGCCAGGTGCCCAGGATGTCCTGTGGGCCGGACCTGCATCACTTCATCATGGGATCAGAAGGTAGAGCTCCCTCACCCTAGCAAACCCTCCCTCCCTCTCTCCCTCCCTCTCTCAGTCATGTCCAGTGGGCTGGACCTGCATCACTTCATCATGGGATCAGAAGGTAGAGCTCCCTCACCCTAGCAAACCCTCCCTCCCTCAGTCAGCTCCTGTGCGCTGGGCCTTGCATCACTTCATCAAGGGATCAGAAGGTAGAGCTCCCTCACCCTAGCAAACCCTCCCTCTCTCCCTCCCTCCCTCAGTCAGCTCCTGTGGGCTGGACTGCCATCACTTCATCAAGGGATCAGAAGGTAGAGCTCCCTCACCCTAACATACCCTCCCTCTCTCCCTCCCTCAGTCAGCTCCTGTGGGCTGGACCTGCATCACTTCATTAAGGGATCAGAAGGCAGAGCTCCCTCACCCTAACATACCCTCCCTCTCTCCCTCCCTCCCTCAGTCAGCTCCTGTGGGCTGGACCTGCATCACTTCATTAAGGGATCAGAAGGCAGAGCTCCCTCACCCTAACATACCCTCCCTCTCTCCCTCCCTCCCTCAGTCAGCTCCTGTGGGCTGGACCTGCATCACTTCATCAAGGGATCAGAAGGTAGAGCTCCCTCACCCTAGCAAACCCTCCCTCCCTCCTCCTCCCTCCCTCAGTCAGGTCCTGTAGGCTGGACCTGCATCACTTCATCAAGGGATCAGAAGGTAGAGCTCCCTCACCCAAACAAACCCTCCCTCTCTCCCTCCCTCCCTCAATCAGCTCCTGTGGGCTGGACCTGCATCACTTCATCAAGGGATCAGAAGGTAGAGCTCCCTCACCCTTGCATACCCTCCCTCCTTCCATCTCTCACGTCATTTCGATCATGTAATTTGTACAAAGAGCCTGGCAAGGGCATTGATGAGTAGTAATTGATGTAATTACTAAATCTCACTCACATGAGCTGCTCCTCTACCATGTGGATGAATATCAGACATGTCATTACAATATTTCCGATCCTTGTTATTTTAGAGAAAATATCTGTACAGTATGATGGCAATATATGTATGGAAAACAAAAAAGCAAGATAAATGTTGATTGTTATGGTGATGTATGGGGTGTATATATGATGACAACTCAGAGATTTATTTAGACCTGCTTAGAAGCTCGCTTTCAGCCCCAAATCTGTAACACATGTGAATAAAAATTCCCAAGTTGGAACAAATTTAATGTCCCAATTCCCTGATTAAGAGGAAAAGTATTTACCGGTAATGCATATTTTTGTATTCTTGCTTTGAATGGAATGGTGAAATACTATGTTAAGATACTTCTGAATTTAAGAAAATATGAACTTTATAATAACACCAATTTTGAACAAAATAATTATTTTACCAATTTGCAAGACAAGGGCACTTTGTTTGGAATCCTAGATAAATCCCTGCTTCCTTTAAAAAAAATTCTTTTCGCTAAGCATGTGAACTGCTTATGTTGCACAGTTTGTAATGTTGACTTGTCATGTTGTCCAGGAACCCTGGGTGTTGTAACCAAGGTGACACTCAAGATCCGACCACTGCCACCCTGTAAGAAGTATGGCTCTATAGTTTTCCCTAGTTTCGAGCTTGGCGTGCAGTGCCTCAGAGAGATAGCAAAACAGGTATGTCACAGTTTTTTAACACAGGAGCCATTTTGACGTGCAGGACTTGAAGTAAATGTTTTACAATGCACTGTGACAGACTTAGAGGTTGTTAAATTATTAACAGAAATTAACTATATTTATTGATCATATTATTTAAATCTATTTTTGTTTGTTTGAGTGGACACACGGTCACATCACCTCTCTTTTTGAGGAACTATTTATTCCACACTGCTGCTGGTTGTTGTATAGCTGTCAGTGGAAACATGAAGTCACATGTGCTAAATAAGATAGTGTATGTATACAAAGGAATAAAATAGTAATATATAATAGAGTATAAGAGTTGACTTTTGTGCGACGTCATTGGAGTGGGAACCTTCATAGAGTGAGGGCCTTCACCATAGCAAGCTCTGACGTTCATACAGTTGGGCCCTCACTCTATGAAGGTTCATACTCCATTGACAGAGTGAAACTCACTTCTTACATAAACTTGGCCCGTGAAGATCCGGGGTAGAATAGGTCTTCAGCAACCCATGCTTGCCATAAAAGGATACTATGCTTGTTGTAAGAGGCGACTAACAGGATTGGGTGGTCAGGCTCGCTGACTTGGTTGATGCATGTCATCGATCCCAATTGCGTGGTTCGATGTTCATGTTGTCAATCACTGGATTGTTTGGTCCAGACATGATTATTTACAGACCGCTGTCATATAGCTGGAATATTGCTGAGTGCGGCGTTAGCAAACAAACAAACAACATAAACTGACAGATGTAATGTGGATGTTTATGTTTCAGAGGTGTGCTCCAGCTTCCATTAGGTTAATGGACAATGAACAGTTCCAGTTTGGTAATATGATGCTTATACTATTTTTCTATTAACCCTGTAGTAATCCTGTGTGAGACAAGGTGCCTAGTACCTCCTGCTTGTTGTGAGTCCAGCCTCTGTGATTTGGTTGTGTCATTGTACCCGGATGAAGCAAGACATTAATGCTATCGACCACTGGTTTGCCAGATTGCTTACAAGCTGCTGTGGTATGGCTGGAATATTGCTGACTTCAGCTTAAAACAACAAACAAACAAACATTGGTTAAAACAAAGACTTGCTGCCCTGAGCAATAACTACTTTATAGGGATTAGTGAGTGAGTGAGTTTGGTTTTATGCCGCTTTTAGCAATATTCCAGCAATATCACAACGGAGGACACCAGAAATGGGCTTCACGCATTGTATCCATGTTGGGAATCGAACTGGGGTCCTCCGCGTGATGCGCTTTCACCACTCGACTACTCGACTGCCACTCAAAGGGATTAGAAGTCGCATGTCTTTCACAGTTGTCCACTTAATCCAATCTTGTAATTAAACTGACTATTTATTTATTTTTCACTCTTTCAATATTTTGATATATTTTTTAACTTGACACAAGTAAAAAATAAATGGAAGCAACCAAGTACAGTGAACCCTTGACCCTGAGTCTGGAAACACTGTTTGGAACAGCCGTACATATACAAAGGGACATTACTTCATACCCTCCCTGTGAAGGTCCGGGTAGAATAGGTCTTCAGTGACCCATCCTTCACGTAAAGGCGACTAACGGGATCTTGGTTGACTTGGTTGATGCATGTCATCACATCCCAATTGTGTTAATCAATCACTGGATTGTCTGGTCCAGACTAAATTATTTACAAGCTGCTGTGATATAGCTGGAATACTGCTGAGTGTGACCTTAAACAACAAACAAGACAATCAAAACTTCATACCCCTGGAGAAATCCAGAAATTTGTTCGTCCAGATGGTTACATTTCTGGAACAGTATTGTATGTACCAATCAGAGAGCAGAACTATTAACCCCATAGGAGCCTTTATTATGCCTCAAAGTGAGATTGACCAATCAGAGAGCAGATCTACTGACCCCACATGAGCCCGTATACCGTCAGTAAAAATCCAAGATGGTTGATACTGACCTAATATGAGACCGTATACCGTCAGTAACAGCCATCTTGGATTTTCCATCACCCACCTCACATATTTCACATGGTAATTCTGGTACCAAAATTTGTTATTTGACACTGTTTTGTGTTTTACTATCATTAATTGTGATGTGCAAGGACATTAATCTGTATTTTAGATCACGTTCATGACTTTATTGATAAAGATTATGGTTAAAATTTTTGACAAAGTTTGGCCTCTAACGTTTGTAGTCAAGTCAACGTACAGTTGTAAGTGTCAAGTTTTCATTTTGACATGACACGTGTGATATGGAAACCAGAGAGTGTAAACTTTTCGGCATAATAAATTCGTTATGGTGTCTTTAGTTGCCGCATACGATGTCATATTTTTCTGCTAACCTAATATGACAGCGTATACGACAACTAAAGACACCATAACTAATAGTATACCGTCAGTAAAAATCCAGGATGGTGGTTACTGACCTAATATGAGACTGTATACCGTCAGTAACAGCCATTTTGGATTTTCTAACATCAACCTCACATATTTCATACAAAAATTCTGGTACCGAAATTTGTTATTTGACACTGTTTTGTGTTTTAATATAATTAATTTTGATGTGCATGGACGTTAATATTTTTTTCGATCACGTTCGTGACTTGGTTGATAAAGATTATAGTTAAAATTATCAACAAGGTTTGAAGAGTGGTCTCCCTTTGAGAGACGCCTCCCCCAATATTTTAATAGGACACTGTATACGGCAACTAAAGACACCATAACTAATAATATTATCCTTTACTTTAGGTCATGCGTTGAAGCCGGAAGTCAATTCTATTATAAGCAGTTTCGTGGATGGCCTGAAGAAGCTGTACATCACCAAGCTGAAGGGCTTCGACCCGCACCACCTGAGTGTGGCCACTCTGCTGTTTGAAGGAACCAAGGAGGTTGGCTTCTCACCTGTCTAATAAACTGAATGATTCAAGCAATTTGTTGTATAATAATCCATCAACTCACAATTTTGCATCTTCCTGAGGCAAGGGCGTCAACTGACTATAAAAGTCCAGTTTCCAACCTTGCTGAACTAGGCTGGAATTTCCATGTTCGATTGTGACTATTACGAGTTATGTCCCTACTATGTCCATCCTATTGACCAATAAGATTCCCTCGCTTATATCACTTGCATTAGCTTCAAACAAAATGGCGGCACCCAGTCAGGATGATCTGATCGATAATCAAGATCAATATTGTAATAAAAACGAATCTTACCCTGTAAAGTGCATCAAGTCACTTGAGCACCTTGATTAAAAACATGAAAATATCTGTTGATGCCCAGTTGACACTATACATGCTTTGCAAAACCTGCAGTTGACTGAAATATGCACATTGAAATCCATGTTGTGTACAAACTGGGGGCCTAGTTCATTGTGCGAGTTTGATTGACCTATGCATAGACCCGTTAGTCCAGCCAAAATGTAACTCTGGAATTCCAGCCTATTTTGGCAAGGGTGGAAACTGGACTTTTTGAGTCAGTTAATGTCCTTGCCTGGGGAAGATGACAATTTTACAGATGTGGAATAAAATTATATTTGAAGAACACATTTTGTCCCACAGTCACTTTTAGTGAAGACTCTTTTGAGTATATTGGTAAGGGATTTAACTTTTAATGATTGCTTCATTTTCTTGTTATGACAGTGTCAGTGAATACATCCTGTTACTTTCCAGGAAGTTGCTGCTCAGGAGAAAAGGGTATATGAAATAGCCAATAAATACCGGTAAGAACTAACAGGCGTTATCATACGTCCATGTCAGAATGATGAGATCTGATGGGTCCACATGATCTTGATAAAATATGATGTATCCCACCTTGGAGGGAAATAAATTTCTCAGCGGGAGAATTAATCCCTTATACCCCGCCATGAGCAAGACAGGCTGCATGTGGATTTCTGAGAGTCAGAATAAATGCTTTGAAGCAGAAAAATGTCAAATGTAGACAAGGGGCCACTTTAAGTATATGAACAATGATAGTTGTGAGTCTCATTAACATTGATTCTCTGATTCGATACCATTCTGCCGGAATATCAGACAAACCATCCATGCTCAGGTTTACTTCATGGAAGCACCTTAGAGAGTGGAGCATGTGGAGCAGCATATCATAGCTCTGTGTCTTAAAAATGAATGTAAACAGGCAGTTCCGAGTGGACAATATAATATGAAGATGTTTACACCTTGTAATTTTTCTTATATAGCCATGGCATCTAGACCAAACAAGAACACCATAAGGAACATAAGTGTTTTGTGTGGGGTTTTTTCCGTTAGAATTGAAATTTCCATATCAGGACAGGAACTGAGGTTCACAAAATTGAGAATATGGTGAAGCTGAATTGATGTAGAATGCTAATGTGATGGGCTAAGAAAAAAACCCATAGTTTGTTAGGGTTCACCTGACAGATCTTTGTCAGATCTTCACGTAGAGTGGTATGTCAGATAAGTGTGGGAGATGGTAGTTGAGAGATTACTTTGTGCTAGACCCGGTAATGTAACACAAGAATGGAAATGTCATATATGACATATTCCCTTGACCGAGAGTGGTTTCCTACTGAATCAATTTTCTTGTTCTACAGGGCTCTGTGTCTTTGTTCTAATGTGAGTGGGGGAGAGTAGCCAAGGCATCAGGGGCGCCACATTTCACTTTGCAGAGTTGTAACCCTTGGGCATGGCTGTGGGTTCGAATCCCAGTTCACGCCAATTTTGTTATTGGTTCATCAGCACCATACCCATGCTTGTTGGTTTAAACAAAATGAGAAACATCTGTGACCTGCATCACTTTGGGCTTTCCTCCCACATCAAGCTGACAGGCCGTGATAAACTCCCTCCCTCACACACTCACTCTCATGTGAGACTGGAAATATGATGTCTAATTCCATTAAGCCTTTCAGAGTTATCTCCCTTGATAATCAAATCCCAGTCTCTGTCATTCGTCACCTCTCGCCCCTTTCCTTCACCTGCAAGAAGACTTGTCCCCCTATCGATGAATGTTATGTGCGAAAATACGACAAACTAATCAGAATGCGCGTATGATTTCAAGTTCTTCGTCAAAGAATCCCTCAAAAATAATTTTTCGATTTTACATATGTCTTGCATCTAAAAATATACCAAAGACACAGTTAAATGTGTTCAATCATACTGTATAATTCCACACGTCCCGATGTGCTTTAAATTGCATCTGAAATAAATATGATATATGGGGAAAATGTGTGAACCATTACGCAACAAGTTGACAATTGTTTTAGGTATGCCCGTTTACGCTAAGACGGAACCCGGTCGCAAAAATGGCCACGAGAGGGGCACGAGTCGCTATTCGGCTTGTCCCGGAATAACACGAGTTGGTCACAAATGAGTCTCTGTGTGTAACAGAGTGTGAGGAAGGGTCTATTGTTCTTGTTCCTGTTCTCAGCCATGATGATTTGTATGTGTGGTATGTTCCAGTGTGATCCCAGGAGGTGCCAGTGTGTGAGGAAGCGTCTATTGTTCTTGTTCCTGTTCCTGTTCTCAGCCATGATGATTTGTATGTGTGGTATGTTCCAGTGGGATCCCAGGAGGTACCAGTGTGTGAGGAAGGGTCTATTGTTCTTGTTCCTGTTCCTGTTCTCAGCCATGATGATTTGTATGTGTGGTATGTTCCAGTGGGATCCCAGGAGGTGCGGACAATGGAGAGAGAGGGTCTATTGTTCTTGTTCTTGTTCTTGTTCTCAGCCATGATGATTTGTATGTGTGGTATGTTCCAGTGGGATCCCAGGAGGTACTAGTGTGTGAGGAAGGGTCTATTGTTCTTGTTCTTGTTCTCAGCCATGATGATCTGTATGTGTGGTATGTTCCAGTGGGATCCCAGGAGGTACCAGTGTGTGAGGAAGGGTCTATTGTTCTTGTTCCTGTTCTCAGTCATGATGATTTGTATGTGTGGTATGTTCCAGTGGGATCCCAGGAGGCACCAGTGTGTGAGGAAGGGTCTATTGTTCTTGTTCCTGTTCTCAATCATGATGATTTGTATGTGTGGTATGTTCCAGTGGGATCCCAGGAGGCACCAGTGTGTGAGGAAGGGTCTATTGTTCTTGTTCCTGTTCTCAGTCATGATGATTTGTATGTGTGGTATGTTCCAGTGGGATCCCAGGAGGCACCAGTGTGTGAGGAAGGGTCTATTGTTCTTGTTCCTGTTCTCAGTCATGATGATTTGTATGTGTGGTATGTTCCAGTGGGATCCCAGGAGGCACCAGTGTGTGAGGAAGGGTCTATTGTTCTTGTTCCTGTTCTCAGCCATGATGATTTGTATGTGTGGTATGTTCCAGTGGGATCCCAGGAGGTGCGGACAATGGAGAGAGAGGGTACATGCTCACGTTCGTCATAGCCTATCTTAGGGTGAGTCGATAATGTAATTACTTGGGATGAAATGATACTGCATGATCACGATACTATATGTATCATGATATATAGGTCATACGTATATAGGTCATGGGATACGTATCGTGATACACATATTTATGTCAAATCGTGTGGAAACTTCTTGACTAAAAATATTTCAGAGCAGGTTCAAAAGGTAATGCTAGCTGTAGACATGTTCATAGCAGCTATTTTTAGGAGTGAACTTGAAACACTAACTACAACACATTTCGTGATATTGGACGGACAAAAATGTGGGTGTCATTAGACAAGGAGTAAGCAAATTCTTTTAGCAAGTGTAACGTCTTGTTTCGATACAGAAACAAACATATTGTTTATCATATCATCTAAAAAAAAGTCACGTTGCACAGGTGCACCAATATTCCTTTTCAACCCTGTTATTTTCAACTTAGGTTAGGATATGTTCCTAGTACATAAAAGGCAACTGAAAGTAAAATAATTTTGTTTCAAGTTTGTTACAAGAAATGTTTGAAGATCTTGAAAAAGCTGTCTGTTTGGTTGTTTTTCTCAGCCGGTATGATAGGAATCGAGAGAACTTTTCAAAATGTTTGTAAGTTGAAAATCACCATCTTGTTTCTAATCCTGTTATACTCAGATGTATGCAAATTTCATGACATTTGTTATGAATTGTTATGTTGTTCTTTATTGCAGGATCTTGGGTTTGAATATTACATTGTAGCAGAATCCTTTGAAACATCTGTTCCTTGGGACAGGTAAGCTGATTCATGTCTTCAACAAGGGCTATTCTCACAGTACTAGGGGGGGAGCACGGGTGGCCCAGTCGTCTAGGGTGCCGCGATTCGCTGTGCAGAGTTGTGTCCCTTGGGCACACCAGAAACCTATGATTGTGGGTTCGAATCCTGGTACACCTCAATTATGTTTCTAGGTTTGTCAGCACCATACCCGTGCTCATGGGTTTCACCGAAGTGGTAAACGTCAGAGACCTGCATCACTTTGGGCTTTCCTTCCACATGAAGCTGACACGCCATGGTATAACTGGGATACTGTTAAAAGCGGCTTAGACCAAAATATTAAGCTCAAGTATTGCTGTGTGTGGCGTTTAACAACAAACAAACATCTTGAGGATTAATTAGTAAGAGACAAGTATGTCACAATGACACAAGACATTAATCAATACTTTTAGATCTAGACTGGAAGTAGACTCCATAAGGGCTGGGACAGGGTAACTCGGGTACTCGGGTCAGGTGACTCCCGAGTATGACCCGGGTACCCACAGGACTACCCGGACCCCAATATTGTTTAATGAGGACAACGGTCAAACTCTTTGGTTACACAACAGATCACTAAATATTCGTATTTCTTTCTGACAATGCACGCATTCCTTCTGACTCATACGTTTGAGTAAAGATAAAGCTTCTGTAAACTGCAGTGTATGCATGATCAGATTGTTTTGTGTGTATATCCAAGCAGCAGGTATCCCCCAGTCAGGTAATAGGGGGTCAGGCACGGGGTAATAAATTTGGACTCGTCCCAGCCCTTGACTCCAGCCAATGAAACATAGTCCCTTTTCCATCAGATGTATGTTATGTTCATGTTAGTAGTGGGACGATACACCGATGCATCGGTGGATCAAGATTTTATACTTATCGATACAAGTATCGATTACAGTCGCACACTAAGTAAAAAGTATCAATTCTTACCTCCAGTGATTGCTTCAATAACTGTTTCACTAAACACTAATATCAAGTGAAAATTATTAGTGAAAACATAATTATTTTCATCCATTGTGCCATAATCTTCAGTGTGCTAGGTATTGGGTCATCCTGTATGAAGAAATGGCTTAGGGGCCACAGATGAGGGCACATGCAACATCTTGATACATATCGTATCATGAGCAAAGTATCGTGATACGTATCGAATTGCATAGTTGGTTTATCATCCCAGCCCTAGTTGGCGTATTACTAACTAAGGATGTGCTGTTGGTTGGTTGGTTGGTTGTTTAACACCACACTCAGCAATATTCCAGCAATATCATGTATATGACGGCGGTCTGTAAATAATCGTGTCTGAACCAGACAATCCAGTGATTAATATCATGCGCATTATTCCATGCAGTTGTGATCAATGACATGCATCAACCAAGTCAGCGAGCCTGACCACCCATTCCCGTTAGTCGCCTCTTACGTCAAGCACAGTCGCCTTTTACGGCAAGCAAGGGTGTGCGGTATTACCGGTATATCGGTAAATTGAGGTTCATTCCTTCCAAGGTACATATGACAATATAATTTTTTCATGCTCCATATATCGAGTGATTTCAAATTGGGTTTTTATCATGTGTTTAATGTTATATGCTAGCCAAATGTATCTCGAGCCCCAATATGGCTGCATATTTATTTAATGAGGAAACATTATGTTGTACCAGCATCTTGTTTTGTTCCATTTATGAACTTCAGTTCATACCTTAATGTATCAGATTGCTGCTGAATTAAAAAAATTAGAATTGTACAATATATCGTACATATAGCAATACGGCCTTGTGCATCGCAAAATATTGTGGTACACTTTAGACCTTCAATACCCATCCCTATTACTCAGTATAATGGTTTGTTGTGCTGTTTCAGGTGTCTGGATCTGTGTCAGAATGTGAAGGAGCGTTTGCATCGCGAGTGTAAAGACAGACGGATTCAGTTCCCTCCATACATCACTTGCAGGTAAGATGTCAGTGTGATTGGCAAGATAGTGCTGATCACACCTCTCTTCTCACTCACTCACTCACGATCATGTCTGTAATATTATTCCCTCCATACATCACTTGTAGGTAAGATGTCAGTGAGATCGGCAGGATAGTGCTGATCACAACTTATTCTCACTCACTCACGATCATGTCTGTAATATTTGGTGCAGCAGTGAAAATACCAGTCTGGATTCTCAACAATTGTATAATACTAACCAATGACTCATTCTACCCCAACTATGACTGTGTGGTCATTTGTTGCTAGAGAATATCAGCAGCAATTCAGCATGTATATGTTTTGTATCACATACATTTACTCCGTATTCACCTAATGAAGGGGCAGGAATTGGTCCTGAAACGTTACAACCAATAAAATAATTACTCGTAGACATTTCTTGTTTTCACGTCCTTCCAACCTCTTAAAACATTGGGGGGCACGTGTGGCCCAGTCGTCTAAGGCGCCACAATTCGCTGTGCAGAGTTGCGTCCCTTGAGCACGCCAGAAACCTATGATTGTGGGTTCGAATCCCGGTTCGCCCCGATTATGTTTCTAGGTTTGTCAGCACCATACCGGTGCTCGTGGGTTTCACCGAAGTGGTTAACGTTTGAGACCTGTATCACTTCGTCATTAAGCTGACAAACCGTGATGTGACTGGAATATTGTTAAAAGCGGCGTTAAACCCAACTCACTCACTCTTAAAACATTGGTTGGTAAATAATCTTCAATTAATGCCAGTTTAGATGTCATTATAAAGGTATTATTTTTATTATTAATTATTCTAGTTGAAGAGAAATAAAGGTTGTGTAATTTCAACAGTAGATATTATTGTGGTGGTGGTAAGGCAGTGGGTGTAATTACTTCAGTACTTTCAGTAAAATGTGAAATGATAGTGACAATGCCCCTTGCTGTGCAGAGTGACGCAGTTGTACGATGCCGGAGCCTGTGTGTACTTCTACTTTGGCTTCAACTACAGAGGAATATCAAACCCAGTGGAAGTGTACGAGAGCATTGAGGTAGTGTAAAACTTGGGATTCATTGTATGAAAGTGTCCAAGAGCATTGTGATAGTGTAAAACTTGGGATTTCCTGTATGAAAGTGTACGAGAGCATTGAGGTAGTGTTACACTTGGGATTATCTGTTTTAAAGTGTACGAGAGCATTGTGGTAGTGTTACACTTGGGATTTTCTGTTTTAAAGTGTACGAGAGCATTGAAGTAGAGTAACACTTGGGATTCCCTGTTTTAAAGTGTATGAGAGCATTGTGGTAAAGTAAAACTTGGGATTTCCTGTATGAAAGTGTAAGAGAGCATTGAGGTAATGTAAAGCTTGGGATTCTCTGCATCTAGTTCATAGATAGTATGGTAAGATGCTGGGTCTGCCTCAGCACTGGTGTAGTGATATTCACTTAGATAAGACTCACTCCATATCATATCACTCCAAGTACAATACCTTCAGAGCAAGATATTTAAAACATTTTGCTGAAGAGGAATAAAGAACATATTTCAAAATGAAAATTGGTGTAACAACTACACTCAGCGAATGGAAAACAGTTCTGTGCTGGCTAAGGCGATTTAGAGAAGCAAATGTGTATTACCCCTTAACTGATAAAGGGAGATAATTTTTCAAGGATATCCACACTCGCCTGGAAAGTCAAAATTTTTGCAGCCATATTTTCATCACTGAAAATCAACGAATTTCCAAGTCTGGTTTCTGGAAATTGAGTGATATGTTTTGGCAGAATATTGTGTTTTTCTACCAAAACAGTTTGTGGAAATAGTACTCTTATATCAAAACATATGTTCAAAATGTTGCTCATGTAGACTCCTTATGTGATTCCTGTTCCAATCTGTTTGTAGCTAATCTCATTAAAATCAGATCTTAGTTCTCGCTCCCGCTAAACAAAGATCTGAGAACACCCCATTTCGGGTCACGTCGGACCGACCTTGCTCAAAGAATAATTGTATGAAATAACCCCCCTGTATGAAGTCCATCAGAGAGTTACAGGTGGGATATGCAATGTGTTTCAGGCATGTGCTCGAGATGAGATTCTGGCCAATGGCGGCAGCATATCACATCATCATGGAGGTGAAGTATTCCCTTCATCATCTGTTTAAATACACAATTCTTTGGAACAGTATGAACTGATACTCTCAAAACTCTGAATTCCATTTTACTGAATATAAGCAGCAGTATTGTTTCTTTACTTTTTCAGGGGCACGGGTGGCCCAGTCGTCTAAGGTGCCGCGATTCGCTGTGCTGGGTTGCGTCCCTTGGGCACGCCAGAAATCTATGATTGTGGGTTCGAATCCCGGTTCGCCCTGATTATGTTTCTAGGTCTCAGCACCATACCCGTGCTCGTAGGTTTCACCTAATCGGTAAACGTCTGAGACCTGCATCTCTTCGGGCTTTCCTCCCACATTAAGCTGACACGCTGTGATGTAACTGGAATACTGTTAAAAGCGGCGTTAAACTAAACTCACTCACTCACTCACTCTTTACTTTTTCAACTTAATGAATGATTCCAACCAGTTTGTTATAACCAAACTGCCGAGGTTGCTGCTGTTGGGCACTTTGAGTATGGTCATATACGGTATACATATGCTCATATCATCATTGGGGGCGGTCGGGTAGCCTAGTGGTTAAAGTGTTAGCTTGTCACGCCGAAGACACGGGTTCAAATCCCGATATGGGTAAAATGTGAAGCCCATTTCTGGTGTCCCCTGCCATGATTTTGCTGGAATATTGCTAAAAGCATTGTATAACCTCACTCACTCACTCATATCATCATCACATTTTGAGGTACTGTTGTTGTGTTTCCATACTTTGGAGTAGGCTTGTCTTTAACACAGTAAAACAAGTTGGTCTGTTCTAATGACACACGGGGGCACGGGTGGCCCAGTCGTCTAAGGCGCCGCGATTTGCTGTGCAGAGTTGCGTCCCTTGGGCACGCCAGAAACCTATGATTGTGGGTTCGAATCACGGTTTGCCCCGATTATGTTTCTAGGTTTGTCAGCACCATACACGTGCTCGTGGGTTTCACCGAAGTGGTAAACGTCTGAGACCTGCATCACTTCGGGCTTTCCTCCCACATTAAGCTGACACGCCGCGATGTAACTGGAATAATGTTAAAAGCGGCGTTAAACCTAACTCACTCACTCACTCTAATGACACACAAACTGCTTCCGTGGTCTAGTGGACAGTGTGTCTGCCCAGAGAGCTAATGTTTGGTGTTTTGATCCCTAGCTTTTGTCATGCCAAAAGATGTTAAAAAATGGTACTTGTTGTTACCTTGCCTGGCACTCGGTATTATACTGTGTCTGAGTGGAGTATCCATGTCAAACTGCGGCATGGTATCTCAGTGGCTAGCACTATAAAACCTGCATAAGTCCATATCAGTACAAGCAGACGCACATACACACACATGAACACCTACAAATGCTTGCACTTTGCTATATAAGTACAATAATCTGATGCCTGACATGATGGAAGTTTTACTATTCTGTTGACAGTTGGTAAACTGCGGAAACGCTGGCTGAAGGAGACCGTGAGTGAGGTTGGTGTTGGAACTCTGAGAGCCGTGAAGGAGTACATGGACCCAGACAACATATTCAACAACAAAAACCTGATGATGGAGGACTAGCCTGGAGGACTAGCCCTGGAGGACTAGCCTTGAGAACTAGCCCTGGAGGACTAGCCTAGAAGACTAGCCTGGAGGACTAGCCCTGGAGGACTAGCCTAGAGGACTAGCCTGGAGAACTAGCCTGGAGGACAAGCCCTGGAGGACTAGCCTAGAGGACTAGCCTGGAGAACTAGCCCTGGAGGACTAGCCTGGAGGACTAGCCTAGAGGACTAGCTTGGAGGACTAGACTGGAGGACTAGCCCTGGTTATGTCCATTATTTAACATTGTGTGCTACCGGAGGCAGGCTGTGCCACGTGGCCTGGCACCAAATATTTTATCTTGTAATTCAAACAAATCATTCAACATGAAAATGGTTCATGTTACCAATTGATGATACAACATCGGGCTGTGTATCATGTGTCAGTGATTCAGTCGGTGAAACGTGTTAAGGCGGATACAGTCAGGCTGTATTTTTTCATATACTGATGACAGGCGTACTTATCTTGATACCAAGGTTGCAATACAGTACAAGTAGCCAGTATTCCAATACTGTGTTTCATGCAGTATTCAGTATTACAATACTGTGTTCTGTGCAGTATTCACTATTCCAGTACTGTGTTCTGTGCAGTATTCAGTATTCCAATACTGTGTTCTGTGCAGTATTCAGTATTCCAATACTGTGTTCTGTGCAGTATTCAGTATTCCAATACCGTGTCCTGTGCAGTATTCAGTATTCCAATACTGTCATCTGGGCAGTATTCAGTTGTCCAATACTGTGTTCTGGCAGTACTTCACTCTGAAGTAGTTACTGTTTGTCCCTAGGAAGGAAAATACCAATTCTACAGTCTGTCCTAGGAGGACACAGCCCTGGTTCTAGAAAGGTATGCATGGTATGAGGATCACCATCAACAAAACTCATGTTTCCTCGAGTGATACAATTCAGTCATTTATCAACCACGTAATCTCATGTCGTTTATATACATTAATTTTCCCAACTGCAAAGTGTTATTGTGATCAGGTTTGGAAGATTACAGTGGATTCATACTGACTGACTGACTGACTGACTTTCATAAATGTTTCATTTGAGTGCTGTACTTGTATATGTGATGGTCAAAATCTGTGTTTCACATACTAACTGCATGGGTGTTCAACTGACAAAATTTCCTACCTGCCCTAGGGCAAGTATACTTAAAGATTCTCCTTAACTTGCTTAATAGAAAAATGACGAGTGAGGTACTTCATCTGCAGTTGACAAACACACGACACATCTTCTTAGTTTCAAGAAAATACAGCTGATTTTCAAACTTGCCAAGGGCTGTGGGGTAGTCTAGTGGTTAAAGTATTCGCTCGTCACCAAGAAGTCCGGGTTCAGTTCCCCACATGGGTACAATGTGTGAAACCCATTTCTGGTGTCCCCTGCCGTGATATTGCTTGAATATTGCTAAGAGCAGCGTAAAACCAGACTCACTCACTCAATCCTACTTGCCGAGGGCAACTAAGTTACATTTTCCCACTTGCCTGACACTTTATTTTCATGGGTCGGGCAAATAGGGCATACTAATTGAACACTCCTGTAATAAGCTTATCATTTGTACATGCTCACAATTCATTTAATGACATTTTACAGTGATAATACTACTCCAGTCATTGGAGTGATATGTGGGAGGCTTGTACAGTAATCACACGTATATATATTACATGTATTCGACATTTGTCGTCTACATAGACTGGGGAAGTGTTCCAATGGTCTAAGGTGCTTCCCAGAGTTGTGTCCCTTTGGTGGCAGGATCCGCTGGTATAATGTTAAATCCTGATGTACCACAATTACTGTTTGGTTTCTTGTCACGATGCCAGTTCTGAATGTTTCATCAAAGTCTTTAGTCTAAGACCTGCATCACTTTCGACTTTTCTCTGACATTAATCTGGCTCGCCATGACACAACTGATATATTTTTCTAAGTGGCAATGAACCCCTCACTCCCCTAATGTCAGTATACAACGACAAACCATTTTATCAGGTCATAAGAATTCATGGATCAGCTTAATAGCTTAATTACATACCTGCATGAAAGCATATTTTACCCATTTTAAGAGGACGAGTGACAGTATTTTGGGGGGATATTGGTCAAAATGGCAAGGCAAAGCAACTACCTTTCTATCCTAAACGGTATTGTCACTAGTCTTATATCTGGAGCTATGCCATATCTGAGTTCTACAATATCATTAAATAGAAGTGAATAGTTTGCGAAAACAAACTTTCTGCTTTACTTTTAATGTCCATGAGCTGTACAGCTTAAACTTCTGTTTGAATGTCAAGGTCGCTCAAGAGACACGTTGTATTACATGTATTGGTTGGAGTACAGTTTCGGGGCTCATTGTACTGCAGGTGACCACATGTGACATGCTGCACCAATTAAAACCGAGTCGTTAGCTTCACATACATCACAAGTAGCACCAAGGCGGTCAGGAACAGATTCAAGCCATTACCTGAGAACAGTAACTTTGAACTAGTACAGAACTAGTTTATTCTAAGAAAATGTTCAAGACATCAAGGAATCTGTCACGAAAGCTCAAAATTTACGTTGCATTTGAGAAATACAAGTAACGTTAGGCTTTTGCTGCAAACGGAATTAAGTTTTATTTTCAAAATTCCTCTGGGATTGGTGTTGTAATGGATTTTTTTAATCAGATCTATAGTCCCCTTGCAATTTTCTTTAATTATCGCACACGTCTCTTACACAATTTAGCTCATACTCATTTCCTTATGTTGTATTAAATTATTTGAGAAAGCTTTAATTTCACATCATCCAAGTGTATTCCACATTTTTTAATGATTTCTACTTTTGTATGTGCATTATTTCAGTATTTGATCAATATATCTCCACTTACCCAGGATATTGAGGAACTTGTGAGATGCATTTTCTATTGTTCAATCTCACTGTATTGGTTTGTGATGCTTTTGGGTGTTAAATAGAGGATCTCACCTGAGTGTCTTTTGAGGTCAAATACATCAACAAAAGCTGATTAAAACCTTGCCACTCCCGAGGCTTACTGATGAATCTTTAACATTTATCGATGAATGTTGATATATGTGGCATAAAAAAACACAGGGTTAAGATTCGGTTTATCATCCAAAATCATTCTTCCAATTTTTTTAGTTTGTAAACAGTAGTAAGCTGTCTTGGGATTGAATAAGCACAGCTAACCAGCTCGGTGAGAGATCAGTGATGTCATTTTATTGTGATGTCATGGTAACTAATGATGTCACAATGGTCTGCAAAGGATTTTGATGCAATTTGTTTTGCTTGATCTCACCCATGCATTATCTCCTGTTGAAGCCAGTGTGGGGTGATCTATTGCATGGCTTCAAGCAGTTGAGAACTTTCCACGATGAGTTTGCATTAGGCTTAAAAAATAAAAGAATTGGTTCTCAGGCAATGGGTTTTGAAAATATGGTGCGGGCGGTGTCTTTTACTTTTTAGTTGTTTTTTTTAGAGAGGGGGGGGGGGAGGGAGAGGGGTGTTCAAACTAGTATGTAGCCAATAAACAGTTTTGTAATCAATAAACAACTGTGTACAATCAACCTGGCAAAGGGCCTCCCTACATAAATGTATTTGTTGATGAGTAAAATACTTGATGAATACTTAAGTTGTTTTTTTAAAAATGGAAATAAAAACGAAATGTGTGGCAAACTTTGATTCGGGCAGTGCCTGAGAACCAAGACTATTATTGTTTTTAGCCTTACTGTTACATATTTTACCGGCTATAAAGGTATATTGGTCTGTACAGAAATTAGATTGTGTGTGCATAATGAACAACTGTTTATTGTAATTCTTTTAACTAAATTGTGTATAAATCATGCAGAAATAAATTTTCTTCCAAAGAGTATGGCCTGTGTCTTCCTTCACCAGATGGGACTGCTCCTTCACTTCAGACTGTGAGATTCTACCTGCTGGTTTATTGTATTAGTGACAATAGTGTCCATGAAGAAAAGAAAATTATGGTGTTTTGATTGAATATAAATTTCTTTTTAAATCAAACTCTCTCTCAGTAAAAAGGCAGACAGTTTTATTACTTTAATAAGAAATTCAGATTCCCGTGTTTCTTGTATATGTGCAGGGCCCTGTTCCACAAGGCGATCGTAACTCCCATACTTAACATAGACTTACGGAAGTCTTAGCACCAAGATTGCTTTGTAGAATGTGCCCCAGGTCTCTTGTAAAAGAGTGAACTGGGTACAATCATGCAAAAACATTGAACATGTATTGTGTAGCTTCATTTTTGGCCTTTCATTTTGGTGAAACCAACAAGCATTGGTATGCTGACAGATCAAAGTTCCTCAAAGCTATCTCAGTGCTATGACTATCGTAAGCCGATGTTAAAGTATGTGACTTTAGATCACCTTAGTGCTAAGATTGCTTTTTGCATCTACAACCATTGGTTCAAGGCATGGGTAAAAGATTCAACACTCAAATATTCAGTTCCTCAGGTCACAGCCCATTTGATCCCATTCCAAAAACTTATGAATAAATTGTGTCCATGTTTCTTCCTGCTTGTGCCACAACTGCCCTATTTCACACAAAGTGTGAAATTCTAACTGGACAGTGTAACAGCCTGTCTGCTTGATGACAGTTGACATGCCAAAGGTAGCAAAAGAAAAACCACCACTGTGAGTTATCCATAAATTTATTACACAGATGCTGAGTGACAATGATAGCAAGTGTTTCGTGTCTATCACATTACAAAATGAGAACATGGTATAATATACAATGCAAGTTAGGAGACGGAGGCTAGGTAGTCCTTGATCTCTGAGGGCGAGAGACGATGGAACCCATCCTTGTTACAGATCCCAATCTCTATATTGTCTTCCGTCATCTGTCCTTCAAAGCTCTCCTTCAGAGTCAGGATGGAGGTGTGAACGGCATCCTCTAACTCCAGACTTTCACTGTATCTAAAGACAAAACACAAATACCATCAATTCTTGAGTTGAACAAAATAAACTCTCATCCTCAATGCTGGTTATGTCTCACATGAAAAAGCAATCTTGAAAATGAATAACCAAGCCTAAAAGTCTACTAAGGCTACACTTTCAATATTGTATGATTTGCGGATATTTTCTAACCAATTAGTTATGAGAGGGTCAATTAAAGTCAGTCTGTGTCAAAATTTCAGTCCACAGCCTTATTTTAGTGCTATTTATATGGATGTTTTAGCTGATCTTGCTAGACCAAACGATTTTACTTGACTTGAAATTCAGACGAATGGTTATTCGCAGATGAGTGTTTAGGTCAGTCGATTAAGTGGGGCAAAAAATAAATGCTAATTCTGTTTACAGCGCAGGATCTTTACTGTTTTCAGTGGCAGTGGTCAATTATTATTTAACTTTTAATTTTTGTTACAATTATTATCTCCCTTTTTTGAATACCAATACCTATGGTACACTCAGTGAGACATGAAGCACAAGAACTTACCTCTTCTCAAGGAATGTTTTTCCATTGATCTGATTCTTGCCCATAGCTGTGGCCTTCCATGCAAAGTAAGCTCCCTGGAACATTAACACAGAGACTTTCCACATAGTTCAGCTTTACACAGGAATCCTAAACATGTCTAAATGTAAGTTTTACAAGACATCAGCATGACTCTCAGTCTGCCTAGTACTTCAACAGGTCAGCAGTTTGAATGTTTTCTCAAAAATGTTTGTAATCATCACTATATTTTTCAGGGGCAAGGTCATACTTACAGTGGGGTCACACTGGTAGATGTAAGGCCATACTTACAGAGGGGTCACACTGGTAGAGGCAGGGTCGTACTTACAGAGGGGTCACACTGGTAGAGGTAACGTCATACTTACAGAGGGGTCACACTGGTAGAGGCAAGGTCATACTTACAGAGAGTTCACACTGGTAGGGGCAAGGTCGTACTTACAGAGGGGTCACACTGGTAGGGGCAAGGTTTTACTTACAGAGGGGTCACACTGGTAGAGGCAAGGTCATACTTACAGAGGGGTCACACTGGTAGAGGCAAGGTCGTACTTACAGAGAGGTCACACTGGTAGAGGCAGGGTCGTACTTACAGAGGGGTCACACTGGTAGGGGCAAGGTCATACTTACAGATAGGTCACACTGGTACAGGCAAGGTCGTACTTACAGAGGGGTCACACTGGTAGAGGCAAGGTCGTACTTACAGAGGGGTCACACAGGTAGGGGCAAGGTCGTACTTACACAGAGGTCAACTGGTAGAGGTAAGGTCGTACTTACATAGGGGTCACACTGGTAGGGGCAAGGTCGTACTTACAGAGGGGTCACACTGGTAGGGGCAAGGTCGTACTTACAGAGGGGTCACACTGGTAGGGGCAAGGTCGTACTTACAGAGGGGTCACACTGGTAGGGGCAAGGTCATACTTACACAGAGGTCAACTGGTAGAGGTAAGGTCGTACTTACAGAGAGTTCACACTGGTAGGGGCAAGGTCGTACTTACAGAGGGGTCACACTGGTAGGGGCAAGGTCGTACTTACAGAGGGGTCACACTGGTAGGGGCAAGGTCGTACTTACAGAGGGGTCACACTGGTAGGGGCAAGGTCGTACTTACAGAGGGGTCACACTGGTAGGGGCAAGGTCATACTTACACAGAGGTCAAATGGTAGAGGCAAGGTCGTACTTACAGAGGGGTCACACTGGTAGGGGCAAGGTCATACTTACAGAGGGGTCACACTGGTAGAGGTAAGGTCATACTTACAGATACTTACAGAGGGGTCACACTGGTAGAGGCAAGGTCGTACTTACAGAGGGGTCACACTGGTAGAGGCAAGGTCGTACTTACAGAGGGGTCACACTGGTAGAGGTAAGGTTTCTCCTCATCTTCATCCCAGCCAGCGATCAGCAGAGAAACTCCAAATGGACGCACACCACTGATGAGGAAATAGAATACAACTGAAAACACTACCTTCAGTCAAACAAATCCTCCATCAAACACTGCCATGTAAAACAATGGGATGACATCAAACATTTACAGTAAATAATTGTACCTTAACATTTGGATAACTTGTAATTACTTTATTTGTTTTTAGAATTAAGCTTGCAGCGGTTAAGATGCACTTAATAGCATTGTGATAAAATCGGAAGTGAATCACAATAATGACAGTCGTAGTACACAATACAACCTCATTTGGGATGTTACATCAAAGTGCAGGAAAAGGGGAAGACGTGACAGTTACGATTCAGACAGTGATTGAGTATGGTTTTACACCGCTTTTAGCAATATTTCAGCAATACCATGGCGGGGGACACCAGAAATGGGCTTCACACATTGTACCCATGTGGTGAATCGAACCCGGGTCTTCCATGTGATGAGCGAATGCTTTAACCACTAGGCTACCCGACATCCCCATAATTCAGACAGAATGCCAAGAGAATGAAACAGGAATGAAAATGAGAGCAACTTCCAGACAGGGCATTCAATTTAATCTTTTATCTCTGTCTTTGTACAGTGACTCCTCGTTTTTCTGGACCAAGTTTGATAGTCCTGCCTTCTCAACAATATTGCTGGAAATGTGTGTATGTAGATAATTGTATCTTGAAAATTCATATTCAGAGCAACATGATTCTGTAATCTTGATTTGTTAAAGTGAAGAACTATTAAATGCTGACAATTTTAAAAGGATCAGTGAAATTCAGGTGTCACTGTACTGAAGTACAGAACTACAACTCTGCGAGCATTACCCCGACTGTGTGAATTCCTGCATGACTGTGGCTACTCTCTGCACCAGCTGGGCGGTGGGGATCTGTTCCTGGTAGGTTAGGTAGTACTGCTGGGCCAACTTCCGCGCTCTTCGCACGAGTACTCTGGACAGTTCAAATATTAAAAACATTACCTTAAAATACGAGGTGAAGTGAAATAGGGTTTATTGTCGAGTCCAAGATTATTGCACTTACATAGTGATGTGCATGCACGTGGGTGGGTGGCTGATTGTACTAGTCCGGGCTAATGCCGATTTAATAGTGCTAGCCCACTGAGATACCATGGCACAGTTTAACAAGGATACCCCAATCGTGACAGTATACTGACTCTGAGCCAACCAGTCCTTGTATTAGCCCCTTAATGCTGAGCGCCAGACAGGGTATTAACAAGTACCATTTTTAAATGCCTCTAGGAATGACAAGGCCGGGGATTGAACCCTGGACCTTCCACTCTCTGGGCGGACGCTCTACCATGAGACCAAGGAGGCAGTCCTTTAAGATATGAAACCGACAGGTTACTGCTCCGTTTATCACTACTCAAAACTTGCTAACTTTGCCATAAGGACTGCGTTTTGTAAATTATCAGTTGGGCAAGGAAACTTTCTTGGTTTTAATAAAATAATTTCCTAACAATCACCAGTAGGTGCTGCATCATGTTCTACAAATCAAAGTGTAACAGCTGAAACTGTCTGATAGGCACTGATACAATGCTTTTCATGATACATAAAGTGATACTGCCATAACAGGCTTTTGTCTATTATCACATTTTTGGTTTCAACATCAATAACAAAAACACTTATCATTTGGTTGTATGTAACTGGATTGCACGAAAGTACCAATACCGAAACAGATAAAAATACTTGCAAATATTCTACCACCTGATCTGCAAGGGTGAGTGTGTTGGGTTTTACACCAATTTGAACAGTATGTCAGTTATATCATGATGTGTCAGGTTGATGTGGCAGGAAAGCCTAAAATGACGCAGGTCTTAGACTTTTACCACTTTAATGAAACCCATGACCATGGGTGTGGTGCTGACAAACCTAGAAACATAACCAGGATGAACATGGATTCAACCCACGATCATAGGTTCCCGGTTTGCCCTAAGTGAGTGAGTGAGTGAGTATGGTTTTACGCCGCTTTTAGCAATATTCCAGCAATATCACGGCGGGGGCAACAGAAATGGGCTTCACACAATGTACCCATGTCGGGAATCGAACCCGGGTCTTCGGCGTGACGAGCGAACGCTTTAACCACTAGGCTACCCGACCGCCCCGGTTTGCCCTAAGAGGCACAACTTGCTGCACTACAGATAACTGTACCACCCATGCCCCCACCTGGTCAATCAGTTCTAATTATTAAAATTATCCTAGCACAAGACCCTAAGGCCTACTTTGTAGGGTTGAAATGATACATTGGTGCACCAGTGCATCACAAGTTTTCATGTGACAATATGATACAAGATACATGATTCATTTTTTTCTGAATCGATACAAGATGATACACTTGCTTAAATAAATTACTTACTACTCGTGTAATGATTATTGATGTTTTTGTCTGTCATATATCGCAAATTGTGTTGTAATTAGCGTTTCAAGTTCACTACTAAAAATAGCGGCTATGAACATGTGTCTACAGCTAGCTTTTCCTTTTGAACTTGCTCTGAAATATTTATTGTCAAGAAGTTTGCATGCGATTTGACATAAAGTTTAGTATTGTGGTATGTTTTCATATCGTGACCTATGTATCATGATACGTATGGCATCGTGACCTTGCTGTATCATTTCACCCCTGTTACTTTGTATATCACAATACCTGTAGTCCGGTCCCATTCCACTGTAAACCATGCCAATATTCTTTGTGATGGATTCAACCTTGTTGATGCTGTGTTCATCATAAAGCACAGATTTTTGTTTCTTCTCTGTTGCCAGGACAACCCCATTTGTTGCTACAAAAGATACATGGCATATCTCAAACTGAAAAAACCTTGTTCCGTGAATTAGCATTGGTGATCTCCAGCTGAAGAATATATATGATTTGTGTTATAAGTTTGTGAATGTTCACGAGAATGACATCCTTTGTACTTAGGGGAATATCATATCACAAAAACTGAAGCTACTGGGGTCATAAGTTGTTTGTTTACTTATTCATATGTAGTGACCTTGACCTTTAAAGTGGACAAATCATATGACAGAATGATCACATAGACATCTACATTGCCTGTGTTCAAGTGGTTTTGTCGTATCTTGTCCAAGGTTAAATACCATAAATGTTGTAGTCAAATGTTTTGAGTTAGTCAGCTAACGTCTGTATGGTTTATGAAATAGGTTTTGTTTGTTGTTTAACACTGAACTCAGCAATATTCAAGCTATATGATAGCCTAAAAGCTGTCTGTAAATAATCGTGTCAGTCGCCTCTTACAGCAAGCATGGGTTGCTGAAGACCTATTCTCTACCTGGATCTTCACAGGTCTTATGTAATAAGATGATGTTTCTCAGTGAGTCATTTGATGGCTAATTGGACTGAAAGTGAAGGTTGTTTTGAGTTTCATAATTATGATCACGCCAATCATGCATTTTGGACGTTTGGAAGAGTGAAAAGTCCACGAACATATCATGGCATATTACAAGCAGTAAATATTATATAAAAGTATATATAAGTCTCCAGAGATATAAGTAATGTCTACATTATACGGATGTATAAAGTACCAGTGAAGATCTGGAGTAGAATAGGTCTTCAGCAACCCAGTCTTGCTGTAAATGGCGTAACTGTAACTGAAAAGTTTAAATCCTAACACATTATTAACTAAGGTGAGGAGAAATTTGGTTTCACATTCTTGAACTATAGTGAAATACATTGTTAAGTACATGTTTAAACTCACCTTTGATGCCGACAGAGGGGGCACCTGCTCCTACTGCAGCCAAGGCATACTCAATCTGTACCAGCTTCCCAGAGGGGCTGCAATGAACATGACCAGCTTATTTTATAGCAGCAGTCTCAATGTAATTACAGTCAAAATCTGTGATAACAATTGCAATATCAATTCATAAAAGAAGTTAAGGCTCCTCCTTGTTATGGTGTGACAAATGACGGGGGGTAGTTGGGACCCATTCTGGCATGGAATCACATTGTGAAGAAAGATGACATGAATTACATGCTAAGAAGCATGATATAGACACTGACAGCACAAATAAACAATATTATTAATGTTCACAGTTGATCAAGGTGTTTGTTTGTTGTTTTATCCCGCACTCAGCAATATTCCAGCTATATGACGGCGGTCTGTAAATAATCAAGCATGGACCAGACAATCCAGTGATTGATATCATGAGCATCGATTCACTGATCAAGGTGTAGGACGCCTGATTCTTCGAAACAATCTTTGCTGATTCATGTCAGTGCAGTAGAAAGTATTTAATTGTTCCATTTCCAAAACAAATTTCCCCCAGTCATTATTATAATTTGATACACTGTTTGTGACTGGAATTACAAATCCATCTGCACATTTACATCTGCTGGTATGGTTTTGTGTTCACTGAACAATATTTTACATTGGAAGTACTTCATAAACATGATAAAAGACGTGTTAAGATAATCTACCATTGATGTCTAAATATGAACATCTTCAGCACGTAATAATAAAACAAAAATAAAACCCTCCAACACTTGGCTGTGTCGGTCAAACAATTCCAACAAGTGAATTGATGCCTGTGTTTTTTTACAACAGGTCAGTTACTGCTTGTAGTTGCAAGTTTAAGTGACTGTTAACCATTTTTTAAAGTACAGCGTGTATGTATCATAACCTTGTTGAGTGGCATGACAACACTAATTGATATTCTCAAAGGAATGTTATTACATGTTAGCATGGTCAGAAATGGAAAATGTTCTCATCCTTATCAATTTGCTAAAACATCACACCTACATCTATCAATTGTCATGTTTTAATAAACATGACTGCATTATCAAAATTGTTACAGTTAACATCATTAATATGGAAATAACGTTACAATGACTTTCTGAACAATCACTTTTAAATACTAATTAATTTAACTGTTAAACATGTTACAATCATGTTTCAATCTGACATTTCAATACATGTCTTGTGTCTGTATCAAGCAAGAGATTACAACTGGGTAGCATACAGTACATAGTGTGATACATAGGTGTACGGTATCACGGGAAGACACCATTGGTAATATCCAACTAGTCCGCAGTTCATTTCAGACTAGTGTTTCAGGTACCGGTAATAAATTAATATAACTAGTTTCTCAGAAAACCACTAGGCCTACTGTCCCTCTAGATATTTATAAGTCTCTGACAAATGGCCAAGTGACCATGTCTATCCCTAGAGTATTATTGTAATAGCAATACTAACATTTGGAAAGTTCTCTCTCCAAATTTATACATCAAAAGAACTAGTGACTATAAGAGATAGTTTTACCATTGATGAGAGTTCTATATATTCTTTTACTGACAGTGCCAAAGCATTTGAATGACTTGGCGAAAAATGGATGTCTAATTTTTTTACAAAGGCCATGCTGGCATCCAGTTTCTCATAAAGATTACCATATTCAGGAAACCTCTTAAATCATCTAGTATCATTCATTTGGAATAACAGCAGCACCATAACATGCATTGTTGATTGGTATTTGATATATTTCTGTTAGGGTATTCAGTAAAACTTAGTCTTCAGATGTACTAGGCTAAATGAGGGAAATGATATGGTGCTCCTTGTAAACGGGGGAAAGATTGCCTTCTTCTGTAATACTTTTTTAAATGTTTGATAATTGTTCTATAGCAACATGACAATATATATTTGTTATTTATCTATTAAAGCAAGCCAATATCTACCTGAAAGTGGTCAACGAAAAGCTATATCTCTCCGTCATGATGCTTGATGCTTGGGTTGTCTACGACTGTATCATATGTAACAGCGGTCTTGATTGGACGAAATTCTTTTCTCATCCAATCAGCGTTAATTTTACTTGAGCGGTTGTCGGCAATCAAAATGGCGACGACCACGAGCATGACTCGAGTTTTAGCAAGACTGCAGCATTCAAAACAATTAATATTACAATGGCTATTTCGCAATCAACCTCCCGGTGAGAATAGAAAACCGACATGTTCCAATACCTCACGTTTGCACAAGCCTTTGATGTTGTTTTGAAGTCAATTGTCACCTCTGTTTTGTGCGGAGTTCACACGTGTCTCCCAAATTCGTGGGTTTTCACGTGTGTTCATGGTCTGGGGATGTTTTCTTGCACTTTGCTTGTCCAAAAGATTTTCTATTGCAATTAATGAAGGGATTTATATTCTTATATTGACTGCTGTAATACCTAAGATAGTCAATAAAGATAGTCAATAAATGGCAAAGACTAAACAATTTGATTGTGTGTGTCAATCAGAAAAATATCACTGGCAATTCAGGGTTAGAATAGCTCAATGGCCCAGAGAGTCAATGGATCGGTTAGTGAGACTCATTGGATCGGGAGACGTTGTTGGTTGCGAGTCATCTCTACAGTGTGGATTGTTGCTCACAATATCAAAACTGATTGTCTGGTCCAGACCAGATTATTTACAGGTCTAGGTCAGCTGGAATACTGTAAACAAAACAAAAAATACTTTTAATTTAACTACATCAATGGAAAATGGCCCTTCCATTGGAACATTGAGAGAAAGGAGATCAGCATTATGAGGAGGCCGCCTCCCCTAACCTTATGTATATCTTTATGCCATTTCAAGGTTTGAAACTTGCTGAAGTCTAACTTTTATCCTCTAGTACTAAACAGTTTCAGGTTCATATTAAGGATTATAGTGTCAAAACTGTCAATAGCAGGGTGTATGGGATTTAATAAGCTGAATAGGTTTGTGCACCACAAAGGGGATTCACAGGCGACTATACTTGTCGTAGGAAGCGACTAATGGGAGCGGGTGGTCAGGCTCGCCGACTTGGTTGAAGCATGTCTTCAATCCCAATTGCATGGATCGATGCTCATGATATCAATCACTGGATTGTCTGGTCCAGCCTTGATTTTACAGACCGCCGTCATATAGCTGGAATATTGCTGAGTGAATATACAAACCAATCACACCCAATCCGCTTGTAAGGTCCTGCTATTGACAAGTGTAATGATGTTCACAAGTTACAAGAAATTATTTTCTGAAATATTTTTGTGTGCCCCGTCTATTTTGTGACCTGCTTTCGTGCATGTCAGCTTATCCAAAGTCATTTGTGACGATACATGTAAATGAACTCATGATAACCGTACAGGCTGAAAAGCCAACTTGTATATGTTTTACAAGATGGCAACTGACCAGTCAGACAGCTAGATTCTTGTATGGTAATGGACCGCCTCCGTGGTCTAGAGGTAGAGCGTCTGCCCGGAGAGCAGAAGGTCCAGGGTTCAATCCCGACCGTGTCATACCAAAAGACGTTCAAAGATGGTACTTGTTGTTACCCTGTCTGATGCTCAGCATTAAGGGTCTAAAACAAGGACTGGTTGGCTCGGAGTCAGTATACTGTGTCTGAGTGGGGTATTCATGTTAAACTGCGGCATGGTATCTCAGTGAGCTAGCACTATAAATCGGCATCAGTCCGGACTAGTACAAGCAGCCACACAAACACATGTACACATACATGCACGTCGCTATATAAGTGCAATAATCTTGGACGCCACGTTAAACTCAATTTCACCTCACCTCACCTCACCTTTTATGGTAATGATAAAAGATATTCTTATCTCATTTGCAGGTATGTATGGTGCTCTAGCCTTTGATGTCAGCCCCTCTCTACCCGACACTCATCAGACCAAACAAAGCCCAACGTCTGTCCTGGGATCTATACTAGACAGTGTGCTGTGGGCTACAGTACCAAGGAATAGACGATCAGTCGAGAAGAGACTTACCAGGAAACATGGCATGACCAAACAGTTTGAAGCTGCAATACCTAAGAAAAATATCACTGCTTGTCTGGAATGTGGTCACTGGCATGAAAAACACACAATATGTGGTAAGAGATGACTTTGATTAGGCGATATGTTTTTTTCATTTTAGGTTTTCCAATTTGAATGAATGGGTGAGCCACAAAATGAGAACAAGAAATAGAAATATTGTAGTTTTGATTCATGTTGTTTGCCAAACTAGATGCATTTGAAAAGTAAACAAGTTCCAACTACAAAAATCAAACAAAATATTGCTGAACTTTTTGACATTTTCTAACAATAATTGATCCAAAGCATTTTACATATTGTCTCTTGTAACTGCAAAATAGATAAGTAAGCCAAGGTAATGTTGTTAAAAACAGAAATAAAACATCCTCACTCATGCTCAATCTCATTAAAATCAGAACTTACTTCTTGCTACCGCTAAACAAAGATCCATACAATCTAGGCCATCTATTAGCCATTCCAGAATGTTGTTTTGTTCAGTTTTCAAATTATTAATCGAGAATTTGTCCAAATATGTTTCAAAGCATAGTCGCCAGTTTGAAACAACTGCTGCAATATCGAGAAAGCTGCCTTCTGATTGGCTAATGTCAATTTTTTTTATCAGTCAGTCCATTTTCGGTCAAAGTATGTGAAAGGTCAGTCCGACGTGCCCCGTAATGGGATGTCCTCAGATCTTTGTTTAGCGGTAGTGAGAACTAAGATCTGATTTAATAAGATTGACTCGTGCTAAATTTCCACTTTCGGTCATGTTTCAGGCAACTGCTACAAGAAAGTGAAAGCAGAGACGAGGGAGTTGAAGCTGTCCATGGGAGACGACTTCCACTACAATACACCCAGGGCGGAGATTCAAGTGTTGTATCAGCAGGAAACAGATCAACGCCAAAAATATAAAGGAAAATACATTATAGAAATGGACAAACCAAGGCCACAGTGGTTCCCTAAAAACTTGATGACTCGTGGGAAGGGGGACACATAGAGTGGTGGTTGTTGACACAACATTTACCCCATCTTTAAACCCTGCTCCATCCCCTGTGATACTAATGCCGAAGATGTCTTTGTCGCATGAGGTAGTACATAAATCTACCCTACGTAGAGTTTTGTACACAGAAATCTACCAGAGGTAGAACTCCGTATACAGAAATCAACCCTACCACGCAGTATTAACAATGGGCAAGTTCTGAAATTAAACATTGTTTTCAGCGAGACTTTCCTTTCTGAGAAAGATGGCGATCTTCTCGATAATTTTACGATTATTTGACACAAATTACAATGGTTCCTATACAAAGTTATGACACTGACGGAGGAAATGATCAAAACAAACATTAACGCAAACTTCCTGAATGGAGGATTTCAACAAATGGCCAACTTATTCTTACTGCTCTATGTGTGCCATTTGTGTTTCTGCCATTTTGTCTATAACTGGGAAAATGCGGAATGGTAAACCGATTTGGTTGGTTATCAAATAGAATGGACTGGTTGGCACCGAGGGGAGGGTATATTTCTGGTGACCGAACTCTGACCGTGTAGGTGTATGTGCTACCTCTTACGACCAAGATCCCTTCAGTGATACTAATCACTGAGTAAAACTTTGATATGAACGTTGTGTTTAGTCACTTCTGTCAGTGATGGTGAATTCGTAACTTCGATGATGCATTGTGTAACAGGTGTTCAAAGAAGGAACTGTTTTTCGACTTTCACTACAAATCATGAATCACAACATTAGTGCTATAGATGTGTGTAACAAATGTATAAGCAAGAATGGATTAAAACTTTGAATATTTGTCCGTGTGTATTTGTGTTCATTTTTGCAGGTCGTATGGATGAAAGGTCCAAGTGAAATTGTTTGCGCTTTTCAATTGTCTGTAATCCGTTGTCCAAAAGATCTTGTTGCAATGGTTTGTTTGTTGTTTTATGCCGCACTCAGCAATATTCCAGTTATATGACGGCAGTCTGTAAATAATCGAGTCTGGAATGGACAATCCGGTGATTGAGATCATGAGCTTCGATCCACGCAATTTGGATTTGATGACATGCATCAACCAAGTCAGCGAGCCTGACCAACCGATCCCGTTTGTCGATTCTTACGACAAGCATAGTGGTATTTACGGCAAGCATGGGTTACTGAAGAACTATTCTACCCCGGATCTTCACGGGTTGCAAACAGATGAATTTTGGAAGCTCTGATAGGAAAACTAACAAGTACATGATTGTTTGAAGTCAGGGGTCCGTTCCACAAAGTGATCATAGCGCTAAGGTGATTGTAACTCCCATACTTTAACATAGACTTACAAGTGTCATAACTCTGCGATCGCTTGGTAGAATGAGGCCTAGTACAAACATTAGGGTTGGTGTATAGGCACATGAATCGTATTGAAATATTTCACAATACGGAGAATATAATCTTTGTGATATACTAGTATGTTTGTACTGTTCAAACGATGAAATAAAAACAATGACACTTCATGACTGATGGCATGGTTGAATCCTGAGGTGATCTTACGGCAAGCATGGGTTGCTGAAGACCTATTCTACCCCGGATCTTCATGGGCCTAGTATGGATAAATGAAACTACCTGTAGCAAAAAGGAATGTTATTGTAAATACCAAGTGTGTGCTGTTTGGATAGGAGCCCAGTCCATCCAAATGCCTCAAGATAGTAGATATAATTTATATAATTACATATTAATTCTTCTGTGGCTGTATCGGACGGATAGTGTAGCAATATCCAGGTATACTGGTTATGTCACATACCCCTACCAGACATTCCTACACCCTGCAGGGTGTCCGGGGCAATATGGGTTCCCTGTACCCCATGCTTGTTGTAACAGTCAACTTAAATGAGGATCTAATGGGTGCAGTTCTCGATCTAGCTGTTCTGCTGATTGTGCAGGGACTTATTTTGTGTTTAATGAAGTGCGCATGGCAGGCTAATTGGAAATCTCTGTGAGGTTCTTATGTTCTTACTTTTAGGCATCACTACAGGCTTTCCACCCCCATCAAGCTGACATGCCGTGATATAACTGGAATACTGTTAAAAGCGGTGTTAAACCCAACTCATTCACTCGCATCTATAACCATACATAACTATTTGTTGTTTTTTAATGTGAGTTTACATTAATTTGATTACAGAAAGGGCATAAATGTGTAAAAACTGGTCTGACTGCTCTAATTAAATTCCAGCACAGAGTTATGAATACTGACTCTTCTAAAAGCCGCCTAAACAAGGGGTAACCAAACACGGTTATTTTTGTGGATGGTAATTGCATTATGTATGCTGTCACACTGCGGTTCTATACATATACAGTGATAGCTCAATAATGACACTACATACTCCAGAACTTGCAACAACCTATTTGTCAACTTAACTACCTGAATAACTGACACCCAAATAGTCTCAAGCTGAACTCTCAACAAAACGAGTCACTTGGACCAGTTAACCTGAGCGACACATATCTGCCAAATTATTCTTTTTCCTCCAGTCTGGAGGACAACATGACAACAACCTTCAGAGAGTAGGCACTATAGAATGCACTGCCGATAGAATATTGAAATCTGATGATGTCTACAGTTCTTATCAAGATTAAATACATCCTTAAAGGACCATCATCATCATCATCATCATCATCATCATCATCTCCTTGGAGAGTATACAACCCTATTAGTTTTTTTTGGCATCTACTAGGGCTGGGACGGGTAACTCGGCTACCCGGGTCGGGTGGGTACTGAGTAGGACCTGGGTACCCACAGGACTACTCCGGACCTGTGGTTAGTCACGTGATATAAAAATTATCTAGAACTCTATGGTTACACTAAAAGTCACCAATGTTCGCATTTCTTTCTGACTATGCACCAATTCCTTCTGATTTTTAAATGAGTGTATAAATGACAAGATTGTTTAATACATGTATCTAAATACGTTGTCCCCAATCGGACATTTTGAGACATCTCCTGAGACCTACAGTGGGTACCCGGGTAGTGCGCACCCCCCCTTTTTATTTCGAAAAAAATCTTTATTTCTGTATAAATTACCACCAAAGACAATAAATAGATCTTAATTGTGCACCCCCGCTTTTAAAAAAAGCTGTATCCGCCCATGTTCAGGTATATGTACATAAATGTTCATGTTTCCAGCATCTGGTCATCTGCAAGCATGTGACTGAAAACTCCACTGTAACTACTATATCTAGATGAGATGAGCAATCCAAATGCATATAATTTTATTTGATTTTGATCATTGCACAGTAGATCGTTACTGACATCTGTACAAATCTACATCACATAGATCTATATAAGTAAATTTAATTCACTGCAATGTACTTTACACCAGTGACCTGTAAATTTTGAAGTTAGTGTAGAGGATAGGAGAAAGTCTCCCAAATCATGACCAGTTCATAAATCAAGTGGAATAATGGTTAAACATCATTAGTATTTGTGTGATATTTAAAAAAAAAAGGTTAGTTTTCCCTTTGACAGTCTTGAAAATGTGGCAGCCTCAACAAGAAGATGTGGAATTAATGTCCAATTCAGAATATTGTTTTAAAATAATAGAATGTTTCTGCTAAGTTAACTGAAAAGCGTTGTCATGTTTAAGTCATGTTCTAAGAGAAATATAAAAATAATAATTTTGACAGTTGTAACTAAGTGCAAAATGTTTACTGCTCTCTGACATTTGATTCTGAAATGTTACCAAGTATCCATGTGAACTACGCAATCTAACGCAAATTGTTTATTTTTGACAGGTGTTTGGTGTGGAAACGTTTTCATAAGTGGAATATTAGTTCATTAGCAAGTTTACCTAGTGAATATCCATTGTGAAGTTCGTGAGAGTAGCCTCCCTTTGAATACAACCGCGGGAAATATCTCGTGTTATCGTGTAGACAGAAGTTGCTTGTGTTTACGGTGAGTGTGTTTACAAGGCAAAGAATAAATGAAGAGCTCAACATTAAGATCTGTTTATGTTTTGTCATGGTTAAAGTGCGCCCGACGCAATGTATACGTGTACTTGAGGTACGCCCACTGGAACTCGTTACTGGTCAGTAAATAAAAATATATACCCCCTATTTGTAAGTTCTCTATTTACACATAGACCTAGAGGGTATATATTTTTATTGACTCACCAATAACGAGTTTCTGTGGGTACGCCTCCTAAATTCAGTTTAATATGACGAAATGGAGACCGAAAAATAGGCTGTACCGTTGGGCCTAGATAAACTAGTAGCCAAAATAATTCGTAGCCATGGAGAATTCATAGACACTCCCAACTCGTATTTATGAATAATACTAAAATATATTTTTTTTAAATTTGTAAATGGACATGACGATGTCCTCGAATCGAATGCCAGTTCCGCCAGTTATCTTTTACAGAGATTGATGTGGAAGCACTAATTATTAATTAATCTATCAAAACAAAAGTACGACAACCACCTATAATTATACTCCACTCACCACTTACCTAATGATCTTCTTGTCCTCCTCAACTTGGATATACTTATTTTAGCTAAGATTATTCATTTATGATAGTAGATCTATAAATTGTATTCACATAAGAACCTGCAAAAGAAAACACTCGGAAACAAATGAAACTTAATTGCAAACAATGAAAATGTGTCTCTCATAAGGAAGTGACCCAACCAAACAACTGTTGTAAATGAGAAACATATGGATATTCTGCTCAGTATTAATAATATTGATGATATTGATTATTATCATTTAGTTCCAATATTGAAAAATGTATCTACAATTTCACTCCTGTTTTTTCTATGAATTCACTGTAGATTAAGTCATCGAGTATACAGTGTCCATGAATTCACCGCATCCCCCAGAATACATGATATAGATGAAACTGTGTGTGAAGAAATGTGGTGTTTGTAAACAAAGACACAATTAGATTGTATCCAACCCGACTGATATATGAGTTGTGATGCTAGCTAGAATCCAGGATATAAAAAAAAATATGCAAACCTCATCTTGCACCTTCAAGCAATCCACCTAGTCAACCATGTATGCTTTGCCATGCTTGTTGTAAGAGGCGACTAACGGGATCGGGTGGTCAGTCTTGCTGACTTGGTTGATGCATGTCATTGTATCCCACTTGTGTAGATCAATTCTCATGACGTCAATCACTGGATTGTTTGACCTAGACTTGATTACTTTCAGACTTCCAGAGCCTTTTTCATTTCATTTCAGGCCACATTGAAATATGGGCAAGAAGAAGGCTAAAGGGACGGCCAAACCCCCACCACTGGAGACATCAGTGAAGATGGTTCAATCAATTCTGAGAAAACGACTTGCACAAATGTCAAGCCCTCCTGAAATACAAGGCTATACAAAAGAGAGGCAGTATGTAGACTTGCTGTGTGCTCATCACCTGCACAAAATATTATAATATATCATTAATATCAGACAATGGGCAATATAAAATGCTCATAATATTTATGTAATAATTTTTCATGGCCTCCCCCCAAAATATGTAACATTTTTTCAAGCCCCCCCACCCTATTTTAAATTACCAGTCTGAGTCATAAATAATGTTAAAATTTGTAACTTATATATTCAGAAAAAATAGAACTCATTTCTTTATGCCACACCCCCATATTTTGTGACTTCTTTTGTTATGTATAGGTATAAGGTCTTGATATTAAATACATAAATAGTTACCTGACATAGTCTGTGATAGTTAAAGGTAATCTTTGAAGGGTAATTGTCGTATGAAGTATCATGTGATGGACTGGTACTCTCTGGCTGTCAGTAATCAGATTATTAACTCGTCAATAATAGTCTCATCAATCTTTGACTCTGTTCTTTGAAATGATAAATTCCATTGTTTCCTGAGGGAGATCTGTCTGTTCTGAACTGTTCATCATGTTCTTGTTTTCAATGTTCATTTGGTCGGAAAATTTTGAAAAAATATTGTTCACATAGCGTTTAATGATCTGAGTATATTTCAGGCAGCTGTTTGACCTATTGAAGAGGACAACGGTGTCTGGAGAGAGCAACTCCGTGCTGCTGATAGGGCCGCGAGGAAGTGGCAAAACAATGGTACCTACAACAACATATAGAACATGTACAATGCCAGTGGCGCCGATGTCAGGCTGCATGGGTGGCTGTTTTCTAAGCCGCTACAATTCACTGGGTTTGTCATGCCAGAAACCATTTATCACAGGTTCAATTAGTGGTCAGCACTAACCCCTTGCTTGTGGGTTTCTGAAATTCACCAAAGTGGAAAATGTCCAAAGACGACTTTACACTCAGATTGGCAAAAACCAAAACGTATCATATGAGAGGTATCATATCAGGCGACTATGCTTGTCGTAAGAGGCGACTAACGGGATCGGGTGGTCAGGCTTGCTGACTTGGTTGATGCATATCATCGTAGACCAATTGTGTGGATCGATGCTCATGATGTCAAACACTGGATTGTCTGGTCAGGGTCGATTATTTACAGACCACCATCATATACTTGAATATTGCTGTGTGCGGTGTTAAACAACAATACAATACAATCTGAGTGGAAGATATGATGTTTATTATGTTGGGGTGTGACTACTTCATCAGCCTTGGCTGGCTGACTTGGTTGATGCATGAGTCTGAGACCTGCATCACTTCGGGCTTTCCTCCCACATTAAGCTGACACGCCGTGATATAACTGGAATTCTGTTAAAAGCGGCGTTAAACCCAACTCACTCGCTCACTGGTTGATGCATGTCATCGATACCAATTGTGTGGATCGATGCTCATGATGTCAAACACTGGATTGTCTGGTCAGGGTCGATTATTTACAGACCACCATCATATACTTGAATATTGCTGTGTGCGGTGTTAAACAACAATACAATACAATCTGAGTGGAAGATATGATGTTTATTATGTTGGGGTGTGACTACTTCATCAGCCTTGGCTGGCTGACTTGGTTGATGCATGAGTCTGAGACCTGCATCACTTCGGGCTTTCCTCCCACATTAAGCTGACACGCCGTGATATAACTGGAATTCTGTTAAAAGCGGCGTTAAACCCAACTCACTCGCTCACTGGTTGATGCATGTCATCGATACCAATTGTGTGGATCGATGCTCATGATGTCAAACACTGGATTGTCTGGTCAGGGTCGATTATTTACAGACCACCATCATATACTTGAATATTGCTGTGTGCGGTGTTAAACAACAATACAATACAATCTGAGTGGAAGATATGATGTTTATTATGTTGGGGTGTGACTACTTCATCAGCCTTGGCTGGCTGACTTGGTTGATGCATGAGTCTGAGACCTGCATCACTTCGGGCTTTCCTCCCACATTAAGCTGACACGCCGTGATATAACTGGAATACTGTTAAAAGCGGCGTTAAACCCAACTCACTCGCTCACTGGTTGATGCATGTCATCGATCCCAAGTGTGTGGATCGATGCTCATGATGTCAGACACTGGATTGTCTGGTCCAGACTCGAATATTTAAAGACAGCCATCAAATTGCTGGAATATTGCTGAGTGCAGCGTTAAACAACAACAATCGTCAGCCTCGTTTAGATGAGATACTGAGGTATGAGTGGGACTGTTTCAGCTGCTCCAGAGTGTCCTGACTGAGCTGAAGGAGGATGACAACATCCATCAGAACCTGCTGCAGGTGCATCTCAATGGTGGGTCCTCCTTTGGCCTCACAGGCTGTTTTAGCCTCTTCCAGTCTGTAGGCTTCAATGTTCCTTCTAGTTTTGTTATTATTTGCTCTCCCATGATACGTTTGTTTCTGTGGGTATTTCAGGCCTGCTTCAGACAGATGACCGTATTGCCCTGAAGGACATCACAAGACAGCTGCAGCTGGAGAACACAGTTGGAGACAGAGTGTTTGTGAGTAAACTACTTTCAAGTATTACCGTGGGTATTACAGGCAAGAATAAGGGTCTCAGGCAACCTATGCTTGTCGTAAGAGGCAACTAATGGGATCGGGTGGTCAGGCTTGATGACTTGGTTGATGCATGTCATCGTATCCCATTGTGTACGATTGTTTGGTCCAGACTGCTTTCATATTACCATATAATTGCTGAGTGTGGAGCTAAACAACAAACAACCCTTCAAGTACTATGACAACAAATTTTGATGCCCTTTCATCCCTTACATTATCCCCCAAACTATGATTAATATTGCCCCAAAATTCATCTCAATAGCTAGCGACTGTTTAACTGTTGTAATAGTATTTGTATAGTTGATACCACTGCAGCAATAATGTGGTGGTACCTTTACCTGCCAGCATTGCAGATTCCCTTGATTTACATGTCAGATTTGATAGGGGAGTTGTTAGAGAGTTAAAGGTAGCCATTGAGTGATACCTAAAGGCTGGAAGACCTGAAGTAACATGTGACCTAAATATGTTGAATATTACTTTCTACTCCTTTCACCTGTGTCATAACTACCAGTTATGATTTACTGATTTACCTGTATGTGTAGAAAACTCCAGGGATGTTAAAAGTTTCAGATAGCACAGTTACATGTAAGGCTGGGTTTGGGAATCAGCTGAGCTTGGAATGAACTCTCAGTGGCTATCTCTATGGGGACAGCCCTCATAAAAGTCTGGTATAAAGTTTGATAGATGCCCATATTTCTCTTCAAACAGGATGTATGATAAAGTAAATGATTATCAGTATAGGTTTTTCTACAACTGTTGAAACTATGTACTGTGTAGCACCATATCAATAAAGGCCATTAGACATCATGTACATTCTTTTTCAGGGTTCATTTTCTGAAACTTTACAGTTTCTTTTGGAAGCCTTAAAAAAGGGTAAGTTATACCTTGAGATGCATCATACTCCTCAGATGCTTTGTGGTTAGTTCATGGTACCAGGAGGATGTCCTCGTAGTCCTGCTGGAGACAGGATGAAACTCTATCTCTCAGCAATTAGATTCTTTTGATGTTTTTTTTAATTAAATCTTTCATTAGAATAAAAACTTTTTTCCCTTTATTAGCTCACCTGACTGAAAGTCATAGGGGTGAAACAATACATCGATGCACGAGTGAACGTGAGCTGTCATGTGACAATACGATACACAATACTTTTTCTGTATCAATACAAGATGAAACACTTGCTGAATTAAATTATTTACTATTTGTTAAATGACCCCTGTTTTTTTTGTCAAGTCAGATATCGCAAAATGTGTTGTAATTAGCATTTCAAGTTCTCTACTAAAGTTGGCCACTACAAACATGAGTCTACAGCTAGCTTTTCCTTTTGAACCTATTCTGAAATATTTTTTGTCAAGTACCGGTAGTTTCCATGCGATTTGACGTAAATATGCAAATTGCGAAACATATCGTATCATGACCTATGTATCGTGATACATATCGTATCGTGATTTATGTATTGTGATACATATCGTATCATGACCTATGTATTGTGATACATATTGTATCGAGATTTATGTATTGTGATACATATCGTATCATGACCTATGTATCGTGATACATATCGTATCATGATTTATGTATTGTGATACATATCGTATCGTGATTAATGTATTGTGATACATATCGTATCATGACCTATGCATCGTGATACATATTGTATCGTGATTTATGTATTGTGATACATATCGTATCGTGATTTATGTATTGTGATACATATCGTATCGTGACCTATGTATCGTGATTTATGTATTGTGATACATATCGTATCATGACCTATGTATTGTGATACATATCGTATCGTGATTTATGTATTGTGATACATATCATATCATGACCTTATGTATCGTGATACATATCGTATCCTGACCTATGTATTGTGATACATATCGTATCGTGACCTTGCTGTATTGTTTTACCCGAAATGCTTCACTGACTGTATGTAAAGTCCTTTATCCTTGTCAGTACTTCACCACTGAGGACCCGTGAAGATCCAGGGTAGAATAGTTTTTCAGCAACCCATGCTTGCCCTAAAAGGTGACTATGCTTGTCGTAAAAGGCTACTAACAGGATCGGGTGGTCAGACTTGCTGACTTGGTTGATGCATGTGATCGATCCCAACTGCGTGGATCGATGCTAATGATGTCATTGGAATTTTGCTGAGTGCGGCGTTAAACAACAAACAAAACTTCACCACCGAGTCCAAGTGAAATCTTCCAGTCCCATGTAGTTGTGTTGTAAAGTGTCAGTGCTGTTTCCAGGGAGCAGCCAGACGTCCAAGCCTATTCTGTTTGTGTTGGATGAGTTCGACTTGTTTGCTCACCATCGGAACCAGACCCTGCTGTACAACCTGTTTGACGTGTCGCAGTCGGCACAGACGCCCATCTGTGTGGTCGGAGTCACCTGCCGCCTGGTGAGTGTCAACTGATTTAAGGGCCAGAGGGGGTCCAGTCATATGAGGCATCGCAACCCACTGTGCAGAGTTGAGTCCCTTAGGTGTTCCAGGAACCTGTGATCTGGGTGTGGGGAGTGGGGAGGGGACATAAAACAAGAAGTAAGTAAGTAACTTTTTCAAATTTATCGATACAGAAAAAAAAGTATTTTGTATCCTATTGTCACATGAAAACTCACAATGTATCGTTTCACCCCTAAAGATGTGTCCATCCGCACTCACTCTCACACAGGGGAACTGATTGCCTTGTACAGTTCATTTGTGCAGAGAATTTAGCTGTTCTTGTTTTCAATATGATCGCCTCCGTGGTTAAGTGGATAGAGTATCCGCCCAGAAGAGCAGAGCAGAAGATCGGTTGACTATACTAATTCGTGATTATGATTCCACTGGTTTGCTATTTTGCCTTTTGAAAACCAAGTTGTCAATGGATGCACATGACTGTTAATGTTTCGCTCACATTAAGCTGAAGTGTCATATTATTGAAATACTGTTAAAACCGAACTGCCCCCAACATATTTCACAGCCCTGTACCCAGTGGGATTCAGGGTTAGAATTGGCCCCCAGCAAGCTATGCTTGTCGTAAGAGGTGACCAAATTGATTGGGTGGTCGGGTTCTATGACTTGGATAACTTGCCCTCATACCTCGGTGGCGTGGATTGTGGCTCACAATATCAATCTCTGGATTGTCTTGTCCAGACTCAATTATTTACAGGCTGGCGTCATATAGCTGGAATATTGCTGATGGCGGCGTAAGAAAACAAACAAGCAAACAAACACAGCCCCGTACTGAATGGCAGCATTAAAGCTTGATCTGCGTGTTCCCCCAGGATGTTATCGAGCTGCTGGAGAAGAGAGTCAAGTCCCGGTTCTCCCACCGGCAGATCCATCTGTTCAACACGCATGGCTTCTACGACTTCAGCCAGATGTGCACGTCCTACCTCAGTCTCACCCCGGGGGAGCTGGATGCCACGGTCACTGAGCCCTGGAACACACACGTACAGGTAGATTCTACTGGCACTTGTATATTACTTATTTGGCCCACTGGTCTAAGGTGATGAATTTAATTGTGCAAAGTTGCATCCATTAGTTGTGTCAGGATCTGTTAAGTGTTGTTAAACAAAGAACTCACTCCAACATAATTCAAGTCGGTGATCAGTTGGATTTTTGTCAATCTGTAAATACATCAGGGGTAAAATAGTTTAAATGATAAAAAAATCATAGGGAAGTGTGAAAAGATTTTCATTCATTTTCAACCTTTGTATCTGAATTTCATTCTGTCTTGCCAAAAAACAATAAGATTAGACTGGTGGCCAGCCATTGAAGAGACAGAATTTTATCTCCATCAATGCTTGAGAACAAAATGTTCAGCCCTAAATTCCGTTGGTTTGCAGGAACTTGTATCGGAGCCGAGTGTAAGGGATGTGTTGCAACGCCAGTTCAACCTCAACAAAGATGTCCGGGGCCTCATTGCATTATTGGTGAGTCCGTTCTTGTACCTGGGACAAGATTGTCAGCAAACAGTTATCTCTCATGCTGTTGGGGGGGTGGGGGGGGGGGGGGGGCAGGATGACTAAGGAATTTAGGCTTGTCAAAAACATGATTGTGAATTCAAAACCCAATTTGCCCTGATTGTGTTTCTAGGTATGTCAGCACCATTCTGTGCTTATTGGTTAAACAAAGTGCTAGGAAAAGGCCACTATGCTTGTCGTAAGAGGCGACTAATGGGGGTCAGGTGGTCTGGCTCACTGAATTGATTGATGCATGTCATTGTATCCCAATCGATGCCCATGATGTCAATTACTAGATTTTCTGGTCCAGAGTCCTTTATTTAGAAACCGCCATCATATAGCTGGAATGTTGCTGAGTGCGGCGTTATACAACAAAGTGCTAAACGTGTATAATCGGCATCAATTTTGGCTTTCATCCCAAATCAAACTGACATCTGTAAATACGGTTAAAAGAAGTGTAAAACCAAACTCACTCATTCACTTTTCGGATTGTGCCCTCTTTTGATATTATCCGTCAGTGAGAATTAATCTGATGCGTTGATTGCAGACGGTCATTGTCGACCCAGTACCGATGCTTATTGAAGAGCCAACCACCTAGAGGATTCAGTGGTTATATTGTCTGCCTGGCATCAAATAAGAACTAGATAAAATGAGCAAAGATCTGTTGAGAGTTCCTGTCTCTGGTCATGTTCATGAGGACTAGAAAACGTTTTTCATAGCCCCTGCAGCTGATGAAGTTTAAGACTTTTGTTCGATGCTCTATTTCCAGACACACCCAATATGTAGGCTGTCTCCCACTCACCCAGTTCTTGAGGCAGGGGATTTCCTGGACTCCTTCAAGAAGCTCACAACGGACACAAAGTCTGCCATGCTGCATGGTAAGCCAGGAAGTGTTGGTTGTTTGTTGTTTAACTCTGCATTCAGGAATACTGCATCTTTATGAAGGCGGTATGTAAATAATCAAATCTGGGCCAGACAATCAAGTGATGGACATCATGAGCATCAATCCACACAGTTGGAATACAATGATATGCATCAACCAAGTCATATGATTGTTCCTGGACTGTTGTGTTGTAATGATTTTATGTACCTGTACAGGTGTGTTGTTATGATTGTATTTACCTGTACAGGTGTGTTGTAATGATGGTATTCACCTGTACAGGTGTGTTGTAATGATGGTATTCACCTGTACAGGTGTGTTGTAATGATGGTATTCACCTGTACAGGTGTGTTGTAATGATGGTATTCACCTGTACATGTGTCTTGTAATGATTGTATTTACCTGTACACGTGTCTTGTAATGATTGTATTTACCTGTACAGGTGTGTCTATCTTAGAGCTGTGTCTCATTATCGCAATGAAACATCTGATGGACATCTACGACGGAGAGCCCTTCAACTTTGAGATGGTCTATAGTGGTATGTACGTTATGTAGCAGAGATAGAGGCCTTCATGAACACATCCTGGTTGGAATCTGTGAAGATCCAGGGCCTTCAGCAACCCATGCTGTAAAAGGCGACTATGCTTGTCGTAAGAGGCAACTAACGGGATCGGGTAGTCAGGCTTGCTGACTTGGTTGATGCATGTCATTGTATGCCAATTGGGAGGATTGATGTGCATGTTTTCAATCACTGGATTGTCTGGTCCAGGCTCGATTATTTATAGACCGCCATCATATAGCTGGAATATTGCTGAGTGTGGCGTTAAACAACAAGCAAACAAATTAACAAACAAACATCCTGGTTGGGCCAAGGTCAACCTGGCACAGTGAATGGTGTCAAGTGTACTAGTTAATCTAACATAAGCTTTCATTTCTGAAGAAGTAAACTGAACCAGTTCCTGATGTCCTGTCATTTATGTCAAACATGACACTACACATCAAACATGACACTACACATCAAGCATGACACTACACATCAAGCATGACACTACACATCAAACATGACACTACACATCAAGCATGGCACTACACATCAAACATGACACTACAACATCAAGCATGACACTACACATCAAACATGACACTACACATCAAGCATGACCCTACACATCAAGCATGGCACTACACATCAAACATGACACTACAACATCAAGCATGACACTACACATCAAACATGACACTACACATCAAGCATGACACTACACATCAAGCATGACACTACACATCAAGCATGACACTACACATCAAACATGACACTACACATCAAACATGAAACTACACATCAAACATGACACTACACATCAAGCATGACACTACACATCAAGCATGACACTACACATCAAACATGACACTACACATCAAACATGACATTACACATCAAGCATGACACTACACATCAAGCATGACACTACACATCAAACATGACACTACACATCAAGCATGACACTACACATCAAACATGACACTACACATCAAACATGACACTACACATCAAACAAGAGGAACTATTCCCATCTTACAGCATGTAACTCCTACTGTTGTTGTAGAGGCAATTGTGAGCAGTGTGGTGATGTTGTTTAACAATGAGATTTCCTATCGTGACTTTGAGGACTACGTTTCAGAGTACCTCAAGTTTGCGCAGAGGAAATCCAGTATGCAGGTGTATGAGAAGCCAGTTGTGTTGAAGGTAAGACATACAACACAAACCAGAAAGTGTTGTCCTGGTCCTAGAACCACAAATAAACATTATGATTCTTGGCTTGTCCTTGTGGAAAAGAACAACTGTCTATTCTACCATGAAAGAACTTCACTGAGTGAAGTTCTGGTGATTAAGCATCCCCATGTACATGTGGATACATTAAGGTTGAAACCTTGCAGCGTTTGGGCATCTTTGAGACATCATATAATACATACCTCTGTTATAGGCCCATTGATATGTCATGTCAAGGGTCAAGGTCAGTCTCAAGAGCTTAGCCAGAGAGAATGGATTGTTAATACCTTCCTTGGGTCGGGTTTACTGTAGGTTAATGAAACTTGGAACATGTTGTTTTTAGGGTGTGACCCAGTTCGTAAAATGCTGTGAATGACCTATGTATAAGGTCAAGGTCATTCAGAGGTCATTCATAAAATGTGTTTTAACAGGGTCACTAGAATGCCCTTTTATGCAGATTTTGTAATAAGTCTTATGCATGTAGATGTTTTATCATTTGAATACATATGTATGACAAATGAAGACAGGTCACAATCTTCTACTTTTAATGAGTAGAATGTGACATGTTTTTGCTGTTATATTGAATTCAACCTTAGGATGTTATGTTTGGTTGATATGCTGGATAGACCTTTGCAGTGTTCTTTAAATTCAACTGATATTGAAGGTCAATAAGCACAAGGTCATATACTCAAAAATGTATTATGTTCACAATAACTGAAAAAGTGTTCATTGTAGTTGGATGCAGTTTGATACATGTCCTTAAGCATGTTAAGGTTGGACATTGAATTGTTTTTAGTGACCACTGAAGGTCAAGGTCACTGGAATATTTATTCTTAAACTAGTTCTGTTTCTTTTTGTGTACTAAAACCAAACCCTGTGTTTGTATTACATGTTTGTAAGTGCTTATGGCCATGTTTTCAACGTTGCTGAAATTGTGGGTCAAGGTCATTAAAGCCTGTAATAACCAGTCTTTTCTCAATGTCCAGGCATTCGAGCATCTGATGACACTGGAGTTTATCCGGGCACTGGACGGGTCAGGATCACGGGTACAGAAGGAGTACAAGCTGATGTCACTGCTCATCCACCCCAGTCAGATCGTAGATGCTCTGCAGAAGTACCCAAACTGTCCTACTGAGGTCAAACAGTGGGCCGGCAACTCCGTGGTCTGATGTACCGCATGGTCCTACTGAGGTCAAGCAGAGGGCCGGCAACTCCGTTGTCCGATGTACCCCATGGTCCTACTGAGGTCAAGCAGAGGGCCGGCAACTCCGTTGTCCGATGTACCCCATGGTCCTACTGAGGTCAAGCAGAGGGCCGGCAACTCCGTTGTCCGATGTACCCCATGGTCCTACTGAGGTCAAGCAGAGGGCCGGCAACTCCGTTGTCCGATGTACCCCATGGTCCTACTGAGGTCAAGCAGAGGGCCGGCAACTCCGTTGATTGATGTACCCCATGGTCCTACTGAGGTCAAGCAGAGGGCCGGCAACTCCGTTGTCCGATGTACCCCATGGTCCTACTGAGGTCAAGCAGAGGGCCGGCAACTCAGTTGTCCGATGTACCCCATGGTCCTACTGAGGTCAAGCAGAGGGCCGGCAACTCCGTTGTCCGATGTACCCCATGGTCCTACTGAGGTCAAGCAGAGGGCCGGCAACTCTGTGATCTGAAGGATCTGATCAAGCAGTGGTCGGCAAGTCTGAATTCTGAAGTACCCCATGGTTCGATAGAAGTCAAGCAGTGGCCGGCAACTCCGTCCTCTGGAGTACCCCATGGTCCTACAGAGGTCAAGCAGTGCCCGTTAACTCCGTGGTCTGGCTAAAGGAGGCAGCAACTTCCTATTTTGTCAGTCTGGGATAGACAGAGTTGTGGCGACTGAGACTTGTTAGAGATTGTACATGAAGATAAATGACACATTGTGTAGAGTGAGTGTTCTGATGATGGAGTCATGTTGGAGATTACACTTACAGATGAAGGACACATGGGTGTTGAATGGGTAAAGTGAGTGTTCTGATGACAAGTCATGTTGGACGCTTGGAAGATGAATGACACATTGGTGTAGACTGTACAGAGTAAGAGTTGTGAATAAACTTGTTGACAGAGATACAAGGAAAATGAATGATACAGCCATTTCAAGGAACCAATTCTTCCAGCACAATTCTTCTGAACTTGTCCAGTCTCCTTCAACATAATGTACAGAAATGTTGCAAATTGTACAGCATGGCAGATGCTGAAAATATATAAAGCCAAGTTACTGGGATTTAATGTTTGCTAGGCATTGCAACTTAGTGACAAGAGGCAGTTTCAACTCATTGTGTTCATATCAATAACAGAATATTGACATGACCATGATGGCAAGAAATTTATTGATGATTCTGATGTCTGCAATGACGAGTGCAAAGATATTTGTCATTATTCGTTATGAACCTTGCTAGCTGATTGGTTAGCTGACTGAGTTAGCAGACAGGCCTTGTGGACGTCATGCGTCATGGTGCTTGATATGATATGGCGTCATGTCATAACTTATCCTGTTTGCACTCCTGAGTTACCAAGCTGAGAGTCTGGTCACAAGGTCAATCTTATTGTCACAGACAAGTTGTTAATATCCTCAACTCCAAAAGAAACACAAAGTTTTCTCTGAGAATTTGGAACGGGAACAGTAACATGCTATAGAAATAGAAATAGAAACTATTCTCCAGTGCCTGTTCTGCCAATTCTGATGACAATGTGCCATGTCTGATGTGTGCGGAGATGATGTTGAGTTAAATGTTGACCAACGTAAGGTCAATGACATTGGAGTTTAACCCAACCTACACCAAACTCTTTAATGCTTGGTTAATTCAAAGCATTATATCAAATGTTCAGAATGGAAGACCAATTTTGTTACACTGAGATTAAATAAATTGTGGATCATATTGATAGATGTATAAATAAAAAATGAAACAGTTACCATTTACTTATTTCTGATTCTGTTTGCATTATTAAAGGGGCTCTGATCTCTGACAATTCACCCTGACTGGTTGTTGACTTTGTTATTGTTTTTTACCCGATATCCCAGAAATCTCAACTAGTTCGCAACCTGTGCTGCTCCGACTAATAAGCGCTTTTGTCACTTTTATTGATAGTATAAGGGTGTATCATCACATTGATCAACAAGATGAAATCCAGTTTTGTCTTGGAAATAATAAGGAAATGTAGGTATCTTTTGGAGTTTAATCAGTACTGGTGACGAAGTTTTGATAAGGCACTTGCTTAGTATTTTGCGATTTTTCCTCTAATAAATATTGCTATTTTTTTATCGTGTGTGTATGTTATGGTCAATGTGTAAAATGACTAACATTTTCACTTCTGCATTCTATTTATCGCCCAGATGTTCAGTTATTTTACAAATTGACTGAAAAATCTGTCCATATATTTTATTATGACAACGAATTCCAAACATTTTGATGTTTAATGTCATCACCAAGTGACTGAAAATGATGGGATTAAAAGAAAACGAATGTCAAAGTACATTACTATGGTTTTTGGCTTCTCTTCCTAGCATAATTAGTCATCTGTGATGTTTTTAAGCCTTTTGAACATTTCAATAATTTTTAGTCATTTTTTAGTAAATGGATGGACAGATTTTTCAGTGAATATGTGAAATCACATTTCACACACTGACTAACATATACACACCAACAAAAGGCTTTTGAAAATGACTTTGTGTTGTTTGTCTTGCATTGAAGAACTTCCAACGAAAACAGAGGAACAAGAATGATTCTGTTCAATACTACAGGAAATGAATGAAAACAAAATGAAAATATTGTAATTACAACAGACCAAAGTTATGTTTAGAATACCAGGCAGTTACCTTGTTCCAGGAATGTATTTTCAGATATTCACATAGAGGGACAGTCCCGTGAAGATTCCGGGGTAGAATAGGTCTTCAGCAACCCATGCTTGTCGTAAAAGGCAACTAACAGGATCGGATGGTCAGGCTCGCTGACTTGGTTGATGTATGTCATCGATCCCAACTGCGTGGATCGATGCTTATGATATTAATCACTGGATTGTCTGGTCCAGACTCGATTGTTTTCAGACTGCCGCCACATAGCTGGAATATTGCTGAGTGCAGCGTTAAACAACAAACCAACCAACCAATATAGAGGGACAATATCCCATACATCTGCAGCTGTACAAAGAAACTTGTCTGATGTCACATGTCTTTGTAGCAATGTAATATTATAAAATATATAGAGTGTTTCTGAAAATTATATCTCATGTTTGTTTCACAACTGATCTTGTTTCAGGTGTTCCACAAAGGTGTCATGTCTGATTGGTCAGCTGAGGTAGCATGTGTGACCACTATTTTAACTATGTCCACGGTTCTTTAAAAAATTCCATTGAGTTAAATAACAATAAGCAATCAATCAAGGAATTATTGGTTAATCCTTTTAACAAAGTACATGTGTGTTGTATGTTGTTTTTACGTCGGCAGTTCACGCCTAGATATGGGTGTATTCCATCTGTGTTAGTAAACCTAAACATGTAAACACTTACTTTTGACAAATCCAGTGTGCAAGATAACTGTGATTAATCAATCAACATGTTTCCAGTTAATCCTTTGGATGATTTCTTTTTGTAACTCAACTGATCATTCCTCTCTTGCTACACTGTCACATGCATATTAAATAACTCATTTCACTGGATTTTGATTCAGTAATTACCCCAGATACAAGAAATGCCAAATGGGAACCTTTGTCAGGTAATCTGAGTGGTGCTACCCCTTATTATACCTGTAATAAATTCTTTAACTGAGCAGACAGCCTCCGTGGTCTAGTGGTAGAGCTTCTGCCCAGAGAGGGGAAGGTCCGGGGTTCGATGGTACTTGTTGTTACCCTGTCTGGCGCTCGGCATTAAGGGGCTAAAACAAGGACTGGTCAGCTCGGGAGTCAGTATACTGTGTCTGAATGGGGTATTGATGTTAAACTGCGGCATGGTATCTCAGTGGGCTAGCACTATAAATTGGCATCAGTCCGGACTAGTACAAGCAGCCATACACACACATGCATGCACGTCGCTATATAAGTGCAATAATCTTGGACGCGACGTTAAACCCCATTTCACCTCACCTTTAACTGAGCATCAAGTGAATGACGACAAATACACAGGTGTAGGGTTATACCATGAAACATGGATGACAACAAGGGAGTAGTAATTGTATTATCAGTGCAATCTGAAATCCAAAAATGATTTCACTGCAGGGAACCTTTTTTTTTAAACTGTAACCATCTGGGGAATTTCCAATTGATGACATCTGGTGAACTTCCCCCGTTCTATTTGTCTGTTTAGGTTGACAAAAATTAATTGACATGTGCCCTTTATAATATTAAAGTCTTCATAGACCACAGGTAACCAATCAGTGTTCTGAAATGCGTAGAGATCTTGCCTCAAAGTTTGTTAACACTGTCCTAACAGATGGTAGCCCAGTCTCTTGTCACGCTCTGTTCTGTTAGCGAGCAAATTGACTCGCGGCAGCTAGTGAGTCCCAGGAGGCAGTGTTAGACAACTGGGAAGCCAGAATAAGTCCCCAGAAACCTGTGTTTGTTGTAATAGATCGAGTGGTCAGGTTAGAATGTCTCCGGGAATCTGTGCATGTAATGGATCGAGTGGTCAGGCTAGAATGTCCCCAGGAACCTGTGCTTGTAATGGATTGAGTGGTCAGGCTAGAATGTCCCCAGGAACCTGTGCTTGTAATGGATTGAGTGGTCAGGCTAGAATGTCCCCAGGAACCTGTGCTTGTAATGGATCGAGTGGTCAGGCTAGAATGTCCCCAGGAACCTATGCTTGTAATGGATTGAGTGGTCAGGCTAGAATGTCCCCAGGAACCTGTACTTGTAATGGATTGAGTGGTCAGGCCAGAATAAGTCCCCAGAGTCTGTACTTGTAATGGATTGAGTGGTCAGGCCAGAATGTCCCCAGGAACCTGTACTTGTAATGGATTGAGTGGTCAGGCTAGAATGTCCCCAGAAACCTGTGTTTGTTGTAATAGATCGAGTGGTCAGGTTAGAATGTCTCCGGGAATCTGTGCATGTAATGGATCAAGTGGTCAGGCCAGAATGTCCCCAGGAATCTGTGCTTGTAATGGATTGAGTGGTCAGGCTAGAATGTCCCCAGGAACCTGTGCTTGTAATGGATCGAGTGGTCAGGCCAGAATAAGTCCCCAGGAACCTGTACTTGTAATGGATTGAGTGGTCAGGCCAGAATAAGTCCCCAGGAACCTGTACTTGTAATGGATTGAGTGGTCAGGCCAGAATAAGTCCCCAGGAACCTGTACTTGTAATGGATTGAGTGGTCAGGCTAGAATGTCCCCAGGAACCTGTACTTGTAATGGATTGAGTGGTCAAGCTAGAATGTCCCCAGGAACCTGTATTTGTAATGGATTGAGTGGTCAGGCTAGAATGTCCCCAGAAACCTGTACTTGTAATGGATTGAGTGGTCAGGCTAGAATGTCCCCAGGAACCTGTACTTGTAATGGATTGAGTGGTCAGGCCAGAATGTCCCCATGAACCTGTACTTGTAATGGATTGAGAGGTCAGGCTAGAATGTCCCCAGGAACCTGTACTTATTGTAATGGATTAAGTGGTCCAGGTTAGAATATGTCCTAAAAAATCTGTGCTTATTGTTATGGATCGAGTGGTCAGGCTCTGTGATTTGGTTTACCTTATCCAGGCTGAAATATTTAAGGCTGTCAGACTATAAATGGAATATTGCTGACTGCAGTGTTTAAGAACAAACACTTGAATTCAATGTTCAGGCAAGCTAAAATCTGAAACCCATCTTGCAAAGCACAAGCAAGTGAAAGGAAATGATTGTATGTGGTATCAGACCAATCAAACATTTACTCATCTCTGTCCACATAAGTTAAAAGAACACAGGATCTAATTAAGTAAAAAATATTATATTTATTGTGAAATCATAACAATTTGTATGTTATCATCAGATATGTAAAATAACTGAAATTTGTTGTAAACTTTGCTTAACCAAAGTCCCAGTCCCATCAGCAAACGAAAAACAGATAAGGAAAATACATTAACACTTCATAACATATTTAGCGATTAATATATCTGTAAAATGCATGGATTGAATACAGGAATATATACACAGGCAGAATACAGTTATTTCACAGACAATCACTGAACAAAACAGTTTGTAACGTAAAGTTATAAACATGTTGAGAATGTAATGATAATGGATGTCCCAAAGTAAGCCTGGGACTACTTATATTTGCACATCACAAGCATTGCTCAAGGCATAAAGACCATAAGATGGGATATGTAAAAATGCTGAAGGCATAATCAGATATTATGAGTAAGGCAAGAATCATATTAAATATTGGATATGATGAAAATTCTCAAGGCATAAACTTCTATAATGAGTACGGCAAGAATCATATTTACTATTGTATATGATGAACACTGCTCAAGGCATATAGACCATCTATGATGTGTGAAGTTATGAAGAATGCCAAAGGCATAAGATCATATATAATGTTCGAAATCATGAACAATGCTCAAATGATAATAATTATTTAATATAATAATTATATTTGACATCATGAACAATGCTCAAGGCATTAAGACCATACTTAATATTGGACATCATGAACAATGCTCAAGGCATCAAGACAATACTTAATATTGGACATCATGAACAATGCTCAAGGCATCAAGACCATACTTAATATTGGACATCATGAAGAATGCTCAAGGCATAAAGACCATACTTAATATTGGATATCATGAACAATGCTCAAGGCATCAAGACCATACTTAATATTGGATATCATGAACAATGCTCAAGGCATCAAGACCATACTTAATATTGGAGTCGCTATATAAGTGCAATAATCTTGGATGCGACATTAAACCCCATTTCACCTTACTTAATATTAGATATCATGAACAGTGCTCAAGGCATCAAGACCATACTTAATATTGGATATCATGAACAGTGCTCAAGGCACAATGATAATATTTAATATAAAAAGATATGAACAATTTTTGGATTTCTTAAGCAAAGCTCACAGTGTAATGATCACGATTATTGCATACATATAACAAAGCTGAGGGTGATAGTAATTATCAATCATAGTTATAAGCAGGAGTCCGGAAACGGTCATATGCGCCGGACATGTCCGATTGGGAATCTCAAATGTCCTGTTTAAAATATTGCTGAAACATATAAGTCATGTGAACAGGATAATCATCATGTTTCTGATAGACAATATCTATAGAATATTAGGGAACCGCTGAATTTTTATCTCTGATTCCTTCTGAACACAACAATAATTCTATGATACACACATCTTTGTCCAGCAACAGGTGTGTCAGAGTATCAATGTTGTGTTATAAGGCCAGATTTCTTGTTTCTATTCACAGGGTATTTTGGGCCTAAAAACTCATGTCAGAAGGTTGAAAAACATGGAAGTATACAAATTCAAATTTCAAATGATCTTTTTACAATTTTTCCTAAAAATGTTCAGCAGGTAGAAAAAAAATAATTACAAAACATACGGTGGGGTTGGGAGTTTATAAAATTGACTTTTAACAGGTTTTAGTTATAGTATTTAAAATAATTTATTTGTATTCATTGTGACAGTATATGAGGTTTCTTTAACATTTTACATTTCTCTGGTTGGGGGAATAAAAACCTTAAATTCTTTTTTAGTTTCGGATTTGTAAACCAAGTTAAATAAAAATTCTGGCCTGAGATGGAATGACTGAAGCAAGAGTACATTAGTAGGAAAATACACACAATTTTTCCAATAAGCACATCCTGTATCAACATAATATATCAATATAATATATCAACACAATATATCAACACAATATATCAACATAGTATATCAACATAGTATACTCAAAGTCATCGACAACACAATTGCTTTTGATAAGTGCACTTGTTAAAAGAGCAATTGCCACAAACTTTTTTAAACATCATGATCGTGCTGTGAGGGATATGTGTCCCCCTGTGACAGTTTTGGTACAAACCTAATGGGCCATCTTGGAGTAATGAGTCTGAAAGTGAAAAAACGCAACTGTGAACACTGCACAGAAACACAACCACTGTAGCCGGCCATATGCTACATGTGAAAAGCCAGATCCTAGCTTCTTTAAAAGCACAAATGGTAATCGGTCACTCGTTTAATGTGCCAAGACTCGACCAAGCCAGCAGGAGTGAGTGAGTGAGTGAGTATGGTTTTACGCCGCTTTTAGCAATATTCCAGCAAATATCACGGCGGGGGACACAAATGGGCTTCACACATTGTACCCATGTCGGGAATCGAACCCGGGTCTTCGGCGTGACGAGCAAACGCTTTAACCACTAGGCTACCCGACCGCCCCAAGCCAGCAGGAACCAAGCGATCGAAATGCTGCAAGTGATCATCTCAAGACGTTTTAACTTTCATCCATGCACGATAACTCCACTGTGGCATCATTTCAACACAACAGGGACAGCTGCTGATCATCCCCGGCCTGGTGCAGCACCTGTGACCTCACCTCGCCAAGACAGTCATGTCCGTCTGTTGCACCTTCGGAACAGATTCCAAACAGACGTAGATACAGCCAAGAGGACTTTTGGGACCCGCCAACGCTGCATCAGCCCCCAAACCGTCTGAAGGCGCCTGGCTGCATTTGGCATACGGTGCCATCGACCTTATCAAGGCCAGATCCAGCTACACTGACACAGGCTTGCCAGACAGCGATGGGCAGCTAGTGGGGGCTATCTGCAGAATACACCAAAGGAAAATGTCGTCTTCTCTGATGAGTCCTATTACAAGCTCAGTTTTCCAGATGGACGTCGCCATATCTATCGACGTCGCCATATCTATGGACATAGGGGAGAACGTGTGAGTATATCCCTCGGCAACCACAGGCCTGCGTCAGAGCACAAGGTGGACATACCCGCTACTGATCCTCGGTGACCCCGGCTTCGTTCTGAGCCTCTGTGACGTCATCCACGGGCCCTGTTTCTTGATGCTTATGTTTGTCATTATTGTTGGTTTCATTTGGGTTTCTTTCACTGTCATACACACCATCTGAACAATGTATTGCGTTTTCAATGACTTTGAGTATCTATCAACAGAGTACATCAACATAGTATATCAACACAATATACCAACATAGTACATCAACACAATATACCAACCAACTTGATTAGAATCATGAGGATCAGGTGACCCTCTATAAGAAAAAGAGAACAATTCCCCACGTAAATTCATTTCAGGACTGGACGATGATTGGTTGTATATACAGATGCATCACATGAACAACAAATTTGATTTTGGCACTTACAATGGACGATCCAATGCTGTATAATACAATATACCAGCTGCTTCAAATAGAATTCATTACTCTGCAGGTATTTGAACAATATTGTTTCAAGTGAAACATCACACTGATACATGTTACCTCTGGCTTCGATTCAGATATACAGAGGAGTCCCAAATGTATGTGCCCTTGTGAGTGGGTGGATGGGTGAGGTGAGTGAGTGAGTGAGTGAGAGTCTACACACGATGACTGATTCAAGCCTTGATAATTCCACTGTCTTTTCCTTCATAAGCATCGTGTTTTCCTATCTAAATGGGGAATAGCTTTCTATGGTTATGTTCAGTGATTAATTCAAGTGTATTGTTAGGTCTGACCAATAGTTAATCTTGTTTTTTTTACATTTTGTCACTCAATATATCCAGGTGCAAAATGCAAAATGGTATTGCTAAATTTTGTCTGGGTTTATTTAAGAATATTTCCAAAATAAAATATTTTGGAACAATTTCTCAAAAAAGATCCCATTTAATCAAACATTCCTCTTATTTATTTTATCATTGTTTACTTTTGCAAATTTTAGGGAAGATTCATCTGTAAATTAAGCACAAATCTGTGGCCTTGAACTAAAAACAGACAAACAGTGATCTTTCAGTAGTGAATCAACTTAAACATGACCAACCGGGTATACCAAACCCTTGCTAAACTAGGCTTGAATTCCGGAGTTACATTTTGGCTGGACTAATGTGTCTATGCATAATCCAATCAAATGCGTGCAACAAATTAAACATCCGGTTTGTGACATGCAGACTTCTGTCAACTGCAGGATTTGCAAAGCATGTATACCATCAACAGGACGTTGACAGATATTTTTCAAATCTTTTCATGTTTTAAATCAAGGTGTTCAAATGATTTGATGCACTTCGTGAGGTAAGATCCCTTTTATTATAACATTGATCTGGATTATCGATCAGATCGTCTTGACTTGGCACTGCCATTTTGTTTGAAGCTAATGCAAGTGACATGAAATGTGAAATCTGATTGGTCAATAGAAGGGACATAACTCGTACTGGCCATTGGTGCAATTCGAGCCAGTAGTTCGGCAAGGGTGGAAACTTGACTTTTGTAGTCACTTAAATCCCCTGCCTCAGGAAGATGTCTATTTTCAGCCCACCATACCCGTCATCACTTTGTACACTTCCCCACTAGCTGAGATGGGCTCAATACTGTCATCACTGTACACTTCCCCACTAGCTGACACAAGTCCAAATCTGTGGAATCAGAAGCTACAGAATGGAATACCTTCAAATGATATGTTCACATCTACAAATATTATCTGTATCACGTTTCTACATACTTTAACATGATATTGAAGTAAAGAGTACACACACTGCAAGATTAAACATGACATAGGCAAAAGAAACGTGACACATCACGCTGTTCCATTACATGGAGGACCCCCATTAAACGCACCGCTGGCCAAACACATCCTCCAGCATCACAGCATTGTGTTACTTGTACCACGTGTCTGGGGCACTATCACATGAGATCACAATACGGAGTAAGAGAATAATCAATACTTAGCCTTTGGTAAAGCTTAGCGTATCACAAGTTTATTGTACCCAAATGGGGAATCGAACCCGGGGCTATGGCATGACAAGCGAATGCTTAAACCACTCGGCTAACCCACCGCCCCTGTAAGCATAGCAAGAAACTTTGTCAAAATTAACCACATTAACCATATTTATGTTGTCAAAATATATGTAGTACACCACTCCATTGTTTTAGATAATCTGTAACAAATTGACAGTTTACTGACCTACTTTTTGGACACCAATTTTAAGCTCATGTGTTAATTCTACACACATGCATTACGAATTTACTGGTTACAACGATCAAATCACACAAAATGCATGTGCAGTACTTAAATATTGGCTAGTTTAAATGGAGTATGAATACTGAAGCACAAAGTTAAAGATTCTCATGTATTATGAAATTAGTAAAGCTATGCATTTTGGTTGCATCTTTATAAAATCTCATAAATCTGTGCTATCATATATTGTAAACCAATAGTTGGTGTGTTCCTTAATTTGATTGGTCAGCCCACATCGTTGATTATCATTCTATTCTGAAAAATATGCTGCTTTACTCGGATGAATATATAAACGGTACTATTTTCAAGACGATCCAGAACGTCTAAAGATAATTTTTCAATTTCAATAAGGACGTTTTTGGTTTTGACATGGAAGTTGCCATGTAAGAGTTCCTGAATGATGATGGCAAGTGTTTCATGATGACTGACGCCTTTGTATATTAGAAGAATAAACGCTCATTTCATGAATAATATCTTGATGATATATCAGAGTTAATATGTAAACATACTGTTTAAAAATAAATACACCTACAGAAAAAAAACCCGGCGTCAATTAAATGAATTTACAGTCGTTGAATGACAATAACATTCTGCATAAGTAACAATTGTAACTATTTATCTTCTAATCAGTCATCAAATACTCCTTGATAATGGTTGATTGTTTTCCTGTATTGTACGAGTATTTGTCACAACAAATGTATCTTTATCATATTTGTGACTACTTCAATAGTTCGAGACAGTAAAATGTTAAACAGTTTATGGTTATTTTAACAGGAGGCACTTCAATGAAACCTTTTGACATTTTACATGTAGTGGCTGACTCTGTAATCAAGCAAAGACAATGCTATCATTGTCAACAACATATATAACAATCCCCTGACAATGATACTGGTGCTGATAATTTTTCTAACAATGTTGCACATGATGCTGACATTGTTACAGTTGCAAATGTTGCACAATGGCTGTCAATATTGCTGAAGGTGACAATGTTGCACATGATGCTGACAATGTTGCACAATGGCTGACAATGTTGCAGATAATGCTGACAATGTTGCAGTTGCAAAATGTTGCAAACAATGTTGCACAATGGCTGACAATGTTGCTGATGGTGACAATGTTGCACATGTTTCTAACAATGTTGGACACTAGCCTAGAGCCTCTCATTGCGGTCTTCATCTGCTCCATTTTCTTTACGGTAGCCTTGGTTGACATAGCTGCGAGGGTCACTCTGATCCTTATCAAACTTGGTGTGTTTGTTGAAAGACGCCTGGCGTTCCTGAAATGGAGAACAAATTAAATTATTGACTTGTCAGCAAGCTACATTCTATACATCTAGTGATAACTTCCTGGACCAACTAAATATACTAATAGCAGGTAGAGAACAAGAAATTGTCGTAGGATAATCTTAAGAAGGTATTGTTATGGATGATTTTGTGCTTTACCTGGTCATAAATCGATATTAAGAATAGAAGCAAGGATGTTGTTTTAGATCGTTAACATGTCATTGTGTGTTATCTAACTTCACTAATGACAATACAAATATTATAATTTGTTCTTTAATGCTGCACACAGCAATAGTCCAGCTGTGTGGCCAGTAAATATTTGAGTCTGTGATTGATATTATGAGCACCAATCCATGTTGTTGGGATACAATGACATACATTCAACCAAGTCAGCGAGCCTAACCACCTGATCTATTAAGTCCCTGGTTATGACAAGCATGGGTTGCTGGGGACCGGTTCTAACTCAGAAGAAATCATAATTCAGTACAGTAGACAAGTAATGAAATAGAACTACAAAGTCTGATTTACATGTATATATGTAGGTAAGCAGTACATGGGTTCTAATCTATAGTGATGCATTTTACCACAAGATAAAAATAGAACACCGAAATGAAAAGGGAAAATATAACATGTATGGGTATGTTTCTGTAGATGCAAAAATATTTTAACCAATATAGCATTTGATGCTTCTTAAACATCCTCCCGGGGCAAGCGAGTTAACTGGATTTTAAGGCTGGATTTTCCAGGCTTGATTCTAGAACCACCAGTGGCTATTTTGAGTTATGTCCCGTCTATGTCCCTCCTATTGACCAATCAGATCCAATCTCTCATATCACTTGCATTTGCTCCAAACAACATGACGGCACCCAGTCAAGACAATCTGATCGATAATCAGGATCTGTATTGTAATAAAACGGGTTTACCCCGCGAAGTGCATCAAATCATTTGAGCACCTTGATTAAAAACATGAAAAGATTTGGAAAATATTGTCAATTCCCAACTGACATACACACGCTCTGAAAATCCTGTAGTCGACTGAAATCTGCATGTTGATATCCCCGTTGTTTACGAACCAGATGTCTAGTTGGTTATGAGATTTTGTTTGGACTGTGTATAGACTCGTTAGTCCAGCCAAAATGTAACTCCGGAATTCCTGCCTAGTTCGGCAAGGATGGAAACTGGACTTTATAGTCAGTTCACTCCCTTGCCTCGGGAAGATGATTCTCAATAAGTGCAAGTAAATGTGAGACAGAATTACATGCATGTGTGTCTGAAAAGAAATAACCCTCCCTAAATGTACTGGATATGTAATGTCTGGTCCACCAGAAACAAGAAAAACATGTTACATATGGTGTTTCCCTGTTGATTTGGTAGCGTTTGCCGCTGCTCACCCAGCAGTGAATGAGTACCCGGTAGGTTAGAATGGTTAGGTTAATTCAAAACTATTATTATTTGAAGAGTTAAAATGGAATATTTCCTTGGACTGAAGGATTTACACATCCGTGGTATGCTGTAATGCAGTATTATGATCATGTGCATGTAATTGTGCAAAAGTGAAGTCAAAAGTAAAAGTTTCAAAGGCAAGTTAAGCAGGGGTAAAGCAGTGATTGTTTGGAACGTAGGTAAAAACCCTGTGGTAGCCATCTAGAGACAAACATTAAGCTTACTATGGCAGAATTTCTGTCAATGAAAGAAGACACTTTAATACAATATTACAACAAATAATTTCTAAATGATTTCCCTACAAAGGCAGATCCAGGATTTTGACAAAAGTCATGAAAGTGAACAAACAGAGGGACTGACACAGGTTTACGTGTCCGAAAAAAAAAACCATGCATATTCCTTCACTAACACTCCCACCCCTCTCTCCCTTCTGAATTTACCAATGCCAACGTTTGTTTTCCAAGGGAAGAATGACATTACCGGTATATTACCTTTTTCTTTCTGTTTTTCTTGACAATTTAAAAAGATTTAGGAGACAAAAAACATTTTCATTTTTTAAATACATTTAATATTTTAAGTGGTTATAGAACTGTTTACAAACCTAGAACAAACATCTTTAACCATTTTTTATGTCCATAAACTATGTTTAAAACAAAACACAGAAGTGAAACCTATCAACTATCATGAGCCAAGACATGTCTACAACATTGGGAAATGCACAAGCAGGCTGTTCCTTTCACCTCCCACACACCTTTAGTGCATGCTCTTCCTCAATCAATAAATTTGTTTTGCTACCATTTTCTACCATTTCTAGATTGTCACTGTGTCTTCTAACTTGGGGGCGTGGTATCCTTGTCTCTGCCATATAGTCGTCTGAATCATCTAACACATCAAAGGACTTTCCTCTATTTTTTGAAGGAGGATTTTTCTTTCTGAAATGGAAAATATTATTATATATTTAGAGATGAAATACAGTAAGTTTCTAAAAAAATAAATGATACATGTCACTCAAGTGAAATAATACTTAATACCTTAACTTGTAAGAGTTACGCTTAGGAGCGTAGTTACAAAGGCTCATGTAACGTCCACAACAAAAGATTTCACTATTCTGCTGATCCTGGCAGATGTTCAATCCACGAGACCACTGAATCCCTGTCTATGATGACAAAGGTAGAGCATCTGCCTGGAGAGCGGAAGGTCTGGGGTTTGATCCCCTGCCGCGTCATACCAAAAGACGTTAAAAGATGGTACTTGTTGTTACCCTGTCTGGCGCTCGGCATAAAGGGGCCTATAGAAGGGCTGGTCGGCTCAGAGTCAGTGTCCTGTGTCTGAGTGGGGTATTGATGTTAAACTGCGGCATGGTATCTCAGTGAGCTAGCACTATAAATCGGCATCAGTCCGGACTAGTACAAGCAGCCACACACACATGTACATGCACATCGCTATATAAGTGCAATAATCTTGGACGCGACGTTAAACCCCATTTCACCTCATCTCGCCTCACCTATGATGAAAATGTATTGGAGGACATCACAGGACGAGGATAAATACGAGAATGTGAGAGTGAGAGAGTGAGTGAGGTTTTACGCAGCTTTCAGCATTATTCAAGCAAAATGATGGGGACACCAGAAATGGGCTTTGCACACTGAGCCCAATTTGGGAAAAAATTATCCTAAGACTTTGGCATGACAAATGAATGCTTTAATCACTATAGTATGTTTTGAGGTGGCAGATAAATATACGAGTGCACCCAGTTCTATTAGCCAACTCACCTGCAGACACAGCACAGCGCCACTAGCAGGAGGAAACAGAGACCACCCAGACAGGCGGACACCGCGATGATGATAATCCTCTTCCCTGAAACAGTATCATGCAGGTTCATTTGTTAAAAACATGTCCATTTATTTTGTTGACATGGCAAAGAATTGCCATTGCTTCCAAGGTTGTATACACAATGTTCCTCCATCACCTATGGGGGCGGTCGGGTAGCCTAGTGGTTAAAGCGTTGGCTCGTCACGCTGAAGACCCAGGTTCGATTCCCGACATGGGTACAATGTATGAAGCCCATTTCTGGTGTCCACCGCCGTGATATTGCTGGAATATTGCTAAAAGCGGCGTAAAACCATACTCACTCACTCACTCACTCCATCACCTATGATTACATGCAGCCTAACTGTCATGTTGTAGTGACATGTATCTTGTATTGTAAACCTATAGAAAGTCTGTTCTGTGTTGTGATTGGCTAATTTGGATCACATGACCAAATGTCAAAGGGTGAAAATATTATTTGCATTCCCTGAAGCAATCACTGTGTATTTCTAAATAAAACAATAGGTTTACAATATCAATAAATACTATGTGTGTGTCTATTTCCGGGATTTTATCGAGTATTTGCATCGTGGAAATTTTCATTCGAGCCCCTCAAGCTAACGCTTTCGGGTCTCGAGATGAATTTCCAAGATGCAAATACTCGATAAAATCCCGGAAATAGACACACACATAGTACTGATCTTCTAATCAACTCATGGAAATCAAACAGGTCCAACTCTGTGCCTAAAATTGCTTTAGGATGAAGCAATGTAGATGTACGCGAGGTTGCAGCATAGGTTGCATGAGGAATGTTGGATTTGTGCAAGGTAATCTGGGCATGAAGAACGAAGCGTGGTTTATTTCATGATAAAACATTGTTCTATTATGACGTCATTTCTGGAGATTCGAACATGTGCTTGCAACTTGATGACGTCCTATTTTGGAGATTCGAACATGTGCTTGCAACTTGATGACGTCCTATTTTGGAGGACGTTATTTTTTAGAGTGGAGTGTCTCATGAGTTGTTCCCCATGGATGTAGCTGGGCAATGCACATAAACGTGACGGCCGAACGATCGCATCCAAAAGCGGGAGAGATATGACAATCGGTATTGGGAGAAAAGGTACAGGTAATCAAAGTAAGGATTGTGGGAATATACAGGAAATACCCACCTGGGCATAAAATGGATTTGTCTGACATTGCCGAGGTTGGATTCAATCACAGGAGTCCGTATCTAAAAATAGACGCCCTCATGCATATTCATAGCCTTCGGGCTCGCGTGTGGAGATGGTCATGAATATGCATGAGGGCGTCTATTTGTAGATACGGACTCCTGTGATTCAATTGAGGGAGTCATCATTATTGAAATAGGGGTAAATATTTATAAAGCTTGTACTTTTTTACTAAGATCATTAAAGAGGCTGTACCTAATGTTGATATCTCATATAACAAAACAAAAAAAGTCCCACCTGTCATTTAGTAACAAGGTCATGACATGATTCACTGGCAAATATTGATTATGCCACAAATGATTCATGGTTAATGGAGGAATGTAGCATCTAGACACCCATGAAGTACAGATGATGGGCAAAAATTAGACACTACAGCAGACATCATGCATTCAGGTTTCATTGTTTCACTGGCTTTACAGGAAATGCATAAATGACTCCTGAGTCCTATTTATCGCTCACCTGGTCCAGCTGTCATAGATAGTATAGTGAGTGAGTGAGTGTGTGTCAGCTTACAGTGGGAGAAAAGCCCAAAGTGGTGTAGGTCTCGAATGTTTACCATTTTGGTGCTGACAAACCAAGAAACAAAATCGAACTGTGATCCAAACCCCTGAACACATGTTGCCAAAGGGCAGCAACTCTGCACACCATACTGTGGCACCTTAGATAATTGGGCCTCTCGTGCCATCCATATAATATCAGAGCTCCAGAATATTTTGGGGGGTATTTTATGCAAATATGCTGCCTATTTGTAAGATTATAGTAGGCAAATAACATTACAGAATAGAATAATTTGGATGGCAAAGATCTATTTTTCGATAACTGCAAAGATAAGAAGATGGTCCTTACTCTCAGCCTCCGGGTCTTTGTCTCCGCACGTTGACCCTACCCAACCAGAGGGACATCTGAAAGGTCACAGGTCACAGTTGTTAATTCACAGCTTTACATGAAGTGACAAAGTGTATAATAATCACCCGTGATGAAGGAATATGATTCATCCTTCTACAAGAAGAACTCAGATCCAGTGAGATATATTGCTTACAGGAGCCTCAGTACAGAGCTGGGAATGCCTATGTAGTGTGGCCCTCAGTAACTGTGTTCATATAGTACAACAGTTTTACTGCATCAGAACATTTATAGAAAACTTAAGAAACAAACTCTTCTTGGACTCTTGCAGAAATCTGATACCATTTAATGATGTGATTTTCTATAACACATACTTGCAGGCGTAGCCAGGATCCTCTCCAGGTGTGTTAATGCAGGAGCCACCGTTTTCACAAGGAGCTTCATTACATTTATCTGTAAGTGAGAGAAAAGAAATTACACATTGTCTTCATTAGAATAACAGAGGCTGTTGATATTACCTTGATCTTGCCTCTTAAAGGCAGCACAATATCAGCTTCTTCATATTTTTATCAGTGTTTTCTCTGAATGTTTCTTGTTCAACATACAGCTTTGATTTGGTGGTGTGTGTCATGGCTCATATCAACAATTACTCTGGTTCTCTGGTTCTGATTTATAATTTATCAAGTAGCTGTGACTGAGCCATGAGACAGCTGACATAGCCATGAGATGGCTGTGGGAGAGCTATGAGATGTCTGTGACAGACCCATGAGATGGCTGTGGGAGAGCCATGAGATCGCTGTGACAGAGCCATGAGATGGCTGCGGGAGAGCCATGAGATGGCTGTGACAGAGCCATGAGATGTTTGTGACAGAGCCATGAGATGGCTGTGACAGAGCCATGAGATGTCTGTGACAGAGCCATGAGATGGATGTGGGAGAGCCATGACATGGCTGTGACAGAGCCATGAGATGGCAGTGGGAGAGCCATGACATGGCTGTGACAGAGCCATGAGATGGCTGTGGAAGAGCCATGAGATGGCTGTGACAGAGCCATGAGATGGCTGTGGAAGAGCCATGAGATGGCTGTGACAGAGCCATGAGATGGCTGTTGGAGAGCCATGAGATGTCTGTGACAGAGCCATGAGATGGCTGTGGGAGAGACATGGGATGTCTGTGACAGAGCCATGAGATGGCTGTGACAGAGCCATGAGATGGCAGTGGGAGAGCCATGACATGGCTGTGACAGAGCCATGAGATGGCTGTGGAAGAGCCATGAGATGGCTGTGACAGAGCCATGAGATGGCTGTTGGAGAGCCATGAGATGTCTGTGACAGAGCCATGAGATGGCTGTGGGAGAGACATGGGATGTCTGTGACAGAGCCATGAGATGGCTGTGACAGAGCCATGAGATGGCAGTGGGAGAGCCATGACATGGCTGTGACAGAGCCATGAGATGGCTGTGGAAGAGCCATGAGATGGCTGTGACAGAGCCATGAGATGGCTGTTGGAGAGCCATGAGATGTCTGTGACAGAGCCATGAGATGTCTGTGGGAGAGACATGGGATGTCTGTGGGAGAGACATGGGATGTCTGTGACAGAGCCATGAGATGGCTGTGGGAGAGACATGGGATGTCTGTGACAGAGCCATGAGATGGCTGTGGGAGAGCCATGAGATTGCTGACATAATCATATGATGTCTGTGACAGAGCTATGAGATGGCTGTGGGAGAGCCATGAGATGGCTGTGACAGAGCCATGAGATGGCTGTGGGAGAGACATGGGATGTCTGTGACAGAGCCATGAGATGGCTGTGGGAGAGCCATGAGATTGCTGACATAATCATATGATGTCTGTGACAGAGCTATGAGATGGCTGTGGGAGAGCCATGAGATGGCTGTGACAGAGCCATGAGATGTCTGTGGGAGAGCCATGACATGGCTGTGACAGAGCCATGATATGTCTGTGGGAGAGCCATGAGATGTCTGTGACAGAGCCATGAGATTGCTGACATAATCATATGATGTCTGTGACAGAGCCATGGGATGTCTGTGGGAGAGCCTTGAGATGGCTGTGGGAGAGCCATGAGATGTCTGTGACAGAGCCATGGGATGTCTGTGACAGAGCCATGAGATGTCTGTGACAGAGCCATGGGATGTCTGTGGGAGAGCCTTGAGATGGCTGTGGGAGAGCCATGAGATGTCTGTGACAGAGCCATGGGATGTCTGTGACAGAGCCATGAGATGGCTGTGACAGAGCCATGGGATGTCTGTGACAGAGCCATGAGATGTCTGAGGGAGAGGCATGAGATGGCTGTGGGAGAGCCATGAGATGTCTGTGGGAGAGCCATGAGATGTCTGTGACAGAGCCATAAGATGGCTGTGAGGTTTCAAATGAGATGTCTGTGACAGAGCCATGAGATGGCTGACAGAGCCATTAGATGACTGACAGAGCCATGAGATGGCTGTGACAGAGCCATGAGATGTCTGTGACAGAGCCATGGGATGTCTGTGGGAGAGCCATGAGATGGCTGTGACAGAGCCATGAGATAGCTGTGGGAGAGCCATGAGATGGCCTCACAGAGCCATGAGATTGCTGTGACAGAGCCATGAGATGGCTGTGACAGAGCCATGAGATAGCTGTGGGAGAGCCATGAGATGGCCTCACAGAGCCATGAGATGGCTGTGACAGAGCCATGAGATAGCTGTGGGAGAGCCATGAGATGGCCTCACAGAGCCATGAGATTGCTGTGACAGAGCCATGAGATGGCTGTGACAGAGCCATGAGATAGCTGTGGGAGAGCCATGAGATGGCCTCACAGAGCCATGAGATGGCTGTGACAGAGCCATGAGATGGCTGTGACAGAGCCATGAGATGGCTGTGGGAGACCCATGAGATGTCTGTGGGAGAGCCATGAGATGTCTGTGACAGAGCCATGAGATGGCTGTGGGAGACCCATGAGATAGCTGACATTACCATATGATGTTTGTTATGGGCGGCCAATCGGTCAAAAAGTACAAAGTTGAAACAAGGACAAAAGTATGCAATTAAGGTCAAATATTACGAATAACAAATAAATGTTACTATTAAAGGTCAAAATACAAAACAAACAGACGAGGGTTAGACATACAAAGTTGAAATAAAGGTCAAAAGTACGCAATATTAATAGTAAAATGTTACGAAAAGACGTCATAAGAGAAGAAAGAACAATGTGTACGAAAGAACGTCAGTGAGCACGAAAAGTTTGTGGGAGAGCCATGAGATAGCTGTGCCCGACAGGTACTTACTCTGACACTTGTCTGTGGGGTTGGTCCAGTAGTAGCCCATCTCACAGGTGCAGGTATATGTGCCCAGCAGATTGGTGCAGTTGGTGCCCTTCCCTCCACACGCTGCAGTCATGTTGGTGCACTCGTTGATGTCTACAAGTAGGTGAGAGAGAGAGATGTGACTTTGATGAGATTGGGCTGGTACCAACAGGAGTAGAGAGAGATCTGACTTTGATGAGATTGGGCTGGTACCTAAAGGAGTAGAGAGAGATCTGACTTTGATGAGATTGGGCTGGTACCTAAAGGAGTAGAGAGAGATCTGACTTTGATGAGATTGGGCTGGTACCTAAAGGAGTAGAGAGAGATGTGACTTTGATGAGATTGGGCTGGTACCAACAGGAGTAGAGAGAGATCTGACTTTGAGAGAGAGACCTGACTTTGATGAGATTGGGCTGGTACCTAAAGGAGTAGAGAGAGATCTGACTTTGATGAGATTGGGCTGGTACCTAAAGGAGTAGAGAGAGATTTGACTTTGATGAGATTGGGCTGGTACCTAAAGGAGTAGAGAGAGATCTGACTTTGATGAGATTGGGATGATATCACCAGGAGTAGAGAGAGCTATGACTTTGATTGGATTGGGATGGTATCACCAGGAGTAGAGAGATCTGACTTTGATGAGATTGGGATGGTATCACCAGGAGTAGAGAGATCTGACTTTTGATGAGATTGGGATGGTATCACCAGGAGTAGAGAGATCTGACTTTGATGAGATTGGGCTGGTACCTAAAGGAGTAGAGAGAGCTATGACTTTGATTGGATTGGGATGGTATCACCAGGAGTAGAGAGAGATCTAACTTTGATGAGATTGGGCTGGTACCTAAAGGAGTAGAGAGATCTGATTTTGATCAGATTGGGCTGGTAGCATCAGGAGTAGAGAGAGGTCTGGCTTTGATGAGATTGGATACAAGAGGTCTTCTTGTGTTCTCCTAATAGTGTCAGTCTTACCTTCACAGGCGTTATCATGAAGTGGCCACTCCTTGAAGCCAGGGCGACACTTGCATTCAAAAGTGCCGTTACCGCTGGTGCAGACAGTGGAGGCAGCGTTACAGTTGTTGTTGGTGTCACTGCCACACAGGTCGTAGTCAGCTTCAACAAACAACACAATAAGTTATAAGTAAAGAATCAGTGAGGACATACTCCAGTTTGTGGCATTGACATTAACATGCTGATGTTGATTTCCTTTTATCACGGGGTTATTTCAGTGGTGTGAACCTTGCATTCAAATCTCAGCTGTGGACAACAGACATGGGCTTCAGGTGCATTCCCCATAACTTCTTTTACATTACCCCTGTTGGATCTCGAACATGGGTCTTCCATATGTGACAAGCAATCACTTTCAACATGAGGCTGCCTTCTACCCACACTCCGGCGCAGTGGTGACTTAGCATAACACCACTGCCACAGGCTAATTTGCATATCACATGACCAGACTTTTCTCTTGTTTGTAAACAAACACGCAAGAATGCAAGTATTGACCGTATCGCTAGTTCTTCGTAGTGCTTCGATGACATAACTACGCAACTGAAAATAGTTTTTCACGATTTAGGATATTTTCTCAATGAAAGTTAACCATAGTATAACACATGTTTATCTAGATATATAGACGTGTCAAAAATGAAACAGATGAAAAACATATGCAATTTCTCGAATGGACGTGTAAGATGTCACGAATCGTAACATGGTGCTGGCCTGCGGCAGAGGTACTATGCTAGCCGCATGGAACTCTGGGTAGGAGAGTGCTGTCTACCCTTTTTTAGTCTGATTATAAATATATAAGATGTTCATCATATCAAAGTTAATTAGGCAAAATGAAACAAGCCAACCTAGTGTAGGACAGTTTGAGCAAGAATATGAACTTTGCCTAGGATAATATACCTAGTTGCTACACTTTGCATGCTGAACACATTTCACTGCACTATATAACAAGCGTATAGTTGACAAAGTCATCTATATCCCCCACCCATTTCAACACGTTATGGTCCCAAATCAGGTAACTGACCCAACATTTCTCTTAGCCCATGTCAAAATAGCTGCAATGGAAATTCTAAAATAAATATTTCTAAAACTCCTTAATATCAAATGGCACTAGTTCAGTATGCGCTTTATATATAGACATGCAATGTTTGGCAAGGAAATATTTAACAGTTTATTTGTTATACTACTTAAGTAAACCAATCCTATATTAAAACCTAAATCAAACTTGTTGTCATGGAAACATAAAGATAAAAATTTCTAAAAGTGCTATATATCAAAAGGCACCAGTTGAGTATGTGCCTGGTAGACATGCAAAGTTTTGTAAGAAAGTATTTAACGGTTTTTGAGTTACACTCTGGAAACAAACACCACCCCTGTAGAACCTAAGTCCAACTTATTGCCATGGAAATGTGAAAAATAAAAATTTCTAAAATTCCTAAATAGCAAGAGGCACCAGTCCAGTATGTGTCTGGTAAACATGCACAGTTTTTGTTGGAAAGTATTGAATGGGTTTTGAGTTATGCTCCGGAAACAAACTCTACCCTATAGAACCTAAGTCCAACTTGTTGCAATGGAAACGTAAAAAATTTTTTTTTATAAAATTCCTTAGTAGCAAAAGGCACCAGTTCAGTATGTGCCTAGTAGACATGCAAAGTTTTGTAAGAAAGGATTTAACAGTTTTTGAGTTATGCTCCGGAAACGAACACCACCTTTATAGAACCTAAGTCCAACTTGTTGCCATGGAAACGTAAAACATAAAAAATTATAAAACTCCTAAATAGCAAAAGGCACCAGTTCAGTATGTGTCTGGTAAACATGCAAAGTTTTGTAAGAAATTATTTAACGGTTTTTGAGTTACGCTCCGGAAACGAACAGCAGCCTTACAGAACCTAAGTCCAACTTGTTGCCATGGAAACGTAAAAAATAAAAAATTATAAAATTCCTTAATAGCACGGCACCAGTTCAGCATGAGTCTGATATTCATGCAAAGTTTCGTAGAGAAACTTTTAACGGTTTCTGAGTTATGCTCCGGAAACGATTTCGGGACGCACACACGCACACACACACGCACGCGCACGCACACGCACGCACGCACGCACGCACACACACGCACACACACATGGACGGAACCCATTTCTATATCCCCCGCCAACTTCGTTGGGGTGGGGGATAATAATATTCTTTAGTGTCAAAATAGATGTATAAGAAATGTTATGCTGAATGGATATCTTGCTCCCGGTTTCATTGAAGTATGATTAATGTGTTATATAGTTATACATGGAAACAGGGGTGGTGGTGTTGTTAAGGTGTTGGTCCGTCAAGCCGAAGGCTCAGGTCCTATGCAGTGATATTGGTGGAATATTGCTAAAAGCAATGTAAAACCATACTCATTCACACATGGCAAAAAGGGACTATGACTCAATCTTGTTTCCATGCCAATATAAAGGATAACAAAACTGAATTAATCAAAATACCAAATAGTTTCCTACATGCCTATATAATAAACACACTGACAATGAGTTTTCTTTTTTTTTCTTCATAAAAAGAAAATATAACCATTAGCATGTTGACACAGAAATAGTATGTCATCATTTGTATATAATTATCAAAATTATGGTACAGGAATTTTCGTAACATCATTATTCATTTTAGACTTGGTTTGAAAGATCTAAAAATTAACACCGGGAGATTTTCATGTATTGAGAAATCCCTAAGGTTATGCCCTTCTGTGACGTTGTTGTCGAAGATAAATACCATTAATGTTTATTTGCCCTATATATGAAAATCTAAGAAACAAGTACTTACCGCAGTGGTATCATTTTAATGCTATAAGATTGTCTTCATTACTGTCCTGCAAGGATCTTCTAATACAACATCAACTGTATATACATCATGCGGTTTTTGTTATGAGGTGAATAGTTACCTTGACTTCATAGCTAATACATATGTTATGTAACTCCGTTGTATATGGGCCTGTGGCCTTTCATACAATAAAGAATTCAATCCTTACCCATTCTGTACGACATTTCAGTACATGTAGTCGTACCTTTATCAAGCAGGTCAACTAGCACTTGTACCAAAACATTGCATAGAGGGAAGAAGTTGAAATATACTCACCCACAAAAGAAACGCGATTACCATACATGTTGGTTAATATATGGAGAATTACTCATATTCAAGAGATATTAGATTGGTTTGATGCACAAATGAACATACTGGTATGTTGTGTGAATTGACGCTCATGAACGCATCACACGTGACATCATAGATCCATGACTCGAGATGCACCATTTGTCTTTTGCAAGATTTGTGTGTAAAATTTGGAAATCATGTGTAGCATATGGTGATAGGAATAAAGACACTGTGGTAACACTTGATTGACTGTTAATTTTGTCATTAAGTGGTACACATTGGAAACATCTCTCCTTAATGTACATAATTCTTGATATGTATCTATGGTTCATGTTTCTTTTGGCGGTGAGTATACATATACAGGCTTGATACAGTGTACAGTGCACTGGATGTTTAATAAACTCAGTTGACAGCTCGATGTCAGCCATAGCTTGTCTCACCCATTATAACCATCCTAATATGAGTGAGTGAGTGAGTTGGGTTTAACGCCGCTTTTAACAGTATTCCAGTTATATTGCGGCGTGTCAGCTTAATGTGGGAGGAAAGCCCGAAGTGATGCAGGTCTCAGGCGTTTACCACTTCGGTGAAACCCACAAGCATGGGTATGGTGCTGACAAACCTAGAAACATTATAGGGGCGAATCGGGATTCGAACCCATAATCATAGGTTTCTGGCATGCCCAAGAGACGCAACTCTGCACAGCGAATCGCGGCGCCTTAGATGACTGGGCCACCCGTGCCCCCCTAAATATGACAAGGATATGATTGCAATGTCGAAGAGCACAATTACCTGTCAACTTTGTCTTCTGTTTATCAACTCCGATGAGCATATCGCTTCCAGTCCCCAGAGGACATGAAGTTGCTGTGGAGCAGGACGTGAAACCATCATTCAATGCATCTTGTAGAGTTGCGGAAGTCGTAGGCGTGTTCGTGCCAACCTCGTACTTCGCTTCAATCTGGCCACTATCTGCTTGTCTCCTTCGCCGGGATCTATCACAGAAATATTACATGTCATCTGTTGGTTGCACATTACTAAACTCCACAACAACTGGTATTGATCGGCTTAGAGACTCACAATTGACCCCCCATGAAGATCTGGGTCTTCAGCAACCGATGCTATTCGCAAGAGGCAATTAAAGGGATCAGGTGGTCAGGCTTGGTTGATCCATGTCATTGTATCTATATTCTGTAGATCGATGCTCATGACATCAATCACTGGACTGTCTGGTCCAGACTCGATTAGTTACAGGCTACCCTCATATAGCTGGAATTTTGTTGAGTGTGGCGTGAAACAACAAACAAACAAATCTAGAAATTGACGTGCAAGTCCAATCCTGGTTGTTGGTCATATCTTGTCTGAATCTAGCTGGCTATTTCCTCATTGAGAACGCAATTTATTTTATGAAGGGTGGTTGGTAGCCTAGTGGTCAAAGTGTTCGCTCATCACACCGAAGACCCTGGTTCGATTCCCCACACGGGTACAATGTGTTAAGCCGATTTCTGGTGTCCCCACCGTGCTATTGCTGGAATATTGCCAAAAGTGGCGTAAGACCATACTCACTCACTTTATTTTGTGGGAGTACATATATGTGGCAAAAGCAAAGAAACAAATAATTTAGAATTACATATGATCAAACCTCTGAGTCTCTAATTCACCCCCATCAACATGACGAAATCATCCCTTTTTTATCATTTAATGTGACTTATTACAAACGTTGTTCATAAAGCTAAATATCACCTAAATAACATGGTTTATTATGCTTTCCTTTATACAGCCATGGCCGAGTGTTGCAGTCTTGTAGTTGTTTGTAATTTTGCTAAAACCTATAAGGTTAAAAAAAAAAAAAATGTTGGTTCTCAGGCACCACTCGCTTCATCACAAAGTCTGCTGCACGTTTCATTTTTATTTCAATTTAAAAAAATGTTAAAATCCTTAAATATTCCAAATCCAACAGTAGTCAAACACTGTATTCCACTATTTTTCTTATCAAGGAATACATTTATGTCGGGAGGCCCTTTCCCAGGTTGATTGTACACAACTTATATTTGGTTACACAACTGTGTATTTGGTTACATACTAGTTTGGACAACCCAAAAAAAATAGACATCACCAGCCTGCACTATATTTTCAAAAACCATTGCCTGAGCCCCAATTCTTTTATATAATTAAGCCTAAATGAGGTAATTTTGCATCCTGTATCTTCACATATTCACTGCAACAAAGACCCTTTGAAGACCCACAAAGGGGGCGCTTATTAAAACCATTAACAATGATAAATTTGATAGAGTGGTAGTGAACAAACACAGTTAAATCATCTAGGCACATATGGCAGTCATAGCCTTTGAAAATTGCTGTTTTTATTAAACAAAAATCTGTAATATACACAAGAATATACGAACTGTCACATACATTTTTCATAGGGGTGCTTATAAAGATTACAGTAAACTACGTTTATAATGAACATGCTTATAATGAACTTACGGATGTGACAAACTTATTTTTTGTCCCAGCTTATAACTATAATATGCATATAACGAAGTATGGTTATAACAAGCTAATGTTAGGGTGCCCTTTGAGTTTGTTATAACTATAGTTTTCTGTATTTACAAATGGGTCCAGAAATTGCTCTGCTAATCGAAGTAGTGCTCTTAAACAGCCCATACAGTACCGGCATGAAACATTTCATGAAACAACACATTATTGAGAAACCCACCCTGTGGTTCCTTGCACCAGGACAAACTCTGTAACTGTCACTGTTGCATTCTGGACTTTCTTCTGCATGACCTCCTTCAGCTGTAACGAGGGAAAGTCAACATGACTACAACTGTAACCAGAGGACACTTCTGGTTTGTGCTCCACTGGTTTTACAGTGGAACCTCTCTAAACTTGACATGTGTGAGACTGAAGTTAAATCCAGGTTAACAGTGGTCTGGATTATTTACTAAACTGCCTGGGAAAAGAAAGTTTACACCCATGTTTGATGTAGGCTTAAAATGCAACAAGAAATGGTCATTTGATGGGGATGTATTTGATATGGGTATCATAGTTGTGTTCTGGATCATAACATTTTGATAGCGTTTGTAATTTTCAAGTGCGTTCATTCTTTTGGCTTGCAGTTTAGATTAGATAATGATTAAACAACTTGGCAAATTTGGGACAGTAAATTAGTCAGGTATTGTTTGAGATCTGGAGTCACAGATTCCATGAAACTTTTCATTTCAAATTTGACATTTATTTATCTAAAGCTGTAGTCAAAGACTTGCATCATGGGCTGTCATCCCTCATCAAGCTGACCAACTGTGATATACCGTATTTGACGTAATAAGCGCCCAGGGCGCTTTTTCCAGAATTTAATTGCCCATAATTAAGGGTGCATATAACATACGAGTGTGCATATACGCGAATAAATAAGTCTTCTGCACATTGATCAATCAGAAGGGGTGCTAATTAGGATTGTTTACTAGCAAAAATATCAGCAAATATCGCCGTGGGCGCTTATTAGAGCGGGACGCTTATTATGTCGAATACGGTAACTGAAATACTGTTCAAAGCAGTGTTAAACCAAACTCACCCACTCACTCACTCACTCTCATCAACTACTTACAACTTTCTCCACTTTCTCAGCTAGCTTTTTAAAGGCCTCCGAGTTCTTGTTCATCAGGTCTGCAGTCCAAACTTGATCCCTCCCTGGAACCTGAGCAAAGACGATCTCCCCACCAAATGTGTAAGTGGCTGTGAGAAGGAACAAGAAAAATTGTTTCATGTCAAACTTTAATGTCAGTGTAGCAGGGCGTGGAGTCATCCCATAGATGACATCCTTACCTTGTCAGCTTGCTCTTTGGTTCATGTAGACAATATGTCCGACCTCTGATCAGAAGGTCCGTGGTTCGAATCCCATTACGGGACTTGGACATTTTATGGCCGCTACATCAGCACTGTTATAGAATCACTGTTCATCACAGTTCCTTATAAATAGCTTAACATTGTATTATTGTACAGTCAGATTTTGGTATATCAAAACTAGACATTGGACCACAAATCAGACATAATAAGAAAGCATAAGCGGGTTATAGAGGAGGGTTGCATGGGTGCGCACACTCCTTTTTTCAGACACCTTACATGTTAACTACGTGCTCTGCATGGATTTCCTGCTCTCCATGTTTTATATGCAGAAATGAAGACTACCGTGTGTATTTTCTTGTAAACTAAGCTGGAAATAGCAATCAGCTGTGCACATGTACTACCGGTGATTCAAAAAGTACCCAATGATAAAACTGCTCTGCTAAGTCACTTTGTGTATCATGTGCAACCAACTTTTTCAAAAATACTGGATCCGCCTCTGGAGCGTATTGTTGTCAAGCACGTATTGGCCTTGTGATTGCACAAAGTGATGACACAGTCGATGGTAGAAGAAACAGCTTCAGGACTGTCTGGTGTTCTACATATTGGCTTGTAATATGGTGATTGTCCTTGTATCTACTGCCCCAAAGGTATTGCAACATAATACTTCAAGGATCTCAGGTTTTTGTATCCTACATTTGTCGATATCATTATATGAACCAGCATCTTGTTTGATCTCTGATAGACCTTTCCTTGGTTACGTTCAAAAGTCATGATACCGTATTTGAGGTAATAAGCGCCCCACTCTGATAAGCGCAATATTTGCTGATATATTGGCTGGTGAACAATCCCAATTAGCACCCAATTGATCAATGTACACAAGACTTATTTATTTGCGTATAATACGCACTCATGTGTTACATGCACCCTTAATTATGGGCAATTAAATTCTGGGAAAATATATCTGTCGTATATAAACATTTCAGGCTGTCACCATAAACCATGAAATTTATCTTTCAAATCAACAATAATATTCTAATAACGGCCCCCTATTTCTAATTTTGAGAGCGCCCTGGGTGCTTATTACGTCGAATACAGTAATAAATGTTTTGAGTGGCTTTGTATACAGTGAGTGAGTGAGTGAGTGAGTATTGTTTACTTTTGCAGCTAATTGCAGTGAACAGTGATTAGGATAAATTGAATAGCTTAATTTAACGAATACCGGTAGCTAAATACCTTTTTGAGTGCAGTATCTGCCCTTGAAGGTGGGGCGACAGGACCACTTGCATCCTCCATCAGTGTTCTCACAGAACTGGCGGAGACTGTCCGTGTACCCAGGGCAGGTGTTAGCCTTACATTCATTTATATCTGCAAACATTCACATGATTTATCATCAGTTTATGAATGAATTTTGCTTATAACTGAGTGTTTGTTTATTTGTTGTTTAATGCCGCACTCAGCAATATTCCAGCTAGATGACGGCGGTCTGTAAATAATCGTGTCAGGACCAGACCATCCAGTGATTGAGATCATGACCATCGATCTATGCAATTGGGATATGATGACATGCATCAACCAAGTCAGCGAGCCTGACCACCCGATCCCATTAGTCACCTCTTACGACAAGCATAGGTTGCTGGAGACCTATTCTAACCCAGATCTCCACTTATAGGTGAGTGAGTGAGTTAGGTTTCTTGCTGCTTTGAACAACATTTCAGTTCCATTACAGCATGTCAGCTTCATGTAGGATGAAAGTCTGAAGCTGTAGTCATTTACCACTTCTGTGCCCAACTATACGTATGGTGCCAACAGACAGAATCATAGAGGGGTAAACCTGGGACTTGAACCCAAAGCCAGCAGATCCTGGCATAGCTAAGGGATACAACTCCGCTCAGTCATGCAATGTCTTTACCATTGCGTTATTGTATAAGAATAATGCAAAGCTTGGAGTCACCATCAAACAAGTAATATAACTTCACATTCTTATTGAAAAATTAATAAAATACTGGACATTTAAACAATTGGTGAGTGAGTTTTATGCCAATTCAGCAATATCATAGCAATGTCATAGAGAGGGGCACCAACTGCAGGAATAAGGAATAAGGAATAAGCTTCAAACATGGCATGAATAAGGAATCACTTGCAGAACTTCAGCAAGATGAGAGAATATTTTGCCTACTAGATCACCCTGTGGCCCCTGAAGGATGAACTAATGGTTGATACTTGAAGATATATCTAGACCTACTCAGAGGCTGATATTCTGCCCCAAGTCCGCACCAAATGTGAGTGAAAATTTCCAAATTGGAATTAACCATTTTCCAAGTCATGGTGTTAGTCATTATTAATGTTATGGTTTTGTAGAGGTGGCATGTATTTCACTGACAACAGGACCAATATAGTGGAAGAGGCTTGAATGTTTAGGGTTAATTTAATGTTAAAATACCTCTAGCGTTAATTATTAAGTGTCCCTATTTTAGACAAGATAAAAGATTTTCCTAACTTGCTTACCAGGGGCACTTAATCCCTATTACTGGTAGAACAAAAGATAATTGTATTATTTCTTACCGACACATTTGTTGTCCTGACGTTGGTAGCCCTGCATGCAGGAACAGCTGTAGTTGCCAAGGAGGTTGTTACACACCGCGTGGTCGCCACACACGTTGTCCACACACTCGTTCTTGTCTGCCAACAACAACGTTCACCTGGGTACTCCAACACTTAGTGAATGAGCAAGATGTTTTTTTACGCCACCTTTAGCAATATTTCAGCAAAATCATGGTGGGGAATTTGGCTTCACAATTTGCATCGTGTGGCGAAACAATCCCAGGCGTGACAATCGGACGCTGTAGCCTCAAGGCTCCCCATCACACCCTAACATTGTGAGGTAGAAGTTAACACTCTTCACTCTGTAGGCACTGAAGATCACTTTCCTTCACACTTTGTATCGTGTGGCGAAACAAACCCGGGCCTGACAATGGGATGCTGTAGTCCAAGGCTCCCCAAACACACCCTAACATTGTGAGGTGGAGGTTAACTCTCTTCACTCTGTAGGCACTGCAGCTCACTTTAATTGGTGAATTTCAAGAAGAAATAAATCATGTGTAATGTACATGAGTTTCATTTCTGTTTGGACAGAAACTTTTCATATCCATAAATTCTTGTGATATTGATCATAATTTATATTGAAACAAGCTGCACAAAAATGTGATCATAACATCTGCGCTTGCAAGTTTATACTTAAGTTATTTGTAACACTACTTAATGTGGAGGACATTTCCAAATTTGATGCATCTGTTCCAAAAACGATGTCTGATGCAATTCCCTGTTTTGACTTGTACCACATGTGCCCTTGTCTCATCACTTCAACAATTGACTTGTCTTTGCATGTGTTTGTGGTGGAGCAGGATACACTCACCTTTTCTCTAACACCTGGTATCATCACTATTTGATAGTTATTCATAAACATAGTCAGAATCGACTCTGCTTTTAACAGAGATTTCTTATGAATATGGAAAGGGCGTTGTTGCTTTTATTTAATGTAGCTAACATGCTCCACTTACCATAACACTTGATACCATCTCCTTCCAAACCATTTGGACATGTGCATGGGTTATCCGCTCTTGATTCATTGCATGTAGCGCCATGGAAACACTGACCATGACACACTGGTTTGCTTTGATCACAGTAGTCTCCCTTTGTGTTTTCAGGACATCGGCAAAGTGCTTGGCCAAATAATTCTGAATTTAAATCAGATAATACCAATCTGATTAGACAAAAGTACTGCAGGTTTTTTTACATGTTTCTCTTGTCATGTTATAATGAATCTGTGATATTTATCAAAATCTTTTACAGACTAACTCTTAATAAATATATAATTTGATCAGGTCACTATATGGCTAAGATATATCCGATCCGACAATAAAATCTTTTAGCATCCAAAATTGGCTTCCACATTGATAAATTTACCATGAATGATACATAGAATCTCACCCTATTGTCTTTTGAGATTCTCTGGGGGCTCATGGTACGTAGAATCTCACCCTATTGTCTTTTGACATTCTCACGGGGCTCATGGTATATAGAATCTCACCCTATTGTCTTTTGACATTCTCCCAGGGATCATGGTACATAGAATCTCACCCTATTGTCTTTTGAGATTCTCCCAGGGCTCATGATACATAGAATCTCATCCTATTGTCTTTTGAGATTCTCTATTAGCTCATTACATAATATTTCGGGAGTTTTTTTGTATAGTGTACATCATGCAATATTATTGACATTGTTCAGTTAATTTCACCAGAATATCTTTTGATATCAAATACATGAAAATCAACACAAACTGATAAGTGTTGCTTGCCAAGGTGTTTTAAACATTTATCTTTGAGTGTTCATCAATTTTATATTGAAAGACATGAGGGTGAGATTCTATTTATCATACAAAATGAACCTTCCCACTTTTTCAGCTTGTAAACAGTCATAAACAGTCTTGAGGGAAATAGTATTGCTAAGCAGCTTCAGTGGCAAAGTGATTAATGCATCATGGTTACCGATAACACCACTTGCCAAGCATTGTGAAACCATATCATTGTAGTGATATCTCCTTGGACATACAGTAAAGTATGGTTATAACGAATTCAAAGGGACTACTAATTTTAGTTTGTTTTAACCGTAGTTCGTTATAAGCATATATACAGCATAACTACAGCAAAGAGTCGGGACCAAAAAAGTAGTTTGTTATATCGGTCAGTTCGTTATAAGCGTGTTCGTTATAACCGTAGTTTACTGTACATCGTATACACACCGCCAAAAGAAACCGCCAAAAGAAACCTGAATACCATACATGTTGGTTGATATATGAAAAATTACACATATTCAAGAAATATTTGTTTGGTTCGATGCACAAACGAATGTACTGGAATGTTGCTCATGACTGCATCACATGTGATGTAACAGATCCATGACTTGATACACACCATTTGTCTCACGCAGGATTACTGTGTAAACTTTGGAAATAACGTGCAGCATATCGTGAAAGAAAATAAGGACACTCTGTGGTAATACTTGACTGATTGTTAGTTTTGTCATAATTGGAACACATGGGAAAGAACTCTTCTTGACATAAATACTCCTCGATATGTTTCTGTGGTTCGCGTTTCTTTTGGCGATGAGCATATATCACGTGATCTCACCGAAGCAATATCTCCTGTGGAAGCCAGTTGTGTAGGATAACTACAACATGACACTTTCAACAAGAGTGAGTGAGTGAGTTGGGTTTAACACCGCTTTGAACAGTATTCAAGTCATATCACCAGGTTGATGGAGAGAAGTCCGAATGGATCAGGTCACCATTGCTTAGCACTTTAGTGAAACCCACGAGCATGGGCATGGTGCTTACAGACCTAGAAATAATTCCGAGGCAAACTGGGATTCGAACCCATAGTCTGAACCCACACTGCACAGTAAATTGTGTTGACCCCCTATTTACAATGTGATGTATATATGCGTTCGTGACCATAGTCCCTTCTGAAACTCGATATGTATTGTCTGTGGACATTGAGTATCGAAGCTATTTCGACATACAGAGAATACAGCTCCTGTACCTGAGGTTCTCTTCTCCTCGTAGTTGATGATGTTGTAGTCACACTGCGATGACTCTGCACACAGACACACCGCGACTGCCGGGGTATAGGTGGCATTGAGTCCGGCACTCGCCAGAAACTGGAAAGTTGTCTTTGTAGTTGTCAAGGCCGATGTTACATTCCATGTAAACTCACCAGTTGTCTCGTCTGAAATGAAATTTTATTCAATAAACAATCTTAGATAGAGAAGAAAGCTTCCACATTTTGGCAATCTTTTGTGATTTTTTACTTGATTTTCAATTGAATTTGTTTGTTTGTTATTTAACGCCATACTCAGCAATATTCCAGCTATATGATGGCGGTCTGTAAAAAATCAAGTCTGGACCAAACAATCCAGTGATTGAGATCATGACCATCGATCTATGCAATTGGGATACAATGACATGCATCAACCACCTGATCCTGTTTCTTGGCTCTTGAGACAAGCATGGGTTGCTGAAGACCAATTCTAACCCTGAATCTTCACGGAGCAATTTTGAATTGAAATAGAATTTTATCTCGGTGCATAATTTTACTTTATTTTGATATCACTCACTCACTCTCTCACTCCCAAGCCCACCCACTCCCAAGCCCACCCACTTACTCTCTCACTCTCTGACTCACTCACTCACTCACTCAGCAATACTTGAAGAGTTCATTCCATGGAATAACAAGTAACAATTACTGTAAGAGTATAAGGCCTGGTCTTCGGATGGTGTCACACTGTAGGTGGCGCCTGAGTCATTTGTTGCCTTGACAACCAGTGAAAAGTCTCCCTCAGTCACATTCCAAATTTGGGGTAACCCAGAAAATATTGGTGGTTTCATGTCTGAAACATATCAAGATTCATGACAATATTTCTCTTGTTACTATCCCACTGAAACATGCACCCATTTGTCTTCTTATATCAAAATATCCCGCTCACGACAAAATACTAATGAATATCCTTTTTATGCAAACAATCAAGCAGTATTACATTGCAGGAAGGAAAGGAGCTTGGCCATAGCTTGGTTTGTTTCTTTCTTTTCAGCTCACAGACTTTTCAACATTTGAAATCTATCAACACAATAATGATGCCCTGAATAAATGAACATTTACATTTATGAAAATTATTCAAAATGTTTAAAGAGTTTTAAACTCTTAAGTCCAAGATAAAAAATTGTGAACCATTTTCAGACAGTTTTTATTTAATTGTTATCTTTTTATTTTGCTGAGCTTTGACATGAGAAACAAACAAATACAGCAGGTCTAAGGACAGATCAATTTAATTGTTAATAGACAAGTCTACCTAAACTTGGAAATGTAAAAAACAATGATTAACAAATAAATTACAAGTGATTCCATAGCATTTCATTGAATAAACAAATAATCCTTTTGTATGTATGTTTTCATTAAACGAAAAGAGATACAGCACGTCCACTCTCGGACTACTGTTTCCTGATTGGGGGACGATAGAAAGGACAGGGTTTGTGTTGCATTATTGCTCTGAATGATGTCACTGATTTTAACTGTTGTCCACAGATTTGTGTGTGTTATTTAATTTAATAAATCAGCATACTTTGAAGTTATTATCATGGACATATTTATTTATAATACTGTATTCGATAAGAATAAGAAATAGGGGGCTCTTGTTAGAATATTATTTTGGTGAAAAAAACAGAGTTGAAAGATCATAAATTTCGCCTGAAATGTTTATATACGACAGATATATTTTTCCAGAATTCAATTGCCAATAATTTAGGGTGCATATAACACACGAGTGCGTATTATACACGAATAAATAAGTCTTGTGTAGAATGATCAATCGGAAGGGGTGCTAATTGGGATTGTTCACTAGCCAGTATATTAGCAAATATAGCTGTGGGTGCTTATTAGAGCAGGGTGCTTATTACGTTGAATACGGTAATTAATTTCAGAATGTTTTTGCAATTATGGAGCTATAAATGTAAATATCGGTGTGCGATGTGGACTACAGCGTGCACACAGGTCATCACGTATATATCTCCATAAATACAAACAATACTGAAAACAATTCAGTTTTTGCTTTAAAAAGGATTTATTAAACAACTTAAATTTAGACTTAAAACATATATTTTGGCAGCTGCATCTTGAAGTATTGACCAAAAAATACGAAAAAAGAACACTAAATTGTCAGATCTTACTTCCAGAACCACTCAGCACTAAAATTAGTCTTACTGAGAGTAGTTTCCTGGTCTTTGATGTCCTCCATCTTGGCCCTGAGACCTGCAGCAACACTGGCATCAGACAGGGCCTTGTAGGAGACGAGACACGCAACATCGTCGCCGCAGGTGGTGTTGGCTGTGGCAATGGCTGTGGCATTAGAGCTGTAGAGAGAATCTCTGTACACGGTAAAGTTGGAGTAGGAGAGCGGGGTGATGGACTGTGCCAATATGGAGGAGAAGTTGCCAGTGGCGAGGCTGTAGTTGAAGTGCGAGTCACTTTCAATCGTTACCTTGGCTGAAAGACAATGCATGTATAAAGTCATGGGTAGGCATTTAGAAGTAGGAGGAACAAGAACGTAACTATTATGGATTTCAACTTCATTGTTATCTGTAACAAAGTTCAACGACTACTTCTTGACCTTTCAGGTAATTCACCACCTACAATAGTCTGTCATACAGACCCGGAAACAAATATATCCAATCCAGCCCATGCAAGTCTATAATGTTTGGCAAGTCTAGATTACTGCAGTATCTGAAAATGAAGAAAGTCTCTGGGCTCTTTTTTATCATATTTCATGACTATAATTTAACAACTGTTTTTTCCGTAAAATATATTCATTTCAGAGACTAGATGTTAGTCTACTCCTATAAGTAGTTTATGACTATATTCCCCATAATGGACGCCCAGTGCACTTAGAAAATTGACGGGTGTTTATCTAAACCAAACATGAGTTAAATTTGTTTTCAGTGATTAAGCAGCAACGAACAAATGTTTGGTGAAGTAAAATGTTTTCTATAGCAGTTACTTGACAGTTTTACCCCTTATAAACTGTTTTCTGTAAAAACATATGTAATATACACAAGAAAATATGAACTGCTATGTAAATTTTTGTCCTAATAGGTTGTCAGGAACTTATTAAAATTACTTACCAATTGGTCGAGATTTAGTCAGGGCGCTTATTAGAGCAGGGTGCCTTATATGTCAAATACAGTTTATATATTATCCGAGATGCCAGACCCAAATTGAGGTTCATATTTTGGCTTAATCACGTGACCTTTTACCTACTTTGGTGGCATACTTTTCAAAATGGACCTATCTTTCATTGGGGATTATAATAAACTATATCTGGAACACTTCCATTCAAATGTATGTCCAAGTTACTGTACATGCATGATGTTACTGTAATTAATAGAGGCATGCAGGGTGACAGGACAGACATCACTATTCAATCTCTCCTGGCCTACGACTACCGTATTCGACTTAATAAGCGCCCAGGGCGCTCTCAAAATTAGAAATGGGGGGCTCTTATTAGAATATTAGAGTTTCCGTGTTTTATGCTGACAGCCTGAAATGTTTATGTACGACAGATATATATATATCCAGAATTTAATTGCCCATAATTAAGGGTGCATATAACACACAAGTGCGTATTATACGCGAATAAATGAGTCTTGTGTACATTGATCAAACGGAAGGGGTGCTAATTGGGATTGTTCACGAGCCAATATATTAGCAAATATCGCCGTGGGCGCTTATTAGAGCGGGGCGCTTATTACGTCGAATACGGTACTTGAGTTTGTAATGAAGACTTGTAACTTTTACCTGCATCAACAAGTTCCTGTGTGACTGTGTCTCTGGCCATGATAGCCACAAGTCCAGCATTGAAGATCACATTCTCAGTATGGGGCACAAAGACTGACACAAGCAGCTGACCACTAGCTGTAACCTGTAAAATACAACACCATCTGCAGTCAAGATCTTACTGTTAACATCTCAACATATACACACCAAGAGTGAGTGAGTATGGTTTTATGCCGCTTTTAGCAATATTCCAGCAATATCACGGCGGGGGACACCAGAAATGGGCTTCACACATTGTACCCATGTTGGGAATCGAACCCGGGTCTTCGGCGTGATGAGCTAACGCTTTAACCACTAGGCTATCCGACCGCCCCTACACACCAAGATCCCGAGGGGGTACCCAGCCCTGCAGCTTCTAGAGGCATACCATACATGTAGATATAAACATGCCATATTTATAAATTATTTCATGATATGTTTTCAAAAAAAAGAATACAACTAAGAAATTCTGATTGTATGTTAACCACACACATCTGGGGCCTGGCAAAATAGATCGATAATCGGAATTATCGTCAACGGGAAGAAATATTAACTATTATCGGAATGAAAATTGTGTCATCAATAATATATTACATAAACTATTTAGATGAAATAAAGTTTAGATTTACCCAAACAGACTTGTTATTGTCAATAATGTCAATTGCTGAAGATGGTAAGTGACTGTTTTTGTTGCATCTCAAATGTCCACAAAGTAATCCCTGCATAAATGTGCCCCCACTCACCAGTGGAGTGAAATAAGTTGTTTTCTTTGGATCTTTTTTGTGAAGTTTCTCAAAGTTACTTCCTTTATATTTATCGATAATTGATCAATATTTGTTAACGATTATCGATCTCTGTATGATCTGTATCGATAGCCATCCCTACACACATCAATTTCCAAACAGCTGTATCCATGCTTGATACAACCCATGTTTAAATCTCCTGCTGACAGCACTACCTATCTCTAACTCTGATTTAAATTAACATGGTTTTGGGATTTGTATATTTTATTTGGAAATGCTGGAAAAAAATAACTTTCACACAAAAATTACTAACACACAAAAATGTCTATTTGACAAGCTTGATGTCCTGAAAAAAAAGAAAATTATTTGACGCCTCCTTGAGGAACAGAAATTGTATGTCTACTTCTAACAGAAACTCCCAGACCCAGTCTGCCACTCACCTGTACATAGGAGCCATACTGGAAAATGATTGTATCTCCATCCAGCATAAACTCCTCCATCTCACTGCTGTTCTGAAGCATGACGCCTTTATGGTAGAACTCAACTGTGTTCTTTCCAGCTCCGAGCCTGGCCTCCACAATGACATTATTCACCTGAAGTCAGGGATTCCATATCAGCAGAGTGATAAATAACATCAAGCAATATGTTGCCCTTGCAGCAAGGCATTAGCAGAAAGTATTCATGGTAAGTCTTCAGAGTGATAAATTACGTCAAGCAATATGTTGCCCTTGCAGCAAGGCATTAGCAGAAAGTATTCATGGTAAGTCTTCAGAGTGATAAATAACGTCAAGCAATATGTTGCCCTTGCAGCAAGGCATTAGCAGAAAGTATTCATGGTAAGTCTTCAGAGTGATAAATAACGTCAAGCAATATGTTGCCCTTGCAGCAAGGCATTAGCAGAAAGTATTCATGGTAAGTCTTCAGAGTGATAAATAACGTCAAGCAATATGTTGCCCTTGCAGCAAGGCATTAGAAGAAAGTATTCATGTTAAGTCTTCAGATTGATAAATAATGTCAAGCAATATGTTGCCCTTGTAGCAAGGCATTAGCAGAAGGTATTCATGGTAAGTCTTCAGAGTGATAAATAACGTCAAGCAATATGTTGCCCTTGCAGCAAGGCATTAGCAGAAAGTATACATGGTAAGTCTTCAGAGTGATAAATAACGTCAAGCAATATGTTGCCCTTGCAGCAAGGCATTAGCAGAAAGTATACATGGTAAGTCTTCAGAGTGATAAATAACGTCAAGCAATATGTTGCCCTTGCAGCAAGGCTTTAGAAGAAAGTATTCATGGTAAGTCTTCAGATTGATAAATAATGTCAAGCAATCTGTTGCCCTTGCAGCAAGGCATTAGGGGACTGTATTTATGTAATGTCTTACTGGAAGATAAATTTGCTATCTGGCTTGTTCATGCCTATTGTCCAACTGTTTGATTGTTTGTGAAAAATGTCCCTATGCAAAGTGACCTCATTGCTGTGCACTTTCATGAATTGAAGGTGAGGTCGTACAGTTTATATAGAGGGTATTATATAAGTGTTTCCCATATTTCCCGAGAGTGAGTGTCGTAAACATAGTATGACATGAACACGAATATAATGTTCCATTTATTACGAAAGAAAGTGTCAACATACAGAGACGAAAATTAATGTTTACCTATAAGGACAACAAGTCGCAACAGCAGCGGAACCACAATTTGTCGAATGACATCAACAATCTTCAGCTATGACATTGCTGCTAGTGTGACGTCATTCCGACCTCACGTCAGATTCAAATGATGTCAACAAAGTCGTCCACATGACGGAAACAATACGCTGTTGACGTGATATGACCCTAGGGCACATATGAGTTTATGGACCCTGATATGTTTGCCCTCGTAGGTAATAAATCAGGTTATTTTACTGTGAGTTTGTGAAGGCTTAACGCCACGTTGAGCAGTATTTCAGTTATGTCAGTTTATAGTGAGTGAGATGCGTTTCACAAACGTTGTACACATAAAACACCTGCATCACTTCGGGCTTTCCTCCCCTATGAAGCTGACCCACTATGATGTAACTGAAACACTATTTAGAGTGAGTGAGTGAGTGAGAATGGTTTTACGCCGCTTTTAGCAATATTCCAGCAATATCAGGGCGGGGTACACCAGAAATGGGCTTCACACATTGTACCCATGTCGAACACTATTTAGAGGGGTGTTTAACCGAACTCACTCGTTCCTTTTAAAAATCACAAAGAAAAATCAAATTTCCATGTATTACCTGAATAGCAACGGCAGTGAGGGCTGTGACGTTGATGTTGTCAGCTACTCTCTCCATCCTTCCCTGTATCACTGCCCCTCTGCAACAATGACCATTACATCAATTGCTGGTATTCATTGTGCTACGTGTCAGTCCCTGCTGCTCTAGAACCATGACCATTACATCAATGTACCGGTATTCATTGTGCTATGTGTCAGTCTCTGCTGATCAGAACCATGACCATTACATCAATGTACTGGTATTCATTGTGCTATGTGTTAGTCCCTGCTGCTCTAGAACCATGATCATTACATCAATGTACTGGTATTCATTGTGCTACGTGTCAGTCCCTGCTGATCAGAACCATGACCATTACATCAATGTACTGGTATTCATTGTGCTATGTGTTAGTCCCTGCTGATCAGAACCATGACCATTACATCAATGTACCGGTATTCATTGTGCTATGTGTCAGTCCCTGCTGCTCTAGAACCATGACCATTACATCAATGTACTGGTATTCATTGTGCTATGTGTCAGTCTCTGCTGATCAGAACCATGACCATTACATCAATGTACTGGTATTCATTGTGCTATGTGTTAGTCCCTGCTGCTCTAGAACCATGATCATTACATCAATGTACTGGTATTCATTGTGCTACGTGTCAGTCCCTGCCACTCTAGAACCATGACCATTACATCAAGGTACCTGTATTCATTGTGCTATGTGTCAGTCTCTGCTGATCAGAACCATGACCATTACATCAATGTACCGGTATTCATTGTGCTTTGTGTTAGTCTTTGCTGATCAGAACCATGATCATTACATCAATGTACTGGTATTCATTGTGCTATGTGTCAGTCTCTGCTGATCAGAACCATGACCATTACATCAATGTACTGGTATTCATTGTGCTATGTGTTAGTCCCTGCTGCTCTAGAACCATGACCATTACATCAATGTACTGGTATTCATTGTGCTACGTGTCAGTCCCTGCCACTCTAGAACCATGACCATTACATCAATGTACTGGTATTCATTGTGCTATGTGTCAGTCTCTGCTGATCAGAACCATGTTGTTTTCTTCATGCTATGTCATACAGCAGTCATTATACCTGAATGGTTTCTCCATCAGTTAATGTATATAAACTTTGCATAAAAACATTAATGGATTTATATTTCTTTACCCATTTACTTATTCATATGCATATAAACAAATAGAGCCAGAAAGATCTGGATATTACCTAAAGGTTCTGGAATATTTTGCAAAATGAAAATACTAATTAAAAAACTTTAAAAAACAACTATTTTGACGTCCTGTCCCCTTAATAATCTCCTAGTCAAAATGTGTTCTCAGTGCGAAAAAGGCATACATAGAAATTACATATCTTTAAAATATCCATGAAATCTTGAAGCTGTCTTGTGAAGCATTTTGTGAAGCTAAAATATAAATTTTATATCATTTCCAGCAATTCAGTTCAAATAAGGCAATGGGGCGGTGGTTAAAGCGTTCGCTCGTCACGCCGAAGACCCAGGTTTGATTCCCGACATGGGTACATTGTGTGAAGCCCATTTCTGGTGTCCCCAGCCGTGATATTGCTGGAATATTGCTAAAAGCGGCGTAAAACCAAACTCACTCACTCACTCAAATAAGGCAACACAAACAGTGCTTATGTAAGCCATGTACACAAGATACATACAAGATAACATTGACTGTATGTTTACAGTTGCACTGCGTTGTATGTTGTAGTCCACTGAATACAATTTGAAATGAAGATTTCCCTGCAAAACATCTGTGTGAAATAACCTTTTTTTAATTAGGTATATTTGTTTTTTAATTACACTACATCATGTGACATCATTTTACTTGATAAATAACAAAGGTGTACACTGTACATGCACAGAATATATCCACTTCAATCACTGTGTTACTATTGTAATTGAGGGTGTAATTTGAGGACAAGGTGTCAGTAACTTAAGAGTAACTCAAATGCCTTCAATTGTTTACTGCTGCTTTGAACAAGCTGTGGGTGTTTTGATAGGCAGATTGGTTATGTGAGGAGGTGAGGTGAGGTGAAATGGGGTTTAATGTCGCGTCCAAGATTATTGCACTTATAAAGCGACGTGCATGCACGTGTGTGTGTTTGTGTGGCTGCTTGTTCTAGTCCGTACTGATGCCGATTTATAGTGCTAGCTCACTGAGATACCATGCCGCAGTTTAACATGAATATCCCACTCACACACAGTATACTGACTCTGAGCCCACCAGTCCTTGTTTTAGCCCCTTAATGCCGAGCGCCAGACAGGGTAACAACAAGTACCATCTTTTAACGTCTTTTGGTATGACGTGGTCGGGGATCGAACCCGGGACCTTTCGCTCTCCGGGCGGACGCTCTACCACTAGACCACGCAGACAGTCGGTTACAAGAGGAGCCCAGCTCAGGGATTAACAGTTTATTATACATTTAAACATTATCGTTGACAGTGTACAAACGGGACAATAGGGTGAGTTCACTATAACCGTAATTTTGTTATGAGCGTGTTTGTTATATCTATCAACTTTATATGATAAAATATATGACAAATGACCGTGACCAAAAGAACAGTATGTTATATCCGTCAGTTTGTTTTTAGCGTGTTTGTTATGAACGTAGTTTACTGTATATCCTTCATTCACTTACTTGCTGCTGTCCCCGAACAGGACATACTCCCCAATGCCATTAAAGATGTAGGGTGGTCCAGCTGGCTGCAGCTTTGACACGAGGCCTCCCCCATAGTAGCCTGAAGACGAAGAAGACAACAGATCACAGAGATGTCTAGTTCTGCTGTATCTTCTTGTGCAAAGTGCACACTAAAGAAAGCCAGCTGTTTCAAGGGTCTGTGCGCATCCAGTAAGTTTTGATATTTTCCTGAAGCAATGAGATCACTGGATCTCATAACATTGGAAACTGCATGTCAAATCTGTACTGATGTATGCAAGTTTGTCCTGTTATCACCCTATCTTTCAATTAAATTTATTCCTTGTATATCGAGACATGTCATTTTGTCTAGTGGTGTTTTATCACAAATTTCACATTTTCATGTTCATTCGCCTGAAGCGGTATGATGAAGTTCCTGACTGTGCACGGTATAGGGCATAGCAATTTCCTCAAAACTTGTACCCAAGAATAGGGGTTCACATTGAGTGCATTTCATACACAGAAATGTAGGACAGTGAAACCCTGGAAATCTGGATGTTAGCATTCCCACTGAAATTGCCAGGATTACTGTAAATCCTGAAATTAATGAGTCTCCAAATTGACCCCTCGCCAAAAATGCAACTCAAAGTCAATGTGACTTCCACCACCCCATCCCCAATGGAATGATACATATATTTACCTTAATCCAATCAAACACAAATAGCACTGCTTATTATAACTGAGTAAAGCATTTCCATAATAACAATGAACAGTGTTTTCCTAAAAAACAACACACAGTTTATATGTTTATTTTGTTGACTAGCATTAAGGAAGTTCAAAGACAATAAAATAATTGAACCAACAACAGTTTACAGATTGGTGTGGTCAATGATGCCTAGTTTGACACGAGTTGGTAGAACTCTTGACCCCAGCAGTGACAACACACCAGATGCCTACAGTGTAATTTCTATTCTTTAAATGACATTGTTCTGTACTTGTTACAGCTGCTGCTCAATAAACCGTGTTTGTGTATAGATTCAAGTTGGTATTTCCGCTATCCCAAGTGTGCAGTGAGGCGGTCTTATTGTTCATAGTCATTTTGGAGACATAAATGCGAAGTTTCGTTGATGCAAACAAAGACCACTCGTATTTTTCGCATTTAATTCACGCTTTCGTTAATTTCAAGATTTACAGTATCACATTTCCAGAATAGCAAATCATGGTTACTGAGTAGTGTCACATTGTACACAGCAGAGCATCACCAGTAGTACATGGCCAAGGGTTTGTGTGAAGAACACTCACCTGTAGTCACATCAGTGTAGCTGGCACAGGTGTCAGACGGGTACTTGGCATAAAAGACTTTACACACTTGGCTGCTGGGGCTACAGCAGATGCTGTTGACCATGTCAATGTAGCCTGCTACTGTGGTATTGCTGCTCCTTGGGTAGCCTGCTCCTCTCTCATTGGACAGAAGAGTTCCGTAGACTCTGAAAAGTGAGTGAGTGAGTGAGTTGGGTTTAACGCCGCTTTTAACAGTATTCCAGTTATATCGCAGCGTGTCAGCTTGATGTGGGAGGAAAGCCCGAAGTGATGCAGGTCTCAAACGTTTACCACTTCGGTGAAACCCACGAGCACGGGTATGGTGCTGACAAACCTCGAAACATAATCGGGGCGAACCGGGATTCGAACCCACCATCAACTCTGCACAGCGAATCGCGGTGCCTTAGACGACTGGGCCACCCGTGCCCCCCTCTGAAAAGCGTGGGATGAAGTCAGTGAATGAGCAGGTGAATCTTGCTTCACGTTACAGTCTGCAGTAGGTTCCAGGTAGGTCTGGGCAGACTTTAAATAATTAAGTCAGGGCCAGACAGTCCTGTGTTTGGCAGCATTATCAGTAACGCATCAGTCATGTATGTTTGTTGTTTTGTTTAAAGCTGCACTCAACAATATTCCATATACCGGTATATGACGGCAGTCTGTAAATAATCAAGTCTGGGACAGACAAGTCAGTAATTTACATCATAAGCATTAATCTACACAATTGGGATACAATGACATGCATCAATCAAGTCAGCGAGCCTGTCCACTTGATCCTGTTAGTTACCTCTTTGGACAAGCATAGTTGCCTATCAAGCATGTGTAGCAGCCATAAAATATCCAAGTCCTGTGATTGGATTCGAAACACGGACCTTCTGATCCGAGGTCGGATGCCTTGTCCACATGACAAAAGACGTTAACACCGTCAGCAAGCTGACAAGGCAAGGATGTCATCTGTGGGATGACTCCACTTCCTGCTACATACTTTCCCGTCAACAGAAGGCACCTCCTGGGCCGTATAGTAGGCTACTGAGACTTATTTTGCTCAAATTTAATATGAACGTAGTCAGCCCCACGTTGGGTGCCAGTATAGCGGCCATTAAATTTCAGAGTCCCGTGATGGGATTCGAACCATAGACCTTCTGATCAAGAATTGCTGAAGACCTATTCTAACACGGATCTTCACGGGTAAAATGTCACATGTACTTTACAAATAACATAGTTCTATACAAATGTACAATTGAAATTGATGTTATATGACCCTTGTTATTTATATATTTTGATCTTTCAAACATCTATGTTAATCACAGGGGTGCCCAGTGGTCAAAGCACCTCAATTATCTGTGCAAAATGATTTCCCTTTGATGTTTCCGGATCTGCCGGTCATGGGTTTAAATTCCAGATTTATATTTTACCAAAACGGTACCCATCTACAACCTGCATAATTTCCTTGCTCATTAAGTTGACATGATCCGTATAACAGAAATATTGCGACAATAAATCACCACTCCCTAACAGCATGACAACACACAATAATATACAATGAGTGTTCATTATAATGGAGGATGTGTATAGTTCTTTTCTTGTTATCATTCTGTAATAATGTATAATTACTTACTGGTCATAACAACATGTTCCTCTTGCAGGGTCGAACCTTAGAATGGCACAGTTATCAGTGTCGTTATAGATGTACCGTTTGTCAAGCAGAGCCTGCTTTCTTGTACAAGGACACTTGTTTCTGACATACAGGTAAGCAGGATTTGGTGCAGGTATTTCTTCTAGCTGGTCCAGACATTGGTAGTTCATATTAGTTGGTAGAGTACCACTATCATTGAACATCCTGTAGACTTCGCGACTACGGCTTCCTGCAATAGAAATAAAGTACATTGTGTGAAACTTATAACTGTCAGTCCGTGAAAATAAGCTTATCATTCTCTATGATTAAAGGTGTGAAAATTAAATTGCATTGATTCTCTAGGATTATGTTATCATAACTCAATGTTGTATATCGTTTCAACCACAGGTTTAGTCTTGTCTAGACAAGCATGCTGTCCAGACTGTGATGAAAAATTGTAGTCAGCAGCATATAACAACACTCACTCACCTACTGACCCACCTTTCCACCCATTCACAGCAACTATGCATGAATCACTCACACAGGAACTATGCATGAACCACACAGCAACTGTGCATGAACCACACAGCAACTATGCATGAATTACACAGCAACTATGCATGAATCACACAACAGCTATGCATGAATCACACAGCAACTGTGCATGAATCACTCACACAGGAACTATGCATGAACCACACAGCAACTGTGCATGAACCACACAACAGCTATGCATGAGTCACACAGCAACTATGCACGAACCACACAGCAACTGTGCATGAATCACTCACAGCAACTATGCAGGAACCACACAGCAACTATGCAGGAACCACACAGCAACTGTGCATGAATCACTCACAGCAACTGTGCATGAACCACACAGCAACTGTGCATGAATCACTCACAGCAATTGTGCATGAACCACTCACAGCAACGGTGCATGAATCACTCACAGCAACTGTGCATGAACCACACAGCAACTGTGCATGAATCACTCACAGCAACTGTGCATGAATCACTCACAGCAACTGTGCATGAACCACACAGCAACTGTGCATGAACCACACAGCAACTGTGTATGAATCACTCACAGCAACTATGCAGGAACCACACAGCAACTGTGCAGGAACCACATAGCAACTATGCAGGAACCACTCACAGCAACTGTGCATGAATCACTCACAGCAACTGTGCATGAACCACACAGCAACTGTGCATGAATCACTCACAGCAACTATGCATGAACCACACAGCAACTGTGCATGAACCACACAGCAACTGTGCATGAACCACACAGCAACCATGCATGAATCACTCACAGCAACTATGCAGGAACCACACAGCAACTGTGCATGAACCACACAGCAACTATGCATGAATCACTCACAGTGAGCGAGTGAGTGAGTGAGTTGGGTTTAACGCCGCTTTTAACATTATTCCAGTTATATCGCGGCGTGTCAGCCTAATGTGGGAGGAAAGCCCGAAGTGATGCAGGTCCCAGACGTTTATCACTTCGGTGAAACCCACGAGCACGGGTATGGTGCTGACAAACCTAGAAACATAATTTGGGATTCGAACCCACAATCATAGGTTTCTGGCGTGCCCAAGGGACGCAACTCTGCACAGCGAATCGCGGCGCCTTAGACGACTGGGCCACCCGTGCCCCCATCACTCACAGCAACTATGCAGGAACCACACAGCAACTGTGCATGAACCACACAGCAACTATGCAGGAACCACACAGCAACTATGCAGGAACCACACAGCAACTGTGCATGAACCACACACATCAACTATGCATGAACCACACAGCAACTGTGCATAAACCACACAGCAACTGTGCATGAACCACACAGCAACTGTGCATGAACCACACAGCAACTGTGCATGAACCACACAGCAACTGTGCATGAACCACACACATCAACTATGCATGAACCACACAGCAACTGTGCATGAACCACACAGCAACTATGCATGAATCACACAGCAACTATGCAGGAACCACACAGCAACTGTGCATGAACCACATAGCAACTGTGCATGAACCACACAACAACTGTGCATGAATCACTCACAGCAACTGTGCATGAACCACATAGCAACTGTGCATGAACCACACAACAACTGTGCATGAATCACTCACAGCAACTGTGCAAAAACCACACAGCAACTGTGCATGAACCACACAGCAACTGTGCATGAACCACACAGCAACTGTGCATGAACCACACAACAACTGTGCAGGAACCACACAGCAACTGTGCATGAACCACACAGCAACTATGCAGGAACCACACAGCAACTATGCATGAATCACTCACAGCAACTATGCAGAACCACACAACAACTGTGCATGAATCACTCACATCAACTATGCAGAACCACACAGCAACTGTGCATGAACCACACAGCAACTGTGCATGAACCACACAGCAACTGTGCATGAATCACTCACAGCAACTATGCAGGAACCACACAGCAACTGTGCATGAACCACACAGCAACTATGCAGGAACCACTCACAGCAACTGTGCATGAATCACTCACAGCAACTGTGCATGAACCACTCACAGCAACTGTGCATGAATCACTCACAGCAACTGTGCATGAACCACACAGCAACTGTGCATGAACCACCAAGCAACTGTGCAGGAACCACACAGCAACTGTGCATGAACCACACAGCAACTATGCAGGAACCACACAGCAACTGTGCATGAACCACACAGCAACTGTGCATGAACCACACAGCAACTGTGCATGAACAACACAGCAACTGTGCATGAACCACACAGCAACTATGCAGGAACCACACAGCAACTGTGCATGAACCACACAGCAACTATGCACGAACCACACAGCAACTATGCATGAGTCACACAGCAACTATGCACAAACCACACAGCAACTGTGCATGAATCACTCACAGCAACTATGCAGGAACCACACAGCAACTATGCACAAACCACACAGCAACTGTGCACGAACCACACAGCAACTATGCAGGAACCACACAGCAACTGTGCATGAACCACGCAGCAACTGTGCATGAACCACTCACAGCAACTGTGCATGAATCACTCACAGCAACTGTGCATGAACCACACAGCAACTGTGCATGAATCACACAGCAACTGTGCATAAACCACAACGCAACTGTGCATGAACCACACAGCAACTATGCATGAACCACACAGCAACCATGCATGAATCACTCACAAACCACCGCTATTACTCACTCACTCACCTATAAAACACTCAAACACTGTAACTTGATATCACTCCCACTGACATAGTATTGATCTACACACAACTAAATCCCTTTTCCCCACAATAAAGTGGTTGAAATATTTACCAGTGGCAACAGGACTAAGGAGAGATGGCGCTGCCTGTGTGCTGTAACCTCGGGATATCACCACGGTGGAGTCATCGGCCAGATTGAGTCCATCATACACAAACAAGGCGTAGGTCTTCTGCCCATTGGTAGCCAACACTCCTTGGAAAGTCACATTCTGAAATAAAGCTCAGCCATGATCGACTATTTCACATGGAAACTAAAACAATGGTGGTAAGATGTATGTTTGTTTATAATGCAACATACTTCAGAATTACTTCTGACCAGATTGTGGGTCCAACAAAGTGGTAAACATCTTAGACCTGCATCACTTCAGGTTTTCCTTCCACATTATGCTGACACGTCATGCAGAGCTCCAGAGAAGCAGCGTATTTGCGTAAAATACCCTCGTCAAAATATTCAAAACCCAACTGGTTTCAATTTACTTGCGTACTGAATTGCATGCATTAAATGAAAAACTCAAATGTATAAAAACAGCACGCGTAAATACCCAATGAATCTTTTTCAGCATGCGTATAAAGGAGCTAATTTCCAAAACACAATAATGAGATAATTCACTTTCCGAGTTAAGCCTATATATTTAGAACAGTTATATATATCTAAAACATTATTTCATTTTTTTGAAATCTTAAAATGTACTCTTTTAGGGAAAAAACAATAGATTGATCAATAGATGAGTAAAAAAATATTGGTTGCCCAATGAAAAATGTAATAACCCAATTAAAATAGAAACCCTAGAGTAAAAATTCAATTGCTCAAAAAGTTATCTGCGTCATGATATAACAAACATACTGTTCAAAGTCATGTTAAACCAAACTCACTCACTCTTACCAGATTGCTTAAATGATGATTAATTACATGAATTTTGGGGGCCATGAAAAAATGTGACATAAAATAAGGCAGGGGGAGATATGATACAGTCATGAGACCATTTCATCCCCCACCGCCCCAGGAAATAATAACCCCATTCCCCTATTTGAAATAAATTTGAACGAAAGTGTAATAATGTCATTGTTGTGGCCTCACCTGGAATCCCTTGTACTGATTGGCTGGGTAGGGAATGACATCAGCCCAGGTCACTACTAGGGCATATTCTATTGCAATGTTCTCCGATAACTTTTTAGATATCACATCTTGTATTGCACCTAATGTGTTGGTCTTGTCTGGTTGATACTGCATGTATTCACTGACATAGAGGGCAGCACCTTCCGCTGGGACATCCCAGTGTGACCAATAGGGAGCCACCACAGTGACATCTGTTGGCCAGTCGCTGGCATTAAGTGCTGGGTTTTTTAAACTTCTGTATTGGTCAAGGAGGATGTAGCCATCCCGACTGACCTGAAACAAAGCATATGAGCTATAGAATGTACCACATTAGTCATATATACTCTTCAGGGTGATTGGTTGCCCATTCGTCATCACCCGCCCCTTTCCGTAACCTGCAAGAAGACTCGTCCCCTTACATTCGTCACCACTCGCCCCTTTCTGTAACCTGCAAGAAGACTCGTCCCCCTATCGATGAATGTTATGTGCGAAAATACGATAAACCAATCAGAATGCGTGTATGATTTCAAGTAATTCGTCAAAGAATCCCTCACAAATAACTTTTGATTTTACTTATGTCTTGCATCTAAAAATATACCCAAGACACAGTTAAATGTGTTCAATCATACTGTATAATTCCGCACGCCCCGGTGTGATTTAAATTGCATCTAAAATATATATAATATATGGGGAAATATATGTGAACCATTACGCAACAAGTTGACAATTGTTTTAGGTATGCCCATTTGCGCTAAGATGGAACCAGGTCGCAAAAATGGCCATGAGAGGGGCACGAGTCGCTATTCGGCTTGTCCCGGAATAACACGAGTTAGTCAGGAATGATTTGTTGCCATGTTCTGCCAACACTTCTGGCAAAAGAACAAAATCTGAATGTGTGTTTATAACATGTTAAACAGTAAGACAATTTGTCATCCCAATCTGGCTTCCACAGGAGCCATTACTAGGTTGAGATGAAGCGATATCTCCTCATATCGGTGATCTCCTTCCAGATATCACTGCAATTTTACTGCATCACAATGCTTTGCAGACCATTGCGACATCCTCACGATACGGACTGACGATGCTCCTCAAAGAGTTCGAAATGATGAAATCACTGAAATACAGTGAATACAGTAAATCCTCAATAACTCTAAACATGTTAATTCAAATATTGTAAATCAGTAGTATGGCCTATTATTACCTACGGGGGCAAACATATTGGGGTTCATAAAAAACATATGCGCCCCAGGGTCATATCCCATCACGAGACAACAGTGTATTGTTTCCGTCATCAGGATGGCATTGTTGATGTCATTCAAATCTTATTGTGACGTGAGGTCGGAATGACACCCCACTAGAAACAACGTCATAGCTAACGATTGTTGACATCATTTGACAAATTGTGGTTCCGCTGCTGTTGCGACTTGCTGTCCTAACAAGTAACCACTAAAATTGGTCTCTGTATGTAGACATCATCTTCAGTAATAAATAAAACATCATATTCGTGTTCTTGTATACTAAGTTTACAACACTTGTGACTAAATTCCGGTATTTCCCTCGCTCTCACTTGGGAAATACTGTAATTTAGACACGCATGTCGTTAACATAGTATGACATGATCACAAATTTATTATCCTCTATTTATCGGTGATCTGCTTTACCTTTAGCTACCGATGTATTTTTACTTGTCTCTATTCCCATATAGTTTTACTATTTTCATATACACATAAATAACAAACTTACTCATGGGACAACAGACTATCTCCATCAACAGTTGCCAAGGATGTAATATGAAGGATTCAAAATATATAAAAGTGTTCATCATCCTGTTCATTAAAATTAGTAAAATTTTACAGCAACTTCAAAATCTATTATTGTACATGTCCGTGAAAGTAAAGACCCTAATTTTACAAAACCTCAAATTATTATTTGAAATATCTGATCCCCACTCAATATTTAGAAGAAACATGCATATTCTTAAAACTGTGTCTTACATAGAGTGCAACATATCTCTTCCCGAAGTATGGCAGCCCTCCTGGTGCAAAGTAGGGTCCGTAGATCTCTCGGTCACCACTCACGCCCTGACTGCTGTCAAACAACAGGGTTTCTGCACAAATAGAGGATGGGACAGTATGTAAAAACAAGATCTAATTGTCATGGTTACCACACAATCCTATGGTAGATCTCTCGGTCACCACTCACAGACTGACTGCTGTCAAACAACAGGGTTTCTGCACAAATAGAGGATGGGCCAGTTTGTAAAAACAAGATCTAATTGTCATGGTTACCATGGTGCCAGGTCAGCATGAATGTTGGTGCCCCTCTGCACTGAGCATAACCCCAGGTAAGCTAAGGGTGAGACTTAGCCTCTCTGTCTCTGCATCTAACATCATAAACATGCCTAAATCATAAGGACATAGTCATCAAGATTGTTGAGGATGGCAGCAGACAGTAGTCACTGAAGACAATGCAGATAAGCTTCGTTTGTTTGTTTAACGCTGCACTAAGCAATATTCCAGCTGTATGACAGTGGATTGTAGATGATCGAGTCTGGATCAGACAATCCAGTATCTGAAATCACGAGACTTGATTTATGTAAATGGGATATGATGACATGCATCTACCAAGTCGGCAGGCTTACCCACTCGATCCCATAAGTTGCCTCTTTGGACAAGCATGGGTTGCTGAATACCAAATCTAACTTGGAATCTAACAACACATCTCAAATGAGGATTAGAGTCTGGCTGTATAAGGCTAAAATAAATAAAAGAATTGATTCTCAGGAAATGGCTTTTGAAAATAGAGTGGGCGGTGTTTTGTTGTTGTTGTTCAAGCTAGTACATAACCAGATTTTGTTGACAACAATTTTGGTGAAATCCTGTTGTTCTTAAATATTGTAGCATTTCACTGCTGAGGTTGTGTGTTCAAGACCTGGAATACTTCACAATTTGGGTTTTTTTAAAATGGAAATAAAAACGAAATGTACGGTTGACGTTGTGATGATGTGGGTGGTGCTTGAGAACCAAGACTACCGTATTCGACGTAATAAGCGCCCTTCGAGGGTGCTCTCGAAATTAGAAATAGGGGGCTTTTATTTGAATATTATTTTGGTTAAAAAAAAAACAGATTGAAAGATAAATTTCGTGGTTTATGCTGACAGCCTGAAATGACAGATATATTTTTCTAGAATTTAAATTGCCCATAATTAAAGGTGCATATGACACACGAGTGTGTATTATATGCGAATAAATAAGTCTTGTGAACATTGATCAATCGTAAGGGGTGCTAATTGGGATTGTTCACTAGCCAATATATTAGCAAATACCCCCGTGGGCACTTATTACAGCGGGGCGCTTATTACGTCAAATACGGTATTATTTTTTTTAGCCTATGTAATCTCAGTTAAGTGATCAAAGATTACATTAAGGATACCACGATAGCATCATGTTGGTAATGTGCTCTAGGGCTGAGTGACTCCATAGTACATCAGATACTATATGCCTAAGAACTATCTTTTCAATCTGATATGAGAGACCCATGAGGAATCGGTTAGAACAGGTCTTCAGCAACCTATGCTGAACAAACAAACCTGATAAGAGAGATCATGAGAAGTCATAACATCTCCTGTACATTCGAAGCACAAAAGATATTTCCATAAAATTTGCAAACTGTCTTCCACGTGCTTCAAATCATTTTGACAATTAAAATATTTTGATAATTATTTAAAATATTAAAACTCTTCCATTGTTTAACCAGAGTGCTCAACATCAAATTCATCACATGACAATCGTCACAGTAAGGCAACAAGTCTTACCGATACAGCTGTTCCCTCTCCACTGGTATCCAGGTTTGCAGTCACATGAGTGGGAGCCGTTGGTGTTGGTGCACACCTCACTGACGTTGTTACATGGACTCCCGTTACACTCGTTGATGTCTGTTAGTGGGGCACAGAAACCATATCAAGTGTACTTGAACGTATTTAGTGATAACAACCATAACAATTATAATACTATATGTCCTGACTCATGAACATCTGTTAATAATACCAATAAAAAAACAATCGAAAACATATATGTTTATGATCCACAGAGACTTACATAAAAACATGCCTTCCGTTTCTTTTAACTTGAAATAAAGGACAAAAATATGCAATAATAGTCAAAAGTTACAAATAAAGTATTAAATGTTACTAATAAAGGTCAAAATATAAAACAAACAGATGCTGGTTAAAAAATACAAAGTTGATATAAAGGTCAAAAGTACGCAATATAATAGTCAAATGTTACGAAAAGACGTCAAATGAAAAGAAAGAACAATATATACTAAAAAAAGCCAGTGCGCACGAAAGGACACTAAACTGCTGATAGGAAAACGTTGACAATAAAGAATGCCAGATGGCGCTGCAACTTGTAAAACATTCCGAGTTTAATTGGCTCCTTCCGCAGTGTATATTTCTTGACCGAATGGACGCCCGTAGGTATTTCCATCTCATCCAATCAAAGACATCATCAACTCATTCAAATTCCAATGACTCATTTAACTCCCCGCAAACTGATATATCATAATATCAGCCCTCACTTATCTCGACCTCTGGATAAATTGGCATGTATCTTGTTATTCCAGTACACAATCATAATAATAATTATTTGCCAAGTCTATCAGTATTTAAGGGTGTCATATAACTACTAAGTTAGCATTTGCCATACAAATATTATCTCAAACTGCATTCAAGTATGCATAATATTTATCATCTCAAATAAGTAATATACTAGTATGTGTATTTGCCATGCAAATATTCTAAAATAATACATCCAAAAACATGCAATTTTATTTTATGATTTGATGTAACAGTGATGTAATCAAGAACAAAGGTTCTAGGGACCAGCTAAAAAGACTTTAACTCAAGGTGCCCCTCTGTCCAGGGGAAGTCCAAAGAATATAGTTTTATGATCAAGGTAACAAAATACAACACTGTTTAATCTGGAAAAGCACTCCTGTCACAATAGTCAGGATTTTAATGTCAGTACCTGCCTACAGAGCAGTCTTGACTCTCCCAGCCATCATTGCAGTTACATGTGTAGTTGCCGATGGTATTCTGGCAGTACCTACCTACAGAGCAGTCATGTCCCTCGCTTCCTTTATTAACGTGTGTAGTGGCCGATGGTATTCTGGCAGTGCCTACCTGCAGAGCAGTCTTGAACCTCCCAGCCATCATTGCAGTAACATGTGTAGTTGCCGATGGTATTCTGGCAGTACCTACCTACAGAGCATTCATGTCACTCCCAGTCATCATTGCAGAAACATGTGTAGTTGCTGATGGTGTTCTGGCATTACCTACCTACAGAGCAGTCTTGACTCTCCCAGCCATCATTGCAGTAACATGTGTAGTTGCCGATGGTGTTCTGGCAGTACCTACCTACAGAGCAGTCTTGACTCTCCCAGCCATCATTGCAGTAACATGTGTAGTTGCCGATGGTGTTCTGGCAGTACCTACCTCCAGAGCAGTCTTGACCCTCCCAGCCATCATTGCAGTAACATGTGTAGTTGCCGATGGTGTTCTGGCAGTACCTACCTACAGAGCAGTCTTGACCCTCCCAGCCATCATTGCAGTAACATGTGTAGTTGCAGATGGTGTTCTGGCAGTACCTACCTACAGAGCAGTCTTGACCCTCCCAGCAATCATTGCAGTAACATGTGTAGTGACCGATGGTGTTCTGGCAGTACCTACCTACAGAGCAGTCTTGACCCTCCCAGCAATCATTGCAGTAACATGTGTAGTGACCGATGGTGTTCTGGCAGTACCTACCTACAGAGCAGTCTTGACCCTCCCAGCCATCATTGCAGTAACATGTGTATTTGCCGATGGTATTCTGGCAGTACCTACCTACAGAGCAGTCTTGACCCTCCCAGCCATCATTGCAGTAACATGTGTATTTGCCAATGGTATTCTGGCAGTACCTACCTACAGAGCAGTCTTGACTCTCCCAGCCATCATTGCAGTAACGTGTAGTTGCTGATGGTATTCTGGCAGTACCTACCTCCAGAGCAGTCTTTACCCTCCCAGCCATCATTGCAGTAACGTGTAGTTGCTGATGGTGTTCTGGCAGTACCTACCTACAGAGCAGTCTTGACCCTCCCAGTCATCATTGCAGTAACATGTGTAGTTGCCAATGGTATTCTGGCAGTACCTACCTACAGAGCAGTCTTGACCCTCTCAGCCATCATTGCAGTAACATGTGTAGTTGCCGATGGTATTCTGGCAGTACCTACCTACAGAGCAGTCTTGACCCTCCCAGCCATCATTGCAGTAACATGTGTAGTTGCAGATGGTGTTCTGGCAGTACCTACCTACAGAGCAGTCTTGACCCTCCCAGCCATCATTGCAGTAACATGTGTAGTTGCAGATGGTGTTCTGGCAGTACCTACCTACAGAGCATTCTTGACCCTCCCAGCCATTATTGCAGTAACATGTGTAGTTGCCGATGGTATTCTGGCAGTAGCCATTCTTGCAGAGAGAAGCACTGCACTCATCAACATCTGTGGGTACATCAGTTCATCAACATGAAAACACCTTCAGGGAACTGACTCTTCTAGTTCAAGGCAAAGAGATCACTAAGACTAAGATCACTTCCAAAATTTAAGAAAAAAACTATTGTTTTTCTTGTTTCTTAGATTTCACTGGAAATAGAGAATCTCACCCTTGTGATAAAAGCGGAAAAACTCTGAGGTATATTTGATATCTAAAAACACAGGGGTGAAATTTTATTTTTCATCCAATGTCATTCTTCCATCTTTTGCAGTTTGTAGACAGTAATAAGCAGTGTCTTAAGTGTAAAAAGTACTGCTAACAGCTTCAGTAGCAGAGCCATTGGTGATGGAATTTGATTGTGACGTCATGGTAACCAATAACATAATAATGGTCTGCAAAGCATAGTGATGCAATTTCATTGCAGCGATATCTACAATGTAGATATTTCTTGATCTCACCCAAGCGATATCTCCTGTGGGAGCGAGTTTTGCATTATAAAAGAAAGGTAATGTGATTTTTTTATCTCATATTCAAATTTGTACTGACCAAGTTTCTTTTCACCAATTTGTTTACCTGAATTTGCTGAAGGGCTCGGTGTAAATTTTTTGCTTTTTTTCCAGAATACTTAATCCGCTAGAGCCGGATGCGCATTATATTTGGGAGCACACTATACTCAAGAAAATACTGTATACAAACAAAGATATTTCTAAAACAAGCATATTTTCAACAAAAGGGAGCCAGAAATATACACATGAGTTTTGACAAATATTAGTGAAGACATTCATTAAGATCAAAAACAAAAGATTATCACATAAAATACAGAAATCACATAAAATATCAACCGTCATATATACTAGGGGTGTTCATTAAAGATTTCCCCTGACCCACTTCCGATGGACCTAGTGGAATGAAACTTGGCATAGGTATTAGTCTTTCTCCACATAGGAACCACCAAGAGTTACACACTTCTCCCATCGTTTTATGCAACTATGGAGACCTCGCTTGTAAAAACCCTCATTTTGCGTCTCAAACCAGGACTTGACTTCAGAAATCAGTGTTTCATCATCTGTGAAACGTTTTCCCTTAAAAAATGACTTCATGGTTGGAAAGAGGTGGAAGTCAGATGGTGCAAGGTCAGGAGAGTAAGGAGGATGTGGAAGGATGTCATAGCCACAGGACCGCGCTTCTGTCTGGGCAACATGAGAGTTGTGTACTGGAGCATTGTCTTGCAGGAGACGGACACCCTTGGTCAGCATGCCACGCCTCTTAAGCTTGATAGCGTCCCACAATTTCCGCAGCAGTGAAGCATAATAAGCTCCTGGAATTGTGGTACCCTTTGCCAAGAAATCCATCATCACTACTCCGTGCTGGTCCCAAAACACTGTGAGCATGACCTTGCCTGCAGAGGGTTGGACAGGTGCCTTCTTTGTGGGGTGTGTGTGTGTGTGTGTGTGTGACTCCACATGCTTCCATTGCAACGACTGAACTTTAGTCTAAGGATCATAGTGATGGACCCATGTTTCATCCTGTGTCATAAGTCTGTCAAAAAAGTTTGCCTGGTTTTTTTGGCACATGTCCAAAAGATCCTTTGAGCAATTGACTCATTCCTGCTTTTGGAAAGGTGTGAGCAACCTGGGAATCCATCGTGCAGACACCTTATGCATGTTGTCATGGATGATTTTTTCCACAGACCCTACACTGATCTTGACATCTTGTGCTAACTGGCGAACAGTTATACGTCGGTCTGCCAAAATGGCGGTCTCCACTTGATGGATAGTGTCCTCATCAATGGCTGAATGGGGGCGGCCAGGAATGGCAGCTGTTTCCACAGATGTCCGACCACACTTGAACTGGCGATGCCAGTGTTTAACAACGTCATATGATCTTCCCCATAAGTTGCTTTCATTTCATCGAAAGTTTCTTTTGGTGTGCGACCTTTCAAATATACAAAACCTAATCACTGCTCGGTATTCTACTGGCTCCATTGTCACAACTTACTCAATCATAACACCTGTAAAAGTGGTAAGATTAATAGTTCGGTGCTGCAAATTCAGACATAACCCATTGATACATGTATCATTACACATGTGAAATTTCAACTAAATATGATAACCCTAAGTGGTTTAGGGGAAATCTTTCATGAACACCCCTCGTAATATCCACAAATTCTGCAGAATTTCTGTCACTGTCATGGATGCTTTGATATTTAGAACATTGTTATCTGAATCCCTTCAAGCTATTTCCATCATCCATTTTTTTTTGTACCATGACATCATCTGTTGCAGCATACATTGTATTTAACTATACATGATATTCATTCTTTAATACAACTACATTAAATGATAAAGAGAATTGATGACTGGGGGAGAGCAAAGGGGGATAATCGAGAATGAATGCCACTAAGGATATTGACGTTTCCTTAAAATACAATTTTAATAAAATACAACATTACACCTAATGAGGCCTCCAGTTTGTACAACTTAAAGATGATAGCCTGACCTTCAGTGCAGTTTCTCCCCGTCCAGTGGTCGGTGCAGTTGCAGGTGTAGTTGCCGATGCCATCAACACAGGTACCACTGTGGCTGCACGGGGAGGCCAGGCAGTCATCAATAACTGAAACATCATCAACAACATCTACCATGACAACCGGAGACAACACTAAAAACATAGACTGTGACTGACATTGTTGGACATACCGCCACTTTAAACAGCATTGCAGTTGAATGATGTTAGTGAGCTAAAGTGATGCCATTTAAACCCACAATCCACAGATCCTGGATTCATCACAGTGACTTGTGGCACCTCAGATCACGGGGGCTACCCATGACTACTAACTGTTGGTGAACTGTTCCTGATCATGACCGGAAGACCCACACCTCAACAGGTGACATGCTACAATTGAGGGTAGACATAACTCACCTTCGTCACAGTGACTTGTGGCACCTCAGATTACGGGGCCACCCAGGACTACTAACTGTTGGTGAACTGTTCCTGATCATGACCGGAAGACCCACACCTCAACAGGTGACATGCTACAATTGAGGGTAGACATAACTCACCTTCGTCACAGTGACTTGTGGCACCTCAGATTACGGGGCCACCCAGGACTACTAACTGTTGGTGAACTGTTCCTGATCATGACCTGAAGACCCACACCTCAACAGGTGACATGCTACAATTGAGGGTAGACATAACTCACCTTCATCACAGTGACTTGTGGCACCTCAGATCATGGGGGCTACCCAGGACTACTAACTGTTGGTGAACTGTTCCTGATCATGACCGGAAGACTGACACTTCAACAGGTGACATGCTACAAGTAAGGGTAGATGTAACTCACCTTCGTCACACAACGTCCCCTGATAGTCGGCGTCACAGACGCAGGTGAAGTTCCCTGGCCCCTCCTGGCAGGTTCCATTGACGCAGGGATCTGTCTCACACTCCTTCACATCTACAAACACATTGAACATGGGAACTAGGAAATGGCCATCAACAAATACATGTAGTCAAACCCTACATTAAGCACAGTCAAACCCTACATCTAGCACAAAGTGAAACCCTACATATAGCATACAGTCAAACCCTATATCTAGTATACAGTCAAACCCTACATCTAGCATACAGTCAAACCCTACATCTAGCACACAGTCAAACCCTACATCTAGCATACAGTCAAACCCTACATCTAGCACACAGTCAAACCCTACATCTAGCATACAGTCAAACCCTATATCTAGCATACAGTGAAACCCTACATCTAGCATACAGTGAAACCCTACATCTAGCACACAGTCAAACCCTATATCTAGCACACACTCAAACCCTACATCTAGCACACACTCAAACCCTACATCTAGCACACAGTCAAACAGAACATCTAGCATACAGTGAAACCGAACATCTAGCATACAGTGAAACCCTACATCTAGCACACAGTCAAACCCTACATCTAGCATACAGTGAAACCCTACATCTAGCACACAGTGAAACCCTACATCTAGCACACAGTCAAACCCTACATCTAGCACACAGTCAAACTCTATGTCTGGCACACAGTCAAACCCTACATATAGCACACACTCAAACCCTACATCTAGCACACAGTCAAACTCTACATCTAGCACACAGTCAAACCCTACATCTAGCACACAGTCAAACCCTATATCTAGCATACAGTCAAACCCTACATCTAGCATACAGTCAAACCCTACATCTAGCACACAGTCAAACCCTACATCTAGCATACAGTCAAACCCTACATATAGCACACAGTCAAACCCTACATCTAGCACACAGTCAAACCCTATATCTAGCACACAGTCAAACCCTACATTTAGCACACACTCAAACCCTACATCTAGCACACAGTCAAACCCTACATCTAGCACACACTCAAACCCTACATCTAGCACACATTCAAACCCTACATCTAGCACACAGTCAAACCGAACATCTAGCACACAGTCAAACCCTACATCTAGCACACAGTCAAACCCTACATCTAGCACAGTCAAACCCTACATCTAGCACACAGTCAAACCCTACATCTAGCACACAGTCAAACCTACATCTAGCATACAGTCAAACCCTACATCTAGCACACAGTCAAACCCTACATCTAGCATACAGTCAAACCCTACATCTAGCACACAGTCAAACCCTACATCTAGCATACAGTCAAACCCTATATCTAGCATACAGTGAAACCCTACATCTAGCATACAGTGAAACCCTACATCTAGCATACAGTCAAACCCTATATCTAGCACACACTCAAACCCTACATCTAGCACACACTCAAACCCTACATCTAGCACACAGTCAAACCGAACATCTAGCATACAGTGAAACCGAACATCTAGCATACAGTGAAACCCTACATCTAGCACACAGTCAAACCCTACATCTAGCATACAGTCAAACCCTACATCTAGCTCACAGTGAAACCCTACATCTAGCACACAGTCAAACCCTACATCTAGCACACAGTCAAACTCTATATCTGGCACACAGTCAAACCCTACATATAGCACACACTCAAACCCTACATCTAGCACACAGTCAAACTCAACATCTAGCACACAGTCAAACCCTACATCTAGCACACAGTCAAACCCTACATCTAGCACACAGTCAAACTCTATATCTAGCACACAGTCAAACCCTACATCTAGCACACAGTCAAACCCTACATCTAGCACACAGTCAAACCCTACATCTAGCACACAGTCAAACCCTACATCAAGCACACAGTCAAACCCTACATCTAGCACACAGTCAAACCGAACATCTAGCATACAGTGAAACCCTACATCTAGCACAGTCAAACCCTACATCTAGCACAAAGTGAAAAGCTACATCTAGTACACAGTCAAACCCTACATCTAGCATACAGTCAAACCCTACATATAGCACACAGTCAAACTCTACATCTAGCACACAGTCAAACCCTACATCTAGCACACAGTCAAACCCTACATCTAGCATACAGTCAAACCCTACATATAGCACACACTCAAACCCTACATCTAGCACACAGTCAAACTCTACATCTAGCACACAGTCAAACCCTACATCTAGCACACAGTCAAACCCTACATCTAGCATACAGTCAAACCCTACATATAGCACACACTCAAACCCTACACCTAGCACACAGTGAAACCCTACATCTAGCACACAGTCAAACCCTACATCTAGCACACAGTCAAACCCTACATCTAGCACACAGTCAAACCCTATATCTAGCACACAGTCAAACCCTACATCTAGCACACAGTCAAACCCTACATTTAGCACACAGTCAAACCCTATATCTAGCACAGTCAAACCCTACATCTAGCACACACTCAAACCCTACATCTAGCACACAGTCAAACCGAACATCTAGCACACAGTCAAACCCTACATCTAGCACACAGTCAAACCCTACATCTAGCACAGTCAAACCCTACATCTAGCACACAGTCAAACCCTACATCTAGCACACAGTCAAACCCTACATCTAGCATACAGTCAAACCCTACATATAGCACACACTCAAACCCTACATCTAGCACACAGTCAAACTCTACATCTAGCACACAGTCAAACCCTACATCTAGCACACAGTCAAACCCTACATCTAGCATACAGTCAAACCCTACATATAGCACACACTCAAACCCTACACCTAGCACACAGTGAAACCCTACATCTAGCACACAGTCAAACCCTACATCTAGCACACAGTCAAACCCTACATCTAGCACACAGTCAAACCCTATATCTAGCACACAGTCAAACCCTACATCAAGCACACAGTCAAACCCTACATCAAGCACACAGTCAAACCCTACATTTAGCGCAGTCAAACCCTATATCTAGCACAGTCAAACCCTACATCTAGCATACACTCAAACCCTATATCTTGCACACAGTCAAACCCTACATCTAGCACACAGTCAAACCCTTCATCTAGCATACAGTCAAACCCTACATCTAGCACAGTCAAACCCTACATATAGCACACAGTCAAACCCTACATCTAGCACAGTCAAACCCTACATCTAGCATACAGTCAAACCCTACATCTAGCACAGTCAAACCCTACATCTAGCATACAGTCAAACCCTACATCTAGCACACAGTCAAACCCTACATCAAGCACACAGTCAAACCCTACATCTAGCACACAGTCAAACCCAACATCTAGCACACAGTCAAACACTTGTAGTAGGTTAGGGACCGACCATTTTGAGGGGAAGAGAATAAAATGTTTCTGAAAATTCTTGAAAAAGGTGATCATTCTACAGATACTTGAAAAAAGAAATTACCTGCAACAAAAATGACACTGTTGCAAGGTTTTTTTCTTTAAAAATAAGTCAGGCTTATAGTTATAAATAAAAATATATCTGGTGTTGCAGCTGAATCTCTATTCTTGATACAAAATCCCAGCTTGCTCCCCCCGCCATCAGAATATTAAATGGCCGGTCCCTCAAAGTATTTAGAATGACAAAACAATTTTATGTTATTCTGGCTTTGGATAACTTCCAAGAATCATAGCAGATGCTTGATTTATTAACTTATTACTTAGGAAACCCCATTCGTGACCAACTCGTGTTATTCCGTGACAAGCTGAATAGCGACTCGTGCCCCTCTCATGGCCATTTTTGTGACCGGCATACCTAAACAATTGTAAACTCGTTGCGTAATGGTTCACACATTTTCCCATGTATTATATATATTTCAGATGCAATTCAAAGCACATCGGGACATGCGGAATTATACAGTATGATTGAAGACATTTAACTGTATCTTGGGTATATTTTTAGATGCAAGACATATGTAAAATCAAAAATTATTTCTGAGGGATTCTTTGACTTGAAATCACACACGCATTCTGATTGGTTTGTCGTATTTCCGCACATAACATTCATCGATAGGGGGACGAGTCTTCTTGCAGGTGACGGAAAGGGGTGAGTGGTGACGAATGTAGGAAACCCCTACAGCAACTATATGTAACCAAGAGCTAACATGAGATTGGGGACTGCTGTACCTGTCTCACATGTATCCCCCGTCCACCCAGTGCCACACGAGCAGGTGTAGTTGTTGGTTCCTGTATCGGTGCAGTTGCCGCTGTTCTTGCATGGAGTACTCTCACAATCATCCACATCTGAAGACAAACATTATAGTCTGGTATCTCAGGAATATTATAGATGGACACACAGAGAATGAACCGTACATCAATATTTTGGCTAATGAACAAGTCATCACATTCGTGATATGAGGTGAGGTGAAATTGGGTTTAATGTCGAATGCACGTGTGTGTGTGTGTGTGTGGCTGCTTGTACTAGTCTGGACTGATGCCGATTTATAGTGCTAGCTCACTGAGATTCCATGCCGCAGTTTAACTTGAATACCCCACTCAGACACAGTATACTGACTCCGAGCTGACCAGTTCTTGTTTTAGCCCCTTATGCCGAGCACCAGACAGGGTAACAACAAGTACCATCTTTTAATATCTTTTGGTATGACGCGACCCAGGATCGAACCCCGGACCTTCCGCTCTCCGGGCGGATGCTCTACCACTAGACCACAGAGGCGGTTCACATGTATGACATATAACATTCACCTTACATTGATTGTACCTGGTGGGCCACAGGGCCATGTGTTACTTAATTTGGACTGGGGGGATGCCTAAAGATTGTTGTTTAAGTAAGTGAGTGAGGTGGGTTTGATACTGGTTTGAACAGTATTCCAGTCCGATGATGGCGTGTCAGCTTAATGTGGGAGGAAAGCCTGAAGTGATGCTGACACTTACCACTACTGCGAGCACGGGTTTGGTGCCGACATAGCTAGAAACATAACAGGGGATCACAGGTTTTCATAACTGTCACCACTGTCAATTTCCTAAAAATCCAGGGTGTGTCAATTCTGTGCACTCTGTGTTTAACATCTTAACTCACTGTTGAAAAGGGACATTTTCTCGGCACCATATATGATCCGGGGGCTCTAAGGGGGTTGCAAAGGGAGGCACCAGAAAGGGTCCTGTGGCACAATCAGGTGAAGAACTTAATCAACCTTGTATAAACATACCAACGTCACAAAGCCAGCCAGTCCATCCAGGTTGACAACTGCATGTGTAGTTATCTGCCCCTAGTACACAGGTGGCGTTGTTAGTGCAAGATGCTCCAAAACAGTAGTCCACTTGTAAAAGAACATAGTATATTTCAGTTATTACCTGAGTAACTCAAAACAATCTCAGGCATTCATCACAAGTAGGGAAGTGGACAGTCAAGCAAGTCAACAAGAAGAAATAGAACAAAAGTAGTATAACTAGATTTATGTTTGCCCATCCGCTTAATGTAACATCTTTTTATGGCCCCTGCCAAAAATATTTTTGTTTCATGATACCAACCTTTCTATAATAAATGACCAGTCCCTAAATAATGATTAAATTTAGAACTTTTATATTTGACAAATATTTAACTGTTTCATTTCTTAATGGCCCCCTCTATAGTTGTGATACGTCTTTGTCATAGGTGATACGAAAGTTGTAGGAGTCAAGGTTTCTGTGGAGGTGTTGGAACACAAGTATATAATTGCTGAATTGACATTCTGGGTACTTGCATAGATACTAAATAAAAGATAACAGTGGTTATCGGATCTATACCAACCATTTTCACAAGTCGGTCCAAGCCATCCTTGTGTACAGGAGCATGTAAAGTTGTTCGTTCCCGCGTCAGAACAACTGCCATTGTTTTTACATGGGGTCGTCAGGCAGTCATCTACATCTGAAACATGGAGGCATGGTGCTGCTAAACAGAATGTACGTCTGTCATAAGACAGTGTTAAACTATGAAAGCTGTCAATGCTAGACCCGTAAAGATCCAGGGTAGAATGGGTCTTCAGCAACCCATGCTTGCTGTAAAAGGCGACAATGCTTGTCGTAAAAAGCGACAAACAGGATCGGGTGATCAGACTTGCTGGCTTGTTTGATGCATGTCATCATATCCCAATTGCGAGAATTGATGTTCATGATGTCAATCACAGGATTGTCTGATCCAGACTCGATTATTTATAGACCTACGTCATATAGCTGGAATATTGCTGAGTGCGGCATTAAACAACAAACAAACAAACAAACAAAAGCTACACTGCATTCTACTCTAGATATTTAGTACAAGACTCTCTACCATGACTGGTGGACAGACATACATTACACATCAGTCATCAGTTTCTGATTGGCTGACAATTGATGGGAAGGGCTTGTGTTGCATTATTGTGGATTACCTGTCCCAAAGAATTAATTTTGTTACTTCCGAGCCATGGCGATTCATTTGTCTGGTTGGGAATAAATCAGTGGTTATTCAGTGTGCTCAGTCGCTCAGGTACCCTTGAAAAATACCCCAATAGTTTGGCGAAATCTTAATTGTACAAACGTAGAATTTAAACCAAAGTGAACTATTTTCAACAAGTGTAATGTGAAGTGTGTAAAACTACCTTCATCACAGAGCCAGCCAGTCCATCCCGAGGTACAGTTGCAGGTGTAGTTGGATGGTCCGAGGATGCAGACTCCTCCATTGGCGCAGGATGCAGTGTGACAGTAGTCTTCTGGAAGGAGATAACAGGCATTGTGGAGGATGTGAAGAGGATAAAAACAACGACAAACAGTAACCTGAAGTACAGGGTGGTAGTTATGGAAGGACAATTGACATGTGGTGGGTGAGGGGGCCTCTCCATGTTCACATCACACTGGTACCCTAAGGAATTGTTTTAAGACCAAAGCTATGCCAATTTTTTTCTTATCTTTCTTTCCTATTTGTTACAAGTGGTGGCTGAAAAGTTTTGAGCCTAACTATGATGGACTGCAATGATGGTGTTGGTTGGTCCCACACGCAAGTCACAGATCCTCACCATCAGATCTGATCCGATTGCTTCCTACCACAAACAGTATAGTGCATGGAAACTATTGTAACACTGGTCCCAAGGGGGTCAGATTAGGTGAGATTATATAGTTATACTATTAATCTCTCATACAGAACCTGATACAAAACTATCTGAAAGCGCCTTAGCAGGTCTACACTATGCTTGCAAGTCTGCATCATAAGTCTCTCATTTGTTTGCACAGAAAGACAATATATATAAAAATACTTCAATTATTTTCAATTCAGAGACTAAATATTGGTATCATATACAATAGTGGTGAGGCGAAATGAGGTTTAACGTCACATTGAAAATGGTTACACTTACACTTATCTACATGTGTATGTGAGTGTGGCTGCTTGTACTCGTCTGGACAAATGGCAATTTTATAATGCTAGCTCACTGAGACACCATGCCACAGTTTAACATGAATACCCCACTCAGACACAATATACAGACTCTGAGCTGACCAGTCCTTGGTTTAGACCCTCAATGCTGAGTGCCAGGCAGGGTAACCACAAGTACCATCTTTTAACATCTTTTGGAATTGCGCAGACAGGGATCGAACACCCGACCTTCCACTGTCTGAGCAGATATTCTGCACTCTACTTGACCACGGAGCTGGTCTCTTATACAATGACACTGAGGTGCAAATATTTAGTGCAAATGGGAAACATGCTCTATTTGAAATGAGACGCTATTGTATCGTGTGGCTGAAATGTTAAGTGCCTTATTATGATGGACTGCGTTGATGGAGTTGGTTGCTAATTAGTTTTCATAATCCTCTCCGAGGTCCACACACTTCTGCCAATGATACCAGAGTGGATCCAACCGGTGTAGAAGGCTGCCTCCTGGTGATGTATCTTCTGTTTATTTGTTTGTTTGTTTGTTTAACGCCACACTCAGCAATATTCCAGCTTTATGACGGCAGTCTGTAAATAATCGAGTCTGGACCAGACAATCCAGAGATTGACTTCATGAGCATCGATCCACGCAGTTGGGATATGATGACATGCATCAACCAAGCAAGCAAGTCTGATCACCCGATCCTGTTTGTCGCCTTTTACGACAAGCATTGGGCTACGATGACATGCATCAACCAAGTCAGACATCTATCTTCTGACCACCATCGGACTTTAACTAAGGTTACTAACTCAATGTATGACCAGGAACAAGCAAGTGACGTCACATCAAACATCATGACATCATGACACTGTACAGGCCCCTCACTTGTACAATACTTTTACAAACTGGCAACTGGCCAATCAGATAGCTAGATTCTTTAGCGGGAAATCATAATGTTAATGTGTTATACAAGACCTTTCGTAATAGGGAAACAGATGATCACAATAATCTCTTAAGGTTACATGTTCAAAAATAACATAATATTTATAAAATAATCAAAGTTCAAAACATATTTTCACACTGTTACTATTGAGCTAGCTGTCTAGTCACCATCTTGCTGTGATGAGTGACCTAGTCAGTCAGTCAAGTAAAGCTGTTGCGCTTTACAATTTCAGTGTTGATTTGATTGTTGATCATATTGTGCATAGTCTTCTCTTCTAGGTAACACAATAATCGAAATACATTCCTGCTGTATGATAAATGGGGCAGTTTACTGTTGTGAAACGTCCTTGACCTTTCCTAACTCCAGCACTGTATCGTAGTTATTAAAGCCACTTCAGTTCAGAAAGTGAAAGTATGTCTTTAACTTTGATTTGTTTAATAAAGACATCATGTTACAAAAATACCCATATTTGTTTCCGTACCATAAATATCACACATTGGTTTTTCCTAAAAAATGATATTAATATTATATATGACCATTAACGATATGGTATACTGTTTTGTTTGTGAACCGTATTCCCTTATACATTGTATACCTTATTTGTGTCCAAAACATTTTTTACTAAGTGAATTCTGATCTCACTTTACATAACTTTAAAAAACGATGCTGCAAATTATGGCAAAATGTTAAAAATTTTCAATTTGAAGTTTATACCATATACAGGTTTTTCATTGGACGATAGGTCGGTCACATAACCCGGAAATTGACGCTCCTAAGTGTATGAACGACACAACTTGACGTTCATACATTTTTCACGAGACCGTGTTCTTGAAATGACGTACCGGTAAACACTGGCGGACTACTTCCACATTCCTTGGGAAACCCCTAGGAATTCCCTAGCAGGAATAAATGTTTCTCATCATTTAGACCCTTTACTTGGCGTTTTAGCATACATTGGGATAAGTCAGAGTTTGATTGCATGTCCGTTCAAGGATATCCTCGCTACAACCCATCTTAGAGAACAAAACGAAGAAAAGCACTTACAATCTAAGTAACCACAGTATTGACTCAATCCATGTCTTAACAACAGTGATATTTGACACATCTTTACAATCACCTTTCAGTGATCGGCCAATTGATCAGTGATGACTAACACTTGTAATAGCCACAGGTTCCTTAAAAACTTCAGAAGTCTATCCTGTCACATTTATCGTGTCGGCCATTTTCATGTCTTGTATTTGATGTAAATGTATTACGATGCGCTGTCATTGTGACTGACTTACTGAGGTAGTTCTTAACAGACCTTTCTCATCTAATGAGGATATTTATTAGTACATTTGCTGTACAGAAACTACAAAATTGTTCCTGTTGAGCATACATCAGCTAATGTCACCTCTTGTTTTGAGGAACTATTTTATTCTGCAATACAGCTGGTTGTTGTATGGTTGTCAGTGTAACCATGAAGTCACACATACTAAATACACTTGTGAATGTAGATCAAGGTCTACGTCCTTTGCGGTAAAAGTAGTGATATAAATTTTTTATAAGAATTGACTTACACTTTGTGAGAGTTCATTGGAGTATGAGCCTTCATAGAGTGAGGGCCAAACTGTATGAACGTCAGAGCTTCAGAGGGCGACGACGTTCATACAGTTTGGCCCTCACTCTATGAAGGTTCATACTCCAATGAACCCTCACAAAGTAACAGTCCATTCTTAATTACAATAAACCTGATTCACAGTTTTACAGCATTGGACTGAAATAACTGAAATTTTGCAATAAAAACATTATTACCCAAAGACACATTTTTTCCAAACAATGCTAATTGTATTTTCTGTTATCCCCATGGGCATTCCGGCTTAGAAAAGATACCACCCTCCCCCTAGCAACTTAGGTTGTTATAAGGGGTGACTTACTTGATCGGGAGGTCAGGTAAGGTGACCTGGTTGATTGCCTGTCATCTTACCCCAACGGTGTTGGTTGATGCTCACAATATCAACCACTGGATTGTCTGGGACAGACTATTATTACTTACATACCACTGTCTATAATATGGCAGAGTGCGGTATTAAACAACAAACAAACAAACATAACATTACCCTGAACAAGCGCAGATACATTTTTTTGGGAAAAGGACGTATGCGTATTCTTGTTTCATGATACCAACCTTTCTATAATAAATGACCAGTCCCTAAATAATGATTAAATTTAGAACTTTTATATTTGACAAATATAGAACTGTTTCATTTCTTAATGGCCCCTTCTATAATTGTGATACGTCTTTGTCATAGGTGATACGAAAGTTGTAGGAGTCAAGGTTTCTGTGGAGGTGTTGGAACACAAATATATAATTGCTGAATTGACATTTTGGGTACTTGCATAGATACTAAATAAAAGATAGCAGTGGTTATCGGATCTATACCAACCATCTTCACAAGTCGGTCCCAGCCATCCTTGTGTACAGGAGCATGTAAAGTTGTTCGTTCCTGCGTCAGAACAATTGCCATTGTTTTTACATGGGGTCGTGAGGCAGTCGTCTACATCTGAAACATGGAGGCATGGTGCTGCTGAACAGAATGTACGTCTGTCATAGAGACTGTGTTAAACTATGTAAGCTGTCAATGCCAGACCCGTGAAGATCCAGGGTAGAATGGGTCTTCAGCGACCAATGCTTGCTGTAAAAGGCGACAATGCTTGTCATAAAAGGCGACAAACAGGATCGGGTGATCAGACTTGCTGGTTGATGCATGTCATCATATCCCAATTGCAAGAATTGATGTTCATGATGTCAATCACAGGATTGTCTGATCCAGACTCGATTATTTATAGACCTACGTCACACAGCTGGAATATTGCTGAGTGCGGCGTTAAACAACAAACAAACAAACAAAAGCTACACTGCATTCTACTCTAGATATTTAGTACAAGACTCTCTACCATGACTGATGGACTGACATACATTACACATCATTCATCAGTTTCTGATTGGCTGACAATTGATGGGAAGAGCTTGTGTTGCATTATTGTGGATTACCGGTCCCAAATGAATTAATTTGTAAGTTCCGAGCCATGGCAATTCATTTGTCTGCTTGGGAATAAATCAGTGGTTATACAGTGTGCTCAGTCGCTCAGGTACAATAGTGGTGAGGCGAAATGAGGTTTAACGTCACATTGAAAATGGTTACACTTACACTTATCTACATGTGTATGTGAGTGTGGCTGCTTGTACTCGTCTGGACAAATGGCATTTTTATAATGCTAGCTCACTGAGACACCATGCCACAGTTTAAAATGAAGACCCCACTCAGAGACAGTATACAGACTCTGAGCTGACCAGTCCTTGGTTTAGACCCTCAATGCTGAATGCAAGGCAGGGCAACCACAAGTACCATCTTTTAACATCTTTTGGAATTGCGCGGACAGGGATCGAACACCCTACCTTCCACTGTCCGAGCAGATATTCTGCACTCTACTAGACCACAGAGGTGGCCTCTTATACAATGACACCGAGGTGCAAATATTTAGTGCAAATTGGAAACATGCTCTATTTGAAATGAGGCACTTCTGTATGGTGTGGCTAAAATGTTAAGTGCCTTATCATGATGGACTGCCTTGATGGAGTTGGTTGCTAATTAGTTTTCATAATCCTCTCTGAGGTCCACACACTTCTGCCAACGATACCAGAGTGGATCCAACCGGTGTAGAAGGCTGCCTCCTGGTAATGTATCTTCTGTTTGTTTGTTTGTTTGTTTGTTTGTTTGTTTAACGCCACACTCAGCAATATTCCAGCTTTATGACGGCAGTCTGTAAATAATCGAGTCTGGACCAGACAATCCAGAGATTGATGTCATGAGCATCGATCCACGCAGTTGGGCTACGATGACATGCATCAACCAAGTCAGACATCTATCTTCTGACCACCATCGGACTTTAACTAAGACAACTAACTCAATGTATGACCAGGAACAAGCAAGTGACGTCACATCAAACATCATGACATCATGACACTGTACAGGCCCCTCACTTGTACAATACTTTTACAAACTGGCAACTGGCCAATCAGATAGCTAGATTCTTTAGCGGGAAATCATAATGTTAATGTGTTATACAAGACCTTTCGTAATAGGGAAACATATGATCACAATAATCTCTTAAGGTTACATATTATCTATAAAAAAATCAAAGTTCAAAACATATTTTCACACTGTTACTATTGAGCTAGCTGTCTAGTCGCCATCTTGCTGTGATGAGTGACCTAGTCAGTCAGTCAAGTAAAGCTGTTGCGCTTTACAATTTCAGTGTTGATTTGATTGTTGATCATATTGTGCATAGTCTTCTCTTCTTGGTAACACAATAATCGAAATACATTCCTGCTGTATGATAAATGGGGCAGTTTACTGTTGTGAAACGGCCTTGACCTTTCCTAACTCCAGCGCTGTATCGTAGTTATTAAAGCCACTTCAGTTCAGAAAGTGAAAGTATGTCTTTAACTTTGATTTGTTTAATAAAGACATCATGTTACAAAAATACCCATATTTGTTTCCATACCATAAATATCATACATCAGTTTTTCCTAAAAAATGATATTAATATTATATATGACCATTAATGATATGGTATACTGTTTTGTTTGTGAACCGTATTCCCTTATACATTGTATACCTAATTTGTGTCCAAAACATTTTTTACTAAGTGAATTCTGATCTCAATTTACATAACTTTAAAAAATGATGCTGCAAATTATGTCAATACATACATTACTGGACAAAATGTTAAAAATTTTCAATTTGAAGTTTATACCATATACAGGTTTTTCATTGAGCGAGTGGTCGGTCACATGACCACAAAATTGACGCTCATAAGTGTATGAACGACACAACTTGACATTCATACGTTTTTCATGAGACCATGTTCTTGAAATGACGTAAACACTGGCGGACTACTTCCACATTCCTTGGGAAACCCCTAGAAATTCCCTAGCAGGAATAAATGTTTCTCATCATTTAGACCCTTTACTTGGCATTTTAGCATACATTGGGATCAGTCAAAGGTTGATTGCATGTCCATTCAAGGTTATCCTCGCCACAACCCATCTTAGAGAACAAAACGAAGAAAAGCATACATTGGGATAAGTCAGAGTTTGATTGCATGTCCGTTCAAGGATATCCTCGTTACAACCCATCTTAGAGAACAAAACGAAGAAAAGCATACATTGGGATAAGTCAGAGTTTGATTGCATGTCCGTTCAAGGATATCCTCGTTACAACCCATCTTAGAGAACAAAACGAAGAAAAGCATACATTGGGATAAGTCAGAGTTTGATTGCATGTCCGTTCAAGGATATCCTCGCTACAACCCATCTTAGAGAACAAAACGAAGAAAAGGATACATTGGGATAAGTCAGAGTTTGATTGCATGTCCGTTCAAGGATATCCTCGCTACAACCCATCTTAGAGAACAAAACGAAGAAAAGCATACATTGGGATAAGTCAGAGTTTGATTGCATGTCCGTTCAAGGATATCCTCGCTACAACCCATCTTAGAGAACAAAACGAAGAAAAGCATACATTGGGATAAGTCAGAGTTTGATTGCATGTCCGTTCAAGGATATCCTCACTACAATCCATCTTAGAGAACAAAACGAAGAAAAGCATACATTGGGATAAGTCAGAGTTTGATTGCATGTCCGTTCAAGGATATCCTCGCTACAACCCATCTTAGAGAACAAAACGAAGAAAAGCATACATTGGGATAAGTCAGAGTTTGATTGCATGTCCGTTCAAGGATATGCTCATTACAACCCATCTTAGAGAACAAAACGAAGAAAAGCATACATTGGGATAAGTCAGAGTTTGATTGCATGTCCGTTCAAGGATATCCTCGCTACAACCCATCTTAGAGAACAAAACGAAGAAAAGCATACATTGGGATAAGTCAGAGTTTGATTGCATGTCCGTTCAAGGATATCCTCGCTACAACCCATCTTAGAGAACAAAATGAAGAAAAGCATACATTGGGATAAGTCAGAGTTTGATTGCATGTCCGTTCAAGGATATCCTCGCTACAACCCATCTTAGAGAACAAAACAAAGAAAAGCATACATTGGGATAAGTCAGAGTTTGATTGCATGTCCGTTCAAGGATATCCTCGTTACAACCCATCTTAGAGAACAAAACGAAGAAAAGCATACATTGGGATAAGTCAGAGTTTGATTGCATGTCCGTTCAAGGATATCCTCGCTACAACCCATCTTAGAGAACAAAACGAAGAAAAGCATACATTGGGATAAGTCTGAGTTTGATTGCATGTCCGTTCAAGGATATCCTCGCTACAACCCATCTTAGAGAACAAAACGAAGAAAAGCATACATTGGGATAAGTCAGAGTTTGATTGCATGTCCGTTCAAGGATATCCTCGCTACAACCCATCTTAGAGAACAAAACGAAGAAAAGCACTTCCAAACTAAGTAACCACAGTATTTACTCAATCCATGTCTTAACGACAGTGATAGTCTACAGCAATATATCAATGTACCTTAGTATCTATTTGACACATCTTTACAATCACCTTTCAGTGATCGGCCAATTGATCAGTGATGACTAACACTTGTAATAGCCACAGGTTCCTTAAAAACTTCAGAAGTCTATCCTGTCACATTTATCGTGTCGGCCATTTTCATGTCTTGTATTTGATGTAAATGTATTACGATGCGCTGTCATTGTGACTGACTTACTGAGGTAGTTCTTAACAGACCTTTCTCATCTAATGAGGATATTTATTAGTACATTTGCTGTACAGAAACTACAAAATTGTTCCTGTTGAGCATACATCAGCTAATGTCACCTCTCGTTGTGAGGAACTATTTTATTCTGCAATACAGTTGGTTCTTGCATGGTTGTCAGTGTAACCATGAAGTCACACATACTAAATATACTTGTGAATGTAGATCAAGGTCTACGTCCTTTGAGGTAAAAGTAGTGATATAAAAAATTTATAAGAATTGACTTTCAGTTTGTGAGAGTTCATTGGAGTATGAACCTTCATAGAGTGAGGACCAAACTGTATGAACGTCGTCGCCCTCTGACGTTCATACAGTTTAGCTCTCACTCTATGAAGGTTCATACTCCAATGAACTCTCACAAAGTAACAGTGCATTCTTAATTACAATAAACCCGATTCACAGTTTTACAGCATTGGACTGAAATAACTGAAATTTTGCAATAAAAACATTATTACCCAAAGACACATTTTTTTCAAACAATGCTAATTGTATTTTCTGTTACCCCCATGGGCATTCCGGCTTAGAAAAGATACCACCCTCCCCCTAGCAACTTAGGTTTGTTATAAGGGGTGACTTACTTGATCGGGAGGTCAGGTAAGGTGACCTGGTTGATTGCCTGTCATCTTACCCCAACGGTGTTGGTTGATGCTCACAATATCAACCACTGGATTGTCTGGGACAGACTATTATTACTTACATACCACTGTCTATAATATGGCAGAGTGCGGTGTTAAACAACAAACAAACAAACATAACATTACCCTGAACAAGCGCAGATACATTTTTTGGGGAAAAGGACTATGCTTATTCTTGTTTCATGATACCAACCTTTCTATAATAAATGACCAGTCCCTAAATAATGATTAAATTTAGAACTTTTATATTTGACAAATATAGAACTGTTTCATTTCTTAATGGCCCCCTTTATAGTTGTGATACGTCTTTGTCATAGGTGATACGAAAGTTGTAGGAGTCAAGGTTTCTGTGGAGGTGTTGGAACACAAATATATAATTGCTGAATTGACATTCTGGGTACTTGCATAGATACTAAATAAAAGATAGCAGTGGTTATCGGATGTATACCAACCATTTTCACAAGTCGGTTCCAGCCATCCTTGTGTACAGGAGCATGTAAAGTTGTTCGTTCCTGCGTCAGAACAACTGCCATTGTTTTTACATGGGGTCGTCAGGCAGTCATCTACATCTGAAACATGGAGGCATGGTGCTGCTGAACAGAATGTACGTCTGTCATAAGACTGTGTTAAACTATGTAATCTGTCAATGCCAGACCCGTAAAGATCCAGGGTAGAATGGGTCTTCAGCAACCCATGCTTGCTGTAAAAGGCGACAATGCTTGTTGTAAAAGGCGACAAACAGGATCGGGTGATCAGACTTGCTGGTTGATGCATGTCATCATATCCCAATTGCAAGAATTGATGTTCATGATGTCATTCACAGGATTGTCTGATCCAGACTCGATTATTTATAGACCTACGTCACATAGCTGGAATATTGCTGAGTGCGGCAACAAACAAACAAACAAAAGCTATATTGCATTCTATTCTAGATATTTAGTACAAAACTCTCTACCATGACTGATTGACTGACATACATTACACATCAGTCATCAGTTTCTGATTGGCTGACAATTGATGGGAAGAGCTTGTGATGCATTATTGTGGATTACCTGTCCCAAATGAATTAATTTGTAAGTTCCGAGCCATGGCGATTCATTTGTCTGGTTGGGAATAAATCAGTGGTTATACAGTGTGCTCAGTCGCTCAGGTACCCTTGAAAAATACCCCAATAGTTGGCGAAATCTTCATTGTACAAACATAGAATTTAAACCAAAGTGAACTATTTTCAACAAGTGTAATGTGAAGTGTGTAAAACTACCTTCATCACAGAGCCAGCCAGTCCATCCCGAGGTACAGTTGCAGGTGTAGTTGGATGGTCCGAGGATGCAGACTCCTCCATTGGCGCAGGATGCAGTGTGACAGTAGTCTTCTGGAAGGAGATAACAGGCATTGTGGAGGATGAGAAGAGGATAAAAACAACGACAAACAGTAACCTGAAGTACAGGGTGGTAGTTATGGAAGGACAATTGACATGTGGTGGGTGAGGGGGCCTCTCCATGTTCACATCACACTGGTACCCTAAGGAATTGTTTTAAGACCAAAGCTATGCCAATGATTTTCTTTTCTTTTCTTTCTTTCCTATTTGTTACGAGGGGTGGCTGAAAGGTTTTGAGCCTAACTATGATGGACTGCAATGATGGAGTTGGTTCCTTGGTCCCACACGCAAGTCACAGATCCTCACCATCAGAACTGATCCGATTGCTTCCTACCACAAACAGTATAGTGCATGGGAACTATTGTAACACTGGTCCCAAGGGGGTCAGATTAGGTGAGATTATATAGTTATACTATTAATCTCTCATACAGAACCTGAAGAACTATCTGAAAGCGCCTTAGCAGCTCTACACCATGCTTGCAAGTCTGCATTCTGAGAGATACCTTGCTCTCATTTGTGTGCACAGAAAGACACTATATAAAAAATACTTCAAATATTTTCAGTTCAGAGACTAAATATTGGTATCATATACAATAGTGGGGAGGTGGAATGAGGTTAAACGTCACGTTGAAAATGGTTACACTTACATTTATCTACATGTGTATGTGAGTGTGGCTGCTTGTACTCGTCTGGACAAATGGCAATTTTATAATGCTAGCTCACTGAGACACCATGCCACAGTTTAACATGAATACCCCACTCAGACACAATATACAGACTCTGAGCTGACCAGTCCTTGGTCTAGACCCTCAATGCTGAGTGACAGGCAGGGTAACCACAAGTACCATCTTTTAACATCTTTTGGAATTGCGCGGACAGGGATCGAACCCCCGACCTTCCACTGTCTGAGCAGATATTCTACACTCTACTAGACCACGGAGCTGGTCTCTTATACAATGACACCGAGGTGCAAATATTTAGTGCAAATGGGAAACATGCTCTATTTGAAATGAGGCCCTTTTGTATGGTGTGGCTAAAATGTTAAGTGCCTTATTATGATGGACTGCGTTGATGGCCTTGGTTGCTAATTAGTTTTCATAATCCTCTCTGAGGTCCACACACTTCTGCCAACAATGCCAGAGTGGATCCAACCGGTGTAGAAGGCTGCCTCCTGGTAATGTATCTTCTGTTTGTTTGTTTGTTTGTTTGTTTGTTGAACGCCACACTCAGCAATATTCCAGCTTTATGACGGCGGTCTGTAAATAATCGAGTCTGGACCAGACAATCCAGAGATTGACATCATGAGCATCGATCCACGCAGTTGGGCTACGATGACATGCATCAACCAAGTCAGACATCTATCTTCTGACCACCATTGGGCTTCAACTAAGGTTACTAACTCAATGTGTGACCAGGAACAAGCATGTGACGTCACATCAAACATGATGACATCATGACACTCAGTACAGGCCCCTCACTTGTACAATACTTTTACAAACTGGCAACTGGCCAATCAGATAGCTAGATTCTTTAGCGGGAAATCATAATGTTAATGTGTTATACAAGACCTTTCGTAATAGGGAAACAGATGATCACAATAATCTCTTAAGGTTACATGTTCAAAAATAACATAATATTTATAAAATAATCAAAGTTCAAAACATATTTTCACACTGTTACTATTGAGCTAGCTGTCTAGTCGCCATCTTGCTGTGATGAGTGACCTAGTCAGTCAGTCAAGTAAAGCTGTTGCGCTTTACAATTTCAGTGTTGATTTGATTGTTGATCATATTGTGCATAGTCTTCTCTTCTAGGTAACACAATAATCGAAATACATTCCTGCTGTATGATAAATGGGGCAGTTTACTGTTGTGAAACGTCCTTGACCTTTCCTAACTCCAGCACTGTATAGTAGTTATTAAAGCCACTTCAGTTCAGAAAGTGAAAGTATGTCTCTAACTTTGATTTGTTTAATAAAGACATCATGTTACAAAAATACCCATATTTGTTTCCATACCATAAATATCATAGATCGTTTTTTCCTAAAAAATGATATTAATATTATATATGACCATTAATGATATGGTATACTGTTTTGTTTGTGAACCGTATTCCCTTATACATTGTATACCTTATTTGTGTCCAAAACATTTTTTACTAAGTGAATTCTGATCTCACTTTACATAACTTTAAAAAACGATGCTGCAAATTATGGCAAAATGTTAAAAAATTTCAATTTGAAGTTTATACCATATACAGGTTTTTCATTGGACGATAGGTCGGTCACATGACCGCGAAAGAGACGCTCGTAAGTGTATGAACGACACAACTTGACGTTCATACATTTTTCACGAGACCATGTTCTTGAAATGACGTACCGGTAAACACTGGCGGACTACTTCCACATTACTTGGGAAACCCCTAGGAATTCCCTAGCAGGAATAAATGTTTCTCATCATTTAGACCCTTTACTTGGCGTTTTAGCATACATTGGGATAAGTCAGAGTTTGATTGCATGTCTGTTGAGCATGTTGAGCATACATAAGCTAATGTCACCTCTTGTTTTGGGGAACTATTTTATTCTGCAATACAGCTGGTTGTTGTAAGGTTGTCAGTGTAACCATGAAGTCACACATACTTAATATACTTGTGAATGTAGATCAAGGTCTACGTCCTTTGAGTAAAAGTAGTGATATAAAAAAATTATAAGAATTGACTTTCACTTTGTGAGAGTTCATTGGAGTATGAGCCTTCATAGAGTGAGGACCAAACTGTATGAACGTCGTCACGTTCTGAAGCTCTGACGTTCATACAGTTTGGCCCTCACTCTATGAAGGTTCATACTCCAATGAACTCTTACAAAGTGACAGTATATTCTTAATAACAATTAACCCGATTCACAGTTTTACAGCATTGGATTGAAATAACTGAACTTTTGCAATAAAAAAAGTATTACCCAAAGACACATTTATTTCAAACAATGTTAATTGTATTTTCTGTTACATCAGGCATATTTTAGACGTAAAATTACCACCCCATGGGCATTCCGGCTTAGAACAGATACCCCCTCCCCCTACAACTTAGGTTGGTCATAAGGGGTGACTTACTTGATCAGGAGGTCAGGTTAGGTGACCTGGTTGATTGCCTGTCATCTTACCCCAACGGTGTTGGTTGATGCCCACAATATCAACCACTGGATTGTCTGGGACAGACTATTATTACTTACATACCACTGTCTATAATATGGCAGAGTGCGGTGTTAAACAACAAACAAACAAACATAACATTACCCTGAACAAGCGCAGATACATTTTTTTGGGAAAAGGACGTATGCGTTTTGTGAGCACAAGTTCAACATTAGTGCTATATAAATGCAAGAAATCCTAAAAAAAAATGCATTTGGTGGTCATGTTATTTTTATCGAAACATATCACAAAATGAATTTATAATAGTTTACTTATAAATTCCAATATAGATAATAAGTATGACCCTCCAACCCTCTCTGGACCCGAGAATGCTGAAATAGCAATGACCTTGGGTTTCAGTAATCTACCAGTAATATCTAGAGTTACAGCCATGCAAATGTGTTCACATGTAGGTGAAGGACTATCTATTTCAGATAACACACACGTATATGATTTTCTCTCTGTTCACACATGTTATACAATACACATTGATTTTATTATAAAAATATGTAAGCTGCGTCATGATCCGGTAGTATTGATTTCATATCACCCTATCCCCTGTTATGAAATATCTAGCAACTAAATTGCGATCATTGCATAATTCATGCATAATATCTACTGGATCCGGAAGCTAATAACACACGTTGGGATTACTTGTAAGAAAATAGGTCCCCAGTAACCTGTGCTTGTTGGTAGAGGTGACAGAATGGATCAGGTGATCGGCCATCATGATTGGACTTGGATTGGCATGTCATTGTATCCAAACAAATTACAATAAAAAAACCCAAACAAGTACATTTTAATTACTCCACCACTTTGCTTCTTCTAGATTACTCTAACGTGCCTGAATAAACATTTATTTTCCAAGGCTTATTACCCTGAAGCCATGACATGTATATGTCTAGAATCACATAATTACCATCACTAATAAGATGTAAATCCCCATTGTTAATCCCCATTGTATTACACATTGACTATCAGCCATCCTGAAATAGTTGTACAGCTATGTCACTTGTCATTATTACTGTTGTTTATATTGATGACTTAATCCTTGTCAGATGACCGTACCCAATATATAACCCTTGGTCCAGAGATGAAAGACAAGAGATGCTTTTCCTTACAAGGTTTGGGCTGGAGCTCCAGGGTGTCAACACAGCAACCTATTCCACTATGTGCTGACCTTGTACATAGTGTTCCTTGCATATATATATTTATTATATTTATAAAGTAAAATTTGTACACCATAATCCATCGACTTGATGTAATCACTACAGAGAACCATATACCGCCCCCTTTGCATATAGGTATATGCATTTATCATCCAAAACTGGCTCCCACAGGAGATATCGCTTGGCTGAGATCAAGCGATATCTATACTATAGATGAAATTGCATCACAATGTTTTGCAGACCATTGTGACATCATTGGTTACCATGATGTCACAATCAAATGACATCACTAATGGCTGTGCTACTGAAGCTGTTGGCAGTACTTTTTACACTTAAGACATGGCTTATAACGTTCTACAAACTGAAAAAGTTGGAAGAATGATGTTGGATGATAAATAAAATCTCACCCTCGTGTCTTTTGATATCAAATATATCAACACTCGTTGATAAAAGTGGAAAAAAATCCTCGGCAAGCCTCGGAGTTTTCCTACTTTTATCAACTCGTGTTGATATATTTGATATCAAAAGATACTCGGGTGAGATTCTCTATATATTCATATTCACTGTCATGTGTCCTTGCCCCATACAACATGCCTGTTGAAAGTTGCATCCCTTTGGCAAGCCAGGATCATCCTCTTTAGTATGTGAGCACCACACCCATGCTCATGAGTTTCATCGAATAGGTAAACAGTGAGACAAGCGAACTCTTAAACCACTAGCTACCACACCACCTCTGACACATGAAATAAGGTTGGTTAGTTGGTTGTTTAGCGCTGCACTCAGCAATATTCCAGCTATATGACGGCGGTCTGTAAATAATCGAGTCTGGACCAGACAATCCAGTGATTGATATCATGATCATCAATAAACGCAATTGGGATTGATGACATGCTTCAACCAAGTCAGCGAGCCTGACATGAAATAAGGAAGTTATTGTTACATATATATATATTCATATGAACTCACCTGTTTGACATGTGGGTCCAAGCCAGCCATCTGTACAACTGCAGTTGCCAGTACCATTCATACATGTTCCGTTGTTTTCACAGGTCACGTTCACACAAGCATCAACTGAAAACAACAACATAAATCACTGACATTGGGATTTCAGGGGATTTCAGCATAGAATATAAACTCTTGACATCTGATACTGGTCATAGAAGTCAACTGGGCATTGGATGTCCAAAATGGCTGAAATATTGGCAGACTGACTGAATGAACCTAGGGTAAGGAGTGTGGCATCATAACCCAGACAGTGCCTTATCATTACTCCTTATGAAATCTTAGCATTATAAGGACCTAGTTGCTGTCCTGTGAAAATGAATGCAATTTACATTAACTGACCTGCCTTTTCAGATATTAATACACCATAATGTTCGATGTGATGGCACTCACAAAGTCACAATCAGTTTTATTCTATGGGCCATAAGATAGATATATAACCCACAGGGACACGGATATGGGTGATATTGTTTTCTGTAATTCTCACTTATCATTGTTATTTTTGCTTCAGGCTGACTGGCTAGGTTGTTCCAATTGCTCCATTGTTTACATTGTTTGTGAAGAAGTAGCAATGTAATGTCACAGGATTTTTTGTTTGTTTGTTTCTTGTTGAATGCTGTACTCAGCAATATTCCAGCTATATGATGACGGTCATTAAATAATCAAGTCTGGACCAGACAATCCAGTGATTGATATCTCAATAATCAAGTCTTTGCCAGACAATCTAGTGATTGACATCATGAGCCTCGATCTATAAGTTGGATAAGATGACATGCATCAAATAACTCAGCAAGCCTGACCACCCAAACTTGATCTTACGACAAGCACAGTCACGTTTTACGGCAAGCATTGGTTGTTGAAGACCTATTCTACCCAGGATCTTCATGGGGGGATATCATAAGAACACACTAAAGATGTCATTCAGTGTTCATGACATCACAAATGATTTGATGTCATGTCATTCCAATAATATAGTAACTGAGTGATGTCTCCACTTGAGATCAGGAAACTGAAATTTTTTGCCTTTTCTCAGAAAAAAGACTAAGGGTAATGTAAAGAATAACCTAATTGCAACTTGGAAGTCCAGATTATCTGTCCCGCTTGAAATTTATGTTGAATGTTCCTCTCCAAGGCTTTGAATTTACAGAATGAAGTCACTTGGAACAGATAATCTGTGATTCATCAAAAATGTCACACAAGCATTTCCCCAAACCTTTCTTTGGTAATAATTAATTTCTGTCTTAGGGTGAACATGATCCATCAGTTGACCCTCCCCCCCCGACAATGACATGGTGCAAGTTTCAAAGTGTATCTGTTACTGGAGTGTAATTTTTTGTTTGTATTTCTCAAGGGTAATTATACCCATGGAACAGTTTTTAATAGGAAAGTGTTTCCACAATCCATTTACACTGGGAATATTTGTTCCAGATGGAACGAAGACCATTTGGAACTGATCATCATAAAAATTATAATGTCAGTTCCATGGTGAAATTGGGTTAACGTCCTGTCCATGATTATTACACTAATAGAGTGACGTGAATGCACATGTGGGTTTGGCATGGCTGCTTGTACTAGTCTGGACTAATGCTGATTTTATAGTGCTAGCCCACCGAGATACCATGCCCGAACTGTGAACCTTTGCTCTCCGGGCCGACGTTCTAACACTAGAACAAGGAGGAGGTCAGTTCCATATAGAGCATGACGGCATTAAGGTCATGTCAAGTGAGCACGACCGCATTAAGGTCACGTCAAGTAAACTTCCTAATCAGCCAATCAGCATCAAGGAAAATAAATTCTCAGTATGAGTGAGTGAAGCATTCAGAACTGCCTGCATAATCTGTATCTCAAGAAATAACATAAACGAGGACTTCTAACTGCTAAAAAATAAAACGCCACAATTTTGTTTTGGATAAGTTATACACCCTGTCATTTCCAAGCAGCAGGGTATCTACACTCAAGGGAGTACAATTTAAGGAACGTTTGTGTTCTAAGTGTGTTTTCATTGCGATTGTAAAGAACTGAAGCCAAATCATCTCAGAAAAATGACATCTGATCTACGCAACCTTCCTTTAGAATGGATGGTCAAAGTTCACTCAGAGTTCACTTGACCTGATGTCCTATGAAGGAAGGGTCAGATCTTGATACAGAGAAGTATCCTATCAGAGTGAAATGTGACCCACTGGTGTAGCTGTGCAGAGTTGTGTCCCTTAGCCATACCAGAATCTGCTGACTGAGTCTTGGATTCCTACGTGCCCTGATTATGACAACTCCATCTTGTACTCATGGTGTTCACCAACCAGGTTGAACTTCTGTGACCTCCATATTCTCCCCACTGAACTGTCAAGCTTAATTACTCACTGCACAGCAAACAAACTTAGAGGTAACCCATTGCTGTATACTTGCTGAAGGTAAAATATTTCTTTTTTTGAGACATGGGGTCAGAGTGGCACAAACTGGTAATTCTGTATTAAGAGTGTGTGGGTTACAGATGATTTTTACTGACAAAAACCTTCCAAAAACTCTTCCAATGATTCTAAAAAGTGCGAATAAATTGCTGACTGTTATAGTTTCAGATGATGTATGACTGAATGAGGGTGTGAGTTGTGTTTCACACTGCTTTTAACAATATTCCAGTTATGTCACAGCATATCAGCTTGATCTGGGATGGAAACCCGAAGTGAAGCAGGACCTAGACGTTTACCACTTTATTGAAACCCACGAGCACGGGCATGGGGCTGACAGACCTAGAAACATAATTCGGGGTGAATCAGGATTCGAACCCATGATCATAGGTTTTTTGGTGTGCGAAGAGATGTACCTCTGCACAGCTATTGTGATGCCTTGGACGACTGGGCTACACCTGCCCCCTATTTCAGATAATGTATGACTGTCAATCTATACAAAATATCAAAAAGTATGGTGGATATATGTTCAGACTAACATTTAAATAAAACACACAAACCAAACAACTAATGAAGTTCCAGAGTAGAATAGGTCCTCAGCAACCCCTGCTTGACATAAAAGGTGCCTATGCTTGTCATGAGAGACGACTAACGGGATCAGGTGGTCAGGCTCACTGACTTGGTTGATGCATTTCATCGTATCCCAATATGATAGATGCTCATGATGTCATTCACTAGATTGTCTGGCCGAGACTCGATCATTGAGAGACCGCCGACATATACATACAGTAAACTATGGTTATAACGAACACGCTTATAACGAACTGACGGATATAACGAACTACTTTTTTGGTCCCGACTATTTGCTGTAGTTATGCTGTATATATGCTTATAACGAACTACGGTTAAAACGAACTAAAATTTGTAGTCCCTTTGAGTTCGTTATAGCCGTACTTTACTGTATATATAGAGAGTGCGGCGTTAAATAACAACAAACAAACACATACCAAACATGCCAAGATAAGTTTCAATATTTTACTCATCTACCAGCCAACATATGCTGACTGATAAACTAACGAAGCTTTAAAATTAAACTGTAGGCGTTTCCCAAGTTGATAATGTAGAACCTTGTTCAGGAAGCAACGATGTGTCATCTCTCGATCAATGTAGATAACACATGTGAATATGACACAGGGTGTTTTTTATAAAATGTTATGTACAAAATCCACACGCCAATCAGCGATCAGGTATTATTGCTCTCTGCTGCGCTAACGAAGCTTTAAAATTAAACTGTAGGCGTTTCCCAAGTTGATGATGTAGAACCTTGTTCAGGAAGCAACGATGTGTCATCTCTCGATCAATGTAGATAACACATGTGAATATGACACAGGGTGTTTTTTATAAAATGTTATGTACAAAATCCACACGCCAATCAGCGATCAGGTATTATTGCTCTCTGCTGCGCTCGATACAATTGTCCAACCACCAGCTGTTAAACTGTCTGTACTTTCATCACAATTAGGTTGATTTGAAGTTTGCAGGTGATTGATGCATTGCAATGGGTTGAGTCACACATGCTTACAATCTATCTAATCAAGGCACAGCCAGATACCATCATAGCAGACAATCTGTCAGGGTGACGCCCGGTTCAGTCACACTAGTTATCAGATAAGTCAGTGTGAAAATGTGTAGTGAGGGTGTGGGTTGGGTTTGAACCGCTTTGAACGTTATTCCAGTTTGGTGTGTCAGTGTAATGTGGAAGGAAAGCACAAAGTGATGCAGGTCTTAGACATTTACAACTTTAGTAACACCCAAGAAAATGGTGCTGACAAACCTAGGAACAGAATCTGGGCGAAATTGGATTCGAACCCATGATCGTAGGTTTCTGGTGAGCCCAAGGGATGCAACTCTGCACAGCGAATTCGAGTGAAAGACAAAATATATCGTTGGATCAGGTTTTCAGACGTCATACGTTTTTGGACGGCCATGTTTATTGCAAATACTCACACAATGACGAGGTGTAGCATCATACAGACATTGTAAATACTTAGATGATGGCTTGTTTTTAAAAGAAAGTTGTTTGTTAAAAGTGAATGAGATGTTTTACAGATTAGGGAGAAAACTACACGTTTCTTAAGCGTCCGAAAACCCATAACACCGGAATATATATATTGTAAACTGGTAAATATTTACGAACAAAATTACATGGCCTGAGGATGAATGTACTGGTTGATCAATAAATAAATATGAAAAACTGAAGACAACATGGTGGTGACTGGTAATATAATATGACAGGCATCTAAAGTTCTAACCCCAACAAATGCATGCCAGGTTAGAATTGGTCCCCTCTGTGATCTCGTGATTGCGTGTCATCGTGCCCCGATGGTGTGGATTGCTGCTAGCAATATTAATCACTGTCATATACTGTTGTCATCATATAGCTGGAATACTGTTAAGCATTAAACATAAAATAAAAAATAAAGTTCTAATAATGAGTTTTATGGTCTTTTTTTCACTATCAAATACCCTGGTTCTCTACCTAAAAACAAAAGGTGTGAAATATGATCACACCAAAAAGTATGCACTATGTCCTATTTGAAAGAAAAAAAATGTAATCAGAAACAAAACCATAACGTATCAACATGAATTTGACTTTGCAGTCACGAC